ACTGTCAAACTAAAGTAAACCTCTACATTTCACAACAGCACAATAGAAATATCTACTCTGTGACAGACGCTAGTCATTGGCTGACACTAGCAATCTTTGGGGCCCTAGTTTCTTATGATGGCATCCAATCACATAACACTTAGGGCAATCATGTCATGTGGTCAAAAGATGTGCATATGTTCATAGTTTTAACTGTTCTTCTTCATATAGAATATGACAGTTGCTCTATGACATTGAAATTAAATTTTTCCCCAAATGACGAGTGAAATACATCATTCATGGATACATTTCCATGAGCTGATGATCAAACTTTAGTGAACGGTAAACAGGTAGCAATTTACCAATGTTGACTAATCCTGGAATAAACAGTCTGACAACTGGGATGTCGGACTATTGAGAGGTTACCATCACACACAGTAATACAGTGAACTCTGGCAATATCGGCCTCTGTAAACACCTGGCACTCTGTCTACATCGGCACAAAGTTTCAGTCCCGGCAGAAATGCACTTAATTATCATTTAGAAACATCTGTAAACATCGGCATCTGTCTACTCAGGATATCGGCATTGTTTTTCAGTCCCAACAAACAAGTTGTTATGAAAACGAATCTGTAAACACCGGCACATGATGGAAGCGCAACCCTTTGATGCAATTAGGTCCAAATGATGTAACAACACAATTTGCTGTTACTCCCGAGATTATTCAGAAACGGGAATTTCAATCAGTTTCTTGTTAATTAGTGAGTGGTATGTGTCACTTACATAGAGTAATTAATACATGTAGTGGGCAGTTTGACTGTAAAAACGAGCAAGAGTTTAGTTGATTCGAGGGTATTTAAGGTAAAATCGTATAAGGCAAAATGTGCAAGATGTGAGTTGACCCTTCAACAAAAAGTGCATCAGATGGCTGGTTAACATCATGGAAAACATGATACAGCATAAAGCAATTCAAAGTCAGTGGTGGCAGTGTGAATGCCGATGATGTAGCAACATTTAAGTCCCGCCTTCCAGATTTGACTGATGGCTTGACAGATTGCCTGTTTTTTGGCAAGCCAATCACAAGTCTTGGATGACATCAGCCCTGTATCGTGATTGGTTGGAGCAGCTTAATCGGCAAATGCGAAGACAAAGAAGAAATATTTTATTTTTCATGGACAACGCCCCTTCCCACAACCATGGCCTTAGTCTGAGTAATGTGAAACTTTGCTACCTTCCTGCAAACACGACGTCAGTTCTTCAACCCCTAGATCAAGGTATAAACCGTGCATTTACCATCGATACCTTTTGAGATCGCTTGTGATGAACTTTGCAAAGCAATCACGGTGTTAGATGCAGTGTACTGGATCGTGAGGGCGTGAAAACTTGCAACCTGCCTTAACCGGCACTCTGTCAAAACCGGCATTTTTATTTGGTCCCGAGTGATGCCGGTATTGACAGAGTACACTGTATCTACTTCGTGATATTCACTAGTTCTGCGTTGACACACAGTATGTTCTTGAGGGTCAGTGTATGGTCACATGACTTTCTGCAAATTACTTACAGTGAGCAAACCACTACTCACATCCCTTCAGTTTCATGAAAATGAAAGCCATTCATTTATTACCTGAGTCAACATGACGTTTCTGATGGTGATGAGATGGTAACAAACATATGGCTATACACGGTCTTGAGGAATAATGTCACACGAATATTTAATAGGATATGCATATCACAAATACTATGCATTCTGACTATATATTAATTTACTCTTGCCTTCATCTAACTTGTGGAACTTAGTCAGACTGATCCATTTTAAAGATAACAGGGAGGCAGGGGTTAACTGCCCACTGGACAAGCAGAACTAACACTACCCAATAAACTCATTACTGTTAATGATCATTGGCACCTCCTGGTTGATCCTATCAGCTCTCAACATTCACTAGTGGATATTGTTCTTTGAAAACTACTCAATTAATTCTTCATTGACAATAGCAAGATGTGTGGTGCTTGCTAATTAATTCAAATGATTCAGTTTATGGCATTTTTGTGGCCAAAGAAGAGGCCTAGATTGCATATCAGATTCAAAAAGATTCTTTTCAACTGGTCCATGCTGCCTTGCTTGTTGTTTATTGCTGCAGCCAGCAACATTCCACCTGTGTCAAAATGATCTGTAAATAATCATGTCTTGACCAGGTAATTCAGTGACTGACAACAGCATCGACACAATAGGCAATGATGACATACATCAACCAAGGCAGCAGTCCTTACAGTTCTGATAGTGTGCCTAAAGAGACATGCATGGGTTGCTGATGATCAATCAAACTTGGATGTTCATAGACAGCTAAAACTCTGGGCTTATAGCCAAGAACACCAAATTGTGCTTACATGTAATCTGCATGAGTGAGTGAGTGAGTGAGTCTGGTTTTATGTTGTTTTAGCCACATTCAAGCAATATCACCTGACAAACGACACCAAACATGGGCTTCACACAATGTGCCATGCCCAAATTTCATGTGGGTCTCTGTGTGATAAGTGTAATTTGTGTAATGTGTGAAAATAGCATGAGAATGCATATGAATGTGTTTCTGTGTGAAGCAATGTAGGTAACAGACTGCATTTGTGTAAATATATGAAAAACCAACCATAAGTGTTTGAAGCATTAAAACTCAAGCATGTCAAAGAATAGCGGTGGTCCCTAATTATTATTTTCTTACTTCCTAGCAATTCATTATGCCAGTTTGGCAATGCCTTGTTTATTCTGGATAGAAAGTTGGGGTGCTCTCACAAACTTATCTGGCAAAATAAATTAGCAACTGGTCAATATTTACATATTGCACCTGATGATGGCCTAATCGATAACCAAACACTTAGGGTAGATCTACCAAACAATTTGAAAAATCTCAATAAACAATCAATTATTGTGAGACAATCTGATCCATGGATAAAGACCCCGGGTGTTTGACATAAAGGCCAAGGTGGTGCATTTTTGGGGTTTAGATGCATAACTTTAAGATTTTAAAATTACTCACCCAATATTGACGTAAGACTGATTATCCTAAATAAGCAAGAACCTTCAAACTTTTAGTGTTCGGTCACTGGATACAAATACAATAGTTTGATGCAAAATGATTATGAGTACAGCTACACTATAGTGTACTTACATACGTGTACACAGTTGTCAGTAATGAAAAATGACTCTTAGGTGTTACAGCGTTGATCTTTAGCTTCTCAGCGCCGTCCACATCATCAGCAAACCCAGACTCAAATCATCCGCGACGGAGCATAATGAGTTATTTCCCTTTGCGGCAACAATCGGGACAGTTCGGTATAACTCGGAAAACACCAGTTCGTTTCGCTTGCCGAGCTATTTTTCGCATTATATAACAAAATATTGACAGTGAAACATGCTCGTTCCTTGAAATGTTATCAAAGCCAAGCCATTTGTTTCTCAAACTCTTTTTGAATAACAAATCGAACTGTTCCATACTGATATCTCAGAGGAGACTGTTTTTCTTTAACTTCATTGTTTATACCAAGAGTGAGTGAGTGAATGAGTTAAGATTTACGCCGCTTTCAGCAATATTCCAGCAATATCACGGAGCACGGGGGGCACAAGAAATGGGCTTCACACATTGTTCAGTTGTGGGGAATCGAACCAAGGCAAACTACCCAACCGTCCCTTTTACCAAGAAGGGGTACTTGATGGATAAAGCAGATCCCCGCCCAGGGTGGCAGAAACCCCATGACATATTTAATTTTCAGTTCATCTTTGTATTTTGTGTGTGTATGTCTCACACATTTACTCAGTTTGCAATACAAATAGGCTGTATATATTGAATCTCGTATGCATTAACTATCGATATCGGTTATATTGTTGTGTGGGAAAATACATGGTCTGAAACATAACTAAATTATGCAAATTAACATAACTAAGTGAAAACTGCTCCTCCGTTTTCGACAACTTTATGATACAGCATTAAGCAGATACTGCTTTTGTACATGGGTTAGAAACTATTTATACGTCGGGTATACAGGGTTTTACCTCGCCCTACAAAACTACCAATTACTTTTTCAGAAAATATCAGGGTCCTGTAAACTTATGTCATGAGTCAGTGTAAGTTGTAGTATTTATGTTGATTACGGTTACTGTATATTTCTTGTCGAGGATTTGGAACAGTGAATGTCGTTCAGGGCGCAAGGTATATTTTCTGTCTCCGTGCTCCACATTTGTGCGTAGCAGACCTACACTCTGCGTGGCATAACACACACACACGCACGCACGCACGCACGCACGCACACACACACAACAACAACAACTGGTTTATCCCTGTCAACAGAGACCATATAATAATCTATTATATGGTCTCTGCTGTCAAGTACAAAAATATATATTCAAATGAAATTAGTCAAGCTATGTCACTTCCAGGTTTAAGTTATGCGGGTGGCAATATTATCGTCTTCAAAGAAAGACTGTCTGTGATGATACGTTTAGGTTCATTCGCAGATTAACGTCCGTAGGCCTGTGGTTCCAGACAACCATGCATGCACGTACTTTAAAACATTTTAAACGTTTATATTCTGTGTTAACAGTGTTATACTGGATTATAGTTTTCTTCAACTTTGAAAAATACCAGGTCTCCCGGCAGTCTGAAGCAACGAACATACAAGTTAGTTCCACTTATTTAGACATTCATTTTAGACATTCGTTTTTTTTTTTAGAAGTTGGCTGTGAGAGAGAGTTAAATAGATGAAGAACACACGGCTGCTGGAAAAAAAGATAACATTCACCAAATATAAAAAATCAGGTAAAACCCATGATTAAACGGTTAATAACATAATTGTTTCAGTGAATCAGAGTGGACCTGAACTATCTATGACTGTATTTGTAAACAAAATATCATTTTTCGGATTTTTCATACGTTCGATATCGATGGAGCGCATGAGCTTAGGTACGGAACTACGACTTTGTTGGGTAGCTTTTCATGTGACGTCACACCGGAAGACCAATCAGGCACGCTCTCCCCTGGCAACGTTGATAGTAACTGGATCCAAGGCGTACCACCATAATGTTCTCAGCTTCTCGCTTTGTAAATAATTAAACATGCCATAGAAAGTAACGGAAACTTTCTGAGACTTTCAACATGACAGAAGCAATGCAGGGATTACTGGCGGATGCCAAAAAAGGCAGATATTCCAGCATTCGTGACAGTTTGTCTGAAGATGGTGAGTCTACATTATTTTATTCAACACTGTAAATGGAGCACTTGCTAAGGTCAAATTACAATAACTTTTTTCTTGTTGTACATATGGTTCACTGAATGGACATAGTACCATTTCTGTTTGCATTAATTTCAGATGTTGCCAGTGTTTGGGAAAATGTATCAACATTCCTTGATAAGCAGATGTCACAACAAAAGGTAGGCCAAATATTATTGTGAAAAACAAATACATGATGGGGCCCAAGTGATGTTATATGGTCGTGTAACACACTGGTGTTGTGATTTATAATTCCGATGGTTGAATAACATGTACAAGTTCATTTTAAGGATATATGCTAAGATTACAATCAAACTATAATGTGATATTTAAATTTGTAAATTTGTAATAATGTTATAAAGAGAAATAATGGGCATTAGGTCTATGGATGTCATAAGTAACACAACATCTATTTAACACTTGGTTTCTGTGCTATGTTATTTTTCAGGGTGTACAGATACCTGTTCTGGGGACATTCACATTTTCTCAGAAGAAATTAGACATCGGAAATAACAAGTTTGTTCTGATTCAACGACCAGTATTCAACATCTCTGAGAAATTTGCCCAAACTCATGGACTACAGTTCACAAAGTATCATGTACCAGGTACGTATTTCAACTGAATGCCATAGTGATATTTTTCGCTGAGTGGTTTTAGATGCAAACTTTAACATACGTTGATCTTCAGTGTTTTATGAATAAATACTTAATAAGTTTCAGATTAATTAGCAAAACAAAAGTATTGCTAATGAAAGGTCAGCAGCAATTATATTCTAGACATATTTTTTAAAAGTAATGCCTTTTCTAATGCAATTTGTTGGATGGCTCAAGAGAGGAATTGAAAAGAACAGTGGAATATGTATGCAAAGACAAAATGAATGCACTGAAATAATGATGAGCATATTAATATTTCTTTATGCAAGTTAATAGCTCTTGATTCAACATTATCATGATACTACATGTGGACAGGTTTTGTTAAGTGAATTCTCTTCCCCATACTCTCTGTATAGCTTATTAATTGTCAATTATTTGTTGATTGGTTCTAAAATATTGACAGATATTTGTGAGGGACAGCTATGACTGCGATAAAGAGGACATGTATCTGTTGTGTAACAATGGTGTATTCACTCATTCATTCGTAGCTCTCTTATATATTATGATGAAAAAGTGGATAAAAACAAACTGATATTTGAATAAGCTATAGCATCTATGAATAATACCTGTAAAAGGGCCACAACCATTTATCCTGTTTAATTGTATTTTGCATCCTGCTTCTTGGTCCTATTGTCCATGAATATCCATAACATAGATTGGTTCAGCATGATTATGATAAATCAATATTTAATTCTCTTCTCTGTTTTCATGATGCCAAATTCTTTTGAGAAGTAAAAAGTCTCATAATTTTACAGAATTGACTTCCCTGGTTAGCTCTTGTCCATATAACTAGCACCCCTTTATTATTCCATTGTTTTTCATAGATTGGCTTTATAGCTATGATCTCAGGGATTTATCTGGAAATATAATCTAACTTTCCCTTCACATGAATTGGGAATTTTGTATTTGTTTTTAATAATTGGGAATATTTTTAAGTTTCTTAAATCAAGAGGTATTTTAACTTTCAGTACTATATTGCATTCAATGCCATAAAGTTAAAGCCTCTTCTTTTGTATTTGTGTTGTTATCAGTGAAATACAAGTCACCTCTACCAAGCCCTAGCATTACTTTTAACTGCAAAAGCTTGAGGGAATGAGTTTATGGATGTGAACATCTTTATTGTAAAGATAAAGTTGATGTCCAAACATTCACTCATTTTTGTGCATCACTTCTTAACGGCATTTAAATATTTGATCTAACAGCATGAACTGGAAAATGCTTAATTCCAATTTGGGAATTCATCCTCTAAATAACTGCCTTGACCTTGAAACTCTTTACAATATTTGCTGATTGAATCTGTTTCATCTCCTAACAGGTCAGATACCAGTTGTGCCTCTCAATTTTGCTGCTCTATCATTTGAAAGTCCATTCGATCGTGACACTGTGGAAAGTTGTGTTAGGGAAATCCTTAATGCTGTGTCCCGAGCTGTTGGTGCCAGAAGAAATGTTGAACTTACATTTACTGGAATAGGAAGATTGTCTATTCGTGAAAACAGAGTGAAGATGAAATTTTTCAAGGAGTTCGTTCGGCACATGGATGGATCAGGAAAGCTTGTCGATGCTCTGCAAAATGTAAGATATGGTTTCCTCATTGTTATTCAGTTTTCTTTAAGATGTATTTTCCAAAGAAAATACCTATATGTTTCAGGTTATGTATTTTCTTTCACTTGCAGCAAAAAAGGTTTTCATGGTGTCTCTACATTGTTTGCAAATCAATCAGGTATTTTGCCATTGACATTTACATACAAATTCTTAGGCTAAGTGTTACTTGGTAAGTTGGGCTCAAGTTAGTATTAGTATTAGCTGGTACATAAAGCATACATTTATTGTAGTATAACAACGGAAATAACACATCAGTTACAATTAACTGAATGCAAGATAATTATATAGTTATTGAAAAAGATGCTTTTGATAGGTTTGACTATGCCTTGGCTGGCAAGCATTCAGTGTGTTGGCTGAAAGACTACATGAAAGTGAAGAAGGAGGACTATTTTTATGGATATACAACTTCAGAAGTTGTATATCCATAAAAATAGTCCTCATTTACCCAACTTCTAGAATGCCAATCAAAGAAGTTATATGAAAATGATTGATTCCAATGGATATGAAGAGAGCCCAACATTTTGACAGGCTTCCCATACTAGTATATACATTTCAGTCACTAGCACAGGCAGAGTGGGTAAGTCGTACCTTAACTTTATATTTCATAACTGTAGACCTACTGTAGTTAGGGAGAAAAAATACTCAGCTTACATTAGTTGCTAGAAGGTCCTTAAAGTTATATGATGTATATGCTGATGATGCTGTAGACATTGTCCCTCGCCACGAAGGTGGAGGGCATTTGATTGGATGCAGTTCGTCCTCTGTCCACTCAATTGGTATTTGTCTCATTTGTCATGCTAGGAAATGCACACCTTGTTCATATATGCAGTACATACTACAAACTTTGAGAACTAGTGAAATATGGCTTACACTAGTCCTCTGGACCAGATTTAAAACAAGAGTAAATATTTCTGAAGCAGCTAATACACTGTATATGGTTCAAGTTCAGTTTGTTCATTATAGTTTGTTGTAATCCATGTTTACATAGTACCACATCAATAATAACTTACCTGATACAAGTCCTTTTAAAACAGAAGAATATAAAAATAAGTAGAGTAAAATATGCACATATAACATGGAAGTTATTTAAAGCAGTGATATAATGTTATGGTGTTATGTCCAAGAAGAGGTTTTACAGGTCAAACACAAAACACTTCATCCATACCCTTCTAATAGAGGAAGGAAACAGATGTCTACATCTATTAACAAACACACATTCTTTATAGAAAAGATATTATCCCTAAAATGTCTCATATCTTAAAACAATAAGTAGCTGCAATAGTATTTACTGTATATGTTGCTACCCTAGATCTGTGACACATGGCAAGTGAAATGTGTTGATTATTTGCTTCAGGTTACTTTGTTATATGTTAAAAGTAAGGAGCTATTGGACACATTTACCGTACCAGATTGGAGTTGCACAACAAGATCACATACCCAGTTTATGTCATTAGTAAGTAAAGCATTTAGAAACCTCATGCCCACTGTCTGTACATGATGACTAAAATGTCATTGTATACATGGTATAGAAGTTTCTGTTCATTCAGAATGGAGAAGGTGAGCTACAGGCCCTGGCACTTGTATTTCTTCTTCTTGTTTGTCTCAGAAGTAATTTTTTTCTATTGCTTGATTTATGCATGATCAACATTAAAGTTTATAGTTATTTTATTTTTGAAAACCTAGGTAGGCATGGTAATTTTACGGTAGATGAATGTGATGTGTCCTGCTATCAAGTCACAATTTACTTTCTTTTAGTAGGCAGAAAGTAGGCAGTTATTTGTTACCGCTTTCAGATTGCATCTGAAAAAATGCATACTTTAAGTTTAGCAAACAATCGAACTGCTAGTGAAGTTGTGTACTTATTCTGTTTTATTGAAATGTGAGTAGTTTAACTCACACATGTGCGATAATTCTGTTTAAAGTTGGGTGTTTGATTGTGGATTTGAAATAAAAATACAACAATTATGCTTATTAGAAAGACCCCATTGATGTCCATTAATATAAAGGATAACTGGGCAATTTTGAAAAGACGAGCTGGTAACTGTTTATATACTCTAAAAAACAAATATGGGAATAATTTAGATGTTTTGGGTGGTTGTCAGAAGGAAGATAACATTTGAAAGCAAGAATTTTAGCTATAACACCCCTAGAACATTGCACATGGACCATACAATTCCTCCATGCTTGTGTGTCAGGATTCAATCTTGATTCTGTCACTTTGCTCTGAGTTGTTTTTCATTATCCACAGTAATGTGTTAGCACTCTACTCTTGTTTCAAATGCAGTATTTGTGATCCTGGTAGACACAAATGTGTCTCAGTCTGCAATTTGCAGACTTTGGAACATGTTTTACAGACACAAAAGATAAATGACTGGTCCTGCACATGGTGCTTAGAGTCAACAACACAAACCCAGGACTGATTGATGAGAAACCAGGCTTAAGAAATCAAACCCAAACCAACAGTTCACTGTTCACTTGCCCCAGGCCCTGAGTTACTGACAAGACGGTTAGAAATTGTTGGCGACGTTGTGTTGTGCCACCATTAACAAATCAACACAATCTAACAAGGTGCCAATTGTGTTTTTGTCTGTTATGATAACACTCATGCCCACTATGCATGTATCATAACTGACTCCAACAGTAAGACTAGCAATGGCTAGCCATAAGTTCTGTCCTTTCTCTCATAGGGCATGACTGGGACATGATCAGAAGATATGTACCTCAATATCAAAGGCCATCTGCTGTGCTACCTGAGATGGGCCAGGCAGTGCAAGAGGAGTAGATGATACCCTCTAAAACTGTCATTTGGACATTGTTTTACACAAATGTTTGAGCAAACGATACATGGCGGATTATTGACCAAGTCATCTCAAATCTTCCAATTTTGACTGCACATTGGTATCGTCTCTCTTGTTTGCTTCCCTGCATATACACCATTACACTACCTACATCTTCTGTTGATTGTCATGTTACACCTCATCCATCTAGTTTCTTATCCACCTATTACCATCACTTGGTACCACTTCGTATTGTATTTCTGTAATCATCAGTTGTTTTAAAGGAAAAAATTGAGAGTACATTTACATGCTCCCCATACAAATATGTGATGACTGACATGACATGGAATACTTGTTCCCCAGCTAAATGATTTTCTTTGTCAATTTGAATTTATATTGTTATTGGGTGTTTTTTCATAAGACTGCTATCTTAAACCAGTCTGATTTTAACAGAGCAGAGTCACCTATATATATAATATAATCTATTTATATAGCGCTGAGTTCCAACTAGGCTGCTCACAGGCGCTTTGTTTTTCCCTTGATCATAGGATGTCAGTCTCAACGGCACTTCGTATTATCAATCTCAACTCCCCGGGGATCATACAACTCTTGCAGCCACTAGGCGCATTGAGTAAATGTGGCGTTCCCATCCTTACGAGGTACCCATTCACAGCTGGGTGGACTGGGACACATAGTCACAGTACTTTGTCCATGTTTACTACACGTTGCTGTACCTGCAACTAGGTGTTTGCATGTATTCATGTGGCAACCATCTGGTCATATACCAACGGATTCGTGGGTTCTGCGTGACTAGGGGTTGTGACAACATTGAAAGAGTCTGCGCACAAAGTTGACTCCAAGGTTTTTACACCCGGTCACGGTTATATCCCAAAACTTCCACATCCCAATACTACCATACAGTGTTAAAACAACAACTGCTCATCACCCCTTTTTAGGTAATAGGATAGCCCAGGAAGTGCACTGAACTGAAACAACAGATAATGATATATCACCTGGCTTAGCTGAGTAGAGATTTTAGTAGAGAAGAGAGCAGTTAGTTAATAAATCTGATATATTATATCTGTATATAAATCTGATATATTATATCTGTATATAATGAAACTTCTTGCATATTTCATGTAGGCACAAATTGTAATTTTTTATACCTTGAAATGTTGTTGATTACATAAATAGTATTCTGAATATACAAAACATAAATTATGCAAGTTTAACGTACATTTAATGTATATTTATATTAAAATATGTAGTTTTACAATATAACATGGCTAATGAGTTTTGGAATGTTATATTTATTGCTTAAAAGGGGACAACAAGCCAAACGTTCCTTTTAATTCTGATTGGCAAATATAAAGTATTATCAGTTTCATTTAAATAAGGAAAATTATATTGTTATGGTATGGACATTGGCATTAATTATTATGGTAGTGACACAATAACGGTAATGACATTTTGAATAATAGCCAGTTTTACATGTTTACTTTAAAAGATAAGTCATTGAAATTTGTCAGTCAGATATTTCAGAATGTTTAAGAAGTTTTGGGATGTGGGAAGTTTTTGGGAGGATACCCCGATGGGGTCCAAATGGGGCCCGGCACCTCAAGCTTCGCTGGATTACTATTGTCACATGCCTTAGCCAGCTTGCCCACCGCACCCCATATTGGTTATAATACAGGTGATTTTGTGAAAACCAAATTGGAATGTTTCAGGAGAAACTAATACTTCAAATATGCCTTTGTTTAATATGAAATATGACCTGGAAATGAAAAACAAACTTTTCCAAGGCTAGTTAACATATTGTAATTGATATGTGAAAAACAAATATCAACACACAATGGCTGCTTAGTGTTAATCTTAATTTGGGTCAAACTGACCTACACTTCTGTTTACCTCACACGTAGTTATGTAATATAATTTTGGATAAAACAGAAGGGTAATTTTAGTTTTTTAATTGCCTCTTTACATCAGGATCTTATTGGGAATTTAATATAGTATTGACATGATAAATGGTTATCCTTTATCCTTCAGTAGTTTGTCAAAGCTGAAGAATTAATTTCATCCAGAAACAAGAACACATGGTCTCTGTTTCATCTTTGAACCATTATGTTGGCTTTCCAGAATATTCTGTCGCAGATTTTAGTTTCTAGACATTTTTTAAAATCTAACTGTAGACTCTACATAATGGTTGGAGGCCATATTGAAGCACAGTGATTCACACACATAGATGTTTGTATTTGTATTTCTTATATTGTTATATGTAGGTTATGTGAGGAAAACCTTCCCTGTTTATACACACATGTTGTGTCCTGTTTGTAATTAGTTATTAATATATATTTAAGTTTGTGTTGCAAGTCGATATTGTGAAAATGAGAATTACAGAATGGTCAGCAAATGGCTTATTAAACCTTCATCAACACCACTGATGAGACCCATGTCACCATGCAAGTTCCCCAAAACAATTAGCCTAGTTATCCTTATTATTTGTGTTGGTCAGCCAACACGTTGCTGTACAATATCTGTAGTGATATATAATATACTTCCCCTTTATCCTCTTCATAGATGGAGGTAATTAAGTCTCACATAGTTACCTCTCTAAACATATACACTGCTTCACTTCATTCCGACTTGTTTCCCCTGCTTTAGGGTTAGCTTTGAAGAATCTAAGTGATGTAAGTTTTATAAAAAACACTTGAGGTCTACAGGTAGCTGATGAAGAGATGCTTCTTCATGTATAGTTTTTGGAACATTTGTGTATGTTTTAATCTTTTATGTTCCAATACAATCATCATGAATACATATAATTTCTATTTTTTTCATAAGGTAAGTTTACACTTTCTTGATTCGAAAACATGTATAAAATGATCTGAAATCCTCTATAAAGTGAATTTAAAAGCAGAGTTATGGAAATTGACCCAAGAAGAGGCAGCATTAGAAAGAAGTCACCCTGACCGTATACAGAAATATGTTACATGGTTAATTAAGTAACATCTCAAAATTCAAATATAAATGGGTTATCCCTTCTTGACTAATAGAAATAAACAAATTGTTTGCTTGTGAAACAGCTGGTAATGAAATGTACTGTTGTATGTTACAGCGGCCAGGCACTGTGGATTCAGTCATATCAGAACGGTGTTTCTCCCGACCACCCACCAGCAACACCCTTGTCCTTCCAAAGTAAGTTGTGTAACCATGGTGATGAGTTTGCGGTGGACTTTTGACACTAATCAACATGATATTCCCAACAAAGTCAACACTGGACATAGCAAACTGAAAAGAAATTCCAAAACTTTTGCCGAAAATAATGTTATACTTTGAATTGACTGAATACTTTTCAAATTTGAATCTTAATGTTTTAAATAAATTAAAGAATAACTATTTCATCCAGGGAAATGATAAATGTTTCTAAGGAAATGCCTGTGTAAAAATAACAACTTTGGGCTAAAAGTATTTTTTCTTCATGATAAAAAATTATAACAAATTAATAATCTGTTGTCCAATGTCCAAAGGATACATTCAGCAGTGATTGCATTAGGTACACAGGCCTTAGTATTTAACTGCATGTCTTATCTGGCTTAGGGTAACAATGGAATTTTTAAGTTTCTCATCAGTTTTGGGGTACAAGATACCTGAAAATATGTCTGACTGTGTGTGGAATGTCTAATACTGACAGGAATGGAGTATAATACTGGATTCCCTATAATAACCCTTGTGACAAACATATACAGGCTGACACTGGCAGTATATACTGGGCTATTGTATATATGCTTATACTGTATATGTATGCAAGCACCGTGTGGTGAATGTGTGATCCTCTGGTTTCAGTGGAGCTGGTAATCACAGGTACTATTGAATGTGGCATGCACTGCCTTCACTACTAGCCTGGCTTCAGTGTGCTGTCTCTCTGTCTGTCTGTCCCACTGTGGGCGTGGTGGTCACACTTCTAACCACAAGAATACATAGCTGTACACTAAAACAAAATGATCTTTTTTCTCCCATGTATCATATAAGTCTGGGATACATTTTTGAATGTATTTTTAAAATATTTGTACAGCTACATGTTCCTGTGCATCTTACATTACAGCACATATATACACCATTTCTCAACTCTTGCTATTGTTTCTATATATGGGCCATATGGTGTTTGAATATATGTATATGAATTAAACTGATTGTAACATGTTATTTTAGTTTATTTCAGTTAAAATCTGAATAATTTATCATATGTTTTTGAGACTGAGGCAATGGTATTTTTTATTAAAGATTTTATTCTATTCCTATCTCTCTATTTTGTGTGATGTAATTTTATCTTTTTTTCATGTTTTGTTAGATGTGTATTTTTCATGAAACAGTGATGTTTGCTTCATTTCTGTTTTTTTATTCCACAACCCATTGACATTATATAGGTGATATTTTTCGGGAAATTGCAAAATTCTGTACTGTCAATTCATAAGGACATAAGTGCATAAATGTGAAAACCATGAGAAACAATGTGATATGGTGAATAACGCAATAAGGTATTTCTAAAACATTTTCTATAGAATCACAGCATCGAACAGCAATGCCTTGATAGCAGGATGTCTTGAACCAGTAGCGGAGACCGAAGAGGGTGGGGCAGATACTCTTGGAGATGGCCCTGGACTGATTGGGGACCCTCTAGACCAGGCCCCTGACCCATTTTCTGCTGTGGAGGGTGGGGATATTCCTGCTGATGTCTTGGCAGCAGCTGTAGCAGAGGACCAGGCCATGGAGATCCAAGCTGCAGAGAACCAGGCCTTGTTTCACCCTGTAGCCATGGAAGAACCCACTGTTGGAGACATCCACACTGCTGCCGCCATCGACAACATCCTTAACGAGGGTGATGAACAACCTGCTGTCAACACAATGACTCTTGCTGAACTAGGACCAGAGACTTCTGATGGTGAGTGTTGTGACACTGTCAGATGTTTCATAGACATCAGACCTTATTGTCTTTCAGACTTAGTTGGGGGATGGGTTGGCAGGGTTGTCTATGATGCTGTAATTTGATGTGCAGAGTTTGGTCCCTTACCCATGCCAGAATCCTATGTAGGTTTGAATGTTTGAATCCCAGTTCCCCTAATCAGGATTCTTGATTTGTCTGCACCATGCTGATGTGTTTCTCCAAATGCTACTGGACTAAGGATTTTATGACCTCAGGTTTGTCTCCCACATCTTAAGCTGACATGCCCTTAATGTAACTGGAAAAAGGCCTAGGCTGCAGAAGACCAAACTCAATCACTCCGATCTTTGTAAGATTTTGTCTATACCCATAAATTAAAGTTTTTGGCATTATATGTGGTACTACATCTCTTGTGTAAGTGAAATAATCTGAAGTCTTAATTTTGCGTAAAACTGTATTATGGGTAGTTAGAGAAAGAAGTTGGCTTTGCTTGTCTAATGCTAGGGTTACACTATCCCCGATGGCCATGGCAGCCCCGTTTCGCCAAAACGTAGTGAAAAGGGGACAAAACGGGATGGACATGAGACAACGTGGGGGGACTGAATGAGCAAACGTGACAGTCCGTGATTGCCGTGGATGCTGTGCCACTGTTTTAAGCTTTTAAAATATTTGCCATGGCAGTCACAGTACTAATGAGAAACCTAGTAGGCCGTAGTAAAATGGGAGTAACACAACCAAATGTGACAGCACCTGTAGACGGCCCGTAGTGGGACGGGAGGCATGTGTATTCCCCGGCATCTCATGGTCCTTTTGACACATTCGGCCACATTTGTTTGTCATTTTGTCATGGTTGTTTCATCCTTGCTGCCCGTTTTGTCCCAGTTCTCACAGCAAGCTAGGGTGTATGGTAGCTGATTCTTCCTGTTCTGTCACGACACATCCAGGTGTGTGACAGTTTACAGGGCCAACAAGATACAGCACCTTGCGTTCAGCTACGGTCTGATTTGGTGCAACTGATCTGGGAGAGAGTACAAACAGCAGGCCAGGCAGGACTTGATGTATTGCCCCAGCAAACCTTCTTTATCTTTGGGGTTCATGGTGTTCTTGCCCCCTCAGGATACAATGGCTGCTGTTGCTTGGGAGGCTTTATTTTTATACAGTGGGCACAAATGTGCTCCAAAGCTGGCCAGCGTCCACGTTTTATCCATAGAAAGTCTTGACAGAAGGTGCAAAACGTGTCAAAACCTTGTTCAAAACGTGGGGGGAACCCATCAGAACGCGACAGGCCAGGAGGAATCGTAATGGCATCTGTAGTGGACTGCGGGCTGAACTGTAGTGCACCTTTGAGCTGCCAGGACTCAGCAGCCCGTTTTCCGCCCATCGCGGATACCGTGATAGACCATGAGAAAAATTAGTAGGACCTTACAAAAAAATTGCAAATATCCCACGGCACACTATGTTTTGCCGTGGGAACAGTGTTAAGCATAAAAGGGCAAGGTGGAGCAGATTGTCACACGCCCAAGTTCCATTCAAGTTTGAACCCTTATTCAAATTCTTATCTCCCTTCTCCTTCGACGGTCAAGTGGAAACCTTGAATCCTGTTCAAATCACTCCATACAATCGAAGTTACCTACTCCCTTATTCCCGCCAAAACCGGTCCCACGTGACCCGAGACTAGCTCTTATCACTCTCTCCTTCATCGCCCTCGCCGACGGTCAGGCGGTCCTTACGGGTCCTATTTGCGGCAGATATCCTTTCATTTCGACCTTATAACTTAAATTTTGTCCGCAGATTGTATTTAGATCCATATTAGTTGTATCCATATGTATATTATTATGTAAAATTCTACTAAAGTGAGGTATTTTCACTTCGTTGCAGGTGAGGTATTGTTCAATGGTGGCATGTCAGCAATGCAGATTGAGGCCATCCTGTTTGCTCCTCTTGTTGCCTTCAGACTTGTTTTTTTGATTCACGGTGCCAATATTGCATTAATTTATCAACACAACCATTTACTAAATATTTATCAGCCTGCTTATGCAGGACTATAGATAAACAACATCGTGTAAACAAATCAGCGGGAAGGGGTAGTTCTCTTACAACTGGTACTAAAATGTCACAACACAATAAGGAGAATTTCCCAGGGATTTCTTCCGTTTCTGTCGCGCAGTCTACTTCCAAGAGAAAATCACCTCCGACAGAGGAGACTGAACTACAATGCCTAGCGAGGAAGAAACGATCGTCTAGATTGTCTGCAAAATCTACAACTACGAGATCTACATCGTCTATATCTACTAGATCATCAGATACACCTATGACATTTGAGAATGCCATATCTCGACTCGACAGATCACCACCAGTTTCAGAACTGCAGATCATCTTGACTTCATCTCAGACTACATCTACTAGTACTCCAAGAGAGTTAGCGAACTCAGGTTCGCAACAACATACGTCAAAATCATCATCGTCGTCGAGGGAGAAACATTCATCCCAGCGTAGATCATCGAATACTACAGGGTTTGCGAACCCTCCCAGCACATCATCAGGGGTTACAAACCCTTCTACGACATCAGGGTTCGGAAACCCTTCTACAGACAATCAGAATAGATCATCTCAAACATCACAGACTACGTCTACTGATCATTTAACCATGAAAACTACGTCAAATCAGACAACTGTTGCACTACAAACAGAAAGAGATTTTTCACCTGATGGGTGTGTGTGTGTGTGTGTGTGTGTGTGTGTGTGTGTGTCGCGAACCCTCAACAACAGAGAGTTTCAACGCATCAGCAGAGAGATATAAATCAACCTTTCGCGAACCCGACTGGTTCAACGAATACACCGGTAGATCAGGATTTTGTAGCCAGTATTACATGCCAAGTAGTTTTGGCTATGCAACAACGTTCATCATCAGATAATCAACAGACGATTACACAGGCTACAAATGAAAGTACTCAGGAGGAGACACCCACTTCAGAAACGAGTTTACAAGAATCGGAGGAATCTACAATATGATGCAGAAATATTATCTTGGATAACAGATGGGTTACCAATTGCTTCACCAACACACAAGGAGAATTCATCGGAGACTTATCGTATTATAGATGAGGATCTTGAGACATTAACTATACCACCTATTAAACCTATCTCACAGGTTTCATCGAACCTCAAGTTAGCATTCGCGAATGCTACCAGACATCATGGTCAACATACACCATCAACTCAAGGCGAGACCACCTCTTACCATTATTCCACAAATACATCATTATTCAGACCAACAATGAATCAAGCTATCAGACGCCATCAACTCACTACTGACAAAGAATGCAGTAGAGATTATAGAAGAAAACAGTCTCACACCAGGATTTTATTCCCCGATATTTCTAGTACCCAAAAAGAACTCCATAGAGAAGTTCCGTCTCATATACAATATGAAACGATTCAACCTAGACTTTCTACTGAAACCACAGAAGTTCAAGATGCTTCATCTACCTCAACTGAGACACTTAATAAGACCCAATGAGTATCTAGCCAGCATAGATTTACAGGATGCGTACCTACACATCCCCATACATCCAGAATCAAGGAAATATCTACGATTCCTATATCAAGGGAAGCACTATCAATGGAAAGTACTCCTCTTTGGAATTTCGTCGGCCGTGGCTATTTACACGTGTCACCAAACCAATTGTGGCATTTCTACATCAGAGAGAGGTTCGCAATACCTTTTATCTGGACGACGGCATTCAGGCACATCAGTCAGCAAATCAACTCAAACATCAGTTAGAATTGACAATTCAACTACTAACTCAACTAGGATGGTTAGTCAACAGGAGGAAATCAGAACTATGTCCGTCAGAGGAATTACAATTCCTGGGAATCAAGTTTCTCACCAGTGAAACTCGAATTGTACTCCCACAGGTACGATGGGAGAACATACAGAAATGTCTACACACTGCCTTGAACGAACCTCTTCTGATAAGAGAGTGGCAGAGATTATTGGGCCTCCTAATGTCAGCTCAATCCTAACTCGCAGAGGAAGGTTACAACTACGTCCAATTCAGCGGTTCTTAATACCACATCTGGAAAATCTACAACCCATAAGCATTCCTCAACACTTGAAGGAATACCTAATGTGGTGGACAAACAAGTTGAATGTTTGCAATTAACTTATTTGAAAGAACCGGTATACAGACTACATCTGTATGTAGACGCATCCCTACAAGGATGGGGAGCCAACTTCAACTACAAAGTCTCCTCAGGAGTTTGGTCACCAATCGAAAAGAAATAACACATAAATCAACTAGAACTCAAGGCAGTTATAGAGGCGAGTCAACATTGAGCGCATGTACTCAGGGATCAAGTTCTCATGATACACACAGACAACTTAACAGTAGCGTTTTATATAAACCTACAAGGATCAACAAAGTCAGCGCCTCTACTAAGACTAACATTTCAACTATTCAAGGTAGTAGACAACCTCAATCTGTGGATAAGAGTTTGTCACATTCGGGAGCGAAAAACGTCCTAGCAGACGCCTATCCAGACCGATGAGACCATCACCTACGGAATGGAAATTACACCCGGAAGCATTTCTACTGATAACGAGAGAACATGGTTGCCCTTTCATAGACCTCTTTGCAACACAATTCAATCATCAGATTGTAACGTTTGTCTCGCCAGTACCAGATCCACAAGCATGGGCGACAGCCCTCGCCATATCATGGGAAGGTCTAAATGCATACGCATTTCCTCCACCGATACTACTACCACAAGTTCTACACAAGATTGCTCAGACCAAAATCCTACAAATGATTTTGGTCGAGCCTTACTGGCCAGCGAGAACATGGTTTCCAGACCTAAAAAGCTTATGGGGAGCCAATACTAAAACTTCCAGATTGGCCAAACCTACTGATTCATCCTCACACAAAACAACTGCACAGCAATCCAACAAATCTCAGACTACACGTATGGAGTGTATCGCACTGTTTGAAGAAAAGAGGTTATTCCATGAGAGCTGCTAAGGCAGTTACAATGGCCTTAAGACGTTCAACATGTAATCTGTATGATGATAAATGGAGGAATTTTGATCAATTTGCAATTGCTACAAGCAAACGATTCACGGCAGCGGAAGCAACACATCCGCAAGTAGCAGAATATCTTTGCCATCTCAGATCAACCAAACATTTGAAAGGATCAACACTTTCAACATACTTCAGCAGCAATCAGTTCGGTGATTACCATGAACTCGGGAGTTAAACTCACCAAAGTTCCCGAACTAGTAGCATTATTGAGATTGTTTAAACTAGAGGATCAACACTGGAAATTTAGAGCTCCAGCATGGGACCTCAATATAGTGCTACAACATCTCACAAGTGAGGATTATGAGCCTTTACAAGACGCAACTTTTGAGTTACTTACTCAAAAAACGATATTTCTCCTTGCCTTAGCTACAGCAGCTAGAATCTTGGAAATACATGCTCTTGACTTCGCACGAACGAGGTTCGACACAGGAGAACATGCAGCAGTCCATTTAGGATTGAGATGGGATTTCATAGCAAAGAATCAACTTCCTGGTCAACCAGATCGTCAATTTCATCGGAAATCTATAAGATTTACTTCTCTTAATCAATTAAGAGTAGGTGGTCCCCCAATATGATAAATTCACAAGGGAAGGCAACAGGCAACAGGATGTTACAGGGTAGCGTTCGGACTATATATAGACAGCCACAGTGAATCCTGTTAGGTGGCTGACCCACCACCTATTCCGTCGGATTTGATAAGCAATAATCATGAGTCAGGATTAGGAAAAATATGTAATTTTTATGATAAAATTATTATTTTTATACTTATCCTGACTCATGAGGTAAACCCTCCCGACTGTCCCCACTCTCAGCATTACGGTTCTTCACTGTAAGTTGCAATGCGGGCATATTACGGAGAGAGTGATAAGAGCTAGGCTTAGGTCACGTGGGACTGGTTTTGGGCGGGAATAAGGGAGGTAACTCGGGGTGAGTGATTGTACAGATGCTTCAGTGAATTTGAATAGGATTCAAGGTTTCCACTTGACCATTGAAGGAGAAGGGAGATAAGCAATAATCATGAGTCAGCATAAGTATAAAAATAATAATTTTATCATAAAAATTACATTTCTAGTGGTCCAAATCTTTTAGGATGAGGTTGATCAGATTTATTTGAAAAATAATCTTGAAATATATTTTGAAGTACTAAATGTTTTTGCAAAACTGGTACTAAGCATGTTCTGAACAAATGATGTTTGACTTCCAAGGTATATAACAAAACAGCCCTGTGAGATTACAAAGAACTGATAGTGCTGCATTTTGTTCTTGTGTTGTCAGTGGCAGGAGGCTTGTTGATAATGTTTAGATCACAAGACACATCAGCCATTACCCATCTCTCTGATCAATACAATATGCTGGAAATGCCACCCTAGCTGCAAATGCATGTATCAATATGCAATACACAATGCCTTTCAGCCATGGGAACTTTCACAAATTACTCTTGTCAGTGGGGCAAACAAAGAACATGATTTAGACTACCAAGTTACAGTTGTCAGACTTCCATATTTGTGAAAACCTTGTTGGTTGAATGGGTCAATCACTGAATTTGTGCAGGGGAATTTTTCCTTACTCTGAAAGTGTGGGTTCGAACATGGGATGGGGCTCAACAAAAAGAAAGTACTAGAATTTGTACTTTACATAGAAAGTGTATTCACAAATATAACCTTGGTTACTTGTACATTATCTCTCTGATATTTTTTCACACGATTTCATTGATCTGATAACATGATTATTAGTATTATGTAAATCAGTCCATATATTCACACCTCAGATACAGCAACAGCAGGTATTTCCACCCGATCAGAGTTCTATACATTACGTAATGGACAACAGTAATGAGGAGACTGTATTGCGTCATGCTGTTGTTACCATCTCATGAATAACTGATTGCTGTATTCAGAATGAGAACATATTGTTAAGAAAATATGACATAATAAATACAATAGAAGCCTGTTACCTATATGTTATCCTCCATCACTACACGACTGCCACTTTACATCGATCGATTAACGACTGTGGCACTACCTGTCTCAGACTCGCAGGACAGTAGGAAACAGTGAAGTAGAGCATCAGCCATCACTAACCAGTTCAGGTATTGGTGTTTTTTTGTGATCAATGATTCATGCATGTCTTCCTCGGGATTCAATGAGAACATACTGCTAATTAAATATTAATGAATTTTGTACGAGAACATAACGAGATTACTGCTGTTGTCATAGTATCTGCTATGTTTGTTGGCATCGTGGGTGACTGATGATAGCTAGCTGAGGGAAAGGAAGCGACCAGTAACTTTCTGTCTTGTTAATGTTAGATAACTATGGCTTTCAATATAACAAGTAAGTACCAGTTAGATGTCTGTTGTGTGTAAGATGAGAGGGTCTAATGTCATGTTAGAATGTTTAAATTCCTTCCATTATTTTTTGGATATGAAGCGATGATTTATGACTTGTGTCAAATGTTCTTAGTGTTATGGTTTTACATTAAGAGAGCCACACATTATTGAAACAGGTAAATAAAGAGTGTCATTCAACATTTTGTAGATGACAGTCATGAATGATGTCTGTTATGAGCTGATTTTAAAACGAGATGATTTAACTTTTATCTATTTTGGGTAATGTTTTACCCCTATTCCAGATTGATAGGTTAGTGACTGTACAGAGTTCCAAAATATGATTTACCAGGGATCATTTGTTTGATTCTACAGCTTCTGAATCTTAGGATCCACACAGTCTCTATTTTTCACATGACAGGTTTGACAAAGATCTTTTGGTATTCATGCTTAGTGTTGAACTGTTTTCATGATGCCACCTTTTATCAAGGTCATAGTTTGGTGTTACAAACCTTCATGCCATAAAGCCCACTAAAACCATGGATACACTCTTGACATTTTGTTACTGATTACTGACAATGTTTACTGACTTTATTCGGTTACTAATACCAGAGTCACTTAAGTCCATATGTCCTTTCACATAGTGAAATGTTTTTGAATTAATAATAACAAACTGCAAGTTCTGTTATGAATTTGACCCACAAATTGTTTTCTCTTTCCAAGAGGAAAGGAGCTGACCCTAAGTTTTAAGTTTAGTTGGACACCCTGAGAACTAAGATTGACAGTTTAAGTGTTGGTGGACACCCTTAGAACCAAGATAAACAGTTAAGTGTTGGTGGACGCTCTGAGAACCAAGATAAACAGTTAAGTGTTGGTGGACACCTTGAGAAGCCAGTGTAACAGTTAAGTGTTGGTGGACACCCTGAGAACCCAATGTAACAGTTAAGTGTTGGTTGACACCCTGAGAACCCAATGTAACAGTTAAGTGTTGGTGGACACCCTGAGAACCAAGATAAACAGTTAAGTGTTGGTGGACACCCTGAGAAGCCAATGTAACAGTTAAGTGTTGTTGGACACCCTGAGAACCCAATGTAACAGTTAAGTGTTGGTGGACACCCTGAGAACCCAATGTAACAGTTAAGTGTTGGTGGACACCCTGAGAACCCAGTGTAACAGTTAAGTGTTGGTGGACACCCTGAGAACCAAGATAAACAGTTAAGTGTTGGTGGACACCCTGAGAACCCAGTTTAACAGTTAAGTGTTGGTGGACACCCTGAGAACCCAATGTAACAGTTAAGTGTTGGTGGACACCCTGAGAACCAAGATAAACAGTTAAGTGTTGGTGAACACCCTGAGAAGCCAGTGTAACAGTTAAGTGTTGTTGGACACCCTGATAACAGAATTTAGATTAACAGTTAAGTGTTGTTGGACACCCTGAGAACCCAATGTAAAAGTAAAGTGTTGGTGGACACCCTGAAAACCATGATTAACAATTTAAGTGTTGGTGGACACCCTGAGAGTGAGTGAGTGAGTTTAGATTTAAGCCGCACTCAGCAATATTCCAGCGGCAGTCTGTAAATAATCGAGTCTGGACCACACAATCCAGTGATCAACAGCATGAGCATCGATCATGACCACCCGATCCCGTTAAGTCGCCTTTTACGACAAGTATGGGTTACTGAAGGTACATTCTAAACCCAGACCCTGAGAACTCAGTGTAATAGTTAAGTGTTGGTGGACACCCCGAGAACTGTTAAGTGTTTGTGAACACCCTGGTAACCCAGTTGGGTCAGGGTTGAGATAACAAGATCCAACATTTGCTCATCTTCGATATTCCAGTATCATTGACATGTAGGTAAGGCTTGGCAGGATCAATGTGTTGCATGTGCTGTTTCTAAGCAATGTTGAGTTTATATTGATTTTGATGTAGCTACAATAAAAACTGGACTCATTACAGATACTGGTTCCATACAGTCTATTAATTTTTAGTTCAATAAGATTTTGCTAGTGTATTGTTCTGAAAGCTGTGTCCTTGCAGTAAAGGATCATGAAGAGACAGAGATGTTTTTAAAGCTGGGTAGCCAGATTGGTAGGTGGAAAAGGGTGGAACAGAAATTAAGGGCCTATACTGGCAACATATTTGTGTGGTAAATAAATGCTTTGGAAAATGAGGAAATTCTAATTAATTAATGCACCATGTTTTGTTTGAGTAAATCTCAGGGACAACCTGTGTTTTGTATTATATTAGTCCTATTAGCTACTTACAAAAGTTGAATAACTACAAATCTTCTTGTGCTCCTGGAATATTATTAAATATCAATACCTAGGAATCAAAATATATTGTTATTAAAGTCTTTGATAGGAAGTTAACAGTTTGAAGGACATAAATGTATGACAAGTATTTATGGATGACAACTTCTTGTATTAACTACATTTCAGAGCTGATTTGAAAATGCCATCTATTTAAGTTGTTTATTGTTAAAACACAGTAATTGATTTTCCCCATTTGATGGATATTGGTAAACAACCACGGCTATAGCTTGTTGCTGCTTTGATCTTATCATGCAGCTTTCCCTGGCAACCTAGCTGATGTTAGTTGTAACTGAAGACAGTTACCTGCCGTGTGGGAGTGTTGACATAATGGCCTGGCATGACATGCTTCGTCAACTCTCTTCACATCTCTCTTGGGTGCCAGAACCTGATGGCAACAAATCAATGGTGCCTTCAATGGCCCAGTCTGTGTACTGGGACACAGTTGTCATATACACATTGTTGAAATATCCTGAATATGTGATGCTTCATATTCTTCTTTGAGAGTCAGGACATACATAAGTAATCAGTATGTACACTGTACTTGCAATCATTAAAGACCTCAAATTGTTTGGCAAGTTTAGATATATATTGTTTTACAATGATAATTTTATGTAGGAAAGAAATGTCAGTATATAACAAGTTTTCCTGCACAAGTAGTGTAAAAATATTGGATTTTATTCTCAAGGGCACTCTAAACACAGTGGTTAGCTAAAAATAGCTTCTCAGGAAAGAACTGTCAAAGTTTCACTACAAAGAGAAAAAAGAACACCGGGTAAATGTGCTATTCTGTTGTATAAGTGTTTAGGTGGGTGATGATGGGTGTGTTCAAACTCTTTCATTATCAGAATACACTAAACTGACCAAGAACCATGTAAGATATTTATCTCCGTTTAACTGAGCTTGCACCTTTAACTGTTACGGAGTTTGGAAATACATCAATATGATGTCATTATGAATTGTGATTGCGTGACAATGGACGACTTCCAGTTTTCCATATGAATGCTAGATGAAATCCATTTCCGATTCAAAACTTGTATGCAAAAACTTGTCTTGATTTGGAAATGGAAAATCATTTTGAGTTTGTCATTAGGCTGTATCTTCTCAATGGACCAGGAACCCATTGTGTTTAGGATATGGATTTCTACAACAAGTGTACTCCTTTGTGTGGTTGAAATGCAACTGTTTAGGTAGAAAATTGAATATGCAAATGTTTTATGAACAATGAAAAGAGAACATAACCCACCCTTCACTGTCTGATGTGGATCAGCACGTTCGAATGAATTAAATTATCTCTTAATCACGGTGTGTGCCTCATTGGAACTTTATGCAATATTGCTCAGCCAGACTTTCCATGTTAGTTATAATCACAATTTCAACTTGTCATGATATTGTGTTTAAAATGCATGGAGTGCTAAAGTATCATCTTTAACACTCTGTTTTAATCTAGCACCCCAGAAGCCTATAGGTCCTGTACGATCGATGTCACGGATGACAATGCCGCTGCCCAAGGCTAGTGGAGTGTGTCTACTGGATGATCTACAAATAGGGTCAGCTAGGCCCTCTCAACCGCCAACACCACCAAACCTCACCAAGTTCTCGCCTGCTCCACTACAGGATGTGTAAGTAGAACTTGAACAATCCATGACACAATATCTTAGTAATAAGATCTCTGTAGATCTCTTCTGTTACATTGTGGTGATCAAGAAAAATGGTTTTCGAGTAGTGAAAAAAACAGAAAGAAAAAGAAATGTTTCTCATCTTAAACCTAGCAGGTAAATATCGGGGGTATATAGTTGTACCAAGGAATTCTGTTTGTCCATCCGAGGACATTTTGGTTTAACCAATTACTTGAAAACCTTTGGTTGGATTGTTTTCCAGTTTGGAGACCACATTTGTCTAAAGAAGAGGTGCAGTGTTAATTTTGATTATGACATCTTAATTGTTTTAAAGAATTCCCCACAAATGAATTTTGCATGATGTATATCACTAGCATTGCAATATCCTGATCTGATGTCTGTTACATTGGACATTAAGTTGAAATACTGTTCAAAGTGCACTGAAAGTGAATTCACTCACTCATTCTTTCCCCAACACTGCAGGTTTTCACCTCAGCCTCCAGTGATGGACAAGCCAATGTCTGCTGGTCACTTAGCTCCCCTGGAGAGAGGGGTCACTTTTGACCAGACCGCCATGGACCGTGCACGCCAACACAGTGCAAGTTGTGGCCATCCGCATGCTGGCCAGGAGCTGTGTTATTTGTGTCATCAGCGGGCTCGACGCAACGTCCCTGTGTCGTTTGTGGAGGAGCGTCGGCGTCGGGAGGTGGAGGAGGACAGATTGCTGCAGCAGTACCAGGCCATGAAGGATGCAGAACAAACCATCACAGAACATGTCAGTATAACTAAAGTTCAGTGCTAGGACCCCCAGTAGGAATCCAGGGTTATAGAACTGGTTCCCACTTACCTATGTTGGTCATAAATGGCGACTGTGTGGATTGGGTGGTCGGGCTCTGTGATTTAGTTGATCGTGCGTCATCACACCACGACAGTTAGGGATCATTCCTCATAGGTATCAGTCACTAGATTGTCTGGTTCAGGCATTAAAACTCCCCAAAACAAACAAGATAAGAAAAGAGGTCAAGGCATCTTTGTCATAACCCAATGTTAAAAATAAAAAATCTAGGGATGTTTTGGGCCAGTTTTGGCTTCTATTCTCTTTGTACATTTTCTGGCTCAGATGCATAATGGCTGCTGAGTGCACTGAAACTGTTTCTTTTCATGTTTGGAATCCTATTCCAGGAGAACAACTTGTCTAAGAGACAGGACCTTCAGAAAATGGCCGCCTTCAATCTTGGAGTAGCAGATGCTACTATTCAAAAGAAGAAGGCCAGAGACACAGATTTCCAGGTGAGTGTCCCTCATCTGCTAGTGTGTGGAACAAAAGAAATGATTGAAATGAAACTTCGAGAAAACCTCTTCCAGAAAGCGTGTCTGGTGTGAGTAAGGTCAGACACAGTGTTATATGCACCACAAGGTAATGTCAGTGTTCTACTGTCAGTATTCCACATTAGAACTGATTGTAAGAAGGAACTGAACATATCAGGTGGTCAGGCTTAGCAATGTGGTTCACTGTGTGTAATTGTACCCTGACTGGATTAATTTTTGCTCATCGTCATCGAAAATGTACAGACTGACTTGATTATTTAGAGTCACTAAGCTGGAGTAATGCTGAGTACAGCATTAAAACAAAAAAGAAAAACAGAACAAAACTTATGTTACCTGTGTGTTATTTTCCTGTCAGTTAAACAATTAATTCCCTCCACAGAGATCCTACATATTCCAACGAAGACCTCTGACGCCACCACGGTTCCCCAAGCAGCAGGGGTACTTCAAAGATTTGGCCTCGCAGGTAACAACACTTATTGTTCACAGGCCTCATGGCCAGTACTACATTCAAAAGGAGTCAACTACTGGTTTTCTGCACAGGTTCAGCTGAGTTCTACCTAGGTTTCTGTGATGTTAGAGGATGTTTTCCATGTTGAAATGCAAAGGTTAACACAGAAATGGCTTTTTGTAGAAGTAACTTGTGAAATGAGTGAATGATGACACACGGTCAATGAGTAATTAACAAATTATATTTTTGATTTGCAATCACAAAAGGCAGTAGGAATGGTCAAATGTTGATACAGTCTGCTACAGTCTTGTATTCCTGGGATGAAGTTGCTAAACGGCTGAAATTTTGGCATGATTGTACATCGAGGTAGAAGGGATACATATTTACAAGTATCCACGTACATTTTGTTATGAAACAGAACAGAGGAGTAAGCATGCATGTACAAGGATAAGCATCAATGGTAGATCATTACCATCTTGGATAGAGGCCTATGGAGAAGTCATTGTGTAGGTAAAGAAACACTAATACCATAGGTCACTGTTCTGTGGTTGATTCTTTTAAGTGCCATTCTGTTGTTGGGTTGCCCTTGTGTAAATAATGCCCCCCTTACAGATGTACTGTGGTTGCCTGTGTTGTACTGTGGAAATATTCTATTAGATCAGCCCATCATAGTAAGGGAGGTTGAGCTGTTCTGATAGATTCTAGATTCAATAGTATGCTGTCATAAGAATCAAAGTGACAAGGGAACCAACTTTTTCCAGGTTGATATGAAGGAACAGACCAAACAGAAGCGTAATGCAGATGAGGCCTTCTTTGAGAGACTGGAACAGGTGCAGCTGGCGGAGGAGTGAGTACCATGAATTTTTCAGTAATGCTTCAATCATTTTAACAGTACTTCCACAATTCAAAGTTACTGCCACCATTTCAACAATATATTTGGGTGCGGAGATAGAGACATTATGGCCATACTGATATATATTAAATACCAAAACATGAAAGGTTTTCAAGGCCTCATTCAAGAGCACATATATGTAGTTAACACTACAGGATTTCCTGGATACAATGTCTTGAAGAACGTGAAAATAATCCTTGGTCTGCCTGTAAGACCATTGTAATGTGTATTTAGAATTGTGTACAGTGTGTACAGTGTACATGCTGTGTTGTAATGTGAAGGTAGAAGTCAATGCAGTGTTTATGTTTATAACACTGCTATGTTGTAGTGTGCAAGGTGAAGTGTATAAAGTTTTCATGTATACCTTCTATGTTGCAGTCTGGCAGCACAAAGGGAGCAGTACTTGAAAGACAAATATGATCAGACCGATGTCTACAAGAAGGCTCTTGAGTCACAGGTACCATGACATGTCACATCTGTTCACCATCATTCTATATGTCAGTCTCCTGACAAATGGCATCTGTTGTCCAAAATGTCTACTTTGCACTTGTGGGGAATCCATGACAAAATATCGTGTGATGATTGTAAACCAGATTTGTGTGAGACCCCAAGCTTTCATCTGTTTAAAACCATTGTCTGGATCGGATCACTTGATGACATATTAACATTGTAAATTGGAGAGTTTGGTTTTAAGGATGTCATCGATCTGTTATAGTCATGGATCTTATTGATATGTCATCGCTAGTTGAAGATGTTTATCAGAATATCATTGGTTTGTATTGTTCAGGTTTGATTATTTCCAAGCTGCCCCCATACAGCTGGAATACTGACAATATGTTGAGTGAGTGAGTGAGTTTTAGTTTTACGTGCTTTTAGCAATATTAGCTATAATCACGGTACCATCCAATATGTTTGCAGGCATCAATGTATATTGTCCTCTCTAGTGCTCCAAGCTGCCCCCATACAGCTGGAATATTGACAGTATAACAAGTACCATCCAATATGTTGAACACAATGCAGGCATCAATGTAGCAGTGTCATCTCTAGTTTACCACCTCTATTGATGTATGTCCAAGGGTTTGTTACACAAAACTGTCGCAGTGCTCCAATACTTTAACATATTGTTATTGCACTATGGTCACTTTGTGAAATATTGGACCACCAATTAATTTTGACCTTGATGTGTCAATAGAAGTGATGGATGCTTTGGCCTATATCATCACATAAACATATCATTCATTGCCTCGAGACTCCAACTGTATTAATACCAGGATAGCTTTGCAACTGTCACATACCTTAACCTTCCTGTTGCTTCAGCCTGATTAAACTTTAGGAACTAAGCTAGAATTTCAAGGCTCTATTATAGCGACACCAGTTGTTATTACAAGTTGTGTAGCTTCTATGTCCCTCCTACGGACATCGGATTCCCGCTCTCACATAACTTGCATTTGCTTGAAACAATATTGTGGCACCCTGTCAAGATCTGATCAGTAATCAAGAACTATATTGTAATAAAACAGGTTTTACTTCATGAAGTGCATCAGATCCCCTTGGTTAAAAACTTTGCTTTGCAAATCCTGTAATCTACCAAAATCTGTACGGCAGGTTTGGTAACCAACCGAATGTCAGTTTTATTGTGATTTTTCATTGGACTATGCTGAGGCTCATTAGGCCAAAACATCACTCAGACGTTCCAGCCTAGTTTAGCAAGTGTAGAAACTGAGCTTTTATTGTCACTTCCTTTCCTTGTCTGGGGAAGATGGCCTGATTGTTGTTGTGCTTTGCTTATATCTATTTGCCTGTTTGTGTGCTGCTAGATACACCTTCGGGACAGATTCCGCAAACCTGATGGTCTTCTCCGCTCACCAGAGTATCCTACATCACGCTGTCCACTCTTCACTCCTGATCTCACTTACTCTCACCTCACTGTTCCCCGGCCTTATGTGCTGCGCCCATTTGCAGAGAAAAATACAGCCATTGATTGTGCCTCTCCATTCACACTGCCTAGGGTACTCTCACTGGGAACAGGATGTTAATCCTACTTGCGTATACTTAACTTCAACCATCACTTGTTATCTTCCCAGTATCTTATGGCTGTCACATACCTGGTATTCTTAATTAATGATTTTCTCTCAGTATTCCTTATTCTAGCTCATTCTTCAACAGAACTTTTTGTGTCTTACATCTTTATATGTAAGTGAATTTTCCTTGATATCAAAACTGAGGTATGAGATTTAAAGTTAGTTGGCTAATTTGTTTCAAACATAAGAAAGAGTTTTGTTTAGTTCAAATTTGGCTGGTTTTGATAACATTAAGGTGTTTGAAGTTAAGTATACTAGCCCTGAAGCAGTTTCTCTTTAACACTAATTCTAATCTTTGGATGTTCTATGTGCATTTAACTTCTAACTTCAACGTCATTTTCTTGTACTGTTTCTTGCCTTTTCTTTGTGATATAATCTTTCTAGTCAACCTATCTCTACTCTGATCTGTTTCTCAACCATTGCTTTTTGCTTGTTGTCAAAAATATTGCACCTGAAGTACCTCTGTGTGTTTCACATACCAACATGGCTTCATATTGCAGCTTCGTTTCAAGCCTGTCCCAATGCCCAGCTGTGAGCCAGACTCGGAGGTGTTCGGCAAGAATGACATGAACAATGAGAAGATGGCAGAGAGACGACAACGGGCACATAACCTGTTCCGAGAACAGCAGGATTTTGTGTCACAGAAGAAGCGAGACATCATCTTGAAACGTCTGTCGAGAGCAGAAGGAAGAGGAGGAGACTCTCAGTCGGACCAGGAAGGAGTGAGTGATTCATATTATTATGTGAAACAAATTTAGCTTGTCCTGGCTTGGTGTTTGTAATCCTAGGAAAAAATATAAGCTTACCTGCAAAATAATCATTTCCCCTTTGGACTGAACTATTGATTGTTTTACTACCATTGTTCCTGTTCTCAATACAGTATATCATTTTAGAGACTGGCCATGTGATGTTCTAAAGAGGGGTGGGGGGTGGGTGAAATTATAAACTGTTTCAGAAAATGCTTGAATAAAATAATCATGCTTTGTACTGTTGATTAAGAAATAACTGCCAGCCATTCAAAGGACATAAGACCAGTGAAGATCTGGGTTAGAATTGATCTTCAGTAACCGATGCTTGTTGTAAGAAGGGATTAGCGGGATTGGGTCATCAGGGTGGCTGACTACAATTGTATCCCAGTTGCGGAGATTGATGCTCATGCTGTTGATCACTGGATTGTCTGGTCCACAATGTGTGGTTTTGTATGTAGAGCTGAAAATCTATAAAATCTCCATACAAAACCCAATCCCCCAAGAATGTCAAATGGTTGGTCCCTAAGATGATGTTACTTCATGGTCCTGAAAAACATCCTTCTTAACTGTCTGGTGTCAATTATTAGCAAAACCTTTGTCATGAAAAATCATCATAAATCTTTTTCATTGTCCCCAAGATTCCCTATGTGTTGAAAACTTTTCCTGCAGTTGTATTGTAGCTACAGGTATAATTCTCTTTTCCCCCTTTTACCAGATTGCTCGATGACAGGGCCAACCGTCACCACATGCGCTTTTTGTCTCGTCGCCGACTGGAAGACGATTGGTCTAAATCTGCTGACATGAAACGAGGAAGGGAGTTGGAGGATCGGCTTCGATCTCTCAGTCCTGGGATACTGGTGCACGAGCAGTGTGACAAGTACCACCGCTGTCGTCAGTGTCTGCGCCAACTTCGCAACTGTGGCGAGTCAAACATCTGGAGCGAGTCACGATACATTCCTGGATCAAGACTCATGGTTTAAACATGGCCGATGGAATGATTATCCCTAGTCTTTGCCTAGGTCTTGATAAGTTTCGTACCATCTAGCGATTACACCACTTCTGAAGGTCTTAAGAATATTTTGTCTTATATCCATCGGCTTTGTTTTAGGTCTGAACGAAAAAAATTTTATACTGGTATTTACAAGAAGTGATTTGTAAATGACATGGAATGGTATACAATTTGCTGCAATGATGTTTGATATATTTGATCATTTGGTATGGATAATTATTTTTGATGCCTTGTCCAGTGGTGTTAATTGTTAGATGTTTTCATTGTTCAAGGCCTGTCAACAGGTTGTGATACATATACTAGTTTGTGATGCCTTGATGTTGTTGTTTGTAAAAGGGCAGAAACCATTTTACCTGCCTGCTATAAAACAAACCATCTGTGATAACAGTATTATTTATAATCATATTGCATTCATGAACCTGTCCTGTGTTCTATGTAGCTATTTTAGATAACGTTTTAACATTTTGTACATGTTGTAATACTTCTACATTTATTTGCTGTGATACATTTTATGTACATACATGATCAGTTACACTTCTAAGTACACTGGATATCTATTGGTTTGTATGATGTATTTTCATTTTTTTATAAGTTTTTAAGTGATGGATGGATTCTTGTCCAGTCCAAGCTTAATTGTCCTTAATAACCCCTCATAAAAGAGGCTGAGACAAACATTGGTACTCCAATCATGATACTGCTGATCTTGGTATGCATCTTTCATGCCCTTTTAGTTTGTTGACCATAAACACTTGTTTCGGTATGTGAATTTCTCACTGTGTTACCTGTGAAGGCTTGAGTTAACATCATGGTTAATCAGATTGTCAATGTCTGGCATGATTTCTGTATTGTTGGAGGGTTTCTTCATTAAACATTGCTGCCAACAATAAATCATGTATATGTACTTGAATATGTGTGGGTTTTCTGTTCAAAAAGACTTCAAACTCTAATCTACTGTTGAAACAAGTAAACTATGATATTGCAAGCTGGTTATCTTTCGTGGTTAATGTTAAATTGTAAAATTGGCACAAATGGAGTGTTTGTGTTCCAGCCTCCTGAGATGAAAGAGGAGTTTTCAAATAGAAAACACAGTAATTTCACCTTCAGATTGAATCAGAGAACTGCCTGCTTATGTACAAAGGGCATTTCATATTACTGTGTGTTAACATGGGCAGGAGGGTGGAGCCAGGGAATCTGTGGTGCTTAGATTGAACATGAGGCACTAGTCGGTATTCCAGCTGTTTGACAGTGGCCTATAAATATACTGACTGACTTTAACCACTAGGCTACCCCACCGCCCTGTAAATATACTGACTGACTTTAACCACTAGGCTACCCCACCGCCCTGTATAAATATACTGACTGACTTTAACCACTAGGCTACCCCACCGCCCTGTAAATATACTGACTGACTTTAACCACTAGGCTACCCCAATGCCCTGTAAATATACTGACTGACTTTAACCACTAGGCTACCCCACTGCCCTGTAAATATACTGACTGACTTTAACCACTAGGCTACCCCATCGCCCTATAAATATACTGACTGACTTTAACCACTAGGCTACCCCACCGCCCTATAAATATACTGACTGACGTTAACCACTAGGCTACCCCACCACCCTGTAAATATACTGACTGACGTTAACCACTAGGCTACCCCACCGCCCTGTAAATATACTGACTGACTAGGCTACCCACCGCCCTTTAACCACTAGGCTACCCCTGCCCACGCCCTGTAAATATACTGACTGACTTTAACCACTAGGCTACCCCACCACCCTGTAAATATACTGACTGACTTTAACCACTAGGCTACCCCACCGCCCTGTAAATATACTGACTGACTTTAACCACTAGGCTACCCCACCACCCTGTAAATATACTGACTGACTTTAACCACTAGGCTACCCCACCGCCCTGTAAATATACTGACTGACTTTAACCACTAGGCTACCCCACCGCCCTATAAATATACTGACTGACTTTAACCACTAGGCTACCCCACCGCCCTGTAAATATACTGACTGACTTTAACCACTAGGCTACCCCACTGGGCTACCCCGCCCTGTAAATATACTGACTGACTTTAACCACTAGGCTACCCCACCACCCTGTAAATATACTGACTGACTTTAACCACTAGGCTACCCCACCACCCTGTAAATATACTGACTGACTTTAACCACTAGGACTTTAACCCTAGGCTACCCACCCTATAAATATACTGACTGACGTTAACCACTAGGCTACCCCACCGCCCTGTAAATATACTGACTGACTTTAACCACTAGGCTACCCCACCGCCCTGTAAATATACTGACTGACTTTAACCACTAGGCTACCCCACCGCCCTGTAAATATACTGACTGACTTTAACCACTAGGCTACCCCACCGCCTGACTGACTTTAAATATACACCCTGACTGACTTTAACCACTAGGCTACCCCACCGCCCTGTAAATATACTGACTGACTTTAACCACTAGGCTACCCCACCGCCCTGTAAATATACTGACTGACTTTAACCACTAGGCTACCCCACTGCCCCGTAAATATACTGACTGACTTTAACCACTAGGCTACCCCACCGCTGTAAATAGCAAAAGGCACCACCTTGGTTCTGTTTGATATATCTACCAATTTTTGTTGAAAAATAGTGAACGGTTTTTGAGTTATGCTCTGGAAACAAAATGATGACGGACGGACGGGCGGACGGACTAGGCGTCGACTAAATCCCCCGCATTACATGCCGGGGGGATAAAAAAGGGGTTTGTCTATATCCTCTTCGCATATTATACAAATGGAAACATTTGAATTTGGAGATAAGTTCAAATTCAAAAATAATTTTGTTGGGTGTTCCTGATAGATCTTGCACCTTGGTCATCTATTCTCCAAGTGACATTGTGGGCTGCAAGTTTCCCAACTGTAAACTGTTAGGCAGTAGGGGATCTTGATGGGCCCCACATGAGTTGATGACATCATGGAGATAGGACAGGGCTTAACACCAGGGCCAATAAATATGCCTGTCACTTATACCGTTATCTGATGGTTGTATGATGTGACTTGGAACTGATAATGACCCCAGCACGTGTAGCCTGAATGCAGATGTTCTTAGTCTCTGAATCTCTGGTCTCCCCGGGGCTCCTTTTCAATTTAAATGGGCTTGTTTGTTACTATTGAACTTATATATATTCAGAGACTAAGCATTAGTCAGCCTAAATGAAACGCACATTAAACAGTGTGGCACATCATAAAAGTATTATCATGATATGGTGGTTTTGACTTAGGTTTCTACTGGAACCATATTATAGAAGCATATTTTGAGAATCTTTTCAAATTCTTTGTGGGTTAGCAAATGTGAACATGATGCTACACTAATATTAAGACTGATTTTATGTAAGGACTTTAAGATTATTCATTTCAATTTATGATGTCGACTTGAATCGTACTAAACAGCAGTCACATTGATCTAAGTATTTTTTCAGGAAAAGCACAGACTGAAGCAATTCTTTATTTTTCACCACTTTGGTGAATTCCATTAGTATGGTGTTGGTAAATCTATGTTTTGAACAAATAAACATAATAACCTGATCAGTCAGTATATCAACAACAGCCTATTCTAACTTTGCATGTAGTTTGATTACCATTTCAGTTGGCAGTATTTGGACTAGTGTTAGTCAAACTAACCAATCACTGACCTTGTGACATAATATATTAATTCATGCAAGCTCGTAAAACTGGCCGACCCTGTCCTAACACACACACACAAATCTTTTCTTAACCAAGTCAAAATCATGACTGGAGTGCATTTCAACTAATCATTTTCATCCAAATCGCGTATGATATTTTCATGTTTTCCAGTGTACGTAGGGCTAAAATGGATTGCATTGAATTGGCATAATGGGCTCTCACTGACAAAACCTGCAAATAAATAATATGATTAATGATTTGATGTAGAAATCTTCCAATGTTTCATCACAAGGCATTGTAACAACATGATATGGTATCCTTGAAGACATTCTCAGGTACCCACCTGGTGCTACCAAAAAAAAGAAGACATATATAATCGACTCACCAACCCTATATTTAAAAAGCATGTAATGTCCGTCCATCCGTCCATGCACATTTGTCTTTTCCAGAGCAGAACTCTAAAACCGTTCAATATTTCTTCACCAAACTTGGCACATAGAAACCGTTCAATATTTCTTCACCAAACTTGGCACATAGATAGATCTGGTGGTGTACTGGTGCCTTTTGGTAGTTTTGGAATTCTGAATAAAAACATTTTTGGCGTTTCCATGGCAACAAGTTTGACATAGACTGAAATTGGTGGTAGTGCTCTTTTCCGGAGCAGAACTCCTATATTTTTGGGGGCCTAATCATTGCGTCTGATTGGTAAGAGGTAAGAACAATTTTTGATCAAAAGTATGACATGTTATGATGGACTATCCAGCTTGTGTGCCTTGTGATGATAGTATACTGTAGGAACAATCACCATGTGTTAGCTGATACATAAACATCAAAAAATATTTATTCCCAATACAGGATATTTATCATCCCCAAACACACTTGATATATCCATCAAACAACTGGCAAACAAGGGATGGGTACATCCACTCTTCACTGGAACACGTTGCTCTCCATGATCGAACAAACAACAAGCACATGTAGATTGAACTGATATATTTTATTGTTTTGTCTACACACAAGATGTATGTCATGTTGGTGGATGGCATGTACTTGTGTGGGACTGTTTTTTTAGTAAAAGTTTGGCAATGTGTCAGTGAATGCCTATCTGTACATGTACATACAAAAATGCCAGGGTTTTTCTTATGTACATATTACTGTTGTGCAAGAACCCACCCTTCAATATTTATCAGGCACTTGCCGGATAGTTCCCAGGCATTTTCAAAACCTAATCATGGCTTCAAAAACATTCTTGGCGGAGACTCACCGCTCACATAATGGAGTATTATTAGCACCATCATATTTAAACAAAGCAAATACATTTTGCTCCCTTCCCCCCAAAATATGTTTCTATCCGAGCTCCCAACTCCCTCACCTACTATCACAGATGGTGTAAGCCACACAGAGTTATCTGCTCCTAACTCCTGCTGAAACAAATCGAGACATGTCATAACATTTTGCAACCCCACCCACGTCGTCTACAGTGTGAAACATGCACATCACAAACAGCATGCCTCGACCACCTACAACCATGGAATGCTACAGTACCAAAGAATCTCCTCTATCAAATGTTCCAAACCCAGAAATCAGCAAGTCTTTGGTGTAAATGGCAAAAGAACCTGGGCAAGTGTCCACCATGGTATCCAGCATGCTGGATGTGACATGTGTGTCAATGCCTGTGATGCATCTTGGTTGTTGTAAGTTTTGTCTTTCTGTTGTTATCCTAGCTGTGTGTACATGTGTATGCATGTCTGCAGATGTAACACACGGTCTAGTGATGGCCACACACATACAAATGTGTTTTGTGAATTTCACATGCATTATTAACACAGAACCATCTACATCTGCATATGCAAGTTAACCATAAAAACATATTTAAAATTTAATATCACTCGGTTTTAGTTTTGTTCACCCTTTCAAAGACCACCTTCCGTCCTCCTCCTTGTGACTCACTGTCCGAAGCAGTCAGAGAAAGGGTGCGATCGTGGCCATCACGGAAGACCATGTAACAGGTAGGGCACATGACAACAGTCAGGAACATCTACACATGATATACGACTACTGAGAAATCATTATCTTCAACCACCTCCCTTCTTCAAGTATACGAGCAGTTGACGTATTGGCTCGCTGTTCCTGTCCTCCTGACTGACTGCATGCCCCTACACAGTTACAAGCAAAATACCTAACTTCCCACTATCATCATATCTACAAACAACATAGTTCAGATGCAGAGTCAGCATTATTAAATAGTAAGTAACAAAATATCAATGCAGCCTCAAAAAGTCAGTGAAGTCTATTCATATCACTTAGGGTTAGTACTGTTACATTTACTATGGCCTTTCTGATATTGCACATCACAGATGAACTACTGCATGCAAATATTAACTTTGCCATCAATATAAATTAATGTGATTCCGATTACACTGAATTAAACTCAGGGTTAATCTATTATCTATAGCCAGATGTTCATGATGATATAACTGACAATACTTTTCATAAGGAAAGGAAATGTTTTTTGATGAAAATGTTAATGAAATAGCAGCATCCAAGAATAAAATCAGCCATGTAATTGAAATCACATTAAGATTAATTAATGCCTGACAATACTGCCAGCAATTTGTAACTGCTTACAAGGGAGGTAAGATATGCGACTTATGAAACTGCATTGTACCAAAGACGGCAGCTCTGTAACCACAATACAATATTTGTTCCATTAGAAACTGTAATCATCATGAATATATCTTCCATTGTCGCAAATGCGAAAAGCTTTTTATGAAAGCAATAACAAATATGTTGTTGAGTTGTGTGACATGATCCAGGTACTTGGATCCAGTGTACCATGGTACATCAGTATAACAAACCTCAATAAGGGCTTACTAACAAATTTACAACAGGGTCCGTAAAGCTGCCATCTTTGGATGTCTAAATACAAACAAGTCAGGAATAATTCATTGACATCAATTCAAATTCTCAGGACAATACAAGAGCTTTGTTGGTTTTGGTGTCATCCATTTCTTGTTGTGGAAATGTATGATAAATAACCAATCATAAATAATCAAAGTACAAATCATTCAAATTTACATCATACTCATCATGAGAACATTTTCCTAACAACTAGAAATGACTGATGGTAAATCTATACATACTGTATTCTTTCCTATTTACCTAGGGTTAAAACAATCTGTGGGTGAATCCAATTCAGATGAACTTATACTTGTAGGTCAAGAATAAGCCACCAACTCAATAAAGATTCTACCAATATAACAAATTAACTTGGCATGGCACAAAAAAAAGTTCTTAAATGGGAATTTGAAATATCAAAAAAGATAAGCCTAATTTTGATTCAGCTTAACACATTTCACACTATAATGAGATTGCTTCTCATGAAAACCTTATCCCCACCCAACCTGCCACATCCCCCCTCCCTCATCACTATGCCCTAGTTCCCCATCCCTCCATCACTACGCCCTACCTCCCTGTCCCTCCATCACTACGCCCTACCTCCCTGTCCCTCCATCACTACGCCCTACCTCCCCATCCCTACGCCCTACCTCCCTGTCCCTCCATCACTACGCCCTACCTCCCCATCCCTACGCCCTACCTCCCTGTCCCTCCATCACTACGCCCTACCTCCCAATCCCTCCCCATACACAACGGCAGCCTGACTAGCCATGCCATCACAATATACACATGACATTCAGTGGCTGCCCCATGAACACAACCCCTTTCTAGATATCTCCTCGACGGAGTCCCGACCCTCTCTAAATCCCTATTTCGTTCCCCTATCATGCTCCATCCCAACTCCAGCCACTTGTCACAGGGTTCTCTGGTTTAATGTTTCTGTGGTTTCCCTTGATTTTCCTTGTCTGAAGAGATCAGATTGTGAGATGGTTAAAGAGCGGCATCATGAACAACACTTTTTGTAGTTGCACCTCACTGTGAAGGTCTACTGGAACTCGGCAAGGATTCTAGAGTTTGCTGCTGCTGCTGGAAGCAAGTCCTGTGGAATAACGAGGTTTGACAAGATAAACAATCTTTGATCTTCCCAGTGATATGGCAGTGGACTGACTAGTTGAGCGTCCAGAGCAAGGAGCTCCAACTGTGGTACAACGAAAATAGTCAACACTCCGCCCCATAACTATACAGGTGGAACCTGCAGGACTGACTGTCAGGTGGAAAACACAGGAGTCTAGAACTGGAAGCCACCCACTGGATTGTTTTGAGCCTGAACTCCGAACTGGTATTGCTGTTGGTTTTCGTCCATCTGAGGAGCAATGACACGATCCTCTTCTTCTGTTCCAAAGTACTTTTCAATGATGTCAAATGCCTTCTGATAGATATCTCGGTTCTCATGGCTCTGGAGGAACTCGATCTTGTCAAGTCCTAAATTACAAAGAATACAGTAAGTATCTGAGCTGCATTTATCACTTCTTGGAATAATAACTTGGTTATAGCATGACAGTATCTTAGTGTGAGAGGGTAGATATATCAATCATTTTGCCTTCTATCTGCAATACTGTGGATGTTGTACATTCCTATCTACATTGTGGTAGTGCAGGGCAACCAATAGTTTTGCATTGATAGTTTGATATATTGTTACACACTTTGTAAATATGGCAACTAATCTGTTCTTGTGTGTACAGAGAAAAGCGATTCTCCAGACTTATGCACCTGTTTGTTCACTGTTGGAGTCTGGACCAGACAATCCTGTGATCAACATCAGCAGTATCGATCTGTGCTAATGGCATATAATGAAATGTATCAACCAAGACAGCGTCTGACCACCCGATCCCGTTAGTCGCCTCTTACGACAAGCATGGGATGCTGAGGACTAATTCTAATCTTCACGGGTCCTGATAGACTTGTACATGTAACTTACCATAGCACTCTTCAATCATCACAGCATAGGGGTTGATTCCATTATTGTGTTTGGAGTCTTGTTCACCAAGTCTGAGGATGTTCTCAAGTCCATTGAGAGCCACTTGGACAATCTTGCTGTCCATCACAGTAAGCAGGTCACACAGTGGCGATATACAGCCTTGTTCCACCAGAAACCTACAACAGAATCAATAACTGATGACATGTGCAGACAAGTTTGTGTGCGGGTTACACTGAAAATGTCTGGAAAATGACAATGCATGTGTTGACATAGTCTGAACATACCTAATCTGTTCTGGGGATCCACCTGACGTAGCATTTGTTATGGCCCAGGCAGCTTCTTTCCGTGTCTTGAATTCTGCTTTACCCAAGATATCTATCAAGACTGGGAATATGTTGGCATCTATCACGTTCTGGAATAGAGACCATAGAGAATACACAGACTATACTCATGATCTATAGGCAGGTAAACAAAGGATACTACAACTGTTACCTCATTACTTTCAAGGCAGTCTGAGAATTTATCCACAATTAGTCCTCAACAACAGAGAAACCACATTCATTTGGACAGTGTTTATTCCTTGTAATTGATTGGATTAACATGGTCATAAAGTAATGTAAGTCTGTCTGTATATGTAGAAATTTCCCATCACTAGTTGTTTGGAAGTCAGTGTTTCTGGAACTGTCCTGGTCTATCATGGACTACTGTGGTTAAACTGCATTTGTCAGCCATGAAGCACATGGCTGTAAGCCAACATATATGATCAGGGTCAGGATCCACAAAGCGTTCGTAACCTCACAACATATCGTAAGTCTCTACTTTATCATAGACATACCAAATGGCATAGTGCTATGAATGTTTTGTGGATTGGGCCCCAGCACAACAGATTGTGGTCTCCCATTCACCATCTCAGTAAGCTGATATCAACATGTTCTGACAGACAATCACCATGGTAACACTCTGAATGAAGGAACCAACCTGTATTTGCATCCTATTTCCAGCAGTGATATTTGATATTGTCCAGCAGGCTTCTTTCCGGATGGACTCCTTTGGACTACTAAGAAGATGCAGGAGGCAGGGCAGCGCAGAACAGTTGAGTATCACCTGCAGGACACATACAACACGTCTACACTTACTCACTCTATACAAATACAGCATACACAGTTGTGTTGTGAGAGAGAGTGGATTTTCTACAGCTGTAGCAATATTTAAGCCATATCCCTTTACACTTTATACCAAGTGGGGAATTGAACCCAGGCCTTCCGTGTGATAAGTGATGCTTTAACCATTCAGCCATCCCACTCCCATTGTTGTAAGAAAGAGTCATATAGAAATATGCACCTTAAGCATTAAATTGCAGATATTGTGATGAATAACGGAAGTTGATTTGATACACTTGATTATCATACAGAAAAACGGAAATGTTTTAGAGACTTTTTATACTTTCTTGTGTATAACTGTAAAGGTAGAGTAGTGTTATCAACACCTGTGAGGTACTCACCTGAGTCTGACAGTCATCTCCTGTGACAATATTTCCTACAACACGTAGCGCTGCAGCCACCACACTTATATGATTATGCCTGGAAATAGGATTGCAAATGGTTAACTCTGAAATTGTGTGCTTGTGATATATCCTGAAAGTGGACATTGAAATGACAAACCCAGAAATGGGAATCAGATAACAAAGAATGTTGCCAAGATCTGGTAACGTTTGAAAAGTATACAAACTTTGAAATAGGATCAAATATGAAAGTCTTCAATGGATTATGACATACGTATGATGTATGATATAATATCAAACATGGTAGAGCAAGTCCGGCAGCTATGTAGGAGTGAACATGTTCAGACAGAAAATCATAAATCTGATAACATCTAAATTGGAGGGTAATGGGATTTTGTAAATGTTCTGGAACAAGTTATACCAAGACAATCCATAACAAGTCATTCAATGTAAACATTCATCTCTGTCACCATCTTCCACAGATCTTTCAACAGTCCCAGACGAACTGTTTCCTGACTCACATTAAAAGTTCTACAAGTCGCGACACACTCCAGAGTCTATAACAGCTTGGATCTTTTCATTGGGTCCATCTGAGAGATAGGAAAGAGCCCAACACGAGTCAGCCAAGACGTCCTTGTCCGTGTGGAACAGCAGCCGTGCTAACACAGGCAGTGCTGGACATACCTGCCAACAGATGGACACCTCATTACCACGCGTCTGCTACAGCATTCACTACCAAACATACCACAGGCACAAACTCAAACAAGAAGGTGGTGGAAGTAAAGAAAGATGGGTAATGTTTGATGTATGATAAAAGACTGATATGAGTCAATAACAGATGACATTTTCCCACATCAAGGCATGATAATACAGCCTTACCAACTCTGGAGCAAGGCAAGATGCACTCCTGATTAAATGATCACAACAGTTACAAACTCAGGTAAGATTTCTGAGATGTGACAAACCTTTGCAAACTCTGGTGGTGGATTCTTGCCTCGGCATAAGTTAGATAAACACCACACTGCATTCCGTGTCATTGACAGGCTGTTGCTTTTACTTAACAATCTGTAAACAGTGGCACAAACATGTCAATACCCTGAAATCTTCCCCACAAACATGTCAATACCCCCCTCCAAACATGTCAATACAGGAAATTCAAGAGCACATCTATCAGGTACTTCAAACTTACACCTTGTTCCCCACGGGGACAATGAATGTTCTTGTATAACATGATATGAAGCATAACATGACATTACTTAACCTCATATTTTGATACCATCATGTTGGCGAAGTTTTAAGAGCATGTGATACTAGGATACAAGATTATTATGTATTAAAAAAGAAAACTAAAGGATACTAGATTGTTGACAAAGTTTCAAGTGCATGTAATGCTAGGATACCAGATCCTGTATTGAAAACCAGGCAACCAAATACTGCCAGTAGGGATAATTCTTAACAATGCAGATGTGACAAAGCTGCACTGTCAGTTCAAGAAAGAACACTGTACATCAATATCCCAAATAAGGGATAATCTATTTAAATAGACTATATGACTTCTAAGTCTCTGATGGTAAGCTACTTACTGTAACAATGGTACAAGTATTCCTTCATTAAGTACATAGTCCCTGCATTCAGGGCTGTCACCAGCAATGTTTCCTAAGGCCCACACAGCCTAAAAAGTAGATCAACAAACTTAATGACAACAATCATCAACAACACGACTTTCACAATTGCATAATTGTCCTGCTTCAGAAAACAGACAATGCAGACATAGAAATGGGAATTAAAGGAAAGTTGTCAAAAATACATATTTCTTTACATCAACATGTTACTCTACAACATATCTACCCAATGAACACCAAACTGAGAGCTGCTACAATATCTGTACCCAAGGAATCAAAGCATGTGGTGCACTTACTTGTTCCTGCACATCCTCAATTTCAGAGCTGAGGAGTTTGATGAAGATAGGTACAGCCCTGGCTTCAATGACAACACGAGTCTGTAGAGAAGTTCCTGATGCTATGTTTGTCAAAGCCCATGCTGCTTCAAACTAAACAGAAAAAAAAGTGTCATGAAGCAGTGAAAAGTGGATTTCTGCTAATTGGCCAGTGGCAGGAAATGACTGAGGTTCTCATATAAAATATCTAGAGGCTCATCTGCACTAGAAGTACTGATTTAGAGTTATCTGCCCTTGGTACACCAACATCTAGTGTCTGAAATTAACATATCTTACAGAAAATGATTCTTAACGTATAATCTTAATATGCAGATCTGTAGAGATATAATTGCTTGGGATTCACAAAACAAGTTAAATTCATAGAAGAATTCTTTGAAGAGAATCGTCCTTGGGGTACATACTGTCAAATCCCGATGAGTCGAATCGCTGGGGACCAAGTAATAAATTCGACTTATCGATGTATTCGAAACATAGGTATGTCTATGAGGGTAGAAAAAAAAGATGATCCAGTCCTAATTCCTCCGCCTAAGCATTTGTTTATCTAATGATTTCCATATCACTAATAGGGGCACCTTATCAGTTCCAGTCTGATTAGCACAGACAGTGATTTCCGTAAAATCACTAATCTGCCTTTTGAACTCACCCGTCAATGGCGGAAAGGTGTGAGCCACGCTGGTTTGTTAATTGGATCAGTTTGCTACACCAATCAACTTCTCATTGACTGACTTCGGCTTATGTATACAAGATTGCTGTTGTTTGAATCTCATGGGACCAAATTTCCTTTTTGTCATCGTGTTTATTTATGAGTCATCAGGGATTCAAATGATGTATTTATGAGGACTTCCGAGTTATGCGTAAATTCGTGTAACTCATCGGGGATTTGACTGTATATGCATTTTCTCTGAAAATGATGACAATCAATGTTTTAATAAAAAAGATTATAACAGGGAATGGTCGCATGGACCGACAGGTACTTCAGTGAGTTAGGAGGTGGCATAATATTCGAGACACAGGCATCTTTTTCATAGACTCATCTTGAGGATTTGACTGTATAGAACGAGGAGGCTAGGGAGGAGGGAATTCTGTCACAGTACAAATAAATAGCGATCGTTAGGAAGAAGGTAACTTACGCCATAACACTCACCTGTCATGTGTCCCGAAGCTTCCACGAGAGGCATGATGAGAGGGTAACCGACAGGGAGGAACGTACTGAGACCCTTCCTCACAAGTTAAGCAAAACAGTTAGCACACTGTACGAAATTAAAACCCGCCCACATCGTGAAATCTATAAAGAGCACCGTAAGAGGGAAAAAACAACTTACAACCGACTAGTATCTCATGAGAGAAATCAAAAGTAGTTAGATATGTCAACAGCGGATATATCAGTTATACACAATTGAAAACCGTCATCTGTCCAGATAACCAAGACTCACTCGGTCAAGGTGGCAGGACACTGTCCACTGGAGAGAACAGAATGACCAAAATGCACACGATCACGAGAATGTGTATCAAGCTGATAGTGCCTTATAAAAGTGCGAGGCCTGCTCCAAATAGCGGCGGAGCATATCTCTTCAATGGGTAGTTCGATGCAAAAGCCTTTGAAGTGGCCACTGCCCTGACCGAGTGAGCCTTTAAACCCCTCAGGGGAAGGCTTGCCCATAGCCTTATAAGCACTACAAAGGACCGATACAAGCCAGCGAGATAGGGTCTGTTTGCTAGTCGGCATCTCAGCCTTCTCTCCACTGTAACGCCACCGTAGAATAGATCCCTTGTGAACGGACATCCAGGGCGCTTTACGGGTGAGTGCTTCGTTGCAGAGGTCCCCAATGTGGAAGGCTGGGTAAGAGTAGGAAGTTCGATATGAGCTGTCACATGGAAAGCTTGATCAATCTTCGGACGGTAAGTATCCGTGAGGCGAATACTGACACAATCTGGATGGAACACAGTCAGCACCGGGTCTGCCGACATAGCATGTAAATCGCCAACCCTTCGTCCAGATGTTACCGCCACCAGAAATACGTCCTTCCATGCTAACAGTAGAATGGAAATAGCCGACAGACGTGAGAAAGTAGGACCGGACAGCCAATCTAGCACGATTGACAAATCCCAAGGTGGGCTGGTACACCTGACAGCAGGTCGAACCCGATCCACGCCAGCCAAGAAGAGCTGCATAAGAGGGTGCTGCCCAAGAAGAGCACCATCAACAGGGGTGTGAAAAGTGGAAATAGCAGTGGAGTAGCCACGAATGGTCGAAGCTGCCAAACCTTCCAAACGAGCTTGCAGAAACTCCAATACTCGGACTAAATCCGCAGAAAAGGGATCTGCAATCCCCCTATCTGAACACCAGTGCGCATATCGGGACCACCTCTCCTCATATTGAACGTTTGTCGAATCCCGCCTCGAAGCCAGAATTGTGTCTGCAACTGCTGCAGGAATTCCCGTGCCAAACCACCCACTGAATCCTTGGGTTGGGTGTTGCGTGCCGTTCTGAGTGAGAATGTCCGGTTGCAAAGGTAATAGAACAGGAGGCTGAGCCATAAACCTGAGAACTACCAGAAACCAGCTCTGTGTCGGCCAAAGAGGTGCCAGTAGCACAAGTAGCCGAGCTGGCTGGGTGGACAGCTGGGTGAGGACCCGGGGAATGAGAGGTAGTGGAGGAAACGCCCACAGAACCTTGCCCATCCAATCCAGCAGGAAGGCGTCAGAGGCCAACGCCCTCTGGTCCGGTATTCGAGAGCAGAACACGGGTATCTGATTCGTCCCGCCTGACGCAAACAGATCCACCTGGAACGATCCGTACAACTGGGAGATAACTCCGAATATCTGCCGATCGAGCATCCTGTGAGAGGAAGGAAGACATGATCTCCCGTACTCTGTTGACCCGGTCGGGCGACAAAGAGACAAGACCCTGTTGAGTTCTGAACCACACCCCGAGAAAAACCAAGTCCTGGGTGGGTACCAGGTCGGATTTCTTGAGGTTTATGATCCACCCCAGTCGAGCTAGAATGTCTATCACCGTGTGGGTAGAATCTAGGTTCGTTGGCTGAGTTAGAGCGCTGAGCAACCAGTCGTCTAGATAAGGGTAACAACACATTCCGTGCAACCTTGCGAGGGTAGCTGGCACTAACATAAGCTTGGTGACCACCCTGGGGGCAGTGGATATGCCGAAGGGGAGCACCGTGAATTGGTAACACATCCCATCGTAAGAGAACCGGAGGTACTGCTTGAAAGTGGGATGAATTGGCACATGTAGATACGCATCCTTTAGGTCGAGCGACGTAAGCCAATCGCTGGGCTGAACAGAGATCACCGAGCGAAGTGTTTCCACCTTGAAAGATGGAACCTCTAACATGCGATTCAACCCTTTGAGGTTGAGAATGGGATGGAACCTGCCTTCCTTCTTCAGAACGAGGAAGTACGTGGAAAAAAACCTGCCTTCTCCTCGCCTAGATGTATGCGCTCTATTGCGGACTTGTCCAGCAATGCCTGAACTTCGTTGCGCAGTATACCTGCCTTGACCGGACATGATGGCACCGGAGTGCACCTTTTGCCGGTGAACTCTGGCGGGCCTCGCTTCCACAGCGGTAAATGGCCGACACTGACGGTGGACAGCACCCACGTGTTGCGTGTAGCCTTCTCCCACTCTGGTAGGAAGAGAGAGAGGCAGCCTCCCACTGGGATGTGAGGTAAGAGTGCGTGAGAAGTCCTCTGCAGATGAACTGGCTGGGACGTACCCATGGATACAGCCGGTAGATTTAACGGGGGTCGGGGCAGACCCCCTGCGACCATGAAAAGGCTGCTGGGAGCCAGACGAAGAGGCCTGCACCTTGCTCTTACACTTGGCGGGACGGCTCCTCCTCCTATCTCTACCCAACAGCCGAGGCCAGCCGGCAGACTTGGGCGTAGGCTGCGCCCCAGAGGAAGAACTTGCTACGGGAGCGAGAAACCCGCGGTTGCTCCAAAAAGGCCTTAGAATCCTTGAAGGAGGTCACTGCCGCAGCAGCCTCCCGAATGACCTGCTGTGCCCACGGAAACAACGTCGCTCCCAGCTGAAACGGAAGGGCCAGCAAGGTCTGCTGTGTTGCTGCCGAATAACGGGACGTAGACAGCCATAGCTTGATTATCCCCATGACTGCGCACATCGCCGTTGACGCGGCAGACCGCAAAGAGTCTCGCGTCAGGTGGGCCTGAACTTCGGATAGTTGACGGAGAAGAACAACATTCGGTGAAATGTGCTGCCTCCGCCTCCAGAGCCGACCTTTGTATCGAGGAAAGGTACGCCTCGTGGACCACACACTGCTGCATGGCATTCAGGTAGACTTCCTCGTAAGTCCGGTATGCCTGCCGCAGGGGAGCGCCCGACTGGGCAAACGGTGGTACTAACCGCCCTTGCTTGCTTGCCGGAGCTGCCTCCAAGGAAGCCGAGCCTCCCTTGTCCACCACCGGCACAAGGAAAAGAGAATCATCACCCAGCTGATACCTCTTAACTAGTTCGGGGAGATCGAACCTGAGGCGAGAACCAATCAGGAGAGGATCCATTACACCCTGCACTAGGGAGGGCAAGATGCGGAGCTGTGTCTGAGAGGGCTGCCGATGAGCAAACGCCTCACCTGGCAGGCGGAACTCAGTCGAGTCCGAGCTACATGTCGGCACTGCGGCTTGGGGAAGACAATGGGCAATACGTTGCCGAACCTCCCGGAGAGCCAACGAAACACGGAAAGCACCCTCGGACTCCTCGACCACCCCAACCTCCATAGACTCGAATCAGAATTCAGATTTCCTCGTGAAGAGGAGCCGAACCCCGACCCGGTGGAAGGCCGAGCCACAGACGCCACGGGAAGGGAAGAGCCCAAGGAACTGTCAGCTCCGGAAACCAACAGGACACTCGAACCCCGGTCCCGAGACATGGGAGGAAGCACAGGCGGAACCGGCTCCTCCGCTCTCATGGGGCGGGGTGGCACAGGGACCTGAACCCCAGGAATCCTCAACGGACCCTGGGCCAGCACCGAGAGAGAGGGACTTGGAGCGAACTCTCCCTCTCTGGGGTAGCCGAGGCGTCCGGACTCTCGGTCCCCCATCCAGAGTGGGCGAGGAACTCCTGCCGGAGATCTCCAACCAAGTCATGAACGAGGAACTTCACTGAGTCCATATGCTGTTGAAACAATTGTGTTATAACGGACATATCAAAACCACTTGAAGATTGAGATTGAGAGTGTGACTTATGCGAAGTAGACTTAGATTTAGTTTGCTTAGCCTTTTCAGCCTTAGATGGGGGAATCTCCTGGGTCAAGTCCCCTCCCGCCTCACGCAATTCCATGTTAAAAAGGAAGTCAGCCGCCCGTCTCTTCTGGGCCCGGGGGGAAAAGCCCATACACAATTCACAGATGTCAGGATTATGCCCTGCTTTTTCCAGACAGCATAAGCATTTATCATGCTTATCTTGGCGCTGGATATTTTGCCCGCAGGCAACACACGCCGTAAACGCCTGAAAGCAAACACGCAAGCATGTAGCTAACGGCGCAACACAACAGCATAAAGATACACGTACAAAACATTATTTGAAAATTACGTGAATGCGACAACACGACATGAAATACTTGGTTAATAACGCAATATTTCAACCACGTGGCACGCTAAACTTCCCGCCATGGAATAGCAGCACGTGCGTAAACCACGAGAAAGCTAGCGTAAAATTTAATACAAAGTCACAGAAATGAGAAATAACTGACTGCAAAGTCAATAAATCGTTACCAAGAATGAATAAAGACCATACATACAGTAGTTGAAGTCTCAGACATTCTTCTTGTAAAGAAGTTAATCAGCTTGGAACGCTAGAGTGACAGCAGAAGGAATAATGCTACGGGCCTGGGTACGTGCCTAGTTGGCTCGCATGCGTAGCAGGGAGGTAACTCCACGGGGTGTGGGCCGTATAATAAATAAAAAAGATCTTTATTTATTGTACAATATTTTTATTAAAACATTGATACAACTGTCACATGACATTTTCAGCCGCAGAAAATGCATACATGAACCACAAGGACGATCTCTATGAAAAAGAATTATGTACAGTGAATTATCAGAGTCTGAAACATATCTTTTCATGGTCGAGTGAATGTGGTTTTCAACTGCTTTTAGAAACATTCAATCACTATCACAGTGAGCGACATCAGGAAAGGGCTTTATATAGTGTACCCATTTGGGGACTTCAATCTGGGCCTTTTGTGAATGCTTCAACTCGTAGGCTACCCTACTATCATTGCTATCTCATGAATATTCCTCAGGTTTACACAATATTTGCAATGTGACCTAAGGTGGAAACTATTATGAATTGACCCCACTAAAAAAATCATATATATAATGGTTTGTCTGATGTCTTTGAAGCTGTGTTCATAATCAGTCACCCTGACCATCATGGTTGCTATTCACATACCAGGATATATTTCCCTGCAGTGTTACAGGCATCAAGCATAAAGTCATTTACACTGACTGGTACTGGAACTGATTGACTAACCTGCAGTGTCCAGCTTCCATCTCTCTGTAGGAACTCTACAAAACGTGGGACAATTCCAGTCTGGATCACTTCATCTATTGGTGGGTTTGGTTCTGTACAGAAAGGAGTCAGTGAGTGAGTGAGTTTAGTTTTACGCCGCTTTTAGCAATATTCCAGCAATATCAAGGCGGGGGACACCAGAAATGGACTAAACACATTGTGTCCATGCTGGGAATCGAACCCGGGTTTTCGGCGTGACGAGCGAACGCCTTAACCACTAGGCTACCCCACCGCCCCTACAGAAAGGAGACACATGTTTACATTCATAAGTCTCCAGCATCATCCTTGTAAAACAAAGTCTAATCAGTACTGAATGCTGTTAAACACTTTGTGATGAGCATGCTGTAAGACGTGATGTGGTACTAAATAAAAACAATTATATCCAACAATTTTCTTTAACAAAGTTATCTACATACCTCTGGATAACAGTTTCCTGAACTTCTGAGTTGCAGCTTCTAACTCCTCAACATTTTCACTGTATAAAGCTTGAACCATCTCTGTACTGATGCCACCCTACATGCACATATGTTGAACAGTTACGATGAATCATAAACATATATGCACGACAATAGCACCTGCTCCGACAAGGTGACAATCGCAATGCAACCTAACAACATTCACTACATTAATCTACTGCCATCAGATAATACTTTAAATACTTTGCATATATAAGCAGTGTTTGCTCATAAATCTTGTGATCCAAAAGATGGTCTCAACACTATTGTTATCACACTGTTAGTTTCAAAAGCAAACTCATTGGAAAACTTTTATCAATTTGTTTTATTATTATAGATCTACTGGTATTGTTGCTGTGTTTACTTCCAACTGTTGTATATCAGAACCAGTGCTGCAGCCAGGATTTCCTTGGAAGGGGCCACTTGGCCCTTATCTTTAGAAAATGTGGGCCAATAACCAAAAATGTAATTTTTAGAGTAAAATTGATATTTTATACTTATCCTGACTCATGCTCTTTTGCTTGTCTTCTTCTTCTTGCGAACATAGTGGAACACTTGTATCTCCTTATTTGAAGCTCCCTTCAAAATAAAATCACTAATTGGTACTCACCACGAGTTGCTCCCCTTTGCTTCCCTGGCGGGGAAAGGTGTGCAGCCACCCTCCTGGCTTATGTACTCCCTCTCTCCTGATTTGCTTGAACCCAACACTTGAATTTACAGGAAATCCAAAAGTGTTATGTGGGGAGGATGGGAGGGCTACCCCTCATGAGTCAGGATAAGTATAAAATATCAATTTTACTCTCAAAAATTACATATTTCCTTCCTTATCCTGACCATGCTCTTTGTTTGTAGCATCCTACTGGAACGGAGGTGGGTAAATATAATACTTGGATTTATAAATTAGTGATTTTGTATAGATATACTGTAAATATCCCCTCTGGGAACTTCATGAAGGCTTAGATTTAGGATGTTTCCTGTATAAAGAAACCATAGGTTATATAAAGCCATTAAAGGGGAATTACATTATGAATATATTGAACAATACATATAAATAATATATATATATAGGTGACTCTGATAGAGGCACTGAAATTGACTATACCAAAGTATATGCTTAAGGTTGAATACTTAAGCTGAACATATATACATAGCCCTAAAACTCCGTGAGAGTTATAAGCTAGATGAGTATGTATAAAATACATATTAATCTTGTGAGGATAATATTTTAACGCCTACTGAGGGACTGTCAGTTGCTGGCGAGGACCAGTGGTCGAAATGGTGAATGCCAGAGACATCTTCTGTAGTGATGTCTCTCAGGTAGTGATTAGCAAATACCATGTTAGATTTCCAATAGCATCCTTCCATGTCGTGTTCAAGGAACAGTTACCGTGTAGGGCGAGGGTAGAGGCCAGTGCCCTGATCTCATGTGGATTTGATGCTGTTGGTGGGTTCAAGCCTGCTGCCTTGTAGGCACGGGAGAATGACAGTCCTTATCCAAATAGATATTGTGGTCCGTGACACTTCTGTTTGATTCAGAGGCTGATAAGGGGATGAATAAACGCTTGAGAAATCTTCTCCTTGTTTTGATCAATTAAATAAATAAACTTTGAGCTCTTACCGGACACAGTGATAGGTCTTGTGTATCTTCTGATCCGAGAATAGAGGATAGGCCCGGGATGTGGAATAATCTGTCTGGTTGACCTGGCAGTTGATTTTTATGCGATGAAATCCCATCTTAATCCGAGGTGCGCTGTGTTATGATTGTCATCAAACTGTATCCTCTCGTAATCCAGAGCATTGAATTTCAGACATTCTTGCTGCTGTGGTTAGCGATAGCAGAAACAGTGTTTTCTGTGAGAGAAATTCAAAGTTTGTCGATTCAAAGGTTCATAGACCTCACTCGTGAGGTGTTGTAACACTACATTCAGATCCAAGCTGGGCGTGGAACTTCCGCTTTGGTCCTCCAATCGGAAAGCCTCGGTAGTAAGGCCAGTAACTCTGGAGATCTCTGTCAATTTGACACCGTTCTCATGGTGATTACAGAACTAAAGCTGCAAGATATGTTGATATCGTTGAACCTTTTAATTGTTTGTTTTGCCGTGAGGTAACACAAATAGTCTGCCACTTGAGGTTGTGAAGCCTCTCTTGCTGTAAACCCTTTCTTTGTTGCATAATTTTGAAACTGTGCCACTTGTCAGATGCATTGCCACGAAATCTGAGTTGAGTAACGATGAAGTAAAGCGTGACTGCTTTTGCTCGCTCTGGCAGAATATCTCTCTTGTTTAAACACATTTGTATACAGTCCATACGTGTAGTTGGAACATTGCTGGGTTTCCGTGCACTTGTTTGTGTGAGGATGAATTAACAGGTTTTGCGTATGGCTTGGGTAGCTCCAGTGTTGGTTGACCGATTTCTTGAATTAGTATGGAAACCACGCTCTGGCCCGGCCAGTAGAGCATGACCAAAGTGAGTTGTAGGCTCTGTGTTTGTCTGATTTTCTGTAATACTTGAGGTATTATTGCTGGCGTGGAAGCGCGACGTGCATTGAGGCCTTCCATGATAGGACTTAGCGTCCGTTGCTTTAAGCTTGGGGTCTGGGACTGGTGACACGATAATGTCGGTAGCTGATTGTTGAATCGGCGTGGCGAATAATAGGTCTATTAAGCTGGCTCTAATTGCTTGATTATCTGTGCAAAATTTCCTGTTGATCATCCACTCTGTCGGTGATGGTAGATGAGGCGAGAGAGCGTCTGCTAGTATATTTCTGGCTCGGGAATGTGCACTGCTCTGACATGTAGATTTAGATCTTGTATTAAATCGAACAGTTGAAAGCTTAGGTTCAAAAGGTTCATCGATCTCGTTGAGCCTTGCTTGTTTATGTAGAACGCCACTGTCGAATTGTCTGTATGGATCATTAGGCGCGCATTTTGTAGAAATGTGCTCCAATGTAGAATGGCGTTGATTACAGCTTTCATTTCTAGACTGTTTATATGGAGTTTGCATTCTTGCTGATTCCATAACCCTGATATCGTGTGGTTGGTGAGATGAGCTCCCCAACCTTGATTGACGCGATCTACATACAGATGGGTTTTGTATTCCTGCTCTGCTAAACAAATCCTTCGCAGACGTCGATTTCTTGGTCCACCATAGTAGATGCGGTCTGAGATGTTTCGGTAGACTGAATGGTTGTACATCGTTGAGATGTGCGTTGATGAGGACCTGTAGGGGACGTAACTGTAATCTGCCTGTGACAGTCATGTCTTGGGCTGATGTGAGAAGACCTAGTAGGCTCTGCCATTGTCGCAGTGGTAACGGAGAGAGTAGAGCTGGTGGAATGGTCTGCTGTATCTTGAGCCAACGGTCTTCTGGTACCAAAATCACGGTTGCGATTTGTGATGAATCGAATACCTAGGAACTGCAGGTCTTGGCGATGGTACTAGGTCCGACTTTGCGTAAGTTTACTAACCAACCTAGTTGTGTTAGTAGCTTTATGATGTAATTTAACTGTAGTTTGAGGCGCCCAGTGGATCTTGATCTACTTGTATCCCGTCGTCGAGGTAGAACGCACTGCGTAGTAACCCTTGACGATGTAGAAATTTGATATGTCGGTTTCGTTATCCTGAATAGCCAGGGGCTGATGATATTCGAATGGGGAGTACTTTCCACTGGTAATGTAGCCCTTCTAGGTAAATCGTAGGTATTTCCTGGAATCGGGATGAATGGGGATGTGCAGGTAGGCATCCTGTAGATCTATGCTGCCCATGTAGTCCATGGGGACGAATCATCTGGCGTAACTGAGGTAAATGTATCATGCTTGAAACTTCGTGGTTTGCGTAGATAGTTCTTGTTGAAAAAGCTCATGTTGTAGATGAGTCTGTATTTCTCCGTGGAGTTTTTCTTGGGAACTAGGAAAACTGGGGAGTAGAAACCCTGGTCTGACGCTTGCTTGATCTATTACTTCTATGGCCTGTTTGGATAGGAGTGATGAAACAGCCTCTCTTATCTTTGGTAGTTGTTGCTTTGTAAATCGAACTTGGGGGTTTGATTGTCACGGAGGCTTGGCCTGTAGAGGATCACGAAATCCGTGTTGAAGAATGTTGGAGACGAAAGGTCTTGCAATATTCCCCAGTTTTCCCAGTGTAGTTGGGGGCGCCCACCCACTTGAGCTGGCTGTACTGGAGCGGCTGGGGTGGAAGACTCAGTCGTTCAGAACCTGTGTTTCAGCGTCTATAATTGCGGGAACCTCTGGGTGTCCTGCCTCTTCCTGATCCTCCCTCTATAGTTGCCGTTATGGGCGACGAAAAGAATCTTTACCTCTAGAGCTGGCTATCTTCCTGTCTCTTGCTCTTTGTAGGCCTGTGAACTTAGATCTGCCTGAGTATCTCTGTGAAGTCTGATGAATGACGCTGGCTAGTGTGTCCAACGATCTAATCATAAGGATTTCCCCTGGAATCTTAGAGACTTCCTTGGCGACTTTGTGCGATTTCTCCGTCAAAGATGGATGTTGTCGACCGCGGGGCTGTATAAAGTGGGGCTGTAAAGTTCTCCCCAATTACAGGAGGCGAGGAGGCCTTGACGACGAGCTAAGGTCAGTGCTGCTGAAACAGATGTAAGATGATCCGTAAAAACTGCTGATCTTTCTTTTGCATAAGTAAGGCAGAATAAATCATTCTATCATCTTCGATCGTCGGAATCCGAATCTAGTAATAAGAGTCTCATTGATCGTCCCTAGATCTATTTAACCCAAAGAACATACCGCCTCGTCATGGTTTCTATATGAGCCAACTTGCGATCATCCATCTTGTAAATCTTGTTCTTTACATCGCTGATGATCTTATAGTTCTCATCGATGTCCTGGGCCTTGTAGAAGGAGTCCATGTTATGCGTGGAGAACTTCTTGGCTTGAAAGTTGGGCAGATGTGGTATCTGAACTTTTCGTAGCTTTCTGAAAGCTGCATCTAGATTCTGTGGCACTGCCGCTAATCGGGTCGATCGGGGTAGAGTGATTGCATCTGGATCATCTTCCTTCATCAAATCGTCATGCTGTATTGCCACTTTTAGATGGTGATGTGAGATCTAGGTTATTGACCATCCAATACCGTATCTCTGCATCAGAAAATATGATTCCTCCATCATCCTCAAAACCATCATCATTAACAAATTGTAGATGCTCTTCGGGGACTGCGTGTAGCTGTCTGTATATCTGATGAGGTTTGTGGCGATCTAGTTGACTTCAGCGCCCGCTCTATGTGGGAGATCTGACGGGTGATCGACCTGGTGATGAAGCAGAAGTGGAGATCGTCTATTGGGATGATCTTCACTCGAGACTTTGTGAGGTGAATGTTGATAGCTTCGCTGGCTCTTCGGCAGTCCTCGATGTTCTTCTAGATGATGAAGATCTGGAATCATATGTCGCCGAATGCCTTAGCGAAGCTTCATTGCGATCGGTCGAGGGATGCGATGATATGACCTTAGCGAAGGCTTCCGTGATGTCTGATGGTCTGAGTCCATATCTAGAGATGAAATCGAAGATGGTGATGATCTCTCCGCCCGAAGGCTGTACATCTAGGTCCTTCCGTCAAGGTGGTGCGGGACTTCCTTGGCGAAAGGTGACATCGTCTTGGCTGCTTACGTTGGCGGGGGTGCCTCTGGGGTGCTGTTCACGTTGGAGCCTTCGCGAAGGTTCGGACGCTGCTTCGGCGCAGTTTGTAGTAGTCCTCCATGATGTTCATAATCTGCCGCATCATGTCTTCTGGGATGATTCAGACGGTAAGTCGGCGTCTTTTCTGCGATGGGGTTCACATCAATGACGTCTGGCGCCGTGTAGAGGCATCAGGCTGCATGGTGATCTCTGCAGAAGTCACAGTCGCTGACACCGGTCAGCTTCTTCTGCCGTAAGTCGGGATGATTATCGGCTGATCATCGTAGAGGCCCAATTCTGCTGCTGGAACGATCTCGGCTGAGAAAGTTCTTGCTGTCTCGTGGAATTCCCTTGGAAGTCTGGCTGCCCTGGGTGTCCTCAATCTCGCGTTGAGACGGCGATGAGGCCCTCTTAGACTTGGTCTGCAATGGCGAGATGTCTGGGGAGGCGGTCGTTTCTTCGAGTAACGGACTCGTCCCACGTTCCTCTGCGCGGGGGTCTCTAGCAGAACACCAGGCGGGAGAGGGTCGATAAAGCTAGCAGCTGACTGGATGGAATATCTGGACTCTCTGCCATGTTTTGCCCTTGTTTCATGCGTGATCTATCTGCAGCACGTCTTAAGACGCCAAAGGTGATATTTATTAAATGCAGAATGAGATAAATTAATGCAGTAACTGCAACGTGGAATTAAACGCATTACATGCAGGTGGTAGAACAACTAGGGCATATTACATGTGGATCGGAGGCAGAAAAACGTAATCTACAAATCGTACAGATTTTCATCAACGTAAAGCTAACTGAACAATCACGAATACCACGGAATAAACAGTAGAAATCACGATAATTAATCAATACAAATAGTAAAGGATACTAGCTATACCTCTATAGTAACCTATGAGAGGTAAAACTAAGAGATTATCAAAGGATATGGTGTGTAAGGAGACACAAGGAGCTCTCACATCCTGCTCACTGGGCGAAGAAGGAGAGAGTGAAGCACATGGCCAGAGGGTGGCGACACCTTTCCCGCCAGGGGAAGCAAAGGGGAGCAACTCGTGGTGAGTACCAATTAGTGATTTTATTTTGAAGGGAGCTTCAAATAAGGAGATACAAGTGTTCCACTATGTTCGCAAGAAGAAGAAGACAAGCAAAAGAGCATGAGTCAGGATAAGGAAAAATTTGCAATCCTTCTCTTTGACATTTAGACAGCTAAAAGATTTGATGTGGCTCTGTACATCAAGTTGAGCTCTGTACAGCGAAACAAGCTCCTTAGTTAAAGCGATTCATATTACAGTTGTGTATGCACATAGACGAACTATCAATGTGCAGAGATTAGGAAGCCTCATTTTGAATTCTGGAAGTTTCAATATTTTGATTTTGATTTCCAAATGTTTGACATCGCTTTCAATGAAAAGAGTTGCATTTTGAAATAAATGATGTGCCCGATATATATAAAAACGTGTCATACATTATAAAAATGCGCCATTGATGGCACATATATTCATAAATAAAGCACCAAGTTAAGTACAACAATTGTTTGCCACAGATATGGCAATGTCCACTGCCGCTAAAGAATGGAATATCTATATTTACTACTTTTGATTTTTGCCAGAAATGACTGGTGTCTGCATAATCACCCAATGTAGGCTGTCAACATACTTGAAAACATTGGGTGCAATGTTTTATGAGATATCGCGTTTAAATAAGCTTGATGCAAAGCGGTGACCCCAATGTCGTGGTGACCCCTTGAAGATGAAGACATTGGGTACAAGGTCACCCAACATCAGTTTAAAATGTGAAAAAGTGCCATGTCTTGAAAATGTCAAGGTCACCCAAATAATGCCCTAATGTAGGCTGTCACCAAATTTGAAGATATTGGATACTACAGTGCATGAGATATCCCGTTAACAACAGTTTGAAAAGTGGGCAGTGTCGTGGTGACCTTGAAAATAAGGTCAAGGTCACCCAAATCGACTGGTGTCTGCGTAATCCCCAATGTAGGCTGTCACCAAATTTGAAGACATTGGGTACAACAGTTCATGAGATATCGCGTCAACAAGAATCAGGACGGATGTACGGATGGACATTGCTGAATACATAGTCCCCCCGTTCCGCGTTGTGGCGGGTGACAATTAGCGGGAATCCCGCAATTACAGAGTCTGGCTGCAGCACTGCAGAACACTCTCACAAAAGTCAGTCTATAGCTAATAAGAAGTGGCTCAGATGACAATCATAGCCATTAAGTCTAGTGATGAAGATATAGTGATACATGTCCTAAACAAACCCAACATACTGATTTCCCTATGTTTAGAAAGAATATGCATTGCTAACTCAAATTTGAGTGCCTTATCTTTCATTGAACTCTGGCATCACTGGAGGATGATTGCATTGAGTTTTTGTTAAAAACTCCAACAGTAACACAGCTATGACAGCCATTTGACAATCCAGTGATTGACATTCTGAACATCAACCATTCTGATATGATGCCATGCCTGAGGAAAGTTGGATCATCACAGGGACAAAGCAATATATGACATTGCATTGTCTCTGCACATGTATTATGTGCATGTTTTATTTACACTCTAAATTAGTGAGTGAGTATGGTTTTACGCCACTTTTATCAATATTCCAGCAATATCATGGCATGGGACACAAGAAATAGGCTTCACACATTGTACCCATGTGGGGAATGGAAAACCGGGGTCATCGGCATGTGGAGTTGATGCTCTAACCATCACCGACCCTAATCTAAATTAAGGACACTAAAATATAAACATAATGATGTTTTCATATGTAATATATTTTCTCTCCATGTAAAAATATATATCAAAATACTAGTTTACATATTTATGAAATGGTACCGGTTTGTTCTGTTATGCAGCACTAAGAATATTGCAGCTATGGGATCATGGGCTGTAAATAATCAACATGACCAAGTCTGGACCAGGCAATCCAGTGACTGTTGATATACTAACAACCAAGAAACCGAGTCTGACCACCCAATCCATAAAGTGGTCCTTATATGACCAGCATAGGTTTCAAGGGACTAACTCTAACCTCACAGGGAGATATGATAAAATAATCAGGTGTACATACAGTGAGAGTTGAAGACACAGTGGCTTCCTGCACATCTCCCACAGACATCTCATCAGACCCTGATGGCACAGATACATTTCGCCGTTTGAATAGCTGGCAAAAAAAGGGAAACAAATTATTTCGTCTGAAATGAATAATCAGTCATTGAGTAAATATAAATTAGGAATCATTGTTGTTGTATTAGCACAAAATGAAATAAATGAAAACAGTATTCTGACATTTGAAATTTTTTTAACTTGAAACATTTTACAGATTTACAGTAAAATCTTACTAGCTCAGTCTTCTGGTACTACTACTTTAGAACTTCAATGGGTAAGGTAATGAGTGCAAAGTATATGCTAAAGTATAGAATGGATACAGAAACAAATACTTATTGCAGGATGCACAATAGCATTCACTGTATCAAATTCTTGATAAGAAATATAAAGGTCCCAGTAAATGGGCATAAAGGTAACAAAAGTAATCATCAAATACTAGAGTACAGTATTCTACACCATTTCATTACTTAACAGAACCCTCATATTTCTAGTAGGTGAGGTGAGTTGAAATTGGGTTTAACGTCGTGCTTGAGAATATTTCGCTCATATGACGACGTGCATGCGTGTGTATGTGTATGTGCGGCTGCTTGTACTAGCCCAGACTTAAGCTGGTTTATAGTGCTAGACCACTGAGATACCATGCCACAGTTAAACGGGAATGCCCCATTCAGACACATTATACTGACTCCGAGCCGACCAGTCCTTGTTGTACTCAGGTAATGCCGAGCGCCAGGCAGGGACCAACAAGTATGATATTTTAACGTCTTTTGGTATGACACAGCCAGGGATTGAACCTGTGACCTTCTGCTCTCCGGGCAGATGCTCTCACCACTACACTACGGAGACGGTCATTTCTAGTAAGGACTCTTGCAAGTAGTAAAGTTTAAAGTAGTGTAGGGAACCAAATTACTTGCTAGGTTCCAAAATGATCAATTACCGACCAGCACACTCAGACAAGCATACTTATAATCAAGGATTAAAAAATTTCTAAATCTGCATTTCCCAGAAAGAATGTCTACTAGTGCCGGGAATTGGTTAAAATCTAATAATTGATGATTGGTCCATTACAACCGATCAAACATCGAAAATAATTGGTTAGCGTCATTTATCAATGACATATTTTACATATTTAAAGGATGATTAGTACGTTAGGAACACCAATTTCCTGGATTCGTTAAGATAAATTCAATCATGACTTGGAACGAGCTTGTAGTGCTTATGAAATGTAAATGAAATGACACAGACAAAAACAACCTTGTGAAAAATATTGTTAATGCAAACAAGTGTTCCAAGATTGGTTGTGTTCGATTATGAGAAAACATGTTCGACTGCTTGGTCGTTTAGTCACAGCAACCAATCTTTGATTACTTCAATTAATCGGACCACCACTAATGTCTATGCTGAAGAGATGTTACTGTTTATGTTCAAAGGAAAATCTTGCAAATTATCAAGGAATAATTTACTAAGTAACTCTTGAGAATGAGAGAAATTATTTATTTCATGACGCTGTCCCACCTGTTCATCTCTCTTCTGTTTACGGAGTTGGATTCCTTCTTCCTCTCTTCTACGTCGTAATTCCTGGGAGTCAAGTGCTTTGTTTTTGTATGATTTAAGTCGGTGGTTAGCAGGTCCAGGGGCTTCCGACATCTGTACGCAAATAAAGAATAAAAGAATAGGTGGTCAAATGGATTTATCTTTAAGTAAGGTGTTATTAATTTTAGGGTGAGTTACTTCTAAAGGGGTGCCTCCATGGTACTGGTGAACATGGACGCACAATTCGGACAAACACTTGCACGGATCAAAGTCACTGGTACTATAAGCTCCACCCAACACCATCAGAATCACATTTGCATAACCCAGTAACTGAAGAACACATACATGCCAAACCTAAATAAGTCATTTTAAAGTCAATTTCCATATAACTTGAATAATAACTCACCTGATATCATTCCCAAACAAGCTACATAATACATTTACTGAATCATAAATGTCTCATTGTACTGTCAAAAACTCCTTACTCCAGGATGAATTGTAAACAGTACATTCTTCCAGTATCCCTATAGAGTAGTAGTAGTAGTAGTAGTAGTAGAAGTAGTAGTAGTAGTAGTAGTATATATAACTATAATCTGACTTTGACTTTTACCCTTGTTACTATTATTCATACTGGTCATTGTGTGTGGTTTTGCATGAACTTGAAGTGAGGTAAGTGCTCTGATTACTATTGATTACTTTATCTATAAGAAGAGAGGGATATAGCTGTGGTTGCTTCTTCTGGGTTTTTAAGCTTAGAAATTAAATTGCAATTTGAATCATTCATTTCAGGAAATGGCGTTAAGAAATCTTGAAAGTGTTTTCATCTACTGGTATGCCAGGAATACTAAGGTGAACCAAACTTGATTATTAGTTCAAAAACAGATGAGGCCTAATGAGAATTTTGTTCTCATGAATATGATGAGAGTATTCCATTATCATCCTGCATGCAGCAACTCTGTAATGAATAAATGAGCATTTTTTCATAGAAATAGTACCCGTGAAGAACCGGGTTAGAATTGGTCTTCAGAAACTCATGCTTGTCGTAAGAGGCGACTAATGGGATCGGGTGGACAGACTCGCTGACTTGGTAGACACATGTCATCGTATCCCAATTGTTAGTCTGTCTCACAGTCCCTGAACCACATTATTTTCCCTACTGCCTAGCCCTCCTGCAATGCTAAAACCCTAAATAAAGCAAGTCTAGATTTCCTTAGGTTCTGAATCTCTGGTCTCCCCTGGGGCTCCTTTTCAATTTAAATGAGCTTGTTTGTTACTATCAAAATTATATATATTCAGAGACTAAGCATTAGTCTACCCAATTGTGTAGAATGATGCTCATAATATTTTTCACTGGACTGTCCGATCCAGACTTGATTATTTACAGACTGTCGCCATATAGCTGGAATATTACTGAGTGCGGCGTAAAACTCATCCTTGATAATCTCCAGGGTATACGTTCCGATAAATCTCCACTAGTACCCTGGATGCATCTACGGACGGATAATTGTATTGCCTCCCATTGCTGCCTCCACCTTCTCACAGTAGCCAATCAGATAAGCCTTTACAACTGAGCTTGCCAGTGTCAACAAGGATGGCAGCTGCAGCCGTGGATGTTTGATAGCTGTGAGACTCAGATTTTGGGAAAAAATCATACAGACAAATTGACAGGTCTGAAACCTTCCAAAAATATATTCAAGAACTCCTTCTACCTCTTAACATTACTGTTTACCGAAAAAGCAGAAGTAATTTATGATAAAGGCCTTGTGATTGGTACGCTCAACTTCCCAGCGTAGACACCTGACTGGATAAAAAGCCAGCAAAGGGAGGTAATACAATTATCGGGCTGAACCGTAGATGCATCCAGGGTAAATTCTATTGTCACTAGCCATCATAGTATGATGCTGATACAATCAAACTGATTGCATTTTCAGAAGAAGTTGTATGTTGCTATGTTCCAGTGTCACATAGCTTGATTGGTAGACAATAACAAATTTATATTAAAACGTCAGTAATCAAATAGTAAAACACTGCTATCAGTTGTCAATCCCATGGCCAGGATCGTCTTTATATAAGTTATATGCATGGTATCCCACAAACCGTCCATCAAAAGGTTATCTTTTGCCAAATTCTGTACTGTAACTGGAAATGGTTAGTGCTCATCATACATTAAACGTATTTGCTCTTTTATCCTAAAAAATAAACATTGTAGGCCTATAAAATAAGAGAGAAAACTGTTCAGACTAAGAAAAAGAAAGATATATAGACTGCCGGATTCAAAAACTTGTAAACATAAAGTCACAACATGAGTGTCTGTGACCTATGATCATGGGCAATGGAAACAAGTGATTGCAGAAATATGCATGTTTAGTAAACAGTACAACTGCTATTGTTTCTGGGACTGTTAGGCATTGCTTTAATAAAAGTTCCTACTATATTAAAACAATGTGGTTATTTTCAAATCAAAATTCAACCTGAGAATTCATTTTTGGTGGTCTTTGCCAAATTACATCAATCCTTTTGACACAATAATGCAAAATGGTCAATATCACACGATAATAACAACTAACACAGTTTACAGCATTTCATTTCATCTTACATAGATGTGTTGGAAAGATTTCCGCCCGTAACCCCCGTTTTTATCATTCTATGCCTAAGATTTATAGCAAGAAAATATGTTTTTTTTTAATGAAAGCCTAGTAACCCTAACATAATGCTAAATCTAAGTCTAAACCTAAACCCTAACCCCTTGAAATAATCATAATAAACAGAATACATTTCAAGCGGGGGTTACGGGTGGAACTCTTACCCAGAAAACGTTTTGACACAATGAAGGAGACTGTCCAATTTTGTACGATACTACAACTCAAGCAGTGTATATGCACTCTCATGTATAGTATTTTTGTTTGCTGTGCCGTCTGCAGCCCTGCCCGTGTCTCGAACCCAAACCTCAACATCACACTTGCTTACATTCAACGCAATAAATAATATAGATCATTTGACATCCCCAGATCACATCACAACAAAACGTACAATAATGAATCCATTACTGATGTTTACATGTTGCCGACTTCCACGAACAGCTGATAAACACGCACTTTGTGGCTGATCGTAATGAACACTTTCTGGGGAGCGAAGTTGTCATTTGATAGTGATTGTACGACCAATACACACCAAAGCGCATCCAAATCTGAAACAATTGATTAGAAAATATATGTAAAACACTTACGTCTGTTGGCATTTACCGATCTAGTTTTGTCTTTGCTGTAAATTCGCTGTTTTATCACTGAAATAACAAGCGTGTTTTCCTTTCTTCCCGTTCGAAACCTCACTGAGCATGTCATTCGTCGTATTTCTAATTTCTCAAAATTAACGTTAATTGATAGTGACAATGGACACTTATTGACTAAATCATTCCAAAGTAAAATATGAGGGTATTTATGAGATAAAACAATGTTGTTTTATTATTCTCGTAACTGCGAGATTGTTGAAACAAACATGGCGGCGTCCAGTGACGAGGTCACATGTGATGACTTTCTGGGTTTCCAGGTACCTGACAGCTCCATTTAGAACATTTTGTTAACGGTATCATTTGCTTCAAGGCATTTACATCGTACAAACTGCCAGTTTTGTTGTATATTATACAAATGGTCTTAAGTGTCAAATAACTGACTATTTACATTTTTGCAAATGCTTTCTCAACTACCCGAACGCGAATAATCGCTTGTATCCGATTCTAAATAGACAAATCGGAAGGCATCAACACGATAATGGGCATGGACCTTATGTTTGAGGAACTGCAATGTATTTGATGAATGACTAAGCCACTGAGTGAAATGGCATTGCAAGGCTTGTCTTGTCTTGGCTTACCACTCTGTGTACTGCTACACAGGCTCTTAAACTGTAAGGATTTGGATTTGTCATTTTTTCGGCAGTTGCACTTTCTTTTTAATGGGAACGCTCATCTAGATCCGATTTAAAATTCCGGGAATAATGCACTTTTTCGGATTTCACTTAGTGTAACATGGTGGATAGAATTCACTTGAAAAGCATGAAGTCAAGTTAAAGTACTGCCAGAAATGGAAGAAAAACCTGTTGTTAGGCTGTTACTCTGTATCCCTATAGTTTACACAATTGCAAAAAGCATATGTCGAAATAACCCACATCGCCCTAACTGGGTGTTCAGTGGGATGCATAATATGATATTCAGAAAAGCATATTTACTCGTAAAATCGGGCAAAACTCAGAAAAAATATGAATAGCTGCTGAAAACAATAGATCAGACTATAGATGGCAATTGGGTTGCTCAGCCAGGTATGACGACGCCCTGTCGACTCACTGGCATGGGGGATAAAGATATAAGCTGGCATGGAATGCACGTGCTGCCTACAAGCAGAAGGGGTCATCTCAAAGATGTTTCATGCTTTCACATGTGTGTTGAATATATCTTATCTATTTATTAAGTCTTACGTGTCTTTCTTTCATAACGTTTATGTTGAGATATGTAAAAGTGTATGATACCCATAGAATATCTTAAATCAGCCATCGTATTAAATGTTTCAAAATATATAGGTGGCATGACCACCAGAAGATCGACAGGACTGGATATTTGTTATGACATGCTGTTTATTTCCCTAAGTTTAATTGCCCTAAAGGGTTATTTTATCTTAGCTTATATCTTTATCCCCCAGCCCGACCCCAACCACCGTCTGCGAGACCCTCTCAACATATAACGGATTAGTTATGTTCTAACATGGTCCATCACTGGAGTCAGACTCCAACGTGGAATATGTCAGAGGTATGACGATGGGTCTGACACGACTGACCTCGATGCCATCACTCTGTTACTAGGCTGCCTTGATGCCCAGGACATGGTCCTTTGCCTTTTGCCATACTAGTGGTGTAATTCTGGCAAATGATGCATGGATAAGATCTTTGACCTCGGATGTGCTGTGACTGGCTACAAAGGCCTTACAGTTAGCCTGGATCAGCTCAATCGGATTCAGCTCACAATATCTCTCTGGAATCTGCAAGACAATATGGCCATGCTGCTGTGCTATCGTGTCTGATCTGTAGACCTTACGTTTCCTCTGCTGTCTGATTTTTTCCATGAGCTGTATTTTGGTTTCTGGATGTCTAAAAGACACCTTGCACGAGGTCAGAAATTCTTGCATTTGAGTCTTACGGTAACTCATTTGTGGGGTCACTGTTTCTGGTACACTGAGGTTATGATAACTGGCGTTATCCATAACGATAGAATTGTCCAGACAGGGTAGGAGCTGACATTCCATCCAGTCAAGGAACACCTCACCATTCATGTCCTGGTGATAATCGGAATCACGTGTACCAGATGAGGCGTTTACCTTTACCAGATGGAATGGTTTGGGCCTTTTTGCATGAACCATCTGGCGGTAGCCACATGTAATCTGTGGAGTGATTTTTGTTCACCTAGGTCTCATCGTAGTATACTATCTGAAAACCCAACTCCTGGTTTTCGGCGATGCTTCTGAGATGGTTTGACCTGAGGGTGAGGATTGAATACTGTTCACGAAACACTCCACGATCATCTCCCCATTTTTTTTACCTAAACCCCATTTCATGGACAGCAGTGAGTTGTTCCAGATGCATTAATGGTATTATTGATCTCTTCCCTGATGGTACAGAAGGTTGGTGGTATCTTCCTGTCATACAACTTTTATACTGCCCTCCTTATGATCCCCTTATCAAAGCTATCCAAATTGTGTGTGCGTCCTGGTTTTGCTTTTGAGACGACCCCTCCTACCTGTTTGTTTATGGTAGGCCCAGGGCTGCACTAGTTCTAGGACATATGCTGTCATATCAAAAGAGAGGTTTCCCCCTGTCCCTCTCCTGACATTAGCAATCAGGGTATCCATATCAAGAGCCATGCTTGTGATTGCACAAAACACAGTGTGAAATATAGTGATAGTGAGACTCCATGGTAGCTACAGTATTAAAGTTATTATTTTTTATGTCAGCTATTGGTTATAATGAACCTAAGTCTAATTTCAAAATGGCTATTTAAAAAGTGTCCTTTGTCATGGTCTCTTCCAAATAAGTTGCTTTGGACCGTAGTGCTGATTTCTGCACTAATCTCTGCTCAGTAAAGTCCTTTTTTGTACGTTTCCTATCTCCCTACCACTGAGACTGTAGTTAGGCCAAACTTAGTTTAACAGATATTTCACACTTTCACATATTAACTACATAAATTGTAGATATAAATGTGAAAAAAAGTTTTTTTCTATTTCCGACAGTACTTTAGGTGCCTTCATTAATCATGTTAGTAGTTAGTGCTCAAATCTGGATACAAAAGTTTCATGTTTCCTCAACTTGGGATGGATTTTTTCAGTTAAAGGTCACATAAACCCTAGGGGGTACAAATACATAAATCACTAACTGGCATCGTTATAAATGAAACCCCGTCATTAAAACTACTCATTTCGACCTTTAATTGACTTAAATCGACCTTTTTGACAACAGTGCACAATTCTCACCCGCGAACGAAATTTCAACCAATCAGAGCGGCGCGCGTCTGTGACGTCATATGAGGAATAGCTTTGAGGGCCGATGCAGAATTCATCTACATTTTAGGGGTTAAATTATCATGTTTACAGGCTTGTATAAACCTGAAATCGTGACAATTGTTGTGGAAAAAATGAAAGCTATATGTTCTCACAATCTACTGTCATTTAATTTTGTCTCCTGCTTCGCTTAGTTTCGAAGTTACAACTTGTTTTCATAGACGATTCTGTCAAAATCGATTGGTGTCAGATTAGGCCCTATTTGTACAATGACTGATCTAAATTGATCCCATTTCTGTGTTTTTACCTCGATATTTAATCATGTCATGTAAAATCTGTTTGTATTCTCAAAACAGTGTCGGCCCATAAGTTTTCACATGCAATACAGCAATTAATACTCCCTTGTTGTAACCCGTGTTAGGTGGTATAAACCTACACATGTTATTTGTCATCATTCCCTTGATGGTCAGTTAATGAATTTATAACAGGTATAATTAGTGGTAACACACTTAGATTACCCGACAAAGGTTCCCATTTGGCATTTCTTGTGTCTGGAGTAAATATTCAACATTATAAACATCGATCAAAGGATTAACCGATAACACGCTGATTGATTAATTACTTTTATTTTACACAGCGGAATTGTCAAAGGTAGTGTTTATGTATGTAGATTTACTAATCTATACTGAATACACTCTGCCGTGGTCGGTGTAGTGCGTGAAAAACAACGTGCTCGCTCAAAGGATTAACCGGCAATACATTGATTGATTGCCCATTATTGGCTAACTAAATTACTGTTTTAAAGAAAGGCGGACATTATGCAATTAGTTGCCAGGTGTGCTATCTTGGGTGACCAATGAGACTATACACCAATACCTGAAAAGATTGATCACTTTTCAGGTATATTAAACTGTTAAAAGACACATCATTTGGAACAGTTTTGTGGATATTGATGGATACATTCCTCGAACAAGGTAATGGCCTGATATTGTTCCTATAACTTTAATCTGTTTTAATTTTAATATTTGCATTTGTTTTTATTCATTTGTCGTAGCATTCAACAGAATCATTGTTTTCGCCCGTGAAGTGTAATGAGACAGACAACATACACTAGGGTGTGTGTGTGCGAATTATGATTCACATTGGCAAACTATAAAATGTCTAGCTATTACAGTTCTGTTATAAATTCATTATAAGTATCAGCAGATCGTCTGCTTTTTATTTAGTTTTAAAATGCATACAAGTATGATCACAAACTAATTAGGATTATAAGACCAAATATAAAGACTATTACATTGACTAGTATCTACATACTGGTGAGTGGACATTAACCATGTGAATGTAGCAAGAAATTTATCGCAAGAGTATTGTAACTTCGACCCCACCTCGCTTCCATGGAAGAAATCGTTATGTTATAAGTTGTGTCATCGCGAAATCCGTTTGGTTATGATTCCAATACATATTTAACTACTGAGTAGAAAGTAGTTTTGATTTTCTAACTTGATGAAAACAAACTATAATCTCATTAATTCTAACAGACTTTACGATTTTCAAAATGGCGCCCTGTCGGAACATCCGCCAGTCTGAGGATAAATGCTATTTAGATTTGTTTTCACCGAGTTACAAAATCAAAACTACTACTGGTAGTAAAATATGTATGTTATTGATGGCCAATAGGATTTTTGCATGACATAGAGTATAACATAACAATTTCTCTCCTGGCAGCGCAGGTGGGTGTCAATATAATACTACTTACAATATTATTGTTACTTCGACCACAACCTCACTTCGAGGAAGAAATCGTTATGTTACAAGTTGTGTTATGGGAAATCTTTATGGCCATTTATTACCCAAACCTTTTTGGCGGACTTGTACCCAAATATTGGAAAACCTAAACCCATTCATACCAAAACACATACTGTAATCGTAGTTATTTTTGCGTGGGACTAATTTTCGCGCTTTTAGCGCACAAAGATCATGCGTCAAAAATCATACCAAGCGAAATATTCATGGTCAAGTCATGACAAATAATCAAGTAGGAACAACATGCAATTTGTTTATTCTCTCAGATAACAACATCTAAACAATATATAAAGGAATAGAGGCATATATATTAGTAGTAGTGATCACAATCAGCAAATGTTTGTTATCAGTTTGTCAGTTAATTGATAGCTGATTACTCCTAATCACAAAATGAACGAAGCTCACTTATGTCAGTCACAAGTCACAATGTTGGCACAAGTATAATCCCACCTCTTTCTGATTGTTTTAGTAAACACGATTCAGTTATGGCGGCTAGCTTTGATCACTGCATGTCTATCGGTTGGGAAAACCTTGTGATGGATACCATCACTCAGGTGTTTGAAATGCAGGGAAAAAACAACTGCGCTAACAGGTCTTTTGTTAACTTTCCGCGAAAATTGCACCCTGTGAAAATATATACGATTACAGTAGTTGTCTCTTACCAATCAAAGTAAAACTGTACCCAATGAAAATATATATAACTTAAATAATTGTTTATCTTCTAAACTGCATCAATTACCTAATGACATTATAGTAAAATAGTGACCACCATTATATTCAATGACACAGAAATGTTTGAGCCTGTTGAGACGTGGTGACCTGGATGTGTTTACGACAGCTTCAGGTCATTCACTTCTGTAAAGACAACATGGGCTCCTCCTCTGCAATATGGATACAAGTTGATGCAACAACTTGTTCTCCTGTATCTTATTGCAACCAAATGTAGAGGGAGTCATCAAAAGTTGAACATGCGACATCATGGTTTGAGAATGGCAAAGATTCAATTTATGAAGCACATTCACCATGCATTTTTCACTTGTACTTCTCAGGAAGCGTTAAAGAAGTGGAGGTTTATCGATGACCGTATCATCTATGCCCTCAACACATCACTGCCCACAGCTTCTTTTGCAGCAGAAGTGAATGCAACCAGTCAGTGTAAACATCTTTACAAACAGGTACAACCCTTGGTATATGTATGACTTTAATCTATAGTCATCTCTGCTTGGCCCTGGTATAGAAGTGGTTTGTAGTAGGAGAGGACTTACTGGATTAATCAGTCATACACATGGTGTTATCATAAACCGATGATGCAGATCGTTGCTTGTAATATCAGTCAGTGGACTGATTACTTGACAGATCACCATCGTGTAGCTGAAATATTACTGTAGCCAGGCATTAAACAACCCAAGAAACTAATCTTTGAGAGTATAAGCCCTTGGAGAGGGCATAGAATCAATGGTGCAGAGTTACTCCCCTTAGATGTTCTAGGATCTTCTGATTGTGTGTTGTCCTGGTTTACTTCAGGCTTTCTCTCATATTTTGTTTTGAATTCTTCTATTTAGTTAGTTGAAACGTATGATGGCCGAGAACAAGCCATTAAAAAGTGTGTGCGTACAGTATCAGCAGTAGTTGGTGATCTCCAAAATCAGAAAAAGGCGAACCCGGACAATGCTGAAGTCATGAAGAGGCTGAGCAAGGAGAGAACCAAAGTGTGTACATAGTGTTTAATACAACAATTGCTAGTGCTCTCACTGTGGCTGATTGTATAATCAATTCTGTTACATGAAAGGAGCCTTGTGGTGGAGCCAATTTTTCTGTCCTGTTGGCAAATTGCTAAAATGGCATTTACACACTCACTCAATACATGAACACTCCAGTTCCAGAATGATTATTTTGTGCAACATCAAAAAACTTATTGACATTTGTTTTTCCTTCTGGCTTACCTTTGACATTATGTGTAATCAGCAATACAAATTACTGGTAATCATCAGACTAATGGCCTCAAAAGGCCTGGTGTTATGAAGACAACCATTGGCTCTTCCAATTAATTCCTTTTCACAGAGTACTATTTAATCCTCTCCATGACATCTATTCAATAGTCCGATGAAGTTATTTGCAATTCAAGGGGAGCCTGTTTTCTTTCCAGCTGCGTCTCATGCAGGCTGAACTGAACGTAGAAGAAGTACTACGGGACCGGAGTATGAAAGTAGGTCATAGTCAGTCATTTCGTGTTTATGTATGTTTGTTGACACCTCATATAATAGAGCATATTGACAGAATTAACAAGGTTTTGTTTGCTTCTTGTTGAACGGCACATATTCCAGCTTTATGGCAGAGGTAGGTAAATAATCATGTCAGGGCCAAAACGATCCAGTGATAAACAGCATGAGCATCAATATAAGCATGTGGTATATGATGCACGTCAACCAGGTGAACAATCCTGGCCACTCTATCCCATTATTTGCCTCTTACGACAAGCATATTAACAAGTAATCAAGCAATGTTTATATGTATCAGTCTGATCCTTGTTTCTCATTAGCCCTGTGGTTCTTGGACAGAAGATAGATATGCTAACACCTGTCTGTACAATTCACCCATGCTTGTTGTAAGAGACGATAAAATTGATTGGGTGGTCAGACTCAGTGACCAAATCAAAGAAGTGGTCCAACTCTGTGACTTCGTCGTTAGCATGTCATGAAACTCGTCATCATGGATCATTGTTCACTATGTCAATCACTGGATTGTGCGGTCAAGACCCGATTGTTTATTGTCCCCCGCCGCAACGCGGAACGGGGGACTACGCGACCGGGGTACATTGGGGGATTATGCAGACACCAGTTTATTTGGGTGACCTTGACCTTATCTTCAAGGTCACCACGACACTTTGACCGCTTTTCAAACTTATTTAAACGCGATATCTCATAAAACATTGCACCCAATGTTTTCAAGTGTGTTGACAGCCAACATTGGGTGATTATGCAGACACCAGTCATTTCAGTCTTCTTGTATATGACCAAAAAATAAAAAGTAGTAAATATAGATATTCCATTCTTTAGCGGCTGGGGACATTGCCATGTCAGTGGCAAACACTTGTTCAGTTTATTACTCAGGTATTTTCTTGACCTGTTACAAATGTAAAATATAAATTCTTGGTTGCATTGTGAGTCATAGCGTGGCCTATTCGTCAGTAGCGCTAGCTTACAGGGTACATTCTTTCTTTCAAGCAAACCTTGCATGGAGAGCAATTTAGTTCTATTCCTTTCAAAACTGTTGTATTTTCTGTGAATCTGTTGTTTATTTTGTTCTCGAATTCGTGATTGATGGTAAGCTCTTCTTTTTTCCAGGTATTTTATGAACGATGTCGGACAGCCTATAGGCCTCCTTCTGCTCCGATAGTATGACAACAGTTTACATAGAGTGTGAAAGTGTGTGCCAGTCAGTCACCCAGAATTTTACCCAAAGACAGAGTACTAACCTTTATAGTTAAGGAGTAGAGATAAGTTTGGGAGTTGTTTCTTTTGCTGCCAAAAGATGTTGCGATAGACAATTGTTAGGAAGCATTAATTTATAATAGATACATTTTTGGAGCAGTAATTTGTAATCATGGAAACACTGATCTTTACTGTGTAGCAATGACGAGTCATGTACAAGAAGTGGATGCTAGTGATGTATCAGGGAACTGTGTATTTTTATTGTGTGTCAGTAATAGTGACAGGTGAGAATTATCAGTGAAAGCTGTCTTCTTCATTATGTTTCATGTTTCGGTAAGTTCTGCAAACACAATATACATCTGACTGAGCATAAAATACATGTATTGGAAGGCTCTAAGCATCTCAACATTCAGACAAATCTTGTATGTCAGGCCAGTGCTGATAGACTACCATAGTTTGCTGCCATCTGTGCAACTGCATGGAACTGTAAATATTGAATCAATTTTATCTAGTACTAGTACTTGGTATTAAAAGTGCATTTCAAAATGAACTATCAAAATAAATGAGAATATGTACTCAAGTAATGTGTGAGCAAACTGTGAATTGTTCAACTTCTGAGCTGACATTTTTCATAACATCATAAACGATGTGTGTCACATCCAAACGTACTACATGGGCAGTGTGTGAATGCCGCCTGTATGATTATTTCAGTTGGGCTAAAGGTTCTGATCTGGGCTGGTGATTGACATTTGGTTGTATGTTACAGTTTAACACATTACAAGCTGTGTTACTGAACAAACTTTGACTACCCATGTCAACATTGTGGGGATGAAAATAAGACTTGCATTTTTAAGCCAGGAAATTTGAAAGTTTTAATTATTGTTTGTGGGTAGCTTGTACACCCTGCCTGTAATATGTTTAAGACTATTTAACACATTGCACATGATTATCATTTTGTGGTACATGTTTCGAGTAATTGTCTACAGTCAAAGAGAAGTTTAGACCTATTCAAATAGAGAGCGTGCATGTCAGGAATGCCTAAAATGTGATAGACCAAGAGCAGTCTGTGACCAAGAGCAGTCTGGGGTATATCCATGGCATGTGTAAACCAGATGTGAAATGTACCCTGGCTGAAAGTGTGGGTATCAGTGTGACGGGTCCATACTCCCATGGGTCAGGTATAAGACGTTACTGTGTACTAACATAGTGTACTTTCATTCATCAGCTTGTGTCATATTGATTGAATGGAAGATTGGAAATGTATTATACTAGAGAATATATTTGTGATAAAAACAACTTGATTCTGTTGTCATGTTATGAGTTGCCACAATGTGGAGAAGTCCATTGGACTAAAGCTGCGATGGGTACCTGATGATGGAATGGGTACAGATGGACTCAAGTCCACAAGGAGGGAGAGATAACTCTAAACAAAAGTTGTTGCCAGAAAGATAACCCTTGTCAATATTTCACTACCATTTCAGCCCTTGGGCTGATATGACAGGTGAAAGGGAAACTGTCATATCATAACCATTTTATCATATACTACATCTGTAAATATTGAGACAGTAAAAGGACCGAGCTGAAGTACTTTATGATAAGTTTCAAATCACCTTTCATTTTTTTACGGTGTCGACATTCCTCATACTATCGATGGATTACAAAGTATCTGTTTCATTATCTGTCCTGTCCCGTAGTCCTGATGTCAACTGTGTTTTCATTATTTAAAATTTCGTCTAACTCCATGATTCTGCCAGCAAGAGCAGCCAAACCATCGTTGCCAAGATCAGAACTCATACTTCCACCATTTCTTGATGGACAGCAACTGAAGCAGACGGTGCAAGGGACATAACTCTAAAATAAACTATACTCCATCTATTGAAGCAATCTATTGAGCCATTGTGTGTATTCAATCCGTACCAGCTTAGTAGCTGGGCAATACGGCTGATATGGATTTTGGGCCCTTGGACTGATATGGCTGATATGCATTTTCGGCCCGGGTGGTCAGTATGGCAATATGCCGATAGCCGGTATTGCATGTGCATAATGGTCCATATTATTCAGGTATATGTTAATAATGGTTTTCATAGTGCTAGCCCACAATCAGTTTAACACAAATACCAAACTCAAACAATATACCACCTACAACTATGTTTGAGTTCTCCCATAATGCAAAGTGACGAGCCTCCAAATTAGCATGTTAAAGGACCACCATTGTGAAATATTACCTCACAAAAACTTACAATGTTTTTATTCTCTCTTATTGCATCATTGTGCTCACAACATTATACTGACAACAAAACAGTCAGTGTGAAGGAAGGTGACAATACATTCATATAATATTGAGATTAGATCAGTCTTCAGTACAGAGCTGATCTGATTTCAATGAGATAGAGATTACACATACATGATACTTGACCTACATTTGTGCCATAGTCAAAGACGGAAAATAGCTTTCAGATGGGTAAGACACTGAAATGGCTGTGAACATCAACTATAACTTTCACAGTGATGAGAAACAATGGAACAGAATCTTAAAGGGCTGTTCTGATGCAGTCCTTACAAAGAAAGTACCAAACCTCAAGCTTACTCAGCTCTGCTTGCCATATTCTCGAGAAAGAGACCGCCATATAGCTGGAATACTGCTGAGCACGGCATTAAGCAAAACCCACCAACCAAACCAACTGGGAGAAAGGTATATGCTTCAGTGGTCACACCAGTTGGGCAAGCTTCTCATGTGACCAGAAGTTTGTAAACGAAAGTACGGATTTTGAAATAATGAGGTTTTAGGATATTTTCTGAATGAAAATAAAACATGAAAAACAATATCTTGAATGGACTGAGTAAGCTGTGGTGATGTGGCAGAGGTACGTGGGCAGCCACAAGAAACTATGGGAAGAAGACTGTTTAGCAACATGACTGGTTTAATACAGTTGTAGCATTTAACTTGTATGTTTTGATAAACACTTTCTTCTAACCCACTCAAGTATTGGTTGTTTTTTATAACTCATTAATAAGAAAAATACACAAGTTTTCTATTTCTCAACAAAAACATGACCAAAGCCAACTATTGTACAACGTCAACTTTACTGTGCAGATCTGTATGTTTCAGTTTGAATCATGCATGAAGTGAAGGTATGACGTCACTGCAGGACGTTTTGTCATGCATGATTCAAACACAGACAGAATGATTGACAAACTTTATACATGTGTGCCTTTAACACCCATTATTCACAGAGTTTTGCAAATCCAGATGGAACTGTTTGCTATAAAATATACTCCTCAAAAGAAGTCAAAGAACATCCAGTGTTTTCCAAAGAATTCTAGTTAGTAATGCCCAACCTTCACCTGTTGGTGTTCTTCAACTTAGTTTGATTTTGTTAGCAATCTTGTAAATAACCGAGTCTGGACCAGACAATCAAGTGATCAACATCATGAGTATTGATCTACTTGGTTGGGATACGGTGACGGGTCAGGGAGCCTGACCAGCCGATCCCGTAAATCACCTCCTACAAGCATGGGTATAACTTGTTTTGAGAAGTATATGACCATCATATGATCTCATTACCATCACTAACAAGAAGAGCTGCAAAATATAAACCTTTTTATTATTGTTATAAATATCTATTGTTGTATATTGTGGTAAAATCAGCTTTGGTCACACTGATCATGGAACACCATCCATGATTGTCATTTTTGGGTCAACACAACACCTAGAACAGGCAGCTTTGAACACTTACAAAATATCATGATAGCCAAAAATGACTCACGGAGATACATGTATATTTCATTTCCGTTCATCTTACCATGGTAATATATAACAGATCTGTAACTTTAGACCTAGAATTCAACACACCTATTCTCAATTTGTTTTGTTCTTAACTGAACCTTGTTCATTATCCTGTCAGGAGATAATGAGACAATAATTTGTGGAGTATGTTTATGTTTTCTTGTCATCTCCTTCTTCTCTCAGCTTCTTCTGCCACTCCAAGGACTGTCTAGATATACTCTTGCCTTCCTTAGCCTCCTTCTTGCCAACATAGATCATTAGAAAACATGCCATGATTGTCGCAGCTCCCATTCCCAAGTTCACACGAATTCGGAACCAGTCTCTGGATTTCAGAATCTGAGAATGTCTGAAATTGGAAAAAAAGTATTACGTTATTTCGAAATCGATAAGAATATTTTTTGAAGTTGTATCAGTGAAGACAGACTTGACTTATGGATTTTTTAGTCAAGCATCGTTTTTGGAGAGGTTGTAAAGCTACTGTGTACTTGGATGTCTTCTTGAAAGGACATTACTTTATCTAGTATTTACTGCAGTTGATAAGGCAATATATACACCAAGTTCTACTACCGTATAATGGACAATGTTTATTAACTTGATTCACATTCATAAGGATTATATCAATATTTATATAAGATATGCCAGTTTTCATTTAGCCATTGCAAATTTGTGGTGTTTTGAGTTCTTTAAATAATCGACATTGAATGAAGGTCCAAATGACCCTGCAGTCAAATATAATTTTGCATCAATTTGTTAGGTGTGAACTAGTTTTACTGAACATTATTGTCAAAGACATAAATTGGTGTGACAGTGACTGATTTATTTTGATAACTGATCAGCTGGGATGATCCAGACATCAGTTCATGAGTTTACAACCATGTTCTGAAACAATTAAAGTGAGTAAGTATGGTTTTATGCCGCTTTTAGCAATATTCCAGCAATATCACTCTACCAATGTGGGGAATTGAACCAGGCCCTTCCGTGTGATGAGCGAACGTTTTAACCATTATAGACTACTGCTTTTCTTTCAGGTGTATTTCTCAGTATGAATGTACCAGAGAAGCGGATGTTAACTGTTGAAACATACAACATATAGTGAGTGAGTTTGGTTTTCCATGGCGGAGGACATCTGAAATGGGCTTCACACATTGTACCCATGTGAGTAACCATAATGGTTTTCAGCTTGACAAGCGAGCTCATTAACCACAAAGCTACCCCCATGCTCCATTCAGTGAAACAGATGTTAACAAATTGTACAACAGATATGACTTACGACACTTCTTTAGGCACTGCCTCCACTGAGGGATAGACCTTCTGGAGAACTAGAATCCTTTTGTCCAAATTGGAAGGACGATGTGTTCGACCTACTGGTCCTGGTCGACCTGAAAAATATGGCACCTCTATCCTAGAATTCTGCACAGTCATGTGTCTAACACACAAACGCCACTGACTATATAGTTCACTAACCAGCTGTTATAGGGTAACAGAGAAAACCAGATATATATTTAGATAACATTGAAAGACTCGACTGTCAGTAAACCAGAATACTTCAAGGCATGTTTGAACAGTAATAATAATAACAACAACCAAATGGCATATACATACCAGCATTTACATTCTGGCAAAACGATCGGCCTTGATCTTGACAGCTCCGAGACGTGGGAATCAATTCACGACATTTCAGCACAGTCGATTTATCTTGGACTTTGTAACATCTTGAGCTGACTAGCTGCAGGAGATCTCGTGCCCATCTTCTGGAGGGTGAGTACAATGCCATTGGAGAGGTGACGGAGACAAGCAGAATCTATGTACGACCCCTGTAAATCGGTCCCTTGTAAGTCGCGTTGACTGACCTCCAAACGTGAGCGATTGAGTTTCCGGGGAATCCCAAGTTCCTCCATTTAAGAAACGAATATTTTCATTGGCTGTCATTTTGCAGCGCTTACTTAAATACATTTGGATTGGGTGCCGTAGAGAAAATCCCTTTTAGTGCGTATGTTCCAACACATCCTCATAGATTAAAAATTATAATGCTGTCGAGAAGAGGGTTCTCCACCATGCCGGTGTCAGGGAATGAATCTGATATGTAAAGAGCAGGAGAGTTTGTCTTATACTCTCACTGGTATGTAACCGTGTTGTGATGTATATGGCATGACCGAACATAAGCGAATGTTTTCTTTCAAACGAAAATGAAAGTTGAAATGGGAAATGGGAAGCAATGTTGAAGCTAATCTACATAGATTATTTATGAAGTGTGTGATTGTTCGCAATTATGACAGTACTCACGCATTTTTCATTAAGTAAATTACTTGACTAGTATCATATGTCCTATATATAAGCCGCATGTATTATTCAAAGAATAATTAATAGATACATTTCTAAATGTCAAAGTTGTGAATGATTGGAGAAATCTTGCCACCTTATAATCATTCCTAAAGGTATGTTAAAGCCTGTACTACATTGTTCTTACTTTTTTTTCACTGTTTAAATGTTAAATTGATATCCATCTATTGCAAGACGAGAATATTCATGTTTAATTATTGTGGTATTTGAATTACAAGAAATGACCTGACATGATCTATTCAATGAAATTCTGTGTCATTTTGAAACTATTTTCCATCATCAGTCAATGCCATTATAATTGCTCTTGAAAGCCTTTCATGGGGTTTGGTTACATTAGATTGTGACTATAATTATATCATGACTCATTAGACATTTTTGTGCAGAATACTATGTGTTTAATTATATGGAAATTTGAACAGCTTTGTTTTAGAAATGGCTGAGGGGAGAGTTGGCAACACCATGGAATCTGATAACAAGGACAGTACATTCACCTGCATCCTGTGTGGGAAGGGGAGTTGTCGGAAGGTGAAATGAAGTTCCATATTATGGTAGAACACATTGAGGAAAATGTCTGCTGCCCGTTTTGTGACCAGAACTGTCTCACTCCTGAGAAGCTGAACTGTCATATAAACGATGAACATATGGATTTGCTCAGTCCTGTAAATCGGGACTCTGATGAGTTTCCTGAGTCCAGTGACGCCAATGGAGAAATGGTCATAGATAGTTCAGACACAGAGTTTGATAATAATGAAACTTCAAAGATTATCATCAACTGTGTGAATGACAGTGAGAGTTCAGATCAAGGAAACCTTCATGAAGATGGAAGCAGAAGGATTGTAAAACAAAATGAAAAAAACATAGAATCCAGTCAGATAAATTCACAAGGTGATGTCACATCAAAAACTGATGTTAAACGTTCAAAGCTTTACTTAGATGTACCAAAGTCTTTCAATGGTGCTCAACAGCGCCGAAACAAGTCTTCAGATGGTTCTGAGGACATCCAGGCTGCACCAGTTGTCTCCCTTGCCACACCTGATCACACGTTTCACTGTCCAATCTGCAGTTACAGCACTGGTTCGGAGGTGTTGATACAGCAGCATGTCAACAGTGAGCACCGAGATATCCTCAGCCCAATGAAAGCACAGGACCAATCTACATCGGAAGACAAATATGATATGCTGTATTCTTGTCCAATCTGCGGAATGAGTTTTGATACTCCACGGACACTAGAACTGCATATCAACTCCAAACATGTTGATATTTTGAGTCCAAATAGTAACAAGCACAAGCCACCGACACCAGGTGCCCAGTCAGCAAGTTCAGGGGAGAATGGTGACCTGTTGTACTGTCCGGTGTGTGACCAGGAGTTTGGGGACACCATCACTCTGTCTGCACATGTCGATGGCCATTTCTCAGCAGAGCAGACACCAGGTAGGTGATCACAGAAAAGTCTAAGATGTGATTCAAATTGCCCACAAATCCAGTATCTGTAACATGTTGACAGGTCAGGTATCTTTTTGTAATGAAAGGAACATTCAGAGCTCCAGATAACAGGTAAATATACAAAATCACCATGCGCCAATTATTTTTTAGATGCTTGCATACAAATATAAATAGAAACAACAACCTCACAGTATAAACATACTGTCATAATTCCAAAAGTAAACAAACCCAATGTCTTTCCAGATCCTTTCAAATTAATTACTGCAAGGAATGATACACATAGGTGCACTAATACTCATGTGATAATGCAAAATAGTTACTTTATCCCAGGAATGGCTGCATATTTACACAAGTGTCAAAAAGCAATTTCCCATGACGTTTTACAATCTTGCATTCTCATTTATTATGGAGCCAGCAGTATTAGATGTGTGTCGAACACGCCTTTGTTGATGACTACTCAAAAGTGCCCTGTATAATTCCTGCCAGTGTGTAACTAAGGAAAGTTTGTCAGTGTGGAACCAAGGTGTGTTCAGTTAATGTAAATGTTTTGAATGTTTGTATAATATGAAGGTATATTTTCTGTCAGTGTGTAACTGTACTGTGTGTTCTGTCAGTGTGTAACTGTACTGTGTGTTCTGTCAGTGTGCAACTGTACTGTGTGTTATGTCAGTGTGATACTGTACTCTGTGTTCTCTCAGTGTGTAACTGTACTGTATGTCCTGTCAGTGTGTAACTGTACTGTGTTCTGTCAGTGTGTCACTGTACTGTATGTTCTGTCAGTGTGTAACTGTACTGTGTTCTGTCAGTGTGTAACTGTATTGTATGTTCTGTCAGTGTGTAACTGTACTGTATGTTCTGTCAGTGTGTAACTGTACTGTATGTTCTGTCAGTGTGTAACTGTACTGTATGTTCTGTCAGTGTGTAACTGTACTGTGTTCTGTCAGTGTGTAACTACTGTATGTTTTGTCAGTGTGTAACTGTACTGTATGTTCTGTCAGTGTGTAACTACTGTATGTCCTGTCCATGTGTAACTGTACTGTATGTTCTGTCAGTGTGTAACTACTGTATGTTCTGTCAGTGTGCAACTGTACTGTATGTCCTGTCAGTGTGTATCTGTACTGTATGTTCTGTCAGTGTGTAACTGTACTCTGTTCTGTCAGTGTGTCACTCTACTGTATGTCCTGACAGTGTGTAACTGTACTGTGTGTTCTGCCAGTGTGTAACTGTACTGTATGTCCTGTCAGTGTGTAACTGTACTGTATGTTCTGTCAGTGTGTAACTGTACTGTATGTTCTGTCAGTATGTAACTGTACTCTGTTCTGTCAGTGTGTAACTGTACTGTATGTTCTGTCAGTGTGTAACTGTACTGTATGTTCTGTCAGTGTGTAACTGTACTGTATGTTCTGTCAGTGTGTAACTGTACTGTCTGTTCTGTCAGTGTGTACTGTACTGTATGTTCTGTCAGTGTGTAACTGTACTGTATGTTCTGTCAGTGTGTAACTGTACTGTATGTTCTGTCAGTGTGTAACTGTACTGTATGTTCTGTCAGTGTGTAACTGTACTGTATGTTCTGTCAGTGTGTAACTGTACTGTATGTTCTGTCAATGTGTAACTGTACTCTGTTCTATCAGTGTGTAACTGTACTGTGTGTTCTGTCAGTGTGTACCTGTACTGTATGTCCTTTCAGTGTGTAACTGTACTCTGTTCTGTCAGTGTGTAACTGTACTGTATGTTCTGTCAGTGTGTAACTGTACTGTGTGTTCTGTCAGTGTGTAACTGTACTGTATGTTCTGTCAGTGTGTAACTGTACTGTATGTTCTGTCAGTGTGTAACTGTACTCTGTGTTCTGTCAGTGGCCGAGATGTCTGATGCCCTCCTTGCAGAAGAGCTACAACGATGTGAGACAGCATCAGTGAGTCGGGAGAAGAAAGATTTCAAGATGCTTCAGGTGAGATTCGCTTTTCCCATCTCCTATTACAATGTTTGCTCTACTGGTAAACAAGGATAAGTTGGACCAGTGTAGAGAACGTGTTTACGAGAAGTCGTCGTTGTACGGCAATGAGCAAACCCATTTGGTTAGAGCAGATGTAGGCTAGTGCATTGCATGCCAATGAAATTTTTTACGCGCGTAGCTGCACACGCCTTGCTCATAAGACTCTCACGTTGGTGTAGCAAGTCGCACTACACTTGATCGCGGACAACCTGGCGCACCTTCGCTAACAATGGCAAGTGCCAGTGGGTGGCACTCATACATGCTGATACGGGTCAATTGCCAGGTCGGTGCTCAACTTATCCTTGTTTGCCAGTAAGTATGAAAAGAAAGACTGTAACTGTTTGAATCAACATTAGGAGTAAATCATAAATGATTCCTGCCCTTTGTGTCTGTTGATGCAGGCGATGTATGGAATGGACGAGAAGGCCAGCTACAAGCAGCAGTACGAGAAGAGTCTGGAACGAGCAGTGTGGAAGGGGGATCTCACCATCTCTGAGTTCTACCAGCAGAAGACTCGGTTACAAGCCAGTGATATGAACGGAGTGGATGACGGACATTCCTGTACCAGAGGTAGGTAGACACAGTGATGTGGAATGTGTTCTGTTGTTAGTGGACAAGTAGAGAGTTGAACTAGAGTCAAGACAACAGGATCTCTTGAGAGGGAAGGCCTCCACTATCTTCATGTAAGTGCAACCACTGGTGTGCCGAGGACTCTGTTATTATTTACACTCTGTCTTGATCTGACTGAAACAGACTTCACTCAGTTGAAGTTAAAGATCACTCAAGTTTAAGGTTATTTGTCCAGAATGTGAAGAAACCATGATTTCTGTCGATATTATTGAGATTATAAATGGTCTTGTTATTTCAGGCATAATCCCTCACCTTCAGCAGTTCTATAGGAAGTGCCCTGGCTTTGTCAATCAGGCCTGGCTCTGCTCTTCTGTCGACCATTACAGTGGTTCCTATGGTGACAAGGGCTGGGGCTGTGGCTACCGTAACCTACAGATGCTTTTATCTTCCCTTTCATCAGACCCAAACTTTTGTAAAGTTCTCTTCAATGGTGAGTGATGAAGTGTAATAACATTTTTGAGGATAAATGTTTTGTTATAAGGGATTTGACAAGTGAACAAGTTTATTCTGTGCCTTGTGCATACTCCATTTTTCTAGTGCACACTTTTCTGACATTTTGTCTCAAACTACAAGAACTATGAAGCTGTGCATTAATGATCACAGAGCCACTCTCCATTTTCAAACATGGCTGCCATTGTTTCCTAATAATTTGTGGATGTGGTATTATATAATTGTGTCCTTCGACTGGAAAATAAATAAGTGTTGCCTTATGTTTGCTGCAACATCATGGCGACACTATACACATTTTGCCAGGTCGCCCACTTATCCCGTCCATCCCCAAGATCCAGCGTCTGATCGAGGCAGCCTGGGAGAAGGGTTTCGACAAGCAGGGCTGCGAGCAGCTCGGGGGGCGTGTTGCCAACACCAGAAAGTGGATAGGTGCCACAGAGATTGTGGCCACTCTGTCTTCCCTCAAGATGAAGTCAGTACCTCCCTTGTGTTACTGCTATATGTACTGACTACTGTGGAAACTGTGTTGAGGAATGTTAAAAGATTAATATGGTTTTGATAATATTAATGTATGAATGATATTTGAGGATATCCAGTAACTTTGAAAAAATTGAGCATTATTGACCAGTGTATGAAATAAGCCAAAACCCCAGCCAGGCATCTGGGCTGGTAACTTCAAAAACTTACCAGCCCAGAAGAGATTTAACCAGTCCGTAAATCCTAAATAGACAGTGCCAGTGGACATGTTATCTGAATATTTTTTTCACCTGTCCATCGGGCTGGCTAGCTGTAAAATTAGACCATCCGGCAGAAATCTAGCCCGTCTCAGGCGGTCGGACGGGCCTTATTTCATACACTGATTAATCATTTAAAAATTGAAATATCCCCATATTTCCTAATAATAATCTCCTGTAGCAATAAAAGCAAAAGCAAGTTCTAGCTTATTTATTGATCTTTTAACTTGTTTTTTTATGTTCTAGCTGGGGTTTTTTATGTTGTAGTTTGGTTTTTTATTTTCCTGATTGTTCAATCAGTAGGATATGATCACAGTCAGGAATAGACAAGTACCGGTAAACATCTCTCATTTCCAGATGTCAGTTGATCGACTTCCATTCACCATCTGGCCCTGATGGGACACACCCAAAGCTGTTTCAGTGGGTGAAGGAATACTTCAGCCGTCCTGGCGCCTTCAAGCCCCCTCTCTATCTCCAGCACCAAGGTCAGCGAACACCTGATCTCAATTATGATTCTTTGAATTCTTAGATTTGACCCGATTATGATCCTTGCTGAGTCAAAACCATGAGTGCATGGTAATTATTAAGTGGTAAATGTCGATGACCTGCATTGTTTGTGTCCATCTTCCTTCCTAAAGCTTACATTCTGTAAAGTGACTGTACTAATTTTGTAAGTGAGGTTAAATCCATCTTGGTGTAGTTTTGTTCACCCTTCACCTCTGCCTTGTCACTCAGTACTCAATGTTTTCAGGTCACAGTCGGACAATTGTAGGCTATGAGGAAATGCGGGACAAAACTGGGCGTCTACTTATATTTGATCCCAGCACTCCTAAGAAACAGATGATTCAGTTCACTGGCTTCATCAATGGCAACATGATGAGAACTCTTCGTCGCAACATCAACGGACTCCGAGCCAAGCAGTACCAGCTAGTTGCAGTAGTAGCTGTGTTGTCTGACAAGGAGTATGAGGTGGGTGAGTCAGGGTAGAGAAGGGTGGATGAGGGTAAAGTAGGGGTGTGTCAGGGTGGAGAAGGTGTGTGTCAGGGTAGAAAAGGCCGGGACAGGTTGGTGTATAGGGTGAAGAACGGGTGTGTCAGGGTAGAGAAGAGTGGGACAGGTTGGTGTAGGGTGAAGAAGGGGTGTGTCAGGGTAGAGAAGGGTGGGACAGGTTCATGTAGTGTGAAGAACGGGTGGGTCAGGGTGAAATAAGGGTGTGAGTACAGTGGGTGAGGTTAGGGCAGGGTTGTGTCATGATAGAGAAGGGAGGATGAGGGTAAAGTAGGGTTGTGTCATGATAGTGAAGCATGGACAAGGGTAAAGTAGGGGCATGTTGGATAAAGTAGAGATGTGTCAGGGAAAAGTAGGGGTGTGTAAGGGTAGTGAAGGGAGAATGAGGGTAAAGTAGGGGTGTTTAAGGGTAGTGATGGGTGGACGAGGGTAAATCAGGGGCATGTCGGGTAAAGTAGGGGTGTGTAAGGGTAGTGATGGGTGGACGAGGGTAAAGTAGGGGTGTGTCAGGGTAGTGAAGGGTGGGCAAGGGTAAAGTAGAATCACCGCCGGAATTAAAAAGCAGGGGTGTGTCAGGGTAAAAGTAGGGGGTGTGTGGGGGTAGTGAAGGGTGGACAAAGGGTAAAAGTAGAGTGTTGGGGTAAAGTAGGGTGTTCTCAGGCAAAAAGTAGGAGTGTGTCAGGGTAGTGAAGGGTGGGACGAGGGTAGGAAAAGTAGGGGCATGTCGGGTAAAGTAGGGGTGTGTAAGGGTAGTGAAGGGTGGACAAGGGTAAAGTAGGGGCATGTCAGGGTAAAGTAGGGGTGTGTCAGGGTAAAATAGGAGTGTGTCAGGGTAGTGAAGGGTGAATAGGGTAAAGTAGGGGCGTGGCAGGGTATATTAAAGGTGTGTCAAGGTAAAGTAGGGGCAAGGTTAGAGAAGGGTGACGAGGGTAAAGTAGGGGTCAGGGTAGAGAAGGGTGGATGAGGGTAAAGTAGGGGTCAGGGTAGAGAAGGGTGGATGAGCGTAAAGTAGGGGCCAGGGTAGAGAAGGGTGGACAATGGTTATGTAGAGGTGTGCCAGGGTAAAGTAGGGGTCAGGGTAGAGAAGGGTGGATAATGGTAAAGTCAGGGTGGGTCAGGGTAGAGAAGGGTGGATGAGGGTGAAGTAGGGGTCAGGGTAGAGAAGGGTGGATAATGGTAAAGTCAGGGTGTGTCAGGGTAGTGAAGGGTGGATGAGGGTAAAGTAGGGATGTGTCAGGGTAAAGTAGGGGTCAGGGTAGAGATGGGTGGATGAGGGTAAAGTTGGGGTGTGTCAGGGGTAAAGTAGGGGTTAGGGTAGAGAAGGGTGGATGGGGGTAAAGTAGGGGTTAGGGTGTCAAAGTAGAGGGGTGTGTCAAAAGTAAAAGTAGGGGTGTGTCTCAAAGTAAAGTAAAGGGGTCAAAAGTAGAGTAAGGGTGTGAAGGGTGGACGAGGGTAAAGTAGGGGTCAGGGTATAGAAGGGTGGATGAGGGTAAAGTAGGGGTCAGGGTATAGAAGGGTGGATGAGGGTAAAGTATGGGTCAGAGTAGAGAAGGGTGGATGAGGGTAAAGCAGGGGTGTGTCAAAGTAAAGTAGGGGTCAGGGTATAGAAGGGTGGACGAGGGTAAAGTAGGGGTCAGGGTAGAGAAGGGTGGACGAGGGTAAAGTAGGGGTGTGTCAAAGTATGGTTGGCTCTAGCTGATGTACAGGATTGTCTGTACTGTGTTATTATTAAACATGTCCTATGCCCAAATATTCTGGTTTTGAATATAGTCTGAAGTAAACCTTTTAGAATTTAACTGGTAAAACTCACACATATATTCTTTCACCTCTGCTTTTAAAATGCTTTGCTTTTGAGTAATAGATCAAATTATTTATATGAAAAATCTGAAACTAAAACAGATGTAAATCTTACTGAAGAAGATGGCCTTTTACAGGATCAAGGTATTTTATTCAATACCTAAAACACATAATGACCAACCAAGCTGTGATGTTGAATTGTTTGTCTATTTCAGGAGAGTAAAGTAATGAAGTCGGAGCGAATTAGTTGAGAGTTATCTCCCTTAGAGGCGCTTCACAAGTATATTATTTAGCAGAAATCAACTGCTGCCTCCTGTCTATGCACAAGATGTCCGAGTGTGTGAGAATATCCATCTGTCATCATCCACATTCATCATAGAGGAACTTTCAGTAGTCAAACAGCCGGGCATGACAGTAGTATATTACAGATGTCTCTCAAAGTATACATATCTGGTACTGAAACAAATGAGGCTGCCAGGCAGAATCAGCCTGACAAAGACATTTTCAGGGAAACTAGAAGTTTAAAGGGGCATCAGAAAAGTTGAATTTATTATTAAAGCAACAGTTCATTTATTTAACTCCAAGTTGTAAAATACTAGAAGTTAAAGAACACCTGATTGTTTTGTATTAGTGAGTTAATCTGTCATACCTGGACATTTTAACTATAGAAATAGGAAACAATGAAAGACATGGGTGTTGTTTAACTTCTCTTACATGGCATATATTGTTCCAGTTGTAATCGGGGCAGTGGGGTAGCCTAGTGGTTAAAGCGTTCGCTCGTCACGCCGAAGACCCGGGTTCGATTCCCCACATGGGTACAATGTGTGAAGCCCATTTCTGGTGTCCCCCGCCGTGATATAGCTGGAATATTGCCAAAAGCGGCGTAAAACTGAACTCACTCACTCCAGTTGTAATTGATTACGCAAATAGGACAATGTGTAAGTACAGACTAAAAACTGGCTTGAAACCTAGGAGTCCCTCGCTAACAGAAAATATATCTTAGGTCAGGGGGCGGTGGGGTAGCCTATTGGTTAAAGCGTTCGCTCGTCACAATGAAGATCTGGGTTCTATTCCCTGCGATGATATTGCTGTAATATTGCTAAAAGGGGCATAAAACTAAACTCACTTACTCACTCTTAGGTCAGTGTTCATGTCTGGTAGATGAACCTGCTCTGTGGTATCAGCCTGCTCTGTGGTATCAGCCTCCATTCTGTTCTAAATTGAAACAAACTTGTGTTAGATTTAGCACATTAAAAATAGCATTCTGAAATGATAATTTATAAACTTCCCATTTACCTTTTTCAATGATGTTGTGAAAGGGACCAGTTCAAAAGTTTGATGTGGTATGTAAATCTTTATTCCCCATTTATAGTTGTGAAAGATGTGGGATGTAAATCTTTATTCCCCATTTATAGTGGTGAAATATGTGGGATGTAAATCTTTATTCCCCATTTATAGTTGTGAAAGATGTGGGATGTAAATCTTTATTCTTCATTTATAGTGGTGAAATATGTGGGATGTAAATCTTTATTCCCCATTTATAGTGGTGAAATATGTGGGATGTAAATCTTTATTCCCCATTTATAGTGGTGAAAGATGTGGGATGTAAATCTTTATTCTTCATTTATAGTGGTGAAATATGTGGGATGTAAATCTTTATTCCCCATTTATAGTGGTGAAAGACTATGGCCTGCAATGCAAGCTTTGGAATAAAATCTACCTGATTTCTTAATGTTTTACATGGTAACTAAACTAAGCAAAGACACCAATCATTTTTCACCACAAGCTCGTAAACTCTGTCAGGTTGAACTGAGACAAATATACTTAAGCACCTCTGGTATTGTAAACTGTAAACCAAAAGTCACAGTGTCCTGTAATATGATTGGTTGAAAAACATGATCGAATGGTATTTGATTCCCGGAAAATGCAAGACCATTCAATGCGTATTGATACGTACAAACATCGCACACACCATTGTATTGTTACGTTGTCAGCAGTGGTGACGTCATTCAAATCACATTGTGACGTAAAGTCCGAATGACGTCACAAATGAGCAGTTCCAGATGCTACCATGGGAGACAGCCGAAACGGCCGGCTGATGACATTTCACTGCTGTACCCGTAATCGATGTCAATGAGTGCAGACACAAAAACGTGTGTGGACCTTTTGGTTTACTTTTGTGTTTACAATGTCGATAAACACCATGTGTTGGCCAATTTCCGTGTGTTATTGAGTATTTGAAGCACGGGAATATTTCATTTAAAAACCTCCGGCTAATGCTGTCGGTTCCAAATGAATTCATGTGCTTCAAATGCTCAATAACACCGGAAATTGGCCAACATATGATGTTTATCTCTTAACTGTAATGCTGTAGGATTTGCCAAGGATATCCTGTCAGGTGTTGGCATGACATACATCCATTCCATTTATGAGATAAAGTTTGCCTTTGCCTTCTTCATGCCAGTTTGCTTTTGAGCATTACAAGGAAGTCAGTGTTTTCAGAATTAAGTTTGAGGCATGCGGGATGTTTCTCAGATTAACTGAACTTTTGATCTGGTCCCAAGGCTTGACAGCGTTTATGTTATTTTGTACAAGGCACAATTAGCCTGGCCTGACATTATGATATTTTTCATGAAATAATATAGTGTAATATAATAATTTAGGTTTATCAACAGAATATTTGTAAATATGCTAGATTATGTGTATAAGATTGTAAATGTTATTAGTGTTATAGTGGATACTGAATATGAAGGTTGAGTGAACATATTCAAATGTGCAATAGAGCTGCTGCTTTGACAAATCATTGATACATTATTGCCTCTTGGGCAGTGATCTTAACAACTAGTATGATGCAGTATACCTTTTGAACGAAACAAAAGGCTTCCTGCACCAAATTTCAAGCAGCCATTGCCTGAGGGGAACTTTATTTATGTTTTTATCCTAATACAGTTGTATTAACATGTACAAAACGCCATAGGGTAGCCATAGTCTTATTTTCATGAATGGCATTCAACAATAATTTGTTAGTCAGCTGTTTGTTGACCAGTGCAGCTTATTAACAATCATCATCATCATCATCATCATCATCATCATCATCATCATCATCATCATCATCATCATCATCATCATCATCATCATCATCATCATCATCATCACCACCACCACCACCACACACCGCCACCACATTTTACCCTAGCTGCCAACCACTACCAATTGTTGGTGGCAAGGAGGCCCATTGGTCACAGGAGCCACAATTACATGAGAAGAGTGACCTCCCTTGTTCCGTTGTTTTTCAGCATTGCTTCAATTTACAGGCTTTCTTTGAAGGGTTAATGGTTAACGTCTCATTTGGGACATATTTTCCATATTAAGAAGACATATTGTCAACTTGTTATATTCATGAAAAAAAATACACATGTGATGAATAGGGTATACATGTGGAATACAGAAAACACATGGTATATATAGAAAAAATAAACATGGAATACGCAAGGTAAACACACGAGAGACAGTATATACATTATATTAACCATTGAATACACCACACAGTGTATACATGTAATGTACATGGAGTACAAATCTAATATACATTGAATATACATCTCATATACATGTACATGAAATATACATGAAATACACATGAAATATTTAGAATACTCATGTTTGTTATATTTGATATGCTTCAAGGTCCATGTGCACAAAGTGATCATAGCACTGTAGATGTTGAAACTGATGCTTTACGTGATACATCATATATTTTTGTGGTTTAAGGATTTGCAGACATGAAAAATAACTCAAGGAAAATAGAATTGAAATGACTTTCTGATATTTTGTATTATTTCAGCAGACGCTAATGGTATGAAAACATAGAAATAAGGTAACATGAAACATCACTTAAAAATGTTTCTGCTGAAAAGAGGAGACCTACAAACTACATAGCAAGTTGGCTTGTTGAAGCAATGTAGACCAATAAGACTAAGGTTGAACAGTCATTTAGGCTGAAATAGTCTTGTGTGCAGTTAAGGGTTATAAATTTAAGAAATTCAGAACTGTTAAAAAAATGCAATTTTCTATATTTTTTATTTTTTACCATCATTGACTAAGCCTTTGTTTCCTGCAGCTTTAGTGCCAAGGTCACTTTATGCCATTGAACCATCATCAGCAATAATGAAATTAAGCATAATCCTAACAAACAATGACAGTTTGCATGTACATCAGAGCTTCCACGTCACTGAACATTATTGAATATTGTGTAACATTCCATTTTCGTTATCATCCCAACCTGAACTGGACAAGTGTTCACATTGTGTACTTTCATTCAGATGTAACATAAATAGATATGTGTTATATAAAGTCTGAAGGGAACTGTTGAGCAGTCAGAAACTGAAATCATATATAGTCTGTTTGCAGTGAAAACGTACAGGTGAATTGCACTTTAAACAAAAATGTAAATCGAATAAAGTGGAATTAAGATTGCGAATCCTCATAATTCTACCTTGCCAATTGAACATTTAAATCTTAGATTTTTATTCAACTTATTTATGTGCATACCCCCTTGTAATACAAACCAATAATACCGATTTGAAACTATGATCGTTTGTTAAACAACTTTCATCCCAAGTTGAATAAAATTATCAGATTTAAATTTTCAAATGGCAAGGTAAAATTATGAGGATTCGCAATCTTAATTTCACTTTATTTGTTTTACTTTTTTGTTTAAAGTGAAATTCATCGGTACGTTTTCACCGCAAACAGACTATAGTTGTATTGTGGAGATGAGAATAGTGGTCCCGGTAGTAGTTTGTAGACAGCAGATTGGTGTGTGGGTGTGTCTGTGATTTGACTCAGTAGAGGCTGCTGGAATCAGGGTCTCCATATGCTGTATAAGATTTGGTGAGGATATTCTGGTACTTGATATTGCTGCAACAGCTATTGGGAATATGTATATGTGTCTATTTTACCTTTTAACTTAAGGTGTAAATGCTATTCTTTAGCAATATTGACAACAGGTCACATTCAGATGCCACCTGGGAAATCGTAATCCCTAGCAGAGGTTGAGTAGCATATTTGTATCTTGCTAGACCTCAAAATTGTGAAGTGGAATCTTGTTGAATTTACGGTCATGTAACATCAGTGAAACGTAAATGGTTTTGATAAGTGTTACTAGCTGATATAGATATATATCACATGTATATGTTTTTTTGTGTAATGAACTTTTTAACTGTTTTGTTTAGGGAATATGACTTAAAGGTAGACAGTACTTAATAAGACACAAAGCACCTTTGTTGCAAGACTTGAATAAATCACATTTGAGTGGGTAGTACATAAATCATTCCTTGGTAGAGTGATTACCTATACCAGGGTGCAGTTGTACAAAGAGATCTTTAGAGCTATGGTGATCGTAACTTAACATAGACTTTAAAAGGACAGTCTTAGTGCTAAGGTTGTTTGGTACAATGGCACCCATTACAGTAAAGAGAAGGCTACAACAACATAGTGTGTAGTAGCTGGATAGGTTGGGGTAGTGAGACTCACACTCAGTATCTTTACTCAGTACTAGTGTTGGGAATTGGATGAAATCTCACAGTTGATGATTGCTTCATTGCCATCGGGCAATCATCGAAAAAAATTGGTTAGCGCCATTTTTCAGATTTTCCTATCCAGGTTGTTATTGCAGATATGTATAACATGAGGCAACTTGCTACTTTAAAGTGATGACTAATATATCATTAACATAAACTTCCTGGAGTCTTAGAGAAATATTAAGTCATGACTTTTCAGTTAGTGAAGTAAGTTTTCTAAGAATTAAACACATTTTCAGGCCCTGACAATACTAAACACTAGTACAGTGTTTCCAAAATCGTCTGTGTTTGATTATGAGAAAATGTGATCGATTGCTTGGTCATTTGGTCACTGCGACCAATCTTCGAATTATTTCAGTTAACCGGAACATCACTACTGAGTACTGGTACCTCTCAGGAAGTATCACACACATGGTATGATCTGACACCAAAGACATTTCATGCTTTAATTCCTTGGCCGTTTATACTCTTGGATGTGAACCTGGTGCTGCTGTTTGCCAGCTGACACCGGTGGATTAGATATCATGAAATACTGTTGGAAGCTGGGTTCAAACCTTCTTACTCACTCACTCACTCTGCAACTAGTTGTGACTGTCACAGTGTGTGCCAAATCAATAACTATGACCAAATAATGGCAGACCGACCTGTGAGACAGAGGCTAAAATACCTGCTGTTTCTATGGCATTTCTAAATTTACTGAATGACATCTCCTTATACACAAATATGGCCTCTGTTACAACTCATGTTTTAAAGCCAGTTAATGAGAAACCAAGTATTACTTTTTGCTCAAAATATGAATTCTTTGTTTAGTGTTCCTGACTTGTACAATTATTTACATATTTACCATTTATCAAGACTTGTGTGTGGTTGTATGGTTGTGACCTAGTGTGGCTATAGTGTAATAGTTGTGTGCTGAATCAGATGTGAGTTGGTCAGTTGGCTTAGAAGATGGCTCCATATTCCATTATCAATAACATTGAGTGTTCCTGTGTCTTAGATAATGTAATGAAACATGATTAATCAGTTTACAATAGTCAGGTCTACCAACTTGTCTCAGTGTAAAGTAGTAAGTTGGCTTATGCCTGTAATGAATTCATGAAGAAATTTTCATCCTAGTATGTTTCTCCTCCAACCCTGTGGGAAGAGCTGGTTCTAGGACATAGAGTAGCATGTAGGGGTGATACATTCAGGTGATACATAGGGTGATGTGGGGATGATACGTTCAGCTGATACATAGGGGTGATACATTCAGGTGGTACATTCAGGTGATACATAGGGTGATGTGGGGATGATACGTTCAGGTGATACATAGGGGTGATACATCCATGTTGTACATGGGGATGATACATTCAGGTGGTACATGGGGTGACATTAGGGGGTGATACGTTCAGGTGATACATAGGGGTGATACATCCATGCTGTACATGGGGATATGTTCAGGTGATACATAGGGGTGATACATTCAGGTGGTACGTGGGGTGACATGTAAGTGTGATACATAGGAGTGACATGTAGGGGTGATACATAGGGGTAACATATAGGGTTATATGTTCTGGTGATACATATGGGTGACATGTAGGGGTGATACATTCAGGTGATAAACAGGGGTGACATGTAAGGGTAATGTTTCCGTTTCAATTTGGAATTTAGTGTCTTACGAAGGTTATTTTTTTCATTTTTTTGTGATAATATATTGTCTTAAGGAGTGGTTGTAACTCATAAGAAAAGTTTGTGCAAGGGGACCCATTTACAGTTACTTCTACTTAATGCCACACATCTTGTTGCTGCAATGGTTCTGTTTATTTCCTGTAATGCTGCAACATGAGTCCAGTGATATTTTATATGATCACCTTACTCATATTTCAGGCCTACTTACATGATTTCATTACATGTTCATGATTGCCCTTCATCACTATCACCTCTTTCTGTAACCTCGAAAATGGCTTGTTCTAGGACAGTCAGTTTCTAGCAAAATACATTTGTAAAAGTGAAATGCTCCCTGTCTCATTTATGACAGTGGATGAAATCTAATAAAGAATTTATATTCGCTGTATGGGAAATGTTTATGTGACTAATCTATCTTGTATATAGCTTCTGATAGGAAGTAAATGATCACTCAAGCCAAGTGGAGATCCAGTTGTACAGCCTCATTCTGATCGGACCAGCCTCACTCTGACTGGGCCAGCCTCATTCTGATTTGGCCAGGTCACTCTGACTGGGCCAGCCTCACTTCTTCCATTGCTTGCCTTTGAACAACATACACCTCATAATGAAGCGCATGATCTTTATCTGGTGTGATTGCTCATAATGGTGATCTATGTTTGTTTCATGGTTGTTGAAGTGAATGGATTCAAGAAATGATATTGTACATCACCTCACATTCTCAAATCCAGGGATATGGCATTCTGTGTGGCTCTGCTATTTCCATGGAGATCTAGAGCTGGAAAACTATTTGTTCATTGCTGACTTTGTCACAAGAGCTGCAATGCAGAGCAAACAAATATACAACCTACCTGTAGGAAAGTTTCCCAAAGCCATTAAATGGATCCACACAATGAGTCCCAAGCCCTGAGTGCAGATTGGCTGGTGTAGCCTCTATCCAGGGGGTTAGAGGAGATACAAAGCATAACATATCCCTGGCTTTCAGGATGATTACAGCACTTATACAACTGTTTTAGTGCTCATTCTGTCAACATACTCTTTTCAATACTTTGTTAATGAATTATTACTTGAAATTGGAATTTGTTGAAATGTTGGTTTTAAGCATATTTCATTGTCAGTGAGACAGTAGGATAAAACATGAGCAATAAATATTTGATGCCTTCTTGAAATGTGTTTCTCAGGATAATTAACTGATTTACGGTTTCATTCGTGTTGAGAAAAGAATTGCATGAAGCAGTACATCAGTATTTCTGACTCGCTGTAAAATGGTGAACAGGTGAACTTGTTAGAAATCAGTAATTGAAATGTTAAAACTTTTTCACTTTTCGGTATTGTTATGTTTCTAGAAGTGCAGTTATGACACCAGACACACACAGTATGTCGGGACCAGTCAGTTACAAGGTAGTGGTATTGTTTATTTGTTTAAGGTTGTTCTGAAAATTGTAATATACCTATTTTCAGTAAGTTAAGCAGCTGTATATTATTATACACTTATCCTGACAGATTGACTTGAATGAGTATGAAAGAATCATGAATTAAGATTAAAACCAAGAATGTATTTGGTGACCTTCTGAACCTTGTAACATATGACTGGTCTCAGTGTCTGGTAAAACAAAAAATGAAAACAAAAAAATGGATAAATCATGATTTTATCAATTATTTGTTGTAACTAGGGAACAGTTCCATCTGACTGTATGAGTTTGTGTATGTTTGTTTCATCACCTGCTTACAAAGCGACATGTCCATGTGTTAGTCTTCGTCTCAAGGTTGTCTCGTTTCTTGAAATGGATGTCTATCAAGACATCTAAAAATTACTTCATAGTGCTATTTTAGGACACTTTATTGATTTCTTTTCAATTCTTCTTGATGCTATCACCTGTTTGCATAAATCTTGATTTTATGGTAATAAAGTTGATTAACTTTACAGAGATTTTCTTCATTGTTGTCTTCAAGGTTACATTTGAAATGATTAATGTCTCTTTCAGCAATACTCAAGCAAATTGACGGGAGTTAGAAAATAACCAAACCTGGACAAAACAATCCCGTGATTGACATCATGAGCATTGGCCTACCCAGTTGGAATATGATGATATACAGCGACCATGTCACAAAGTCTGTCCATACCATCCCAATAGTTGCCTCATACAATAAGCAAATGTTGCTAAGTTCTAACCCCCATCTCCACAGGGTTTGAGTTTATTGGTTTTCTGGTCAGTCCATTCATGAAGTTTGGGGAGGCAAAACCTAGATCATGCTCATCTTTAGATTCAAACTTAACTAACACCTGGTGGTTATTCTGGTGTGTCAATACACAGATTTTCTTGAAATAAGTATTTTCTTGTCTTGAGTATTGCCACAGTGAATTAAAACAGCTTTCACTCACTACGAACTGCTGAGGAACTGAAAATAGGTATGTCAGCAATAGTAACCATATGAAATGAATGACGTGTAACATGTGTTACCAAATATATGTATGGGAACAGAGACAAAATGGATAGTGTCATTCCCTACGTATCACCAACAGGATCATTTCTGTAATTGTTTATCTTGTAGCTGAACAGAAAGTTTTAGTTTGTTAGTGTTAGTGTGTGTATTGTGTTGGGTTGTTTTGGGGCACTGACTCAGCAGGCTTGTAAGTAAGCCAGACCGGACCGGACAATCCACTGATATCCCGAGCGACAATGCACAATGTTGGTGCTTGTTGAAAAGTCATCAGCTGCATAAGTTGATGCATTAAGCTGTGTCATATGACTAGCGGAGGTTGCTAGGGACCAGCTCTAACCTGGCATTCCACATGTGGTGTAGATAGCCCTAAAGAAACTCCAGTAACATCTCAAAACTTCACTGTATTAACACAAAACATATTTTTTTTAAAATCATAACAAAATGTTCCATATTGTTTATTTAGCTTTATTTTCTTTTACCTTTTTAACTATGAAGCATTATACAAACGTCGTTCATTGTAACAAATAATTTCATCATGTCTGCCTTTTATACAGGAGATGATGTAAGTACATTGCCTATTCTCAATAAAACAAATGTAACTTTAATCAAAACATGGCTTAGACTAAAATACTGGCCAGCATCTAAAACTACATATATTATTGACATATAAAACTACAGGCAAACATTATACCGAATATTGGGCAAAATATGTTTTGAACCTTTATAAAAATCACAGTACAAAGAATCATATTAAAGCAGATTTATGACATCTTTTACTCAATTTAGAATTATGGGGAAATTTCAAAGCCAGTTTTCATGATGAAAAATACTCAGTACCTTTCATTGCAAAACCTCCATAATTACAGAGTTAACAACCGAGCAATTACGCTACTGTTGATTTACGTACATTGGACTGACGATTCCAAACTGTCAAATCTGGGACTCGAATCTATGATTATGCATGATCATGTGGAACTAGAGCATCATCTACGTAAGTACAAAAGCTATCTAGTTAAAGCACAGGTATGGCACACGGTGACTTCATTGACCAGATAGTTAGGGGAAGGAAGAAACAGTTATACAAATACAACATTTATTCCTCAACAAATCAGCAGATCTGTACTGTAAGACAGATGGAAGAGGATTCCTAGCTAGCACCCCCAACAGGAAGCACATCCAAGGATTGTTCACAACTCAGGTCTCACATGTACAGCAAGTGTGTCGCGGTACACCAGTCACAGACGGATTTCGATAGCCTTCACATTGGTGGCGAAAGGAACCTTGTTCTCTCCTTGATCAGCTAATACACTGGCCTCCGGGTTACCTCAAGATACACAGAATCCACATAGAACACAACACAGTTGGTAATCAATCTGAATTTCAGGTTAACTTTGTTGGTGTTGATAGATACTATAATGCAAAATATACAATGAACAAAATCGGAAGCATAGCTTGGTTACAGTCATATGTGACATTTTAAAAATTATCTAAAGTATATGATATTATTGTGGCCTCCAACATCTTGCTATAGTAGGTATAACAAGGAAATCTGTTGGAAGGAACTGACCATATTGTGAGCACATAACCTCATTCTTAAATTCGTATTTCCCACTGTCTGAACTGTGTTGTACCAAGCTTCAAAGCACAAGGAATCTCTTGCTTTTCATAATTGGGGCTGTTGGGTTTGTTGTCAATGAAACATACTCCAGCCACCTTCCTGTACGCACAAATGTACCCCTGCCATGATCTAACTACAAAAGTGCTCCCGACAAGAGGCACAATATCAATGCTGAATTCAGTACAAGTACTAGTATATTCCATATTTGTGTTGTCTGGAATTTTGGAATTTGAAACCCTATAATAATATACAACAGCAAATCTCTAACCTTGGTATGTATCCTGACACCACTGCTGCCAGCACTGTCAAGTCTGGGTACATTTGTGAATACAGAAAGTATCCTGGGGTTAGTTATGTATATTGAACTGTGCCTGGGATATGTTTCTGAAATACCTGTGACGACAACAACCTCAACATCCACACTTGGACATCAGCAACACGACACTTAAATGTGTCACTGGGTCTACTCTTACAAGCAGCGACAGCAGCAGCATCTAGTTGGTTGCCACAAATATTTTGTTCTTCCCTGATTTTCAAACATTCTTCATACATTAGTAATCATTAAATATTGAAATGATTAATTAAAAAAATCATTAACTTTATATATTTCAGAGGACTGACAGACTAACAAACTATGTCACCTGACACATGGGGGATACATGCTCCGGATACATGATATTGGTGTAAACAGGATACACGTGTAGTCGTGTTGATCATCACATTTTGCTAGATAGTGCTTTCATGATACATGATGCATGCTTTTTAAGGCAGTGTACCAGTGCAAATCAACTGCAGCCATGACAGTCCAACACAGCAGCCTTAAAGTCACCAATTCCTGATGTAGCTAGATTTCAGTAATGTATCTGGACTACAGCACTGTGTGAAAGATGATGGTATTAAAGCTATCGATGTCATTAAGGATCCTGGAGAATACTACAGATGGATGTTCCAAGAGGACATTCCTAGAGCATAGCACTGAAGCACTTTCCCAGCACTGAAGCACTTTCCCAGGGGATTGTTGCTAAGGAAGAGTACTGCAGGATATTCACAGAGGACGTTCCAGGAGAATATTACTGACAGATATTCCCATAGAATGCTCCTGGAGTAGAGTACTGAAGAATATTCATAGAGGATGTTCCTTGAGAATATTACTGACATATTTCCACAGAAGGCTCCTGGAGTATAGAACTGAAGGATATTCATAGAGGATGTTCCTGTAGAATATTACCGACACATGTTCCCATAGAATGCTCCTGGAAAATAGTATTGTAGGATATTCACAGAAGATGTTCCTGGAGAATAGTACTGATCAGTGTTTCCAAAGAATGCTTCTGGAAAATAGTACTGCAGGATATTCATAGAGGATGTTCTCGTAGCATATTACTGACGGATGTTCCTATAGAATGCTCCTGGAATATAGTACCAAGGATATTCAAAGAGGACCTTCCTGTTGAATATTACTGAAGACTGTTCCATGGTATGTTTCTGGAAAATAGTATTGAATGATGTTCCCTGTGGACATTCCTGGAGAATATTACTATAAAATGTCCCCAGATGACAATTCACAGAGAATATCCAAGAGAATAGTTTCTTTAGAATATTACTTGAAGATGTTCCTGGAGAATATTTTTTACTGGAATATGGTCCTGGGTAAAATTCCTGGAGAATGACAAGAGGATGTTTCTGAAAGATTCCAACAGGATTGCTCCTGGAGAATATCAGAGTCAGACAATTCTTATGTTGTTTAGACATATATCGGCTGAGCATGTATGTGAGCCTCCTGTATTTCTCTCACGAGGAGGATTCTATTGAGCATCTTGCTCATGGACTCCGTTGAGATGGACTGTGTGGAGTACCAGACAGGACTGTCCGGAACACAACTCCGCTCAGGGACCAGGTAGAACATGTCATTCCTGTTCTTAATACTCTCCGGGCTGAAATGGGAAGAGAGAATTGAAAATAGCACAAATGAATTATTCAGACTGAAATAGTTCAGTTAGCAGGATTTACTTATTTTACTTTTTTCTCCATTTTACTGTTAAATTTAAGAAATGATTGAGATAAAGATATTTGTTTACGCCTTGAACCTATTGCATTATGTAATGATATCATGACATTGCATGATCATTGCAGGTGCCTTGACTGTGAATGAACTGGTTACCTGGAGCTGAAAAAAACAATAATATTTTGATACTGACTGCTACACACCTATTACAGAACAAAAATCTTACGAAATGCATTTCCACCAAAAATATGATTACCACATTAGTTTGCAATATATATCTCACAAGCAAAAATAAAATAAAATAAAAAATAATAATATATATATATATCTCACATGAAATTCACACATTACAGTTACACATAAATTCAGAAGGTTTACTTTTAATGAAAGTAAAATCTCACTTACCACTTGGAGAGGTAGAACTCATAGAGTTTGACAGGACATCTTAGAGGGTTCTCTAAGTTCTCTGACGTCTCATAAACTGGTATGCCTTCCTTTGGCTTCTTGTTTGGGGTGCTCTGGCCATCTATAACAAGCACAGAAATATGAGCAAGAAAGATGGGTTAATGGCAGCAATATTTCAGCTACTTGACAATGGCCTGCAGATTGTTATTAGACCTCATACAATGGAAAGGTCGTTCATATTGATTTCATGTATTCTGGGTTGCGATTTACATAGAGTTGCTTAATGCCCTGGGATATCTGGGGATATCTGCTCGAGTGTATATCTTAGTTAAATGCATGTAATAAACTATGGTGTTAACAAACTAGTGGTCCCTTGTTATGTTTGTTATAACTGTAATTTACTTTACTATTTCAAGACACAAAACAAGAAATGTTTGCACACACTTACTTCCTGGGTTAAGGCAGTAGTACCGCAAAGAGACACTCCGACCTTGACCTGTCACAACCTTCGACCCTGGACCGCCCTTCTTCCAGTGCTTCAGTATGTGAGCGAATGACAGTTTCATATGCTCCTCAGTTGTTTTCAGCATGAAGTGTTTGGTGTTGAAGTATATGAGAGTGTTGAGGAGGACATAGGGTGAGTGGGCTCCCAGCTGTTTACACTCCCAGATGTGCTCCTCCTCTATCCGACACAGCATCTGACCTGGGAGAGAGTTGGGGAATAACTAACAAGGTACAGGGAGTTACGGGTTATATATATTATCCCATGTCAATAAAGTATATATCTTTAATGTTTCTGTTTGTCAGCCTTTAATATCATATACTTCCAAACCACAGACCATCCATATTTACTAAGTTTTTAGTAAGTCATTCTAAAAAATTAGAAGCCTCTTACGAAAAGCATAGCTATTAGGGTATCTTTTCTGACATGGATTCCCCACAGCCCTCGAAGGAAAAACAAACTCACTGAAAGGCTAGACTGTGCACATATGTACATGCAATAGTGGTTGAGCGCTTACATATAACGTAAATATAATGCTATTGTGGAAGTCAATGAAAAATATTGGGTCTGGGGTTACCTATTAAAAAAATTATGTTGTTGGTACTCATTTGTGTCACTCTTACCTGTTGCGTTTACTTTGGGCTCATATTTAGCTAGCACATCGTTGAGACACTCTGTGAACTTCTCGTAGTACAGGTCTGTGAAGATGTTGTCAATACGGCTGTTCTCATACAAGTATTGCTGAATACCTGCCATGAAAATACAGTTGTACAACGTCACAAAGTGTGGCACAAAAGTGATGTTTGATGGCAGTGTATTCCAACCTGCTAGTTACTGATGATGATGCTCCACCTACAGTGTGTGCCAAAAAACAAGCCCCTAGCATCATCTTCAATAAATGTTAGAGAAATTATGTACAATTACCAGCTAAGTATGCAACCAAACAGAATTTTATTAGACTGTTTTTTAACTTGTGTCTATTGTCATTGATTTCTACAGTCTCCTGTGAACTCACCTAGACAGAGGTAGTAAATACTGTCGGGAGAATACTCCTCTCCATTTGGCTTCCTCACTTCCTTGACAAACAAACACAGTGAGTAGTTGAGCTCATCTGCAGTACACTGAAGCAGGTCTGTCTTGAACAGCTTTAGTTTCCCAGACCCCCTCTTGGAAACCTTCTCCAGCAGCGTATTCTTGTGGACGACCCAGTGGCGCCAGGCATTGACGCCATACGTGTATTTGAGGTGCATATTGGCATCTGGAGGAGGAAGGGATGGTGCCAGAGGTGGGGGAGATGGCTCACTTGGAGGTTCTGGCTCTGGAATTTCAACTCGGGCTCTTTTAGACTGGCGGGCCCCTCTTCCTCTTGATCCACGCTTCCCTCTACGTGATCGTGTTTCTCGAGGGGGGAGATAGTCATCATCTTCCTCATCAATCATTCTTATTGTGTCAGGTTGGGGAGGAACTGGCGGGGGATCTAGAACGGAAAAGTAAAGAACTATTAAAAATAATCTAATTTATCTCATTCCTGAACTTATACAAACCAAGGACTGTGAGATGGCCCCTGCTGAATTTACATGCAATGAAGGAAAACCAAGTTCTATGGATAGTCTCCTTCAGCAGCAAGCAGGTATAGACGTTCTGTTCCAGAAAGGCAAGTCCATCCAAAACCTCCTCCAAGCCACAGGCAAACCCCCATCAACAACCAAAGAAGACCCCACAGGAGTAGTCTACCAGATCAATTGCCAATGTGGAGACTCTTACATAGGTGAAACGTCCCGCCCTCTCCCACTACGAATTAAAGAACACAAAACTTCAGTCCAGAAAAAAGACTCCAAATCCGCCATAGCCGACCACACCCAAGCCAACCCTGACCATGCCATCCTTTGGGACAACATCCACATCCTGGAAACCAACCGATCAGACTTCAAGATTAAGAAACTTCTTGAAGCCATAAAAATCCAACGCTTCAACCCCACCATGAACCGGGATCAAGGTTATTTCATCTCCCCAGCCTATCACCACCTTTAAAGATCACCAGTAATCCAACCATACCTCATCCAATTGGCTTCTATGCTCCCTTTTGTGCATTGTAATCACAACCAATCAATGTGTACATCAACCTACTCTCTTCAACTCACATTACCATCTCAGTGTACATCAACTCATCTATTGTATAAACTCATTCTGCATATTGTTTTAATCACTATCACTCTGTACATCAACCTACTCTGCTCAAATCACTAATTAGCAATACAATGTATATCAACCTTGTCAATTGTATATACACACTATGCAGCTATGTATATATTCTCCATGTTACAACTCTTTGTATCACTTGCTTGGTAACGGTGTTAGTACCTATGCCGAAACGTCGCACTCATTGCAATAAAGAAGTTGACTATCCATAGAACTTGGTTTTCCTTCATCTATACAACTTCTAAAAATGCCTCTCAAAGAAGTTACATGCAATGGTTATGAAAGATACATTTGATTTGCAATCACATGATCCAAAGGAGCCTTGATCAGATATATCTCTGACTTACATCTCAGAAACAGTTTAATGCCTCTTGAACAGTATTCCTGTCAGCTTAATGTGAGTGAGTGAGTGAGTGAGTTTAGTTATACGCCGCACTCAGCAATATTCCAGCTATATGGCGGCGGTCTGTAAATCATTGAGTCTAGACCAGACAATCCAGTGATCAACAGCATGAGATTCAATCTGTGCAATTGGGAACCGATGACATGTGTTAACCAAGTCAGCGAGCCTGACCACCGATCCGTTAGTCGCCTCTTACGACAAACATGGGTTACTGAAGATCAATATTCTAACCCGGACCTTCACGGGTAGTTTAATGTGATGGTGACAAACCTAGAAACATAGTCTGCTGATCAGGATTTGAATCACAGGTGTCTGGTGTGGACAAGGGACACAACTCTATACAGTAAATAAAGGCACCTGTGATGACTGGGCCATCAATATCCTCCCCTAAAGTGACAGTTACACATAAAGACTATCTATGTACCCTACACTTTAACCCAACTAAATTCAAATTCATTCTTTACTGTCCCTGGCTGCCCAACAAAGTGGTTAATGGTGACAGTGCTATTTACAAATTGTATGGCCTCCATTCGGACTGGTCTGAATCAAATCATGATTTTTTTTTGTGTCTAACTATCACCACAAAACAAACTAATTATTCATTTCGTTCTTAAACCTGACCAGTAGACAATTATGGTTGTATTAAATATATACCTAAAATCCAAGAAAATTATGAGCAGGTACAGGATTATATTTTACTGTGCAGGGGAACAAGTAAATGAGTGAATTGCTAAATTCCAAAATACCATCACAGCCTTACATTTGGCACTTCTGTTACACACTGCGATATCATCATACCAGAGATGCCAACCCCAAAGTGTTGCAAATAGTAGTTTCAAGGATCAAAATCAGTAGTTTGAACATAAAAATAGTAGTCAACATAATACTTAAAATTGTGATGAATTCTGAGAAAGATAATAGGACACGAGTGAAGCTTTAATTTCACATACCTCCAACAGCAGATTTCCAAACTGTTACTTGCAATGATTCCAGTTCATATATGTCATTAAATGTGATGAATTGAAGGTAAGTGAAGTCCAAAAAAGTATTTAATGTACGAAAATATATGTTTTTGTCTATATATCTGAATTTTAATGAATTTTCTTCAAATTTCATAGAATTTCTAGTGCAATCGTATTGGCGTAGTTTGAGGTGAAAATTTGTTTCATAGAACAATCGTAGAGGTTGGCATATCTGTCACACCCACCACATAAAAAGTATGCTTCAATAACAGAACAAACTCAATTGTCATTGATCCCTGAATTTCATCATGTAAACTATAAAATATATTCGATCGAACTGATATTGGATCACCTGTTATTACCAAAGAATATAGAGGCTACAACTGATGAATTAAAACTGTATACATTCAATATCTGAACATTATTAGTGATTTTGACAATGAATTTGATTTTGAGATTTTGAAGTTGCCTGTATATTGCATCTGTATAGATAACAATGACTTGAGAGACAGTTTAGGTGAAATTACAAGGATGAACAACCCTTAGATTGGTACGGTCTATCATGCTGATCAATGTAATCAATACTGGTGTGTGATTGGTAATGTCAACAGGTAATGTAGTTGATCGAGATATCAAAATAATAGCCGCAGGAGATCATTGATTATTTTACTACTCCTATAAGAGGCCTAAAATATTTGCAAGCATTTATGGTCTTTGTCAATATTTATTGAACCGGCAAAGATTAACAAGCTTTCCTGAGCACAAAAGATTATCACAGTTAGAAGCAGAGATAAACTTTAGTTGAATTCATAAACGCAATTGTAAAATTCATAGAAAAATTCATAAACGTAATTGTAGAATTCGTATATTAATTTGTAAAAGCAATCATAAACATAAACTGGCAAAGCAAAGAAACTCACCATCAGATTGGGAAGTGTTTAGAAGATTAAAACATAGGGTTGTATCTGTTATAAAGAAAACAAAAGAAACTTGTTACTATAACTAAATTCCAAGATTGATGAGAATATTGTTAGAGAGGCATTGTGGCATTTCATAAAATATTACATTAAGAGAAAAGATAAGTAATGTATTTTGATCACCTATTGTGAGAATATGCAACTTTGAAATAAGCTACACTGGTATTGCGTAAATAACCCATCATGTTCCTGTGATGGTACTTGAAATAGTATGTATTATTGTCCTAAAGGATATGATTAAAAAACCAATGTATGTGGCATAACTGAAAAATATATTCAGGAAAACATTGAAATAATTTGATCTGAATATTAATTTATCACAGAATCATGCAGATTCAATTTTCTCATGTGGCCTCATACTTCAATTACCTACTTATAATATAATGGTTATATTATTGGTTCATTGGTACTACTGAGAATCTGATGTCAGAAAATATGTTAATACAAAATGAATTGCCTATTTCAAGTATTTGTATTATGACAGCATAAAGATAAGCCTTGGGTTTGCTTGCCAATCCATTTAATCATGACATAAATATTCTTATATAATAAGTCTGTTCAATTTAGCATGTTTATCAGCCAGTTTGAAGAAAATCCCATTTGAATGGTGACATGCTTGTATTATTACTGCTGACTGAGCTTGTTTTAAATAATGTCTGGCTTACACAAGTAAACAGATGTATTGTCCAAATTCTGAACAAACAATTCAGAAATAGAGTTTGGTTCATTGCCACTAAACACCTTTAGTTCAGTGTAGACAAAACTTACCACTGATCAGTATTGTTCAATGACCCAGATCATCAATGGGATCACCACTACTCTGATATGTACAGCAAGTATTACCAAGAACACAACTCTCGTTCGTTTCCTCAAAAACATTAAAAAATAAAAATCTGACAAAAAATTACATATTTTTCCTTATCCTGACTCTGCTCTTGCTGCTTGTAGAATCCTACTCACAGGAAAAGGAGGTGGAAAATATATAATACTTTGGATTTTTAATAATTAGTGATTTGAACTGTGATGATTGTAATAACCCTATGGGAACTTCATAAAGGCACTGAACTGATGAATTCCTGCTGCTAACTTATCAGCTGCCATATAAAGGTTATTACAATGTACTTATTACAATGTACTTATTATGATAAAGTATATATAACATTAATACAATGCTTAAGACTAATAGACTTAAGCTTGTTAAATTGCTAGTATAAACTCCTTAGAGTTTGTTAGCTAAATTACTTTAAGATATAAACATAGTACTAAGCTTAAGATATGCTTAAACTTAAGCTAATTATATAATAGCAAAACTCTTTAGAGTTTGTTAGCTAATATACTTATATGATATAAACATAGTGCTGAGCTTAAGATATGAATAAGCTTTAGCTACATATATAATAGCAAACTCTGTAGAGTTTGTTAGCTAATATATTTTTACAATATGAGTATAGTACTGTGCTTAAGATATAATTAACTTAAGCTACATATACAATAGCCAAAACCTCTGTAGAGTTTATTAGCTAATAGACTTATATTGTAACCATAGTATTAAGCTTAAGATATGATTAGACTTAAGCTAAATGTATATAGCAAAAAACTCCTTAGAGTTTTTTAACTAATATACTTTTTATGTTAAAAAACATAGTACTGAGCTTAAGATATGATTAACTTAAGCTATATATATAAAAGCAAAACTCCGTAGAGTTTGTTAGCTAATACATTTTATAATGTAACCATACTGCTTAAGATATGATGAACTTAAGCTAAATATATAATAGCAAAAAACCTTTTTAAAGTTTTGTTAGCTAATATACTTATATGATATAAATATAGTATTGAGCTTAAGATATGAAGGAAAACCTTAAGCTACATATATAATAGCAAAACTCCGTGAGAGTTTGTTAGCTAATACATGTTATAATGTAACCATAAAGCTTAAAATATGATGAAACTTAAGCCAAATATATAATAGCAAAACTCTTTTAGAGTTTGATAGCTAATATACCTATATGATATAAACATAGTACTGCGCTTAAGATATGAATAAGCTTAAGTTACATATATAATAGCAAAAACTCTGTAGAGTTTGTTAGCTAATACATGTTATAATGTAACCATAATGCTTAAGATATGATGAAACTTAAGCCAATTAGCAAAAAACTCTTTAGAGTTTGTTAGCTAATATACTTATATGATATAAACATAGTACTGAGCTTAAGATATGAATAAGCTTAAGCTACCTATATAATAGCAAAAACTCCGTAGAGTTTGTAAGCTAATATATTTTTACAATATGTGTATAGTACTATGCTTAAGATATAATTAACTTAAGCTACATTATATAATAGCCAAAAAACTCTGTAGAGTTTATTAGCTAATGCATTTATAATGCACCCATAGTACTACGCTTAAGATATGATTAACTTAAGGTAAATATATAATAACAAACTCTGTAGAGTTGTTAATAATGTAATAATCATAGTACTGTGATGATAAAAAAGAACTTAAGCAAATTATATATAGCATGTAGCTATTTAGTACTGTTATAAGATAAGTAGAAATCTGTAAGATTTACTTATCTTCTCCGAGGAACTGTCAACTGTTGTGCGAGGACCCTGGAACCGAATTGGTGGATACCTGAGACGTCCTTGACGGTGATATCTCTCAGATAATGGTTGGCAACCACCATATCGGATCTCCAGAAATAACCCTCCATAATTTCAAATAACATTTGTGTAGATCAATTGTAGAAGTTAAGCTCTAATATCATGAGTATTAGAAGCTCATGGAGGAGATCGATCGGGTCCATCAGTCTTGTAGGCACATAGTATGACAGTTCTGATCCAAGGAGATGGTAGTACATGAGACTTCAGTCTGCGTAACTTGAATATAGAGGAAATAATCTGATGCATTTTTTCCCTCCTGTTTGGTTCGGTGGAGATAAATTTACAGTGCTCTTGCTGGCCATCATTGATAGAATCATCGTATCATGAAGTCAAGTATATGTCATCCAGGCGTGTTCATAAACCTCACTTGTGAGGTGTTGGAGCACTATATTCAGATCGAAGTTGGGCGTGAAATTTCCGTTTTAATCCTCAATCAAGCTTAAGTAGGTTTACTAACCATCTAGTTGTGTTAGTAGTTTGATGATGAAATTCAGTTGTAGACTGAGGCGCTGTGGATTTAGATCCACTTGTATTCCGTCGTCTAGGTAAATTAAGCTGCGAAGTCCTTGGCGATGTAGGTACACAACCAGGTGTGTCTGTCCTCGTTGAACTTTATGTAAAATCACCTGACTGCCGTGCCTCGTCCTAACTTGACAGGGGAGGTCTCTAACCTGAAGAAAGCAGCCCAATCATGAAGGTTCAGATTAACTGGACTGTAAGGAGGCTTGCTCGTTCACTGATATATAGTTGTCACTTGTAGCGTGAGTCTTGAACTGTGAACTAAGACCGACCTCTCGTAGAGTGCGTTGTCCATCAGGTCCAATCAGAACAAGGCATTTTGATTCTGTAGAATACCCGCTGTGATGTCACGGTGTAGCAGGAAAAACCTTGTATAAAATCTTGCCGTCATTTATATTAGCATGTCGCCGGTCTTCACGTAGCTTTCGAAGTTACCCCAGTGACCACGTGTTTGAGGGTTAATGAGTAAGCCCATGAAACCTCGGTATGCGAAATACCTCGCTCTGTAATATTAATGCTGGGTAGGTTATTTTCCTGGCTATGTCGTGAAAGTAACTTCAGTTTTGAATATAATTCCGACTTCCCTTATATAAAGGTACAATAAATTTGCAAGTTGTCAGCTTGTAGACTGTATACATGAATGTATCGTCATAATTGTAGAATTAAAGCTGAACTTGTTGTACATATTACTTCTCAGAAGCGTTGGCGATTATGAGTTATACTGCGCTGTAACAGGTTGCTGTTCAATTTCGATATTGAATTGTCTGCAGATCTGCGTAATGGTCGCATGTAGATAATCGTATCGTGGTGTGGGATAGCATATTCTAGCAATCTATCACGGAAAGTTGATTTCTGTGAATATCTATGAAGCGTCGTTGACTAATTAATATAGCGGCGTTCTGTGTTGTAAATAGCCTGTGCAATTGTCTTAGCGTGAGGCTTATAGGCTGGCATATGGCATACAGTTGATAGACACTTTATGCGATGTCTTGAACGGACTGGCAGTAGCTATATATGGCCCAGTGGCTAGTATATGGAGACCTTGGAGGATACTTCCTCGGTGAGCGCCCGGAGACTTCGCGAAGCTCTCGAAGTATCCCTTCTAGATCTTCTGGGTGAAGCAGACTTGGAGCCACTTAGCCTTAGCGACCTTAGCGAAGGTATCGAGAATCAGAGCCCGATCAGTATATATATATGTAATTTTAGAGTAAAATTGATATTTTATACTTATCCTGACTCATGCTTGCTTCGTGAAGCGACCTCTGTGTTCAACAGGATGTGGGGGTCGGTGAAGCGCTACTCCTCCGTGGCGTCCCTTGTAACTGGTGAGGCTCTAGTTCCCGGCGGGCGACCTGGGACTTCCTTATCGAAGTGTCTAGAGTCCGATCAATATATGGCGTTAGCTTCATACAGGGTGTGGTTCTTGCTGGTTCTGCATAAGTAGAGCCGAGTAGATCATCCTATCATCTTCAGAAGTCGTGTCCGCGAAATCTGGTGATAAGAATCTCATTGATCGTTCTAGATCTATTAAGGCCAAAGAACATCGCCTCTGGCGTTTGAACTTACATGCCTTTATGGTAGGCTGTGTCCACATTCTGTGGCACGCGCAGCAATCGGGTCGATCGATGGAGGTAGGGTGGCGGCGTCTACATCGTCTTCCTTCATCAGGTATGTCTGCGCTGAGTTGCCACTCTTGGACGGTGAAGATAAATCTAGGTTGTTTACCATCAAATATCTTATCTCAGCGTCTGAGAAGATGATGTCTCCATCATCTTCTGTACCAGCATCGGTGATGAGAGGTTGATGCTCTTCTGATGGTGACCTGTGTGCTGCTATCTCAATGTCGGGTGACGCTGCCGACTTGTGTGGTGACCTGCGAGGTGATCGACGTGGTGATGTACGTGGAGATCGTCTAGGTGATCTGCGTCTATGGGATGACCTTGAGTCCGCATCTGAGGATGAGGCCGAGGGGCGGTGACTATCTCCCGTCGTCGCGAAAAGCCTTCGCGAAGACTGTACATCTGGGTCCTTCGTCGAGGTGGTCTGTGACTTCCTTCTCGAAGGCTGCTGCCGTCGTGGCTGCTTTCGCTGACTGGGGGTGCCTCTGGGGTGTTGTCTGCGTTGCTCAGGCCCTGGGCTGGCTGCTTCTCTGGTCTGTAGTGGCCCTCCATCATGGTCATGATCTGCCGCAACAGCTTCGTCTGGGATGGTCTGCGACGAAGTGGTCGGTGCCCTCTCTGCGATGACAGCTGCTGAGCCCTCAGGGAAGTCGTCTGACATCAGTGTAGAGACATCAGGCTGCATGGCGATCTCTGCTGATGTCACTGGTAAGCTTCTTGTGGCGTCGCGCGGGGATGATGATCGGTTGATCATCGTAGAGAGGCCAGTTCAGCGGCTGGAACAATCTCGGTTGAGAAAGTCCTAGTAGACCGTTGATTTCCCCTCAGAAGGTCGGCGCTGCCCTGGGGGTCGCGAAGTCTGCGTTGAGTGTTTGGTAGCGGGACCCTCAGGAAGATCATCGAATATCAGCGTTAGTACATCAGGCTGCATGTTGATCTGCGCTGACATCACTGTTGCCGACATCGGTCATTCTTTTGATGTACATCAGGTATGATGATCGGCTGATCATCATACAGGCCCAAATCTGCGGCGGGAACAATCTCGGCTGAAAGTTCTAGTAGACCGTTGATTTCCCCTCAGAGGTCGGCGCTGCCCTGGGGTGTGAAGTCTGCGTTGAGATGCAGTAGAAGCCCTCTAGTCTTCGGCTGCGGCGATGGGATGTCTGGGGAAGCAGGGCGGCTTCTTGGAGGCGGCGGACTCGTCCACGCCTCTCCACCACTCTAGCGGAATACCAGGCGGGAGGGTCGACCAACAGCAGTAGACTGGCGAGGGTTCAGGTGTATCAGTCATGGCTAGACTCTGCATCACGTGACCTATCTGCTGCGGCGTCTCAAACATAAAGTATTTATTTATTAAAAGGCAGAATTGGATAAATTAGTACGCAACTGCCGCGTGAATAAAATGAACATGGCGCAGTACAACTAGGGCATATTAAATCGCGGATCAGCAGCAGAATAAAAAGCGTAATCTGCAACAGTACAGAATTTTCATCAAGCGTAATCCACAGAACAAACATGGCGTCCGTGAATAAACAGTAGAAACACGACTAAATATCAATATATAATTGTTGAAGGATACTAGCTAAACCTCTATAGATGTCTATCACGAGGTAACTAACTAAATATAATCCAAAGGATATAGTGTGTCGGAGACACAGAGCTCTCGCGTCCAGCTCACTGGGAGAAGGAGAAGAATGGGAAGAGAGTGAGGCACATGGGTAGAGGTGAAGCCCTCGTGAAGGGAGCTTCAATTAGGGAGATACAGCTTGTGGAAGGGAGGTAACTTCGTAAAAATGTGTACTAATTAGTGATTTTTACATTGAAGGGAGCTTCAATTAGGGAGATACAAGTGTTCCACTATGTTTAGCAAGAAGAAGAAGACAAGCAAAAGAGCATGAGTCAGGATAAGGAAAAATACATCACACAGATAACTAATGACTATTATTGGACACACATTCAAAGTTCTTGGCTCCGATCAATCTGACACACAATAACGATGTTCAAACAGTGAGCACAACTACTGCCGAGAAGATGAATGTATCTGGTGTAATATGCACATAAGGAAGCTGATGGATGGGGTGTCCATTATCACCATACACAAGGTAGAGAGACAGAACATGAGATTACTTTATATACTCTAACATCTGACAAAGGGAGTTGATCACAGACATCAGGTAGTTCCTTGATGACAGCCTGGTCTGGAAGGTGGTCGTAATTTCTGCTTTGATTTCATCCTTCTTGTACCATGAGTTACGTCCATATTTAGCTGTGGTTTTGGCAGTATGTTTCAATAGCAGAAAGACATTGATGGAACAACATTTAATGCATCAGAGGGTTCTTTCATGCATGTTTGATGCGTCAACTATGAGTGACACGAATAGGGAAATACCCTGAAGCCATCTACGACAAATAACCACTCGATCCAGTTTGTCGCCTCGTGGTTGCTGAAGACCAATTCTAGCCCTGATCTTCATGGTATGATGTGATGTATGATTCATGAGTAATGTCCAACACCTTTAGGGTGTAGTTACCCAAACTGAACAACAATGTGCACAGTATTTGAAATGAAAACATGCCCAGTTCATACAGTTTCTGCTTGGAAAGATAATAGGTCTCCTTGGTTGTGAATATCATTGGCAAAACTTTTGGATGCTTCAAGAAGATGGTAACACAGAGTTGAAACATAAAATGAAAATAATAGTATTTGGAAGAGGCTGTATAGTAGTAATACTGACAGTGTCATGAGGTTACACTCAAAAATCATATCAATGTAAATGCAACAAAACACTGGATGTTTGAGACATTCAATTCAATACACCACATGTGAATTGGACAAGCAGTTGGAATCATGAAGTGAATAGGTTGTCAGTGAGCCATAACACAAGTCCAATTAGTCCGAAGGTCACCACAGAAAGTAACTTGTGTGGTGTAAATATATATGGAGAAAAACAACTAGAGCCACTATATTATCAGCAGTCTGGAACTAATGGACTTGTGTCTGGGTCTACCCTGCTGTGTACATTTCCAACTGCCATAACACAAGCCAAACATCCACAGACAACTAGCAGCCCCTGCAGCACGCACGACGCACGCGCACACACACACACACACACACACACACACATATACACACGCTGCATTCTTCCCATATGTATATACATACACTACAAGCTAAAAGTATTGTGACAGTATCACCTACCTGTATTTACCGCGACGGGTTCAACACTTGTCTCAAGGTCAAGGACAGGGCCTGTGATCTCCTCGGCCATTCGCAGTGCCATCTGTACCAGGTCCTCCTCCCCACCGCCTGGTGTCCCCCGATCTATCAGTGGTGCCACATCATCACCATCATCTTTGTCATCTGAAGAATATGAGGACATGAGTGACCAGTCATCCACATTCAGTGATGTTTGATGTCAGCATAGGAGCTACATCATACAGACACACAATTAAACACATAGTGAAATTTTGGACATAATTTAAAGAAAGCATGGTACACCTACAGAATACCGGATACCAACAATATTGTTTAGTGTCACGTCACCTAACCCTAACCCTAACGCTAACCATAAACATCACCCTAACCCTAAACATAACCCTCACCCTAACCCTAAACATAACCCTAAACCATACCCTATCCCTAAGTAATCTTGCGTGCTTTCAAAGAAGATGGAAGGTATCCGCTATTCTGTAGTCTTACCAAAAGCACACGGGAAACAAAGAAAGGGGATGTGATAATGAGACCTGGAGCATGCAGCACTGCAATAATGCTTTCTGATGTTTGACTCCTCATTCAGATTGTCATAGCTAAACGTAATCATCAAATCACTTGTTCAAAGTCAAAATCAATTTTGTTGTTTTTCAGCATATTATGACAGCGTTCAAAATACCAGCCTGCCCGACCGCCTGGGACAGGTTATTTTCAAAACAGGCTGCCAGATTCTCAAATTCACCTGCCCGACGGTCGGGATAAAATTTTGACATGTATATGAATATATTTTTGGGCAGGTAAGTTTTGGTCAGGGCTTGCTAGTTTTACATCTAACCAGCCCTGTGGTCTTGCTGAAATTTTTGGGAGTTTCATACCCTGATTATGATCAATGTCACATGCCACAGATGTACACACACCCCAGGTCTTCTGCAAGACCTGCGGAATCTTTAACCACTTATCTACTCACTACTTAGGGCAGGGAACACTTTAACCACTAGGGTTCTCCATGTAACTATCTACTCACTACTTAGGGCAGGGAACACTTTAACCACTAGGGTTCTCCATGTAACTATCTACTCACTAGTGATGGCTGGGAACACTTTAACCACTAGGGTTCTCCATGTAACTATCTACTCACTAGTGATGGCTGGGAACACTTTAACCACTAGGGTTCTCCATGTAACTATCTACTCACTACTTAGGGCAGGGAACACTTTAACCACTAGGGTTCTCCATGTAACTATCTACTCACTAGTGATGGCTGGGAACACTTTAACCACTAGGGTTCTCCATGAAACTATCTACTCACTAGTGATGGCTGGGAACACTTTAACCACTAGGGTTCTCCATGTAACTATCTACTCACTACTTAGGGCAGGGAACACTTTAACCACTAGGGTTCTCCATGTAACTATCTACTCACTACTTAGGGCAGGGAACACTTTAACCACTAGGGTTCTCCATGTAACTATCTACTCACTAGTGATGGCTGGGAACACTTTAACCACTAGGGTTCTCCATGTAACTATCTACTCACTACTTAGGGCAGGGAACACTTTAACCACTAGGGTTCTCCATGTAACTATCTACTCACTGGTGATGGCTGGGAACACTTTAACCACTAGGGTTCTCCATGTAACTATCTACTCACTACTTAGGGCAGGGAACACTTTAACCACTAGGGTTCTCCATGTAACTATCTACTCACTGGTGATGGCTGGGAACACTTTAACCACTAGGGTTCTCCATGTAACTATCTACTCACTACTTAGGGCAGGGAACACTTTAACCACTAGGGTTCTCCATGTAACTATCTACTCACTACTTAGGGCAGGGAACACTTTAACCACTTGGGTTCTCCATGTAACTATCTACTCACTACTTAGGGCAGGGAACACTTTAAGGCCAGACACTGCACCTCACATATGACAAAATGCTTAACAAGTATTTGTTATGTTTATTTAGTTTCAACTTAGAGGTATACATGTTAACAATCGATAAAGAGTCTTTTCCAGGTGATGTTGCCACCGGTTGCCATGGAAACGTCCAAGATGGACGCTGCAAGCCTGAAAAAAGATGAAATTTAGTGAAAGTTTTTCTCTAAAACTAATAAAGATATCTATATAATTTCAACTTTACAACATACCTTGGGGTGTGTAGGGTGCAATGACAGAGAGATATTTTTTATAAAAGACTGTTATTTTATTAAAAAATTTGTTTGAAAAACATCACTTTTAGGGGGTTGATTTGCACTCATATTTTATTTTTTAAAAAGAAAACAGGGAACAAATTTGAAAAAGTCTCTCTGTTATTGCATAAAGTAATCAATTGGCTATATGTACACAAAATTTCATTGAAATCGGGCCAGTAACAACTGAGAACTATGTTCACTAAGATCGAAAATGACGTATATGGAGAAAATAAGGAAATAAATTTGGTCATGTTTTTTCCTACTTTAGCACGAGATAAACACATTCAAAGTCTCAGTTTACTGAAGGGATGTATTCCAAATACATGAAGCAATTCATATACAAAGAAAACAAGACATAAAACTCCCCTACACCATACAACAACCACTCAGTGGTCAGTTGCTTCAACACAAACTCTATCCCTTCGCATCCATTGAGGTGTCATTGACAAGAAAATGAGATCGGAGGTTTTCAAAAAAAATTTTTTTTGAAAGTTCTATGCGTGAATCTCGATTCAATAAAAACTATTTCTTACCTTCATTGACTCCATTGGGAATGTTTTCCTCAAAGGCGTGGTCCCCAGATGTTTCCGATGCATCGAAATGTAGAAGCTGTCAGAATCTAAATACATGCTTGATCGCGCTGTCAAAACTTGTCGGATCTTTGACACTGCATTTTAAGCATGCCTGTCGCAACTGCGCCTCTTATTCTTAATGTAGGCGTGCTTTGACTTTGTTCTTCTCATTTTTATAGAATACAACAACTGTTAGTCAAGAATATATCAAATACCACGATGTTTATCGATTCGATGTTTTCAAAGCAGCAACCGCCATTTTGAATGCTTACGGGGAAAGGACGATGTTTTGTTGATATGCCGAATGGTGCATTGTGGGATACGTTTACCATATAAGGGTGTAACGAAGATTACCGAATGTTGCATTGTGGGATATTTAAGCCTTGCCGAATGCTGCATTGTGGGATATTTAAGCCTTACAAGGATGTTTTAGGTACAGAATACCTATCGCGAGGGAAAGTAGAGATATCCTCGTGGAATATCTATTTTTAGAATGTTTTGACCAGCAACATGGCGGACACGATGAGCTTTCTAGCGATGTATAACATGAATGGGTTCGTCCCTGCTGGGAGGGCGTTGTTAGGGGTGAAAGTTCGGCGTTTTCAGGGTTTGATTTCACACATTTTTAAATATTATCACATATATGATTATGTTTGTGGGGGTTTATATCAATAAAAAAGACTCTTTATCGAAAACAACGTGTTGTATCGTGAAGTACATGTGTTAATTATACGAAAAAAATCAAAATCTCGATTTTGACGTATTGAAGCAAATATGTCAATTTAAGGTGCCGTGTCTGGCCTTAACCACTAGGGTTCTCCATGTAACTATCTACTCACTACTTAGGGCAGGGAACACTTTAACCACTTGGGTTCTCCATATAACTATCTACTCACTACTTAGGGCAGGGAACACTTTAACCACTTGGGTTCTCATTGTAACTATCTACTCACTAGTGATGGCTGGGAATGGTTCTCCATCACTTTTATCAGTATCACTGTCAGAGTCGCCGCCGCCCCCAGCAACAGCTTCCGCCATCATCAACAACTCGGCCTCCAGTGGATCAGATGGAATTTTCTCTCGTATCTCCTAAAATCATGAAGTGCAGTCATTAGCACTAAAACGTGTCCTTAATGTGGAACTCGCATGAATACAGTGAAACCTGGTTTACCTGGTGGTGGTCAATATTGTGAATTGAGCACTGTGGGCATAAAGACTCACTGCAGTATATGCAGGTCTGAATTCTTACATTCAGGCCTGTTTGCAACTGGCTTCAATAATGCTAAAAAACAACATAAAAGTATGCCAGCAGATAAAAAGGGTTGCCACACAAACTTTGCAACTGATCTGCCAAATATCTGACAATAGATACTATCATGAAAGAGCATGACACAAATATTTAACAGCACTCTCACAATAGGACAAGTCAATTTTTCTTAGATCAGTCTTGAATCCGTCCTACAAGTCCTGGTAATACTTTTGTTTGCTTAAAAATATTTCATGTCATGAGAGAGTCAGGTTTTATACAGTTTTTTACAGTTTTATACCACAGTTGGAAACACCAGAACTTTTCTCATCATGACATTGGCAAAGATGTGTGTCATTCAACACTAAGTTTGGAACTGGCTACACAGATACATTATGCCTTATACAAGCTGGCTAACCACATTATCTACTTACTTTGATCTGCTTGAGGATCTTGTCTGCTGTTTTCTTGGCTGTAGGTATAAATATGGGGACTGGTATTGGGATAGGTATGGGTACCATCTGCGGAGTTGGGGCTGCATACATTGCCATCGGGCAGGGAACATACACCGGTACTGGCACTGGTATCAGCACTGGCTTGCCTTGATGCTCATCTGAAATAACAAATAACTCGATAATAATAAAATAATCACATGAAACACACTTTTCACAAATGAATTATGTATCCACATATGCTGTTGAATCTCAACACTGCTATGAACACACAATGCCAAGGTCCAGCCAGGTCCATCAACACTGTTGATGAATGATTGTCCAAGGATATAGGATCATCCGGCCCTAGACGTGCTGATCCTTTGCTCATGTAATCCCTCTCCATTTTCATCGACATGTCGCACCACCTTGCAGCCACCAAGCTATCCTACCCCTTTAGACAAACTGACATGATCCCTTCACCCACAATTTACCTCCCTCCACCAATGACACACAGATATGCTCCTCACACAGCCTCACCCACCAAACCCTCCTTTCAACACACTGACATGATCCTTGTACCCACAATTCACCCCCCTCCACCAATGACATACAGATATGTCCTTACACAACCTCACCCACCAAACCCTCCTTTCAACACACTGACATGATCCTTGTACCCACAATTCACCCCCCTCTACCAATGACACACAGATATGTCCTTACACAGCCTCACCCACCAAACCCTCCTTTCAACACACTGACATGATCCTTGTACCCACAATTCACCCCCCTCTACCAATGACACACAGATATGTCCTTACACAACCTCACCCACCAAACCCTCCTTTCAACACACTGACATGATCCTTCCCCCCCTCCACCAATGACACACAGATATGCTCCTTACACAGCCTCAACCACCCAAACCCTCCTTTCAACACACTGACGTGATCCCTTCACCCCCCTCCACCAATGACACACAGATATGCTCCTTACACAACATCACCCACCAAACCCTCCTTTCAACACACTGACATGATCCTTGTACCCACAATTCACCTCCCTCCACCAATGACACACAGATATACTCCTTACACAACCTCACCCACCAAACCCTCCTTTCAACACACTGACATGATCCTTGTACCCACAATTCACCTCCCTCCACCAATGACACAGATATGCTCCTTACACAGCCTCACCCACCAAACCCTCCTTTCAACACACTGACATGATCCTTGTACCCACAATTCACCCCCTCTACCAATGACACACAGATATGTCCTTACACAACCTCACCCACCAAACCCTCCTTTCAACACACTGACATGATCCCTTCACCCCCCTCCACCAATGACACACAGATATGCTCCTTACACAGCCTCAACCACCAAACCCTCCTTTCCAACACACTGACGTGATCCCTTCACCCCCTCCACCAATGACACACAGATATGCTCCTTACACAGCATCACCCACCAAACCCTCCTTTCAACACACTGACATGATCCCTTCCCCTCCACCAATGACACACAGATATGCTCCTCACACAACATCACCCACCAAACCCTCCTTTCAACACACTGACATGATCCCTTCACCCCCCTCCACCAATGACACACAGATATGCTCCTTACACAGCCTCACCCACCAAACCCTCCTTTCAACACACTGACATGATCCCTTCACCCCTCTCCGCCAATGACACACAGATATACTCCTTACACAGCCTCACCCACCAAACCCTCCTTTCAACACACTGACATGATCCCTTCACCCACAATTTACCTCCCTCCACACATGACACACAGATATGCTCCTTACACAGCCTCACCCACCAAACCCTCCTTTCAACACACTGACATGATCCCTTCACCCACACAATTCACCTCCCTCCACATATGACACACACAAATATGCTCCTTACACAACCTCACCCACCAAACCCTCCTTTCAACACACTGACATGATCCTTGTACCCACAATTCACCTCCCTCCACCAATGACACAGATATGCTCCTTACACAGCCTCACCCACCAAACCCTCCTTTCAACACACTGACATGATCCCTTCACCCCCCTCCACCAATGACACACAGATATGCTCCCTACACAGCCTCACCCACCAAACCCTCCTTTCAACACACTGACATGATCCTTGTACCCACAATTCACCTCCCTCCACCAATGACACAGATATGCTCCTTACACAGCCTCACCCACCAAACCCTCCTTTCAACACACTGACATGATCCTTGTACCCACAATTCACCTCCCTCCACCAATGACACACAGATATGTCCTTACACAACCTCACCCACCAAACCCTCCTTTCAACACACTGACATGATCCTTGTACCCACAATTCACCTCCCTCCACTAATGACACACAGATATGCTCCTTACACAACCTCACCCACCAAACCCTCCTTTCAACACACTGACATGATCCTTGTACCCACAATTCACCTCCCTCCACCAATGACACACAGATATACTCCTTACACAACCTCACCCACCAAACCCTCCTTTCAACACACTGACATGATCCTTGTACCCACAATTCACCCCCCTCCACCAATGACACACAGATATGTCCTTACACAACCTCACCCACCAAACCCTCCTTTCAACACACTGACATGATCCCTTCACCCCCCTCCACCAATGACACACAGATATGCTCCTTACACAGCCTCAACCACCAAACCCTCCTTTCAACACACTGACATGATCCCTTCACCCCCCTCTACCAATGACACACAGATATGCTCCTTACACAACATCACCCACCAAACCCTCCTTTCAACACACTGACATGATCCCTTCACCCCCCTCCACCAATGACACACAGATATGCTCCTTACACAACATCACCCACCAAACCCTCCTTTCAACACACTGACATGATCCTTTCACACAATTCCCCTCCACCAATGACACACAGATATGCTCCTTATACAGCCTCACCCACCAAACCCTCCTTTCAACACACTGACATGATCCCTTCACCCCCCTCCGCCAATGACACACAGATATACTCCTTACACAGCCTCACCCACCAAACCCTCCTTTCAACACACTGACATGATCCCTTCACCCACAATTTACCTCCCTCCACCAATGACACACAGATATACTCCTTACACAGCCTCACCCACCAAACCCTCCTTTCAACACACTGACATGATCCCTTCACCCACAATTTACCTCCCTCCACACATGACACACAGATATGCTCCTTACACAGCCTCACCCACCAAACCCTCCTTTCAACACACTGACATGATCCCTTCACCCACAATTCACCTCCCTCCACATATGACACACAAATATGCTCCTTACACAACCTCACCCACCAAACCCTCCTTTCAACACACTGACATGATCCTTGTACCCACAATTCACCTCCCTCCACCAATGACACAGATATGTCCTTACACAACCTCACCCACCAAACCCTCCTTTCAACACACTGACATGATCAGGGTTGTGGGTGGTGGGTTCCCACTCTACTCAAGAAAACATGGTAATTTCACACCTATATCCCAGATACAGTGGATGTATTGACTGACCTGTCTGCACCTCCTTGCTGACGGTGTGTGGGCGACAGGAAGTGGCTTTTGTCTGAACAAAGGGTTTACACAGCAGAGACTTGTTCTTCATCTGTTTTGGTGGCGGAGGCTGGATGATTATCTGTTGCTGGGTCGCCGTCGACACACTTTGCTGCAACAATTATGTGCAAACATCTTCATATATCCATGTGTAGCAGTATATTGGATGAGACCAAATTTACTTACTGGGTACCTTACAGCAAAGTCTGCCCGAGTCGTTTTTATCTTCTTTATTGGTCCCGTTATCAGGAAAATAGCTCTACATAGCCATGAAATTGGAAATAGTTAAATCCACTATGGGAATGTACTGACGTTTCTAAACAGGTTAAGATAAACCCAAAACCTGGAGGAGTAAAACCCCATCCTTACAGGTCCAACACTTATGCTCCTACCTTTCCAGCTTGGCTGACCACTACTGGCACTGGTGTGTTGGACTTGATGTTGACCGTCTGCTGCTTCTGACCAGACAACATCAACTTTCCTTTGGCACCTGTTATCACAATGTTATTCTATTTTATTACTTAATCAAACATACTGCAAAATTCCAGCTAAATCATGGCCGTGACGTAATCCACTTAATCTGAAGCCCTTGTCTAGAAAAATTCTGTTAAATTTTATAGGCTCAGCTATGTAGTAACTACAAAAAATTCTAAAAAGAGTGCTATTATTTGTTTGCTTGTTTGCTGTTTAACACTCAGCAATATTCCAGCTATATGACAACAGTCTGTAAATAATCGAGTCTAGACTAGGCAATCCAGTGATCAACCATAAATATATATTTCAGTAATTTCCCTCCTTATCTATCCTGACAATAATGAAAACAAGAATAATTGTCCTGACTAAAAAGGCTTAGCTTTCCTTACCTTGTGGTGCAAGAGACACAACATTGGAGATGACTGGGAAGGAGTTGGACTGGCCTTTGTCCTGGGGAGCTGCCACTAGAGGCTGGAAAAAAAGAAAAAGATATATTGACTCAACATATCTCCGGTCTTATACCTTAAAACTGGGATCTGTGCTTTCTCACTTTCTCAGTTCAGTGAGTGTATACTTCTTAGGCACATTAAGATGATTTGCCTTACATCAAGATGATGTGCCTTACAATGGCTGATCCACAAGCTAGTGAAGGATGCTCAACCCCCATCCTCGCATGACTTGCGTGGCCACTTATCAAATGTTTACGTGCCCTTCGTAACTTATGCATTGAAGGCGAGCAGTATCACATTGTATTATTCAATTAATTAATTATAATTATTATTCAACATAAACTTTTTGAGATGACTGAGTTCAGTGCCCAGGTATCTGCTGGGAATGAATAACGAGCTGTAGAATGCGGAAAAGAGGAAGATACCTCTTGTATTTGGCTTGTTCTGTAGCTGGACCCTCTGTTGGGAATGAATGGTTGGCTGCGAGGAATTCTTCGAATTGGCACTGAACTGTGACTGGAAGGACATGACACAGTTATAGGAACAGAAGTTGCGTACCGAGGCGTCACTCATAGTCAGGTGGTACTGTGCTGGGACGTACTTGTGACAGTGGTCACACGTCACTGCTTGGTTGGACTTGGCTTGCAGGTTCACTCGATACAGAGACAGACAGTTGAGAGAGCAAAACAACTGATACTTATTGTTGGAATCGACACGTTCAATCATGTCAAAGTTCACTTTCTTAGTCCCACACCATCCACATGCAACAATCTTTTTGTGTTTAGACCGGAAAAAGTTCACACATGCATCTTTACAAAATCGTTTCTGTTGTCCTTCAAACTGGATGAAATGAGAAACGACATCTTCATTTGGACACAGGCCCCCACAGTTGTCACATGTGTTCATACCAAGCTTGTTAGCGTACTGGAAGGCCGACAAACAGGGGTCACTACACAGTCGGTTCATGACACCATTTAGTTTGACATTATGTTTCATCTGGCCACTCTTGGCACATACAGCACATCTATTCCCCTGCCCACCACCCTTCTTACTGGTGCTCTCGACACCGATTATCTCCACATCACTAGTCTTTTCCTCATATTTCTTCAAACAAGTTTTACTGCAGAAGTCAAGGAACTTATTTGTGTCAACTGGTGCACAAAACGAGTCACTGACAGTGGCTAAGTCCTTCTGGCAAAATGCACACAGACGCAGTCTCTTCTTGTATTCATTACTACACTTTGACGAACAGAACGTCTTAAAATCGGTGCCAACTTGCAGGCAGAAGAGGGGCCCGGAACTCAGGAGACACAAAAGATGTACAGTAAGAACAGGAAGAGTTGAGATTACTCTGGTACTTGGCCAGACAGACCTTGCTGCAGAAGTCAACATTCATCCATTGTACAAACGGCTTTTGGGTGTTAATGTTCATCAGTTGACAGACTGAACAGGTCTTGTATTCTGATTGGCTGTTGGAAGATTTGGCAGTTTGTTTCAAGGAACCTGTTTGAGACCTTGTGGTTGGTTGGCCTGGGGACTTCTGTTGGGCCGAGGTGGTGTTCTTCAAAAACATGGTTGGGTTCGCCCTAAACTTGCGGAAACAGGTATCGTCACACAGATGTTTGATATCTCCATTACGCACTATGTTGTACTTGCACCGACCAACCTGCAACAAGATTTGGTTACTGGTTACAATGACTGATTACACATCCTACATCCACAGGGATCTGGGATGCCATATGCATGACCACTCATCAACTGTTAAAGCAAAAAGATTGTATGAGAAGTGCTTTGTATGAACCATATGACAATGTGTTGTGTGTAATTTGGACTAAACCAATGTACATATTATCATCTCAACATTAACCAAATGAAGTGACAGCAGGTTCAATGTCGCATGAAAGATTTTTGCGACTGTAGCAGCTTGCCCTTGACTGGATCGATGCCTGTTTTACAGAACTAGCCCATGGATATACCTTGCCACCAGGCAGGGTAATAGCAAGTACCATCTGTTAATGTCTTCTGGTGTCATTCACCCAGGCTGATTCACCCAAGTGCATGTTGATCTTTAGATTGGGGAAATAATGTAGTGCCATGAGTATTCTCTCAATGAATGGAACCTGGCACTAAAATAAATCCAGCAGTACATTAGTCTTTAGTACATCGAAATTCAGATTACCTTGCCACACACGATACAGGACTGCATCTTGGACTTCTTGCCTCCCGACCCAGGAGGGGGACCTGCAACTGTCCCCTTCCCTGTGGCAGGGCTTCCTGAGGAAGTGAAAATGAATTCATATTATTTCTCCATTTTCGTATTCATTTTTACACAACCCACATCTTCACCCTGCACAGAACTTCTAATACTGCAGCGCAGTGAAATTAATCCTCAATGATAATGATTTAAATTCTGGACACATTGACTTATCCAGGGACAACGGCTGCCTGTCCATTTAACTGACTCAAAGTGGTCTCATACTGTTGATGTTCTTTTTGGGTGTTAAAATCAGCTTTTGTTGATAAGTCACTTTTCATATATTTCTGGCATTTCTCATGCAGAAAATGTGTTAATTTATGCTCTTTTATCCATTTCAAGGCCTTAATCAAACAAATAACAATTTTTTTAGCAGTTACAAGTGCGACCTGGCTTTAAGGCACTCTGATCGGTTAAACAGAGAACTTGCCCCAATGTAGGATTAAAAGCTGAACACAAATGTATACAGGATACTGTCATCAGTTCAAGTGGTCGTACTTGTGATGTTCACATGTTCTCAAAAGTAAATTCAGCACTTGTTTTAATAATTTATCAAAATTAACTGAATTATCTAAAAAAAACACACATTTAAAGTGGGCCGTAGGCAAAAGAGGCTGATTCTTTTTGGTTTGTCTGTCAATCTCACACCCCTGGTTAATAACTTGAAATGTTCAGCCAATATGGAAGAAATATTTGTTTCATAAGCAGGAGTCTAGGACTTTAGTCACTATTGTAATATCTTGTCTTGTAATTTTCTAATTAGCATGCTCAATTCATGAAGGTTGACATAATAACTCTAAAATGTCAAGAAAATAATGCCATGAAACTGTCATACCAGATGTTGCAGGGGGAGGAGTTGTCCGCTCCTGTTTTATCTTGGTCTTCACAGACTCTTGAGCTTTCTTCTGACCTTCTTTAGCACTCTGGAGAATATTAAAAAAAACAGAACACTGTTTTAGGCAGACACAGCAACAAACATTTATAGCAATAGCTTTAAAATCAATTGAAAGAAACATAGGCTACTTAAAAACAACTAGTTAACATATATATCGTTTTGGGATGGGAAACAAATAAATGAAAATAATCAGTGAAAAAATATTTCTATATTAATTTGACTGCAGCTGTTGAAATTCAAGGTATCAAGGACCTCAAATTTTATGAGTTTGCCTCAAGCACATCATTATTTTCTGAAGTTAATAACCTGAGAGAAAAATTAGGTTAACTACGCTGGAATAAAACCTGCCCTATTACCATGGTAATCAAGTTGGACTAAACTACAGATGTCAAAGCAACAAGGTTTGTACAAGGTTCGTAATTCCCATAGCTATGATCTGGTCATACTCCTCCTTTAGGGGTCCCTTTTCAGACCTTTTACAATGGCTAGATAATGTGGGTTTTTTCATCATGGCTCATAATAACACTTGTTTAGGTAAATTTCAAACTTTATGTTTACATTAATGGCTGAATAATTTAAAGAACTTACAGTCTTAGCAGCAGATTCTTTGTCCTGTGGCTCCCCACCTCCTGACACTGATGCAATGTGGAGGCCACTCACATCTGCTCCACTCGTCACTGATGATATCTGCAGCCCCATATCATTAGAGGAGTCCATGGTGGCCAAGGATGAACTGTCTTTCCCTTTACCTTTGGACTTTTCTCCAGGAGTGTCCTCCTCTTCATCATCATCCAACACGATAGCTTCTGGTTCTGTTTTTTCATCTTCAATCACCATCACGTCATCATCCTCGTCTTCCTTGGTTTTCTTGTCATTCTTAGATGCACCTGCAGACTTTCGTTTCATCGTTATTCTCATCTTCAGCATCTTTGGAGTCTTCTGCATTCTGTCCATCTTTGTCCGTGGGGCCTTCTTTTGAAGCATCAGCAGCATCTATGTCAATGACATTTCCAGCGTCTCCCTTTTTCACAGAATCAAGGCTGGTCTCTGGATCTAACACTGGTGGTTCTGGTGACATCTCTGATTTTTCATTTTCAGCTTTTTCTGCTTCTTCATTACTCAGCTCGTTGCATTGGTCTACATTGGTCTCTTCAGCCTCCTTGGTTTCTGGTCCTCCCTTGTCAGTCTCTGTATTGCTAGTATCATCTACCTCCATAGCCTCTGTTGTTTCTGTCGCTTTACCTTCTTCAGACTCATCAGTTTCTGGATTCTCATTTGAATCCTGGGAATCCTCTGCTGAAGGAGCATCAGTTGGTTCTTCTGGTTCAAGGATAGGAGCTTCTTCTTCCAGCTCAGGAGCTTCTGCTTCGAAGTCAGAAGCATCTGTAGAAGTTTCTTTTGCCTCATCCTGGATGGGAGAAGCAGGAGTCCTTGGACCTGTTTCAGTGTTCACACCTCTTCCTTCACCTTCAGTGTCATCTAACAGTGTCTCTGCATCTTCTTTCTGGTCATCATTGTCATCTCCCAGCAAACGGTCCTCATCTTGTTGACTGATGTCATTATCGGCTAATTCTGCATCTTCTGCTGATTCTGCTTGTGTTTGTTTCTCAGGTACCTCAATTTGAACCACTTCATCCTCATCTTCTGCAGAGGCTTCATGATCTTCAGTTCCATTTAAATCGTCTTGCTCCACGTCAAGTACTTTGTCAGATCTTTCTTCTCCACCTTCTTCATTTCGAGCATCAGTCACATCATCTTCCTCCTGCATATTCTCTTTTAATGTGTTTTCTTGAACAGATCCTGGATTCCCAAGCGGTTCCTGTTCCTCGTCCGCTATGGCTGGACTGCCTTCAGCACTCTCTGCCTCCATTGGTTCTGCTGGAGTTGTAGGACCATTCCCTGTACCATTATTCAATTCCATGACCTCAGATAGTGCTTCTGCATCAGCTGGACTGACCTCTTTCTCATCATGTGCTGGCCTTGAATCCTGAGGAGAGCACATATTAATTTTGTAAACTGAGTCAAAACAATGACATAAACTTCATTGATGACTCACACAACAACAGTATAAAATTATTACAAGAATTGTAAAAACAGTCACCTCTATTTCCTTTGCATAATTTCGTATATGAATAACCATTACCAAAAAAGGATTAAGCTGGTTTTGCTTTCACAAGTCTGAAAAGGAGTTGCCATCTATCTATTGTCTACAAGCGACATACAACCTAATTTTAATTAGATTTCAGCATTATTAACTACACTATTATTTGCTGAACAAAATTTTACTGGACACAGGCTTTGAACCAGTTGCAAAGGTCACAGATTGCTGAGGGTAAAAGTGAGAAAGTGGCTGTTGTCAAGAAAATTTCACCTGCCCTTACTGAATGACTCATCTCAGATAAGTGAAGAAGTTATTTTTAGCCGGGGATATTTTTACATCAATTTGAGCTTTGGACTGTGGCTACACTGAAAGCTGAAACTTGTTACAGCTACTACTAAATGTCTGGACACACCGAAGCAGCACAGCAGCAACAAAAACTTGCTTCAGTTACTTCATCATATGAAGCAGAATAACAGTAACATTTCTTAATCTAAGTAAAACTGATCTGCATCCCAACATGCATGGGAATCCCTAGACTAACAACTAGTCTCTGAAATGAACATATTTTACTGAAAAAGTTCACGATAGATAAAAAAAATATATATAATGAGCACATGGGAGCCCTGAAGACCTATTCTCGGTTCATTTTCAGAAGCTGAAGCTGAGGAAATCTAGACTTGCCACATTTTCTAGACTTGTGTGGGCTTTTTTGGATATGTTTGCTTCAGGGTCTGTGCGACATGCATGGGAATCCCCAACTTCAGATGTCAAGTTCATGTCCACACAGACACACCATGTTTTAATACAGGGAGATACATCACAATCAAAAGAAGTTACATTGAAAGTTTTATTTTCTTACCTGTACCATTTACATTAACAAATAACTATATACAATTAATACTGTACGTAACTAAAATAAGTGCATTTTCTGCATGTTGTCTTTTGTTTATATACCCGCAAAGATCCAGGTTAGAATTGGTCTTTAGCAACCAATGCTTGTCGTAAGAGGTGAGTAATGGGATCAGGTGGTCAGACTCACTGACGTGGTTGACACATCATTGTATCCCAATTGCGTAGATCGATGCTCATGCTGTTGATCACTGGATTGTTTGGTCCAGACTTGAATATTTACAGACTGTCACCATATAGCTGGAAAATTGCTGAGTAATGACGTTAAAAAACAACCAAACCAAACCTCTTTTGTTTATGCTGCCTCAGTTTGGGTTAAAAATATCTTGCTTCAATGTGGCCTGGGCTGACCTTTAGCCATTTCTTCCACATTTCGTGACATTTGGTACTTGTGTCATTAGCCTTGGGGTTTAACACGTCTGATTCACTTTTGTTCTGGTATTTAACACTTTGATCTTTACTTGTCTTTATCTCTCTTTGAAACTGTTCAAGAATATACTATGACCCTTAGTCCAATTGTTCTAGATGTAATCACAGTAATCGGGCACAGCAGGTAATCGAAAAGAGTTATACAAATCTGTAGGCTGTTTCTGTTCAAACGATATGTAATTAAAGAACCACTAAACTTTGTTTTTTGTTACTCTTTTAACCATTACATATGAAAGATTTGTGGTTAGTCTTATGCGGAACATCAAATTTATTCTTTAAAAACTTGTGGTTAATTAATACCGAGTGATTAAAAGTGGCCAAAAAGTCGCCTGCTTCTCTCTCGCCCGCCAACGAAACCACAGACAGGTTACGTAACTCTGTCGCCAGATCACTGCAGTGATGTCATATGAGGAACGATTTTCAGTTAGTTGTATAGAAAGTGTGTAGCATGCTCATCATTTTGATGATTTATCGACATCAACGACGACATGCTGAATCGTTGCTTTGTCGTCAATTGCTCCTAGGGGTCAGGCGATGGTGTCACCATGCACAGATTTCCACAGGACCCCACAGTTCGTGCTAAATGGGTTATATCTTACTTGTGCCTTCGATATCTTACTTGTGTTCAGATTGCTTCACGGAAGTTAAAGAATCAAAACTACTTACTAGTTGTGGTAAAATATGTATATGATTGATGACCATAAAGATTTTCCATGACACAACTTGTAACATAACGATTTCTTCCTCGGAAGTGAGGTTGTGGTCGAAGTAACAATAATATTGTAAGTAGTATTATATTGACACCCACCTTGCTGCCAGGAGAGAAATTGTTATGTTATACGCTATGTCATGCAAAATCCTATTGGCCATCAATAAAATAAATATTTTACTACCAGTAGAAAGTAGTTTTGATTTTTTGTAACTCGGTGAAAACAAACCTAAATAGCATTTATCCTCAGACTGGTGGATGTTCGGACAGGGCGCCGCCATTTTGAAAATCGTAAAGTCTGTTAGAATTAATGAGATTATAGTTTGTTTTCATCAAGTTAGAAAATCAAAACTACTTTCTACTCGTAGTTAAATATGTATTGGAATCATAACCAAACGGATTTTGCATGACACAACTTATAACATAACGATTTCTTCCACGGAAGCGAGGTGGGGTCGAAGTGACAATACTCGCGCGGTAAATGTCTTGCTACATTCACATGGTTAATGTCCACTCACCAGTATGTAGATACTAGTCAATGTACGTCTTTATATTTGGCCTTATAATCCTAATTAGTTTGTTATCATACGTGTATGCATTTTGAAACTAAATAAAAAGCAGACGACCTGGTGATACTTATAGTGAATTTATAACAAAACTGTAATAGCTAGACATTTTATAGTTTGCCAATGTGAATCATAATCTGCACACACACCCTAGTGTATGTTGTCTGTCTCATTACACTTCACGGCGAAAACAATGATTCTGTTGAATGCTACGACAAATGAATAAAAACAAAATGCAAATATTAAAATTAAAACAGATTAAAGTTATAGGAACAATATCAGGCCATTACCTTGTTCGAGGAATGTATCCATCAATATCCACAAAACTGTTCCAAATGATGTGTCTTTTAACAGTTTAATAAACAAAAAAGTGATCAATCTTTTCAGGTATTGGTGTATAGTCTCATTGGTCACCCAAGATAGCACACCTGGCAACTAATTGCATAATGTCAGCCTTATTTAAAAACAGTAATTTAGTTAGCCAATAATGGGCAATCAATCAATGTATTGCCGGTTAATCCTTTGAACGAAGCACGTTGTTTTTACGCAGACACCCATTACACGACAGAGTGTATTCAGTATAGATTAGTAAATTTACATACATAAACACTACCTTTTGACAATTCCGCTGTGTAAGATAAAAGTAATTAATCAATCAGCGTGTTATCGGTTAATCCTTTGATCGATGTTTATAATGTTGAATATTTACTCCAGACACAAGAAATGCCAAATGGGAACCTTTGTCGGGTAATCTAAGTGTGTTACCAATAATTATACCTGTTATAAATTCATTAACTGACCATCAAGTGAATGATGACAAATAACATGTGTAGGTTTATACCACCTAACACGGGTTACAACAAGGGAGTATTAATTGCTGTATTGCATGTGAAAACTTATGGGCCGACACTGTTTTGAGAATACAAACAGATTTTTACTTGACATGATTAAATATCGAGGTAAAAAAACACAGAAATGGGATCAATTTAGATCAGTCATTATACAAATAGGGCCTAACGACACCAATCGATTTTGACTAGGCAAAGCAGGAGACAAAAATAAATGACAGTAGATTCTGAGAACATATAGCTTTCATTTTCCACAACAATTGTCACGATTTCAGGTTTATACAAGCCTGTAAACAAGATAATTTACCCCCTAAAATGTAGATGAATTCTGCATCGGCCCTCAAAGCTATTCCTCATATGACGTCACAGAGACGCGCTGCTCTGGATGGTTGAAATTTCGTTCGCGGGTGAGAATTGTGCACTGTTGTCAAAAAGGTCGATTTAAGTCAATTAAAGGTCGAAATGAGTAGTTTTAATGACGGGGTTTCATTTATAATGATGCCAGTTAGTGATTTATGTATTTGTACCCCCTAGGGTTTATGTGACCTTTAAGCAATTAACCATTGGGCTTTCTTTGGTCTTAATTCCATTAATGTACAACTGCCACTGACCATCACTTTGTAAAGTAAGTCCAAGGTGTTTATGAGAACTTACCGGTTGAATCTAAGAGTCATCCATAGTAAGATTGAGCCAAAGGATTATTGATTTCTTCCTGGTAAATACTGACTGATTCTGTTTCCTAGAATTAAACTTTCCTTTCCAAACTTTAGCCCTTTGTGATATCGGTTCTAAACCTCTATCTAAACCTACTTGATGATACTGGGCTATCAATAACAATGTATCATCAGCAAATAATTTGATATAACATTTTATGTCTTCAACTATACAACAAATAAAAATTAAACATTTTTGTGGTTCCAACACTAAACATTGGGGAATCCTGCAAGTAAATATTTAGTACTGGGTTTATATCCATTAACTATTATTTTCTTAAAGTCATGCGTCAAGTGTGGTCACGTGATTTATGAAAGTAGATAAATCGATATGTCAACCATGTATGACAGCCTTTGTCTTCCTGTCCTTTGTAATCAGTCAAGTAAGCTTATACCCTGGTACATATACATATAATTACAAGAAACACACCATTCACCTGCAAACTGAACATGTCTGATTTGGCAGTGCCTCCAAAGTGACATTTGAGTTTTAGGCATACCCACCAAAACAGCATGCGGCAAGTCTGTGAAGATGTGCAGATTGTTACAAGGGATTAGAGCCATGGTGACACATTGTTACATCGGATTAGCACCTGTCTAGTTAATAACTGTTCATTCATTACATCTGTCCATGTGTCAGAGTGAGTTCTATAACCAAATTACACAAAGGTCACACAAACTTAAATTCACACCTACATAGAACAAAGAACACCAGATGGGCATATGCACACAGTGCAATGAAACAGAACTGCCCAAACATGTCCTACACTGTACACACTACCAACACCACAGAATGGTACCCAGAGTTCACTGAACACTAACACACACCTAACGCTTCAAACACTCCACTACATAACAACCAAACTTTCAAAACCTTAGGTATATTCCTAATCAAAACTGGCCTTCTAGGATGCTTATAATATCACATAGCTCCATTGTACCAATATGAAAAACAACAACCCCAAAACACATAACCTGAAGACTCCACCCCAAAACCCCAAAACATCACCAAATACTAACCAGACGACCTTGTAAACACTGAATTATGCAGCCATAACACCTTCTTCAGGTTGCTCTCTCTTTTGGTCATGATCCCCATCTTTTAATCAGATGCTAAATAGCCTATTATAATACATACATTATTAAAAAAAAGTATTGCAGATCTGAAAGGTCCAGCCAGGACTTCAAGATAGATATATGCAGATGACAATCAAGTGCAGTCTCCTTATATGTCTGTGAAAAACATTTCTGTAATGAGTGCCTACAAGAAATCATAACTTTGTTCATATACATACTCAAGCCATCATATGTGAAGTCATGTCATTGTCTTTACACTGATGTCATGTATGTAAATATTTCTTAGATTAATGCATACATTCATTTATTCTTATGCTTACGGATCTTTTCCACCATAACATTTACAAAAGTTGTGAGAAAAACTATTTTTATGGGCCTTATCATTTGCATGTGTCATCCTGGTGAAACTTTATCTTAAATTATAAATCTACATATCAGACAGTGTAATGTTAGGACAAGTACCACTTGAAGCAGATCGACAACCCAAGTTGTAACAACATGTAATAGGAAGACGTGAACGTTTAATGGATACCTATTTCTTTGTGACATGATTTCAGGGCTACTTCTTCAATAACATAGATAATAACATACAAATTTGTATAGCACCAAATACTATTTAAAAAACTAAAACACTCTAAAGTGCTTTTCCTTTCATCCATTGAATACTGAACAATTGTTTTAGTAAATAAATATGGTAGTATGTTGGCATCCTTCATTTGTGACAACAACTTGTTGTTAATCAATTTCATGTATATCATCATGTTGTCTTAGTCTTCTGTGTTGTACTTTATAACGGTATAAGTACCCATACTGAAATGTTGCATCATAGTATAAACATCCCACCATACTTACAGTAAGCATAGATCTATCTTGACCTGCTCTGACTCCAATATTCCACCACATGTCTTGACAATATGACAGGAAATATTCCTTATTTGAACTAAACATTTATGACTAACATTAAAACAATTACATTTTGAACAATATGATGATTTGTTCCCAATTTGCCAGTTTTGAAAAATACAGTAACTTGCTGACAAGGAGAAATCCAATGGGACTATAGCTGAAAAACTATTTAAATACATCAAAGGTGTAGCGATAAAGTGTGGTACTCCTACAGGTCCAGAGTAAAATCCTTTGATGTGGTATTTTGTTAAAGTGACATCCTTCTTTGATTGATCATTTCTTGTTGAATGTTTCACTCAGAAATATTTTAGTCAAATGGCAGCTGTGTATAAATAGTAAGTCTGGGCCAGACAATGCAGTGACAAGTCACTGAGTCGGATCATTACCTCTTACAACATATGATATATTGCTTGTGACAGTTGAAATCTGTTGCCTCTTTCAAAATCAATATACAGTTAGGCAGTGCCATTTGTTTTCAAAATGGTAGTTATCCAGTTGAGAGTGAACAAATGGAGAGTGGGAGAAGTTATTCCTGGCGATGCATAACTATTGACTACAGTGCAACTTATGCCATTCCTCATGGTAGACAGAAGATCAGTGACAAAGCACAAATACAGTACTCTGGTATTTTTTGTCCTACATAAAATATAAAGAATAAACATATAGCTTAAATTACACTTCTGTACATGATACCTTGTAATATATGATAAATTTGCATTAATTGTTTTATATAAAACATGATGTCATGCTATGATCTGTATAACAAAAGGTAATAATTATATCCCTTTCTTAACAGTAGAATAATTTCTTCTATTTTCATCAACAAAACCACTGTCCTCTGTATATATCTACTAGAGGGGAGGTGGGGTAGCCTAGTGGTTAAAGCGTTTGCTCGTCATGCCTAAGACCTGCGCTCGATTCCCAAAATGGGTTCAATGTGTGAAGCCCATTTCATGGCGCCCACCTCCGTGATATTGCTGGAATACTGCTAAACATGGCGTAAAAGCAAACTCACTCACTCACATATCTGCTAGAAGTCCAACTATTTACCACGTTTACATTCAACACAAAACAGGTCTACCCCATGGGGATGAGCAAATGTGGTTGGGCCATAAAAACTAACAGAATCAAGATGCCAATTTCTAAGTTAGCCCATCTCTAAACATGCTAGATAGCCGTCGATTGGCTTCTTTTTTTAATATCAATTTCATTATTGTCCTTGTTATATTGTTAGCTCTGTACAATTATATACATATTCACTCAGTAGTGAGTGAAAGGACAAGAAACAGCAGTGAAATGTTGTTACAAAGACAATGGCTTCATCATAATATATCAACATATCGATTTGTGGTTCAACGCCTGTAAAGCTGATGTTACACAGTTATAAAGTACCTACCTATTTCTTCATAAATACAGGTTTTGACCTTTAATGCCAAAAGTAGGTGTTTACCATTTGTCTATCAACAAACTTATAAAACATTCACAGTATGAAGCGCTCACATTGAAGAGATTATGTTTTCATTTCATGAAGATGGATTGCGTCTATACTGATGTAAAACCACTCACACGTTCCTCATTTCGGGTTAAATGGAGGTTATGTATATTTAATATAAATGACAACTTGGGGAACTGATGTTTAGTCATGTCTTTTTGATACTCTTTTTAATAATGCTGAATTATTAGCATTATTAATTTCATTACTAAATCGGACATGTCAGGCAACGGCAAACAAAACAAAAAAAATACACACACAAAATGTCTTGGTGACCCTTCTCCCTTAACCCATTCCGACATAAAGAGGGTCAAAATTACTGATTTCAATCCAAATCGGCCAGAGCAATTTAACCTCGGAATTGCCCAAAGGGAAGTAACCGCGGTGAAAGAGAAATGCTCGGGCCTACTCGACAACAATAAATCAAAATAAGACAAACATTTAACTAGTTTCAGCTACAAACTTAAAATTAAATGCAAATCCAGTTTGGGCAGGACATATCTAATTGTTCTAAGTGCACGATGCATTGGAAGGCTTACCGTCTCATCTCCTTGCACATGTCCGTCGCTAGCGTCCGCCATTCCGCTTGGTGTTCGATGAAATACGGCGGGAAAGTTTGCGTTTTCCGCAAAGCTGCTAATATGTGTGGTATATGCAGAGGTCCTATTTCAATTTTCACACACACTTTTTCATTTTAACAGTGCAAAAATACTCATAGAACTGTCAAATATTTCAAATACAAACAATCTGAGATAATAACCGCATATCTAGCGTCAAAGCCTCGTTGTGGAAAAGGGCACCTGATTTTTGTCAAGCACCATCCCCTTTAAGAGATACCCGAAGTACGAGAGTTCTGAAATATCATTTATTTATTTAAAAAAATATATGGTTGCATATCTGATGATTACTTTAAGTACAATTACAGCAATGGGGATGTGTAATTATCGTTTTCTTTGAAATGTTCCGATCACATGGTGTCGGAGTCTTTGTTTCATTGTTGCCTACTGCGCATGTCCTTTCCGACTCATTAACATAAAGTGTCGAGACGCCATTTTCACTTGTTCAAAAAGAAAGATGATGAGATCAGGAAACTTCACGAGACCTGCGGGTAACTTTCGGGGTCAAGGCAACTTTAACAGGAATCAGGGACAATTCAACAGAAATCAAGGCGGGGGTAATTATGGAAGATATCAAAATCAACAAGGCGGTGGATATCAAGGACAGGGAAACAATTATGGCGGACGCCAGCAGAATCAAGCTAAAAGCCCTGGCAAGTATGAACCACCGAAGAAAACCCCCACGCCAACTAAGCCGTCGAAACCAGATGAGGTCAAGTCTGTAAAAACTGATCAAAAGCAGGAACTTAAAACTCAGATGCCTCCACCAGCCCAATCTCCGAAGAAAGACACCACAACCCCACCTGCTCAAAAGACGACTCCTAAAGCCACCACACCAGCCAAGAAAGACGAACCAGCCAAACCGACAGGGAATGGGACCTCGACTCCGAAAACTGATGTTTCTAGCGAACAGAAACGACCCCATCAGTCGCCCAAATCACAACAGGCGAAGCCACAAGACCAACAGACTCAGAATAAGCCCCCCAACTTCCAGAATCAGAAACAGGACAGACCACAGAATACATTTCAGAAACAAGACAGGAATCAGAACACTAACAACCAGAAACAGGATAGATCACAGAACAGCTTTCAGAGGCAGGATAGACAGGGCGGCGGAGGCGGCTTTCAGAAGCAGAAACAGTACAATAAACAAAACCGTGAAAGGGATTCAAGTTTTTCACGAGGAGATCAGTATATGTCTTTTTCAGATCAGGGCCCAAAAGAAGAAAAGAAGTTCACAGGCAGATGTCGACTATTTGTTGGCAATTTAACACCAGATGTCACAGAAGATGACTTCAAGAAGATGTTTGAACAGTATGGAGAGGTCTCTGAGGCATATGTCAACTCAGGAAGAGGATTTGGCTTCATTCGCATGGTAAGGCACCAGTTATCATTGTGCATCACGATTTTGCTTGGCAAATGACATTGGGGCATTTTGACATTTGAAAGGACATTGTTGTACATCATAACCACATTGTTATTTTGAACAGTTTGCTTTACTTGCTGGTGAGTTTTGGTGTAGGACTTTTTTGTGTCACTTTAGAGGTGTGTGTTTCATAACTATGCAATTTTCATTTCAGGACTATCGTCATAATGCTGAAGCAGCAAAGGCAGCCCTAGATGGCTTGCAGAAGAAAGGAAGAACCTTGAGGGTGAGGTTTGCCACGCATGGTGCTGCACTAAAAGTCAAGAACATACATGCTTATGCATCCAATGAACTTCTTGAAAGTGCCTTTCAACAGTTTGGAGACCTTGAAAGAGCCATTGTAATTGTGGATGACCGTGGAAAGCCAACAGGAGATGGAATTGTTGAATTTGTTCGTAAACCAGGAGCACAACAGGCACTAAGAAGAATCAATGATGGAATCTTCCTTTTGGGATCGTAAGTAGCAGTCTACATGTATGTTTAATTCACTTCAGTTTTAATTCTGTATACTTTAAATCCTGGATGACTTTGTCTAGGAAGAAATCATTTGTGAATTTTGCTTTGTCAACAGATCTCCCAGACCTTTAGCTGTGGAGCCGCTTGAGCAGACAGATGAGGATGATGGCATGCCTGAAAAATTCTTGAACAAGAATGAAGGTTACAAAAAGTAAGCATACAGTTAAAAAGGCCAACATAACATAAGCTCCTTACTGATGTTTTATATCTTATCCGGTCAAGTTTTATGTGAAATTGTATGCATTTGCACTTTGTAATTTTACTTTGCACTAATTGCCTTCCGTATATGAATGAAACCATGTGAACATTTTTCAGAAATGTATTGTCATGGTTTGGATACTTTCATTTTCAGGGAAAGAGAAAAGGACCCTCGTTTTGCAATGCCTGGTTCATTTGAGTGTGAGTTTGCACAGAGATGGCGTCAAATTGATGACATGGAAAAGGAGAGAATAGACCGAGTGAAGAAGGAAATGGAGGATGCCAGGCTTAGATTGGATGATGAAATGCAGGGTGCTCTCATTGAGTACCAAGCTGAGCAGATAAGAAAAGGTAGCTTCTTCATTCAGAATAATGTGTCAGAATGGGTTACTTTTATTGCAATACTTCAGGCTCTTGGATACACTACTTTTACCTTTTTTGGTAACCAAATCCCTTTTCTGCGCCATTATCTGGTTGTAGATAACATACCAAAAGAACCATGTTTCAGTGTAGGGACACAAGTTGAAACTGACATCGACGCCTTGTGAACATAATGCAACTGAGGAAATGTATATAATTCTTTTTTTAGATCTGATGCGTCAGCAAGAAGAGTTGAGAAGACTGGAAGAGATGAGACAACAGGATCAGATGCGCCGTCGACAGGATATGGAAATGAGGTGAGTCTGGATAATTACTGGAAATAATGTTCTTCCATATTAAAGTTTTAAATTTTGTTTGTTTTTAATTGTTTGCTAATACACCTAAATGAGTAAATGTTCATGTGCAGGCAACGTGAAGAAGAGCGCATGAGAGTGGAGGAAGACCGTCGTCTTCAAGAGATGATGATGAACAGACACAGTGGACCTATGGATCAAGGTGGACCCAGAGGTCGTGAAGAAATGATGGTAAGATTGTTTCTAGAAAGGGGCAAATGACAAGCAGACATTGCTTTATTTAATGTTTATTCAAAATTTCCTGAGGACTTTCAATGTATATTCCTGAATTTTAGGGTGGAATGCGTGATGGTCCGAGAGGAATGAAAGATGGAGCACCACCACTGCCCCCACCACCTGCCCCTCCTGCAGGCATGGGGTTAGATAGATCAGGACGCCCTAGTCAGGTGTGTGAACACACTTTACAATTCATATTTTTCTTGTTAGATACAGAGCTTTCTTATCAGAATGGGTTCTTAGCTTCCCATGCTTTTAAGAACTAATATGGGTTTGGTGGTCACAGTGACTGACTTGCACACTAGTACTTATTACAATATATTTGGTTACCATGTTCAGGGAAGATGGGTTGTTTTTGGCTGGCACACTGTCCTAAATTCCTTGTTTGTCTGATTTTGTAAAGGCATATGATATTAAAGAACTTGGGGTTGGAAACATCAATTTGTGTACATTCATTTTGTGTAAACATGTTAGGATTTGATATCAAGTCATGCTTGTATTTGAGCGAACAACCACTTTTACTTAAAACAGATGTCAAGCAGCTTTCAGCATGGTTCCAACATGGGCAGTGGAATGGGTGGTAGCGGTCAAATGGGTGGGAGTGGAAGCCAGGGAGGCAGCATAGGTGGAATGGGAGGCAGCATGGTAAGTCAATGTCATCTAGTCTTAGTTATTTCAGGAATATTCACTTTTATCTTTTCAGGCACCAGTCCCTTCTTTGATAAAATATATTGTGTTAATGTTGATTTTAGTGAAAAGGGTCTGTTTCATGCATAACAATTACATGTCTCAGCAAATGATGCTGCAACGGATAATTTCAATCATTATGTGGTATAACTATTTCTTGTGTGTTTACCTAGTGGCCCTTGCTTTTAGCTCATACCGTAATGTTCCATTTTGTGATGGTAGACTTCATGTTGGTGGTGCCTTGTGTCGCAAGTATTTTGTCTGCAGTCACTGAAGTGATATCTGCATCTGTGACAACTTGGGTCGTGTTCTTGATGAAACAGGATGTGACAAAGTTTTGAGAACTTGTCTTAGTAAAATCACCAAATTGTAAAAACATGCCCTGAGTCCTGCTTGGCTTGTATCGTAACACTCATAAATGGTTGGATGTTTCAACTTCATCATTGGAGCACATGTTTTGAGTGACATTGTGAATAATAGATGCAGCAACACGAATGGGTATAATTCCTGTGCAGAAGCTGGTCTTAGGCTGAAATATTATTTTTCAGTGGATTTTCAAATGAGCAGATGCTCCATTGTTTGCCCAATGCAGTGTAAATGGATTGTTACTTCATAATGGTATTTAATCCATTGTGCATTGAGCTCTTTGTGTAATGATGGATAAGGTAGAAACATGTTCTCTGTGAAAGTGTTTGCAAAATGGTACATTGTTTACATTCAGTATTCTCCATTCATGTATATATTATAAGTAATATTTGAGAAATATTAGTTGAGATTGACTGAAATTGATTTACGGTCTTCTCACTGGAAAATCTGCAGGCATAATAAGTCTTAATCCCTGTTTAGGATGATTGCTTCAATGTTTTGATGAAAGCTCAGTGGGTTTGTTTTGGTCCTCCTTGTTCAGTCTGAGACCATTCTCAGATTAAAAAATTTGTGACAAATATTTTAAAGTAATTTGTAAACTTGCATGTTTCCCATCAGAGGATATACATTATGTGAAAATGAAATTTTGAGACTGGCGTAACCAACATTGCACACATAACATACTCGGATAACTTTAAGACTAATCTGAAAAGTGAATTTTCAAGTTAGTTAACAGGAAGTGGTTCAGTTAGAAACTGATAAAAGCAGTCTTGTTGTTGGTACATTTAAAGAGGAAGCATACATTAAGTTGTGAAAGAAACGGGCATGACACATCTATCAGATCTTTTGGAGCATGGCGGAAACATACAGAAGTTTTTTATCCTCAGTTTAGGCTCATTACAGCCATAGCCACTCAAACAAGATTACAGCCATATGATTAAATGGATAGTATTGATGTTTGTAGAGAATTTGTTATCATGTAGCTTTGTTCAAGAATGTACTGTTCTGGTAGTATACCCAGTGAAGAAGGAGCAGTGTTAAATGTACTGTGCATCAAATTAACAAGAGACCTAGTTGTCATCTTTTACCTGTCCTCAGCAGTTGACATAAGGATTTTTATCGGGGCAACTACATGTTAACTTAATTTTGTCCTTGAACCTTGATTGGAATAACCTGAAATATTATCTTTGTGACAGTCGTAATTTCAGTCGTCCTAATATTTCAAAGCTATTCATAATTTCCACCTCCACCTCCTTCATATTCAACAGTTGGCCACCAGATCCATGAACTTCAAACTGTATTCATAGACATTTACATGGTTCATGATTTTTTAATATCATTTCCTACATCAGAATCCTTCTCCCAATGCGAATATCTGATTGCTTAGTCAGTGATTATCAATGTTCTTACGTGCTTATCTTGGTTGATGTCAAGACGTGACTGCTTTTGCAGTGTTTAGGATTGCTTTTCTGGTCTACATGTGGTTGTCCTCTTGGACATTGGTTGCATTCATGTGACTGATTTATCCTAGCTCTTGGTATCTTGCAATTGAGGTATGTGTTTCATTGTCTGTTGCTTCAGGTTGAAAATGTTCTATTGTGATATTCTGCTAAAGCAAGGGCCACAGGTCATCTATGTGAAAGAATAACATGTTTCGTGTAACATGTTACCTAATTCGGTTGTGGGATGCCCTCACACATGGTGTATGGTGACAGAACAACATACCATTTGAGTAGCCAAGCAATATTTGCTGGTTAAGTCTCATGCAAAGCTAGATTTTGTCTATTTTGTTCCATCTTCTGGTGTTCATGCACTTGAAGTAGGACACTATTATTATTATATAAACTGTCTGTTGTGCAAATATTGTCTTTGTAAAAGGAAGCTTGTGGAACACACGGAAGTATTGTCGTGATAGAACAGTTATACAAAAGACTATATTAGGATTATGAACACCTGTATCAAACAGTTTGATGCAGCCAATGTTCTGATCTTCCTTGGAGCTGCTTTTATGCTTTTGAAGTAAAAAGTATGATGAATTGACCCTAATCTTAAACATTATAGGTGACTGATGTATCCACTGAATTGTCAGAAATGATTTGTTGAACAGTGTTTGTTCCTGGGATGAAAGTCTGTGCATTTAGCTTCATTTGTATACACATTGACAAAAGTATATGATTTGAACCCCTGCATTTCACTTGCTGCTTGAGATTGGAGAAAACTTGGGTTGACATCATCATATTTTAAGAACAAGTACTTAGTGTGAATTGATATCATAGGACAAACTATAGTTTGCTGAAGATTTAATTTCCCTGACACTCATGCAATACTGCTTATACCAATTCTGAAAATAATCCAGCTCTTTAAGATCTCTTTGTGTATTTTTTTTCTTCATCTTTATCAAGACCTGCTCAGAGGTTGATATTAGACCCAAAGGTCTACTTAAAACAGTTTACATTCCAAAATTGAAATGGAAAAAAATATGATCTGATCGGCAGTTGACACCAACCCACCTTTATTTACAGCAACCATAATCAGAAAACTGATGGATTCTTAGTTTTAAGATAATAAACACTTATTGTAAATGTCATGCTTTGGTATGTAAAATATTTGGAGTTTGGCTATGCCAAAATACCATTTTAGCATTTGAAATATCAAGACTACAGGGAGCTTTGGACAGGGACTTGTCGAACTGTTTCATACTAAAACTGTCAGGTGATATGTTTAAGACATACACTGATGACTTGTTAAAGTTTTAACAAAGACTATACTGTTGTGTATTTTACTGGTAAGTACTAGTTTCCCGATGGTTTCTTCCAGTCATTGTATCAAAATTCCCCTAGATCAAGGAGAAAAAGAGTCCCAACTGTATTGTGCATTTGGAACATGCAAACTCTTACTTGTAGTTGTCGGTGAGTTCTTAGATCTTTGTCTAGCAAAACTTGATTATGTTGCCAGTAAGGGAAAGGGTGTAGCCTTCAGAGAAAATCAACTTCGAGCAGTTTTTGATATTGCACTGTACAGAATCAGGAATGCAAATTGGTGCTACCCCAACTCTGTTAAGCTGATCAAGGTATCCTGAAGACTGGTGGAATATCCTATCATTATATCCTTATTCAAGCTACTAAATGGTGCAGGTTAATGCACCAAAGAAAAACAATATTGCTTGCCCATATCATTTTCTTCAAATTCAAGAATTCAAAAGAAACTTTGCAGATATTGTAGAGTATATACATAACTACACTGACTGCATGGAAAGGTCTCAATGTTTCCAGTCTTCTATGTTGCTACTTCCTTCATATTTGCTTGTACAATAGTAACTAAACCCCATGGTACACTTGTGATGCTCTTGTTTACTTCTTTAGTGGTGGTTTATGCATTTATAGGTTCACATCCAGTCTGCACTGAACAGCTAAAATGTGAACCTGCAAAGAGTGAAGTCATCTTCATCAATTCCATCTTAACTCCAAAAATGTTCAGATAGATGTTAGCCTTTATTTTTGTAAGAGGCAGCTAAAAAATTTAGATGGTAGAGAGTGTTCATCCAAATGCGACATAAAGTGTAAAAAGCGATTGGGAATGTCACACCTTGGATTTTGAGCCGAATGTGCTTGTAAACCGTGACGTTGTACAGAAATGTTCCAGTGTGTCAAATCAAACTCTTCCTACCTGTGAACATGTGATGATGTACTTTCTTATCTGTCAAAAGTGAAAAGGCTTATTGAAACAGATAATGTTTTTGTGACACCATCAGATTTATGATCCCTCGATGTGCACGGGGTCAATGGTTTTTCACAAAATAGTAGCAAACACAGAGCTCCAGATAAGATTTAGCTCATGTGGGTACTGTACCCACTGTATTTTTTTGGAGTGGGTATTATAAATGTTGAGTGGGTATTTCATTTTCCGTTACCCACTGCTTTCAAATATGTGCGTATTTCAGTCATTTTACTCACCTAAGTATTATGTCATTGAGTAAGTTTACTAAGCAGGTATTTTCTGCCGTATGTCATACCTAATCAAAACCAACTTGGAAATATATTGGAAATGATTTCATGAAAAATCACTCATCCTATACTGACAGTACAACACTAATCCTATACTAACAGTACAACTTGATAGCAATCGATGTCTTTTTCATTATGCAAGCGATTTTTATAAATATATTCCGTACGCATTTGTTTTAAACTGTTTGCGTATCTAACACTTTAAATGCGTAATTGGTACGCAACAATTATTTTTCAATGCGTAATTTGAAATTTTCTATGCATATTTTACCTGGATACGCAGCTTATCCGGGCCTCTGAAACAGATGAAATACCTGGAATCATTTTACAAGTTTTGTTCATGTTGATAATGGTGTTGACCTCTGTATACCTGTCCCAGATGTAACAGGGCACCATGTTCTCGTTTGAATATTGCCAACACGTGTGATATAGCTTATATGGTGTCCCCATGGAGTCAATTGTTGCTCTTGTTTGAACCACTGGTTTGTCTGGTTCAGACTTAACTCCTGATATATAATATATCCTGCTGTGGTGTTCCAGGAACTAGATTGCTTCTTGGATCTGAAGTCTGTTCGTTTCATTTGACAGAATGTCATTGCTCATATATTTAGTCATAAAGCCCTTATTCAACATCACATTTGTTAAGTTTCATTGGAAAGGCACTGTACAATACATCTACCATAATTAGTGTTATTTAGTCATGGCCTCTTTATGATGGCAGACTCTATGCTTGGAGATGATGTCGTTGCCTGCTGTACATACAAACAGGAAAGACAATAGCAAGCTTTGAGATTGTATTGGTCTTTAAGCATGATTGATATTTTGTGCCGTTTTGGAAGCATTTGTGATATGTTGGTTTCTGTATTTGCACAACAGACAGTCTTAGTAATTAAGCAGCAATTACATGTAGTGTTTGCATACTTGCTAACAAAAAGATTTTTCTTTCCCTTTTCTTTATGTGCTTGATGGATCGGCTGTTTCCTGCATTCCTGGTGCTATGTGTTCATGAACTTGGTGAACGTGATATTTGTTAACGGTTAATCATATGAACTGATATGAACATAACCTATAGCAGCGTCAATCACGCTTTGATCAACAAGGAGGGAGCTTTGAGGGAGGGTTCCAGTCTGGGGGTGGGATGGGTGGTCCCATGGGTGGTAGTATGAGTAGCAGCCAAGGAAACATGTTTGGCGGTCAAGGCATGGGTGGCTCCCGGCAACATGGGTGGAGGTAATGGAGGCCCAGGAATGAGAGGCGATCGCATGGACCGACGACGAGAAGGTGGACCAAGAGAGGAATATGGAGACTTGAAGAGAAGGAGATACTGAGATTTCTTGAAAACACAAACGTTTTCATCATTTCTCACTGACTTGTGAGCAAGATTGTGCTATGCCCTGTTTGGGCTTGACTTGCAACATGAATAATTCCATATTCTTAATCATGAACATTTTTTTAATGATTTGGTCCGAAGGCCAAAGGAGACATTATTGTATATGTTCCAAGTCTATGTGCGATTTTAGGATGTCAGTATTTGTTTTCAATCGTATCAGTCATGTTTGGTGTCCCTCATCGAAAAAAAACAGCAGACATTATGATGACCTAGAGGACATCAAGAAGATTAATGCTTCTGTTGTAAGGTCTGTTTATTTGAACTATTAACATAAGTTTTATTTTGCTTCCACTTATTGCTGTCATTGGTTTTAAGATTAGGGTACTTGTTTTCATTATATCACAGTCATGCATGTTTCTTTAGATCACTTTAACTTTTGCATATGTGAAAATAGCATTCATAATCTTAATCGTTACATTGAAGAGTTGTTGTGTATGTAGTAGTACTTGTAATAAAAGTTGTCCTTAACATGAAAATATTTTCTTATGAATTGGTGACTGGTAACTTAAAACGATGAAAGTACTTTCCAAAACTATCTGAACCTAGGCATTTTTTTAAGCAAGGGCTGAATATTGCTCTTGAAAAATTTATACCATTTGGAAAACATTGACACAAAGAAAAGTATTGAAGCTTACAAATGTGTCGCCATTATTTTCTCTGCATTTCTCATATCTTGTCATTAAAAGAAATTTTGTCTTGAAAAAAAGGGGTAAAGATATGCTTATGTAAGAGCTACCTAAATGTCGACCTAAGGCATCGGTGAGACCAGGCTACATTAAAATGTACTGGCTTGTGCATCGTCACTATTTTATGGAACAGAATGTATTCAGTAACTGAACGTGGATCAACTGATGTATGGTTAAGTCAACCTGAACTTGTTTTCATTGTACTAAGGCAGAACTAAAGCCAACACAAATTATGTTATGAAGACAACTGGGCTTCCTCACATGGTCACAGTATGTGTGAAGCATATATGGATGATGTCCCTTGTAACATGATCAAGCTGATTGAGTGGAAATGTCTTGTGAAGCCTGATCAATCGAGACAGAAGAACTTGTTGGATAAACAACTTTCTTGATGGATTCGGCTTGTTAAAGATACGATGCATATATCCATATCATGTGATGGGATGGGGTGGCTTACTGGTTAAAACGTGGACAAAGTGGCTTTGATTCACTCGTGTACAGTGCATGATTCCCATCCTGCAATCTGACGTAAACATCAGTATGGCAGTGGGCACAACATGTCCAAAAATGGACTTGATGCTTTAGCACGACAGTCTTGTCTACTTTTCATTTAAATTACTTTGTATTTTTGTCATTGAAATGGTAAGCATGAGTAAAATATTCTTCCAGCATCAAACTCATGTTTGATCTCTCTCCCACCCCATGACATTTCCCACAAATTTGTATGTGAATCAGAAATATATATCTTCAAAAAGTGCTTAAATGCTCTATAGTTTTTATATTCACATTTGTCTTCCAAGAATATTTGTGCAGGCCAGTGACAATTAGTTGAGTAATTATTGAAAAGCTTCAGTTTGTTTGTTATTAATGGCTGCACTGAAGAAGTCACATCCCTTTGTTTCTTTTTCATTTCAAATTTGAGACAACTATATTAGTTTTCAACTTTCTTTGTGAAAGTTCAGTAATAAGATTCCTGAAATGATTATTTAGCTTCTCCCAACCCTTGCAATATGCCATGCTCTTGGAAATATTTTTCTGACACTTGGTGATGAAAATTAGATGTCAGAGCAGCTCTGTGCAGAGGACCCAAATTATATTCCCCTCATGTGCATAATGTAAAGGGCCCATATCTGTTACATGGTTTCATTAAGCTGAAATTTGTTTTGACCAATGTGTCAGACCGCCTTAGACTCATACTTTTCAGACTTCTTTGGATTTTGGAAATAAGAGCTTCCTTGAGGACCATTGACCCTTGAAGAAGGTAATTGAGGACCATTGAGTAGTGACAAAAAATTCATCTCTTCATCACGAGATTCCATTGTTTATTTAAATCTACCTCACTTCTTTAGGTCACATTTGATGACTACTCAGTCAAGAAATTTGTGAACAAGATATTCAGTAGTATTGGCTGAAATGGTTTTGAGAATAAACTCGCGATCTACAGATTTGATTCTTGATGGCTGTTGGTGATGCAACTACCAGAAATGTTACATTAGAAATAGAAATTAGTTGGTAAGTATTGAGTGGTAAGTAATTGTGTTGTTTGTTACAAGTGGAAGAAAGATGGGAGTGGCAGATGCTGTTGTTATATAACAGTAATTCATTGCCAGCTGAGAGCCTTTGAAAGGGTTTTAGCCCAGGAGCAAAACATTATGCAACACATCTGCCATTTACAGTCTGTTGGGTACCCTGACCAGACTCATGGCAGATGTCAAATTACAGAATCAGTTATTGTAGGCATCAAGGTATAGAAGGTAATTTAGATAATAATCTGCTTATTTCATTGTTTATCTGTTTGGTTAGTCAAATGGTACCTCCCAAAACCCCTACAGCTTATAACAACAAAGTTCATGGTCCAGTGCACTGCTTATATCCTGCCTGTTACCAATTTCACACAATGGACCAGCCCAAACACTAAAAATCATTGTTTTTAGATTCATTATCTTGCCTTCAAGCACTTCAAAATGTTACTTCAAGTCACCCAATCATTCTGGACATTTTAGAACTTTACTACAACCTTTCTACTGGCCAATATGACATCGTCCTCTGCTGGTTGCCGGGTCATGTCGGTATAGCAGGTAACACAAAGACTGATGCCGAAGCTAAAGCAGCTCTTGACAAGCCCTTATCTCCACTGCTGATCCTGTACAGTGATTACAAACCCACTATCAAAAGCTCTACTTGGGACCTCATGCGAAAAAGGTGGGACCTAAGTAGGAAGAAATAAACTTTATGAATTGAAGCCAACAATTGGTTAAACCTACTTGGGTTGTCAGTTAAGACGTGATGAGGTAATTTTACGACGATGTCGTATTGGCCAGTCAGTTTACACATGACTATCTGCTGAAAACGGATGGGGATGGACTGGAATAATGCCGATGTGACGTAAATCTCAACTCAACTTAAAAGTTAAGAGAATTATTTTAATGAGCAATAACAAAACTGAGTTGGAGAGAATGGTTTTAATGGATAACAAAAACATTTGAACAAAAGTTCAATAACATTGAACTTGAGTTTTAACTAACTTCATTAAATATCATAACATCCTAAGATATTAAATATCAATTTCCATTCAAGTACATTGTTTCAGTGTCTCTTATTTTAACAAAGGTTCAACAATATTGAACTTGAGGTTTAAGAGTGTTTCAGTGTTGCCCTGATCTCCAGAGAGTATCACATGCTTTTTGGAAATCGATGACAAAAAGTGAGAATATGGTCTGTTGGCGAATATCCTTTTCTGAAACCAGCCTGAGCTTTGGAAAGGATTTGGTTTGATTCGAAGAATTTATTTAATCGGCTGTTTTAAATACATGTAGATGTGAAAAGTTTTCAAATACTGCTCAGTAGTGTTATTGGTCTATAATTTTCAGGGATTTTAGGATCACCTTTATTTTTATAAATTGGTTTGATGATGCCAGTGTCGAGTACAATGTTAAAAGTTTTAACATAAATACCTAGGAATATATCCATCGTAGAAGAAATATATTCATTTACAACATCAATTCCAGGATCTGTTATTTTGAATATTTAACACATATTATTTCATCACACTGTATACTCCACCCTATAATCTTCTTTGGGTCAGTTCATTCTGCCAGAAAGGTAAATGCCGCATCTTTTAACTGATTGTAGGGATTATGGGCTGTAGGGGTTTTGGGAGACAACACGTCAAATTGCATGGTTTAAGTTAATAGGTTTATTGATGGAATCTTCCAGTATGACAACATTTTAGGTTATTCTTAGACCTATTACAAAATGTCAGATAGTTCGTACATCAATAACTTGTGTACAAAGAACCTGAATGACCAACAGAGCCACATGTTGAAAGTAGGTGCCATAATAGTCAGTGAACAAAGTCATTGTGTCTGGAAGTAAATGAAGTAGGTACTGGGTAATATTAATTCCATTACATGAGGACTGACATCAATCATAATAATTGGTTTGTAAAATTCAAGCACTGAAAATGTATTAGCTGGCTGAAAAGGCCAATGCTTTCATTTGACAGGTGCTTTGCTTATTTCTGTGGTTAAACAATCAGCTGCTAAATTAATCAATACAATGTACATATATACAGTAGTGACAAAATATTTTGAAAGTCAGTTCTTGGACATTTTCTGAAAAGTATTAATATAGTTTTTGCTTTTAAGGCCAAACCTTGGCTCGTAAGGTTGATAGTTTATACATTTTATTAATGTGTTAACAAGTCTCTTTAGTTTGTGAAAATGAAATTTTCTTCTGTGATTTGACTAAAAGTTTGGGTTTTCTTCTGGGTATGTGTCCTGTTTTGCGCTATTACTTAAATCTTAAAACATGGATAAGGTAGATTTTAGATTTATTGATTCTGCTGAAAAGTTTATAACATTTGTGTTCCTTATGACAACATTTTCTCTTGTTAAACCCAAACAATGAGATATTCATGTGTTTTCAAACAGCTCATTTCTAATAGTTGTGCCTGAAATTAAATTCAAAGCTGTGTGCTATGGAATTTTACAGAAGAACATGCAGCTTATATAATTTCAGTATCTGTGTACATGTGCATAGTTTCCCGTTCAACAAAGTGAAATGTTATCAATTAAGTCGTAACAGCACACTGTATGTCTACATTTGGTGAACAACCTTCATCATGGCTTATGCCTCTTATAATATGAGGTATTTTCACAAAATGTCACCTGGAGACGTAAAGCATGGTCGCAACTTCCATCATTTGATTGTCAAGAAACAAGTTGATTGTGGTACATATGTGTGAAAGTAGTTTGGATTTGCTTATGTATTTTTATGTGGCTTTTAACCATTTTCTGTTTGAAAACACATGTCACATGCACATTTTCAAGTTCAATTGTGAATTTTAATGAAGTAATGTGCCTTTCACTTATCCTGTGCCTGCTGGAGTGTCATGTGTGAGTGAGGACCAACTACAGCTAACACTGAAAAGTATAATCTTTTTTATGCTCCCAAGATTTTCATACAGGTTGATGAATAAGGATATCCTTGAACTTGCTGTACCCATTTACAGAACAAGCCGTGCATGCGAGTATCCAAACCTCGCTATGTCATCTACAGCCTTACACTGGTCATCATTGTGACTGCAGGAATGGTATGCGTAACATCACTTGAAAGTGATGCTTTAGTGAAACAACACTCATACATGTTTTTGTCACTAAAGAGTTTGATCTATTTTGCCATTGCTAATTTCGCTATAGCAAGAAAACCCATTCTGCTCTGTCCATTTTGGGGTGATGAAATTACCTCTTGGGAAGATATTTAGTTGTGAAATTTGATCAAGTCATACATTATGAATAGCATTTTGAATGGTTCATTCTCAAGTCAAGTCTTCATCAACTAATCAAATTCTGTTGACCCTGTGTACTACTTGAATGATGAGCTAGAATGATAATGAATTGTTTTGCCATAATGACTGAGGTATTGTGAGCATTGGGTCTGGGTCACAAGGTGTTGTGATACATACTAGTGATGGTCAGTTTTACAAATTGAACTTACTTGAAACGTTATCAAATAAATCTGTTGTAGTTGAGGCTTGATAGTCCATGGGAACATGTTCTTCTCTGATAGTGTTCTTGAGTTAATGTATGGCAAGGGCAAAATGATTGCCTGTGCAAAGATAATTTTTCTCAAGAGGTATTCATGCTTTTGTGAATCTTATAAGTTTCTTACAAAACTGGAACCTATTCTGGACATTCCAGTGAGAAAGACATGTGGATTGACTTGGCACAATGTCATAAGGGAACACTGATATGTTAGGGTGGGAGAGTCAAGCAACACTTCATAATCTTGAAATGATCAACAGATCTGATCTGATACAGAGGTTCTTTCTCCATGGTCATCACTACATACCAGCTTTCACTATACGGAGACACCATGTGTGTACTTTCGTACCATTCACTTTTCATCTGCAGTACTAATATGGCTTCCAAGTACATTATTCAGTGATCTTGTGAATATTTTGTTAGACCCTAGCTTGCGTCTACTACCGTATACAACATTGCTGTACTTGTAATAGTGACCGAGTGCGACAAGAGAAGTTAAGCAATCTACTACATCATTATTCTAGGATCCAGATTAAGGTCTAAACAAGGTATGTATCAAATCTTCCATGATATTATGTTTATAGAGCTTTCTACATTTCAGATACTTGAATCCGTCAACATTGATGCAGAAAATATGATGCTCGTTACTTTGTGGTGTAGGGGAAACCTATAAAACACGATGTTGCATGTGTTGCTTCTGTTATAAGGGTGACTCATGTATGGATGATATCGATGGCTACCTATGTCATTGGACATTGTGTTGTTAAACATGTTTCATGCAGGATGCAGCTAAGTGTAGCGCCAAGGTTATAAGAAGAATGTGCCTGTTCAGTGCAACTCGTAAGACCCTAAGGGTCATTATGAGAATTTGAAGTGTTATCCACTGTATGTTGGAATTCTTGAGTTTGTATGGACCATGATGAAAACCTGACACGTGTAACTTCGTATAGTGTATTATATGTTGACATGGTGCAGGGCTATGACAAGATTATATTAGGTATTTTGGTGGTATGATAGTTTATGTTTGAAAAGTTTCTTGGTGCAATTCTTGAAAATGGGTTGGATGTGAATCAGTTTGAAGTCTGTATAGCATATAAAAACAATCTTGGACTCTCAAGTTATGAATTGGACTTTGTGAAAACATGTCACCTAGACAGGTTACATATTTGGCATCTAAGTTTCGAATGTTTGAGTCTTAAAATGAAGCATTTACGCACGTCCTCCCCCCAATTTTTGTCCTTGTGTACATCAATAATCATTCAACAGTGAGGCAATTCTGACCATTCAGGGCGATGGTGTGAAAATGTCCATGAATTAGTGATACACATATTTGGGAATGTACAAATCATTCCGTCAGTTTATTTGTGGGTGTAGACAGGGAACTAGTTGCATTTACACAGATGTTACTTTTTTAATTTCATTAGTGTCACATGAGCAGTTGATTATGAGTTCTGATGAATCGTATGAATGTGTTTAGCTTTAGCCAGATAAGTGTCAGAATAAAAACTTGAAACATGGCATCGTTAATCTAATGTTTTCACCACAAAAACCCTTTTGATTGCATTACTGAATAAGCTGTGTGCACACAATAGTAACTGGAAACTGACGTATGCAGTTGTTAATTCAGATGTGTATTACTCCCAACCGAGTCCCTTATTAACATGACTATTTAGAAGAAACCAAAAGCAATTCAGGTGAGCTATAGGGATCTTTGGAATTGTATGTTCCATTGATGAAAAATTTAACTTAGTCTTGATAATTAACTCATGATTTTCAACTAACACTCCTGCTTTCTTGCAATGACAAGACAGACATCTGATTATTATTGAAGTGCTCAAACAAATACATCCTCTCTTCCCACATACAACATCTGTACATTCTAACGATGATAATGTACCCTTCCAAAGTTATTACAGAAATCAATGTGATCAGGTTCATCACATTTAAGTGATAGTAATATTGTCGTTGCATGTTGACATTTAGTGAATCGTAGCACAGGATTTATACTGGGAATGTAATTTCATGTAAATGTTTGTCCGACATTTGAAAGGGGCAAGATTTGTTCAAGTTTTGTATTTGCTAATTTCAAAATTGTTGCACAGCATAAATTCAAGGAAAAAAGGCATGTTTGTTAAGGTATGGACCTGTGTGAACAGTGATTAGTAAACAATCCATGAGCTGTTGACTTCCATCTGTCTCTCCCTTTAGATGAACTCGAATGCATATTGCACTGATGACACTGGTTTCATCTAATTTTAAATGGGAAGTAGCATGCTGTCAGTAACAATACAATTCTCTAATACATCCCCCTCTTTACTGAACCTTGATAAGGGTGAAGTCTGGTTTCAACCAGGTTTAACTTGTTTGTTATGGATTTGCTTTTTATCAATATTTTGTCCTTGCCAGAAGAATGATTGTATATATTGTAATGTTTTAAATGCTATTATTGCATAGTATTAGTAGCTATATCAAGCTCTTTGGAATTACAGATCAACCATGATTTGTAAAATCCCAATATCAGAATGAAGAGTTATGCATTAATTTCATTGTACAGAATAACATAGGATCTTTTAAATCCACAAACTAAGATGCACATCTGCTGGGGAAGGGCTTGGGTTTGTTAACGTAAAGGAATATGAGTATTAATGACAAATGAATACACACACTATCAAAATAACAATCAAGCTATGTTTTGAAATTTGTATGGCTGTTGCATCAAAGGTATGGTGTTGACATGCTGCATAGCAAAATCAACATGTGGGATTGTACATAATGTTTGTACATTATTACTGGAATACTGTTCAAAGCAGCGTTAGAACCAACATGCTCACTTGAAATTGCCATAGAGTTTATGACGTCATCATATTAAGTATTTCACAAGTTTTCTTATCAAACGAAAGACATACTCCATTTTTATCAGGTTATATTTTGATGAACCCAGTTGCTGCTATTGCATCAGATGTTTTACTGATAAAGATATACTCATGTTTCGCCATTTGGATTTTCCTGATCTTGTTCATACTTACACCATCAAAGGAAATATTGATGAGGCAATATTGATGAATATCTTCAGTGAATCATCAAAGCAAGTCCATGATGGCATTATTCAGTGAACGTTGTCATGTCAAACATGAGAATCTACCTTTCATTTGTCATTGTGACATTATTTTTATTGTGGAATGGGGCGTTTCTCATTGGGAAGGAATGTCTTGTCCATATACACTACTAGCATTTGTTTCAGAAGAAAATGGTTGACTATACTGTGAAATAGATGCAGACTGAGTACCCTGCAGAATATATCAGTCTACTTAAATACCCCACTGTAGTTTGGTGAATCTATTATATTGCCAAATCTATATCTCCATGTTTATAATTAAAGGTTAATTTTCAGAATTCTATAATTGATATATGAAATAGTTGATATGTTGGATGATTTAAGGTAAGTAACACATACGAAAATGAAGTCTGATTAATTTTTGTCCCAGTTAAATTAATATATTTGTCAAATACCTCAGGGAGCTTTTTGTAATCTGATCTTGAATGTGTTACAGGTGTGTTGTCCAGGATGACATGACTAATCCAGCCTGCTGCTCAACCACAGCCTGATCTGAATGCACACATGGTCAAAGTCACTGGCCAACGGAACTCACCAGAACTGTCGTGATAAGTGAGGTATGCAAATTTTGCAATATTTTGTACATAATTATACACTTTTGTACATAATGTTAATGTAATATTAAATTCTCTATAAATGGTATAAATATTTAAATATTAAAAAAACGTTACTTGAAAAATACGAATTTACATAGTTTGGCCATCGTTTGGTGGAAGCTGGTCTGAAGCCGGAGTTTGAAGTTCTATTTTGACTAGTAATAGTCGAAGTATAAGACAAGACATCTACTCATAATGATACTTGAAGCAGAGTTTGAGTTAGAAGTCACTGAAGTCGAAGCTACAGATGTTATCAAATTACCATCTTGATGTTTTCAGATTGAGAAAATGCTGAAGAAGTGTTCTGATGGATTAGATGGACGACTGCTCACTGGTTTCAAGCCTGGGCATAAATGCAAGGAAACCTCATCTTAATTCATGTTTGACATTGTTGAAAGAAAACTATGAATAAATAGTTTTTCTTAAGATTGTCTCGTGTTTGCACTTTCAAAGATTGACAAGTAGTTGGATCTAGATAGCTTTCCTGATTGGGATGATCTGCAAAATGAAAGTGACTTATCTTGTGAATTTTTGATCAACAAATAGAAATTAATGATTATAATGAAATTTACTGTATGGCTTTGTGAATTGATAAGCCCATGCAAGTAACACCCCCTTTCATGACCAGGTTTGAGGGATGCAGTGTCTTTAATAGTCTCCAAAATCTTTTCTTTGCTTGCAAATTATAACAGATCTAAAGGGTCAGTTGGGAAAACATTTCACTGTTTCATGTTTACTGTATATCTAGTTTGTTTTAAATTTCATCATTTAACCTACAAATTTAGGAGGTTTTCTACAATGAGGTAACTATATATTACACCTTGGTAAGGGAACATATATCTGGTGATGAACACGAGCTTATGCAGTGATACAATCAAATGCATCTATCTTGTCAGTTGGCTTATTGCAACAAGCATGGGTTAAAGAAGTCAAGTTTTAATCTGGACGCAGGGGATAAGAAAATGAGTTAATGCTTCCTGACTTTCCAAATATGTTTCCAATTTGTCAAAGTGTGATGTAAAAAATGGTTCTTTTAACAAATAACATCCCACACAAACTGCATGACTTCATAAGATGTCATAGGGACTGACAAGTATATTAGTTTATACAAAAGTTGATACATTAGTCCTACTGAACAAATGAAATGGTACTCGCCACCAACGTAATAGACCTCACTGAGATCTTGAAGCTGTCTGTTGCTAAAAGAGTATTTAAAGTTGGGTAACTGCAGCAATATCTTGGATACCATTGCATTCATTGCACAAAGAGGGAAGTCAACACATTGGTATTCAGCAAGCCATTTTTGTAAGAGGTCACTACCGGGATCGGGTGGTCAGACTCGCTGACTTGGTTGACCCATGTCATCGTATCCCAAATGCGCAGATTGATGCTCATGATGTTGAACACTGGTTTGTCTAGTCCAGACTCGATTGTTTACAGACTGCCACCGAACAAACAATTCGTACACAAAAGTAATCTATGCCTGGGTTCCAGTATCATTTTGTGACAGGTTAAATTGTTGAGCAAGGGATTCAAACCCAGGTTGTCTTTCACTTGGACAGGCCATACAAATGTGTGCATGATGAAACACATGCACTATTCACGTGCATGGGGTTGAGAGACTTGTCCTGCGTTCGTCTTCCATTAGTGCACGTTGACATCTGCCCACAACCGCTGGATATTTGGCAGCCCATGAAAACCTGTGTTTGTTGCAGAAAAGTATGGGATCGACCTGTCATCAGCAAGTTAGCTGAATGAGGAATGGAAGATTGTCCACACACACACACACACACACACACACACACACAGACACAGACACAGACAGAGAGAGAGAAATGTACTCCTCACAAAAAATTAAGCAAGAGGGCTTTCTTCGACCACACCCCCGTTTTGTGCGGATATATCGTGTATAACGTGTGTTGCTTAACTTTTTGTGAGGAGTATATATTGAAAATTGGTATGTGAAGCAGCACCTCTGAAAACAAATGGTCTTCTGCGAACCAACAACCTGAAGGACCACCCATTCTGGTAATATTGTTCACGTAAAGTAATGTAAACGAAGCGCACATAAAATATTACCCGTTTCCCCACATCCCCCATGTTTAGGGAACTGTAGAATCACATGTCAGTGGCAATCAGACAAGCATACAGGTAACACATACGAGCTTCGCATATTGTAAAACCTACACTTAGGTTGAAAAGAATTATCAGCGAAAGCTCAAACGAAAGAAAACATGGACTCTATGATTGTTCTCTTGGTGTCTTTAGGGACCGTTGAAGGCGTTCATAATTTCATAATTTATGGAAAGGGGGTGTGATGATGATTTTAGGGGTGTGTGTGGGTTTGTTTCTTCAGTTTTGTACACATGTACGTGGGGGAGGGGGGGGGTGTGTGTGTGTGGTGGATGGAGCAATTTTGCACGTAGTTATTTAAAATAAATATTCTTAAAAAAAAGGGGAGGGGGTCATTGAGTTGGTACATGACATGCAAGGGGATCACTTTGTACAAAAAATTTATGGGTGGGATGGGGGCTTTCACATTGTACATACTTCTCCATAACAATCATCATCACCACACACCCCTAGCCATAAATTATGAACGGTCCTTCTCCAATTTGTTTCAACACAGCATGATCCAATAATTTGACTGATCTCTCCCACATGGACAGGCGGCTCAGGGTATGTTGTTTATTATTATTGTAAATAGTGTGTAAACATCTTGGGACTGACATCAACAACAGTTGGTAGTTTTGATTTTGCTAAAATAATGACAGCTGGATTTGTGACCGGTCTTCACAGCTGCACATTAAACACCACCGGGTCTGTTTTGTTCAATGTCGGTTTAACACATGCATACAACATTTAATGTTAGTCGTGGTGTTAATGTATATATATTTGAGATGTCCTCTGGATGTTTAAAGGGTTTAATCGCATTTGCATGAACCAACTCGATTTGTCGGCTGGTGAATATTTTGTCCCCGAGACATGTCAATAACTTGGTAGTGTTTTACACAAAAATGTTGAATGAACAGGACAGAAACAGCTAAACTTCCCCAAGTATGCAGCAGCCAGGCCTGGTGCAACACATGGCATAGATGGCAGTCCTCGGGTGGTCCTCCGGGACATCATGAAATCAACCTTTGTCCACAATGAAGACTCATTTCAAGCATGGAAACATGTACAGTTCACGTTCCTCTCGAATCCATCTCCTAGCAGTATTTCTTCATGTGACATAAAATTGTTAAACCTGTTCCATTTTCATAACTGATCCTGAATTCAAATCTAACCTTACATGTAAATCTTACTACATTAAACCATTCGAAGATAAAACCCGTCATAAACGCCATTGACTGTACTCTCCGTGGATTGATTTATGTTGGAGAGAGACAACAGCAATTATTGACATGACTCAGACAGCATAGATTAGACATCAAGAGTAACAAGGAATATAGATTTATGGATGTCAACTTCTTTATTATGAGGAACACAATGTTTCGGAGTATATGCTTACTTCTTCATCAGGTGAATGAATGCTATGAGACAGATAACATATATATGTACATGACAGACATTTTATTCAGTAATAGGCCACTGGCCCAAAATACATTCATAAATATAATAAGAAGTTACATGCGTTTTACCAGAGAGACTATATAATGTTGTAGATTATCCCTGTTTTTTACATAAAAACATCAGAATCTCTTATTTTCCCAACATCATATAAAAATAGGCACACATTATTTATAACATTTATGTTTTTTTGAAGTCATTATGTTTATAAAACTGTGTTGTGAAATAAGATGTTTCAAATATTTACCCAGAAACTTATTCCTTATATCTAAGTAGGCTTTACAATAAAGTAAAACATGTATTTCATCTTCAATTAAATTAAGATTATTTTTGTATCAAAAAAGGACAGAATCTTGAATAATAAGGGACATTGTTATATCTACCGGTCTCAGAACTAAGTTTAAATTTACCGCATCTAAATTTTGTTAAACAATTTCTTAAATATGGGGCAATACCTAAACTGATATAAGTTTCAACATTCAGGAGGGACTTGAAAAGAATATAATTAGAACACTTGGTTGTACTATGTAGGGATGAGTACCAATCTTGTGAAAGATTATCAGACAATCTTTGCTTAAAAACAGAAATGAAACCATCAATATCTCCAATATCCTGTGAAATCCAAACAAAGCTAAACCAAAATCTAAATAAAATATTCTTGATATGAGATGCCCATGTCGTCCGTCCAGATTCATCCAAAGACTCAAGCTTTAAATAAAACTGATGAGGTAATCTACAACTTGGAAGAGTTAAAAGTCTACACCAATATTTAACTGCCCTTGACATATAAGTAAGTTGAAGAGGGAATCTGCCACATTCACCAAGAACCATATTGTTGCATGTATTTTTTAAGAAATATTTACATGTCTTTATCTGGATTTGTTCAATGATTTTACAATGGGTAACACCCCAAATTTCTGAACCGTAACAAAGAATAGGTTTAACCATAGCATCAAATACTTTAAAAAGATCCGCACATGACAGATAACCTACTCGTTTTTGATATCTATAGATAGCCATAAGGGCTTTATTGGCTTGAGAAGCAAGAGTAGTGTGAGCTTTAGCCCAAACTAGCCTAGGAGTGAACATAATACCCAAGTACCTGTAGTTTGAGACAACTTCCAGCCTTTGCCCATTAAGAAACCACTTTTCATACTGTCTAAGGGGCCCGCTATTCCCGAAAACAATAACTTTAGTCTTAATAATATTGACCTTCATGCTGGTGAGTTGACAAAAAATTTCAAGCCCATAAATCTTCTTCTGAAGCTGGAGAGCAGTATCCGAGACTGAGGAAACATCATCAGCAAACATTAGAGCATACAGATTATTAACATCAGGTGTAATAAATATACCACGGCCACCAAATTGCTCCATACTTTCCATAAGCTGATATATAAAGATAATAAACAATTGGGGACTGAGGATGCAACCCTGCCTAGTACCTATACTACAATCAAAATAACTTGAAAGACCTTGAGATGTTCTGACACAAGCTTACACTGACTGACTGACTGAGTTTAGTTTTACGCCGCTTTTAGCAATATTCCAGCAATATCACGGCGGGGGACACCAGAAATGGGCTTAACACATTGTGCCCATGTGGGGAATCGAACCCGGGTCTTCGGCGTGACGAGCCAACGCTTTAACCACTAGGCTACCCCACCGCCCCCACAAGCTTACAACCTACCATACATTGATACAAGGATGTTATAGAATTTACCACCAACACCAACTTTTTTTTAGACTTGACAGAAGAATTTTATGATTAACTGTATCAAAGGCCTTTGAGAAATCTATAAACAGACAATAGAACCTTCCTTTCTTCTTACATCAATATTTCTGTACCATAGCTTGAAGTGAGAAAATGTGGTCAGTAGTAGAATAATTACTCCTGAATCCTGCCTGAGCTTCATGAATAATATTCTTCTCCTCACACCAAACCTGTAACCTACTGTTGAGAAATGAAGTGAATATTTTACACACAGAATCAATAAGAGAGATACCTCTATAATTATTGGGGTTACTTTTTACACCAGATTTGTAAAAAGGACAGATAATGCTTTTACCCCAAAGCACCGGAAAAATACTGTCTTGGAGAATCTTGTTAAACAACACTGTAAAATAATTGCTGATAAAAGTCTTAGAAGCTTTAATAAAGTCAATTGCAATACCATCTGGTCCAGAAGACTTGTTTTTTGCCAGTTTATCAATGTGAAGTAAGACTTCGTTTTCAGTAATGTCACAATTTAATGTTTTTAGCTCTTCATCCTTGTACATGTAAGAACATCAAAAGTAATAAAACAACAAAGATGGAGGCTAAACAAGAGAAGCCAACCGTTAACTGGCATTGATTGGTGATTGGCGCAGAGTTAACTGTCCCTGTCACCACCAAGACCAACAAAGATGCCTTCATAACCAGCCTCGAGAGTGCCTCCAACAACTGGCCCCAAATGGCAAAGTTGATTACCTCCGCCATCAGATTATAGACACAGTGAAGAAAGCCCTCAAACCATGCCTTAACCTCACCACCAAAGAGAGCCATGCCATGACTGAAAAATGCAAGGATACTGCCGTCACCATTACAAAGGTGACAAAGGTAAAGCAGCTGTTGTCAGGAACACCCCTGATCTTAGGGTGGGCTCTCCCGATTCTGTCATTGTATTTCCCCTGCCAAATCATTCCCAATAAGCAAATCCACACCTTTGATAGGGAAAGTGTCTCCAACGCTCGCCTTAACGAACCCAGGCACTGAGCTTAGTCTTCAAATTCATAAAATGGAAAGGCGCACATGTGAAACCACATACAATCTCAATGTGGGCAGATGTCTCCTCAGAAAGTGAAAGTGACTACCAACCAAATTCAGAGTACCAGTATCCCTCAAAACGCCAATGGGCTAAACATTGGAACTATCACCTCCTTCTCAAAACAAACTTTGATGACTGGTCTACAAAACCTAACCCCTCATTAGCCACCACACAACAAGGCTGTGACGTGACATTCGAAAATTCGTTGAGGAAGAATATATGTTATAAAGCGAGCTTACAACACTCAGAATGATAGGACCAACTGACACAGAACTTGACTTTTCGATAACAAACTCAGAGCCAGACTTTGACATGTCTGAGCGAGAACTGTAAGAGGTTAAACTAACCTTTCCAGTTTTTTAACCTTTGAACTGCATGAGAAACCTGACTGCCTTAAACTAACCCTATGCAGCCTGGTGCAACTGATTAATTTTCTGCCCTTGAGGATATGTCCGAATGTCTCCTTACACACACCGCTTCAAATCTAAGCCAAACCACCTGCCTCAAACTATCAAAATCACCACTTACCAAACAAAGTTTAATTTTCCCGAGCAAGCACAGCGAAAGCATTATCCATCCCTTTTTTCACAGACTTAAACTGCCTGTATGCTTTAGGAACCAATTCATAAGCGTTCAAAATTGCAGGCTTAACTGTCTGATGATTAGAAATCCTGTCAATAGGCAAGGCAGATCAAACTTCCTGAGTCTTAAATACTAAATACACTTGCAACAGCAGGCTATTGTTAACCACCTTTTTGAAATGCAAGAAAAACTTTTCAACATCACCTTCAGAAAAAGGCGAAAGAGTGAAACCTGCCTTGAAAGATCAAGCAACCTGTTGAGGTACCAATAGAGATATGATTGCCTAAATCAATTCTTGCCTCACTTGAATTTCAATATCAGTTTGAATTTTGATCCCCGATGAACACCCAGTTTCTGTTAAGTGTTGATACTCAAATTGAACTAAAAGTTAACAGTCAGTAAACGAACTGGGTGTAAAAACAATGAACAACATTACAATGTTCCAGAACGCTGTTTTAATATATGCCTAAATATAACACACCACTACCCCCTACTGTACAATGTCATACACCTGGAAAATTGTCACACAATGAATCACACTGCCACTTAACAATATATTTTACTTCTGCAGCTTGCAATATGTAAATACTTTTTTGTCTCTATGTTCTGGTATGCACAATCGTCATTTAAACAATGCCACAACATTTGGTCGACAATGTAGTTGAAGACATTGTCAAACCAAGTACTTGTTTATTCATCTAGGTTTCTAGTTAGTAGCCTTCTTGATGTAATTATCATGCAAAACTTATTCAAATACTGAATTCAGTTTTTAATTGTATTGATTAGTTTTCAAAATCAGTAAAAGTACTATTTAGACATGCACTAATTACATGTACTTCATTAGTCATCAGACATTATTGCAGTCCGATTGTCCATACCAAATTGTTTTGTCCGCAAGACGTCACAATGTTCAATGCTTGCTTGCAACATCAAAATCACCTGTTTGTAAACAAACACACCGACACTGAAATCAGAGCAGTCTATGCTCATGAAAGTCCTTCAGTGTGTTACCCTACTACAGCCACGAAACGGATTAGTACGAAAACATAGGTCTACACTCATAGGTTGGATTTCCAAAAGAAATGTTTGCATGTGGATTCATACATTGTAAACATCATGTGAGTCCATGATAAATATAACATAACTGAAAATAATATATGACACAAGCAATAGGTTTTCTTGTTGCAGTCTGTTCTCTTCAGCACTTGTCGAATGTTGGATTGTCATACTCCTTTTTTGGTGGTAGACTTTTTGACTGAGTGATCAAGTTCATAGGATTTGTTACTGCTCCTGAAAAAACCCAAATATATAGATTGTATCAACGTTCAATGAAAAGTTTGAAATGTTTATCGACATAGTCACTACTCAGACATTACTATCACAGTGATGCAACTCAACTCAAAATCTAAATTAATGCACTGTTGACAATTTAGGCTAACAAATATGTAAAACGGAGAAATGTGTTTTTACTTATTTCAATGTTTGCCTTTAAAATGCATTTACTGTTTAATGTCGTGATTTAAATATGTGAAATTCTGTTGCTCAAAAGACATGTTATTGGGTTAAACATAACTGGACCACCATGTGCTTTAAGCATGTTCTGATCTTCAGTATCATTATATATTCTTTAAGAGGCTTCGGTAACATACTTTCCAAAAACTTTGGCATCGTCGATAGTTTCCGGCAGTTTTCGATTCAGTGTTTCTGGCAGCCACAGTGCCAGTATCCCCGCCGCTACTGTCATAGCACCAAATACCAGAAGGGGGAGTGCGTTTCCGAAGTCACCATCAACTATTGTGCCCTACAAAATACAAGGAATGTTTTTCGGAGGACCTTCACAAAAAGAGTGTATATTCGACTCCGTTCAATACAATGGAGGATTTTCAAATGATACGAATGATAACAAAAGTACCAAGAGGGTTATGTGTTGATTGTAAATGATGGAAAATGAAACTTAGTTTCCATGTGTAACAGGTTAATTGCTAGAACATGTTGGCTGTGAATTGTGATGGTGCAAACAACCATGAAAGTCGACAGAAGTGTCTGATCAAGAAATGAACGTTTCAGATGACTAGATCAGTAACTTGTTATTCCCTAAGATTGGTCAAACAATCATGGCATTGTTCGAATCAATCCCCTAGTGACAATTTTGAGGAGTATTGGTCACTCCTGCAGTACCTGGTCCACTTCAGCTAATTTAGAGAATGACATTTGACATTTTCCAGACGTTCTACATAGAGGAAGGGTCAGGCCATGGCTGGTCATTGCATTCTGGTGGTACTTTGCTGCTAGTCAGTTACATAATGTGCGGAAACCGTAAAGCGTTTCAAAAGAAAACTTGACAACTATGGTGGAAATAAGACAAACGACACAACTATGGGCTCCAGTATGTTGTTTTGGGAATACTGTCCAGTGACTCTTCCTTGGACAACATGCAGTGGCTTTCTAGCAATCAAAGTCATCGTCCATTGCCGTCCATTGTGTCGAACAGTGGTACAACAAGTGGTTGATGTGGATCCCAGGTTTGCAAGTTCCAATGTCTGCCAGTGACATTTACATACTGATTACCTCGTGCTGAGTTCCACCGGTTTGAAGCATGCCAATAGCTGTTACAAGTTCATCACATTGCGGGACACACATTCCCATTAAGACAAAATAATCTGTGTCAAAACTAATTGTTTCAGTTGACCAGTTGTCAAACCATTTCGTCTCTGGCATTCATTTTTCGAAGCTGATTTTTGTTTCTGACGACCGATGATTAGCATATATATTTTATCAGTCTAGTCCATCAAATATCATCCACCATATACACGCGTTACTTAGGCTCTAAGACTCACCAGATCAGCAATGTAAGGGGACAGTATTCCTCCAATACGGGCCGAGAAGGAGCTGCCGCCCATGCCGGAGTTTCTCACAACAGTAGGGAACAGCTCCGCAGCAAAAATGTAAATAATGGCAAAAGCAGCAGATGCTCCAAACTTGCCAATCATCGACAGAGTAATTGTCACCCATTCCAGCTCTGTGAAGGAAATGCATGTACATGTACAGACAGTACTTCATCTCAATCATGGTTTCTGTCGTGCCCAAAGGAGGCAACTCCACACTACGAGCTGTGGGGCCCATGTCTCTAATGAAGATGTTAACCATTATATTTTTAACCTATTAATTTATCAGTAGTGACAGCGAAAATTCTTTACACCAAGTTCTAACATTTTTAACAAACCTGGCTTCATACCAACTCACCTTTGCCCCCATACAAAACCGGGAAGATGGTGGCAATACATGCAATCCCTCCCACCAACATACTGCCACAGTGTAGGAACTTCCGGCCCAGTCGAGCCAGCAGAAACAGACACATGACGTAGGATGCTGTCTCCACGATATTTGCGATGGTAAAGTTTAGGTGGATGTCACCGCCGAGATTTCCAACGTTCAGACCAAGACCGTAGAAAACCATACTGACAACAAGCCTGGTGTCGAAGTTGGAAAATTGTCAACATCTAAGGCTTAATAAAATGATAATAATTGCGTAAACTCTAAATTTTGGAAAAATTCGACCAACTATTCACATATAGGAATAGAAGCAAGTAGAAGTATAATTTTCAATTTCTGAAGTGAAATAAATTGTTTATGTACTTACTGACAAACCATTCAGAGAAAATATTTGCATCAAGCATGGACTGAAGAAATATGCTGTCGCAAACATTTGTTCGGTCTCTCCCTGTTCATTATGGGTTCATTTGTATACATGGTTCCTGTTTAATACAGTACCCACATGATACATATCTATGTTGACGTATGGAGATGACTATGGCACGTCTACTGACCAGTTGAAGAAGATGATGAGAGTCCTGACGAGGAGCACTGGGGAGGTGAACATCTCTGTAATCTTGGCCTGGGGACCGTCATCCAGTGTGTCCTTGTCAAATAGCTTCTGTGGAAGAGTCACGCCGTTCACTTCTGCTGCTTTTCTGAGGATTGTTTCTGCTTCCTGCTCGCGACCACGTGACAGCAGCCATCTTGGTGACTCGGGGACTAACCTAAGAGTAGAAATATTGACCAGGGAACCGAGGACTGAAAATAATTCAATGGCACTGGGGTAAGATGGCATAACAGTTTTACAAACAATTCACTTTGGTTAGTTTCTAATGCTGTCTTGGCGACCAGGTTTATATTGGAATCCCCACAGTCTCCAATTCACGTACTAGTGTTTAACACGACGCAGAATTATATAGATATAGAGATGCAGAGATCCAGTTAAGAGTGCACCTACCAGTACAAGCCGAGCAGTACCACAGCTGGGACGGAGATGGCGAGTTGGAGATGATGCCAGTCACGAATGAAGTAGGCCAGAGCTCCAACAATGAACAGACCCACGGCCCAAAAGGACTGGATGATCATACCACCCAATGTTCGTTTGGCAGGACCAACGAGTTCCATTACTGTACAAATTGAGAGATTTCATCAGATGTATCAGGTAAACGCATGGTTTGATTCCCAATGATGTTTTCAAAATTTATTTCCATGAAAATAATAGCGAAAAAACCCTTTCCGCTTTCATAAGAAATATCTGCAAATTCGCTTCGAGTAGAGTCGATTGTACAATTGTGACTATATCATGAGCAGATATTTGTTTCAGCAGTATTACAGCTGTGAGACGTTATTTGTAAACAAATCGGATCTAAACCAGACAATCCAATGATTGTCACCATGCGATACGAGCATGTGTTTATGAATCACTATGAAATAGTGATGATACCAGGTGTTCGCGAAAAGGTGAGCGTATCCTCAGTAGGGTTAATTGTGCTGTTAGTTTTGTCTGCGGCCTATGACACGATAGATCACGAGAAGCTAATTGATACTCTGAATCAAGGGATTGGGATTGATGGAGTAGCCCTGCAAATACCTATCCAACCGATACCAAGCTGTTGTTGTCCAGAATGCGAGCTCAAGTAAGTCACTTCTCAAGTTTGGAGTGCCGCAAGGATCTGTCCTTGGGCCTATTTTATTCACGTTTTACACATCTGTCCTTGGAAATCTAATCTCTATCATGAATGTGGGCCATCACAATTACGCTACTGATACTCAGTTGATGAAAGCATTCTTTCCAAAGGATTCTCAGTCTGCAGTTGATCAGATTAAGATTTGCACAAGATTCAGTGTTGGATGGATGTTAACATGCTGAAATTCAACACTGATAAAACAGAAGCCATGTTAGTCGGGACTTGTAAGAACAGGAAGACAGCAAAGATATCAACACTATGTGTTGGAGATTCTCACGTCCAGCTATCAGACTGTGTCAGGAACCTGGGCGTCCTTCTCGACAGTGATCTCTCAATGGAGCATCATGTTAGTATGATCTGCAAAGCATGCCATTTTCACCTGAGAAATATTGGCAGTATCAGACATCTCCTGACCACTAACGCCGCTCACATGCTGGTCAGAAGCCTAGTCCTATCCAAACTGGACTACTGTAATAGTCTGCTGGTTAACATCTCACAGGAACAGTTCTCCAGACTACAGAGGAGACAGAACATGGAGGCAAGGATTGTGTCCAGGACAAAGAAGTCCGTGCACATAACACCTGTGCTCATCAATTTACATTGGCTCCCTGTACAGGCACGTGTGCAGTTCAAGCTATTGGTATTGGCATACCAATGTTACCATGGATCAGCCCCATCATATCTTGTCGAACTCACACAGTCCTTCGTTCTGCAGACCAGCACCGCTTTCATTCCAAAGACTAACTTGAAACGATTTGGCCGAAGATCTTTCAATTATAATGCTGCAGTTCAATGGAACAAACTCTCAACAGAACTCAAAACACACTCGCTTTTCAAGTCTCAGCTAAAAGCATATCTCTTCCGACAGTCATACCAGGACTAAAATCTACTGCCTTGTGTTTATGTCTCATTGACAGAGTTAATATTGTAGTATATTTGTAGCGGTATGACCATACACATAGAGTATGGAGTTTGGCGCCATATCAATGAACTCATTATTATTATTATCCAGCCCCGCTGGTGGCACCCGTCATAAACATATGTTAAGTGCAGTCATTTAACTGAGGAATATTTCATGCTTATGCCAGCTTGATAAAACTTCCTGTTGATGGGCTTGTGAGGAGCTATCAAAAATACCAGTAGATAGACGACTGAATATGAAGGAAATTATTTTAGGATTTTTATTGAACGTAAACAACACACCAGTATAATATTGTAGCTGTAATACTCAATCTGTAATTACAAATTTCCAAATATTTATCATATTGCCCACCCTTATCGTTCACCATGACAGGGACTTTTAGGGATCGGTCATCATGGACATTAAATTGTTATTTTTCTTGTTGTACAAGGTCGGTAAGACGTTGTTTGTTCAAGGCCTCAGTGAAGCTTTCAATTTTTTCATGATAAGCATGTGGTGGACATTTCGAAATTTCACATCAATGACAAAAATATTTCCAAGGTCACTCCCCTTTTTAACAACTTTCTTCACGTATATTTTACAGGTGAAAGATTGAACAGTCTTAGGATTTGTTTGTGTCGGGTGCCAACAATGAGGTAGCGTATCCTCATCTTTTCCCAAACACCATTTATCATCACTTTTTGATAGTGATTCATAAACACATGCTATGTCATCGTATCTCATGTTGTCACCGAATGTTTACAGATTGGGTTGTACAGCTTTAATACTGCTGGATACGGCGCTGTGATGTAGTCATATTTGTACAATCAACTGGATGTGGAAACGGTTTTGTCGTTTCTATTTCTGATGTTGAAGGGCGGTGGGGTAGCCTAGTGGTTAAAGCGTTGGCTCGTCACGCCGAAGACCCGGGTTCGAATCCCCACATGGGTACAATGTGTGAAGCCCATTTCTGGTGTTTCCCGCCGTGATGTTGGTGGAATATTGCTAAAAGCGGCGTAAAACCAAACTCAGTCAGTCAGTCTGATGTTGAAAGGGCTGTCTATTTACATCGTTTAGTATCAATATAATTTAACTGTTTGTATCCACATGTAGTTTACTGATTTCTTATACACTAAACGCCAAAAGAAACGTTACCCCCCTTCCTTGATGACGGAGGTACTATCTTCAGCTGGCGTTATGATGTGTGGACGTCCACGGTCTACGGTCTATGGTGACCCCAGTCTCTCTGTAGCGCTGAATAAGTCTCCTAACCTTGATACGGTGGCATCCGAGGGAGTTGGCAACAACATTGTATGACTCTTTCTCTCTCTTCAGCGGTTAATCGTTGCATATTTCTCGTTCTTGTGTATCATATCATGCATTCTAGTCTCTCTTTATACCCTATAGAATCATTCTACACGTGAAATTGATGCAAATACTGCTTGAATATTGCTACATTTTGGCGATTTATATTGCTATGTGTAAACAGAAAATGGAAAAAAATGTTACTTTACAAGCAAAAATGTTAGCAAAGATAATTTTAGATGTTCCTAAACCCTTCTTCACAATATCAAAGACACGTTTTACTTTTTTTCACTAATGCAAATCAGTAGAAATGTTTTTAAAAGACTGAAATCATAGGAATGATTCTTTTACAATTTTACACACTCTACAACAGTTGTTTCTTGTTTTAATAGTTGAAAAATGGTGACTTTTAATGTTTTATCTTTGTCTCACAGCAGAATTGTATTTCAACCTTTCTTTTGGACATCTAAATAGCTGTTATTGCAATTAAGAAAGTGTTTTCGTGATTTGCATAAAACTGTGTTGTTAAGCTTTCTTGTAAACTTATACCTTCTAACATATCTTTGATAGTTTTTAAGTAATTCATACAGGTAGGAGGGTAACGTTTCTTTTGGCGTTTAGTGTATACTCGTCTGATTTCACTTACCTATCACAAAAGACGGTATAAAGAGGCCGATATTGGAAGCACCGTTAAAGAATCTGAGAATGACGAAAGCCACGAAGTTCGGAGCAAACGCTGTTCCAACTCCTGTACCGATGTGTAGCAGGATGGATACCATCAGCGCTGGCTTGCGCCCGATGCTAGCAGGAAAAGTATATAGTCAGTTATTCATTTCATAAATCTAAAATTGTCCTGAAATCTTTTTTATTATATTATAATGTGCGTTTATAGCAATAGAGGGACAAAGACCATCCCTATTGTGTCAATTAGTATAGAAGGTCAGTGCCAAAGAGTACCCGGCTTGAGTTTCGTCAGGGACAAATTCAGTATTTTGTCTGCAAAAACATGACCCTTTGATATATCTTCTGTACATGAAGGTTTTACCTACATGTCCGAGATGATGCCCAGAACAAGAGATCCACAGAGAAGTCCTGCCATTAGAATGCTGTTGGCAAGAGACCTTAGGCCTTTATCTGCGCAAACCATGTTCAGCTGCAAATGAAAAAACACTGCAGTCAGTGTACTGTGGTTTTGTAACCAACGAGAAGTATGCCTGCAATACAACGAACATTCTTCGTCACAAATACGAAGATAAAACACTTTTCTGAATGTAAATGGAAATTTGGTCAATTATTTAAGACTCGACCTATCATAGACCTGGAATTTCAATACGGCACACATATATTTTACCTACGGTGACCCTTTGCTCAGGTACTTCATTTTCCTTATTTGGTAAAGTCTGCCCCAGAATCTAGTTCAAAGTGTGTTTGATTTGGGTTACGCTATTCACGTCCTTAGTGAAGCTTCAAGGTGTTTTACATTTGACGTGTGTAGTACATTTCCAAATGTGAACACAATCCGCGACCAAAAGCATGCCAACAACATATCCTTATTTTGACTGTAACGTATGTCTCCGTCCTTTTCCAAGTGTACGCTTAACTTTTCCTTTGAATGTGTTTGCAATGGGTCCCATCATTTGGGCAGGATATGTTCCCCGTTTGGAAATTACCAGGTACTAAATGATAGTGATTCACCTGCTTGTTGTGTATACCCGTACAACGGATTATGATTTGTTTGTCTGGCTAACGTACCTCTGTGATAACAGTGTTCTTGAAGACGGAGTTGTCGTACACCCAGGCGCTGCATTCCTGGGTTGTTCTGTTCTGACCTCCTGAAACATCGTCCTTGTAGATGAGACAGGAGTCCCTGACACTGACGCCTTTCTCCGTCTTCCAGGGTATGGTGGCGTTAAGGAGGAGCTCGTGGTCAGGTCCTTGGACAGCGTATGTGTCGTTGCTGACACCGGGGAGAGCACATCTACAACAATTGTGGGAAATAAGTTGAATATATTTCCTGGACATCATAAAAGTAGACTAAAGAGTTCATCACACGTGGGCGCAAAGATTGAAAACGTCAACACGAAAAGCTAATGCCAACAACACCAATTGTGAATTTTAAATAACTCTTGAGATGGCGTTAATGTAGGATAATTCACTGTAAATAACGGTCAGTACCAGAGGACAACCAACCGATTATGTGCCGGAACAAGTGATTACATTCGACGATGACAAAATAGCAATGAATAGATTTTTTAAAGTAACTGATGTTACTATATTTTAGTGCAAGGGAGTGAGTGAGTTTAGTTTTACGCCGCTTTTAGCAATATTCCAGCAATTAAGGCGAGGGATACCAGAAATGGGCTTCACACATCGTACCCATGTTGGGAATCGAACCCGAGTCTTCGGCATGATGAGAGAACGCTTTAACCACTAGGCTACCCCACCGCCATAGTGCAAGGGAAACTAACTATGTAATAAAACAGTTTTTAAAACAGGTTTTTATGTTTGTTGTTTTTAGACAAAACTGTAAACGAGTGTTTGTTTGATCATGTGGGGTTGAATCGCACTTTCTGATGTAGAGGACATTTCTGCGTTGGCCCTTTGACTTTAATGAAAAAGTAGATTTCTTCAAGGTAAACATACATAACCCAACTGCTTTATAGACTTTCTGTTTCATAGTTTTTTCAAAGCCTTTTTGAGACTCACGACACATGTTGACACAGTATCACTGACCTCACACGTGTATCCCACATTTCCCTGTTTAACATGGGCACTTTCAAACCTGTATCGTCGTTAATGTTTGCTGTCTCAGTAACTGGCCCTTACATCTACATAATCTTTCTTTACCTTCATATCATGTTACATATGGGTGAATATGTCGAATGACATGGATCATGTACAAACAAAACTCATGTGAATGGACATCCAGCTCCGTCACAATCAAAATGTTGTATACAGACTCCCCGAGATCCGACGCTGCGAGCTCACGACCGATAGGTGTTTTCATGAAACCTGTATTCATTTTATGCAATAAAATTGAATTCACTGTCTGTTTTGCATCTTACAAATAAAGTTTGAACTCTAACCCTACTGTGTAATTTCGATTTATGATTTAAAATTGTCAAAACCGTCCTTGATGTTATGAGATGTGCTTAAACATTTGAACTTGATGCATATAAAAAGTCGTCAAAGAAAAGAGCAAGATCCACGTTGCATCTTTAGTGTCCATTACAAAATATTGGCTTCATAAGTGAGACAAAGTGATTGACGGCAGAATTGGAGAGAAAGGTCTTGTCATTAGAACTAGAGTGCAAGTTTGTTGTGGGTATTATACTGTTAGATTATTTACAAAGGATAGTGCATTCCGAAAGTATTGTTATTTCAGAAAAACTGATCAGGCTGGAACATACAATAACCATGCATCTATACTAAGTCTTATGAAAATGTCATCTGTGAGGTCATACAGCGAGGAGAAATGAACGTCTCACAAGTAAATGTGCGTTAATATAGATCGATTTAGAGTCTTCAATAAATACCTGTGATTTGGAATGTTGAGAGTGAATACAGCGACCATCATTTGCATTGCAGTGAAGACAGCAGGCCAGCAAAGCAGAAAGTAGATCCGCTTCTGGTAAGTTCCAAAATCACCCAGATACTCAAAAATATCGTTAAATTTCATTTTCGAATCTTGAATGACGACCTTTACAACAAGTTTAAACAATGATGTGTTGACGCATCACAGTTAACACATTCCGTCTGGGCTTTGTATTGACCTCACAGAACAGGTGCCCGTTAGTACTGAACACCTACGTGGCGCAAACCTTTGTCGTGTGACAGCCAGCGATAGATGCGCGCGTGGATAGCAACAGTGTTCGTGATCGTGTTGCTTTCACAGTTCAAACATACAGTTCATCGTACAACCCCATCGTCCGGCGGCACACTGGCGGCTGTGCTTGTTGTTGGACATGACACTGAAACTGTGATACGCGACAGCAAACAAACTAAACATGAAGCCGAAACTAAACCTGTTTTGCCAAACAAACGGAACTCGAATTACCTCATACATTCTGGTTGAATTCGTCCTATTTATAGCTAAACCCATAAGTATGTTTCGGAAGGATAACAATAAATCGATGAACAATTTCTTTATTACGCTTGTTTATCCATAGGTTGATATCCCTCCTTACTACTCCAACTTCTCAATGCCTCTCGAAGTATAGCCATAAGTATATTGAGGGAATGATTAGTTTTGTTGACCATAATCATAAACAGTAGCCATGGTTGTAAGCTAAAGTCTGAATCCCTGTCTTCCCATGGAGTTGTTCCCACTGAAACAAATATCAACATAACCCTTGCATGTATGCATCACTGTTTCATCAAATGATTAACTGTTGGATCACAAGAACCTGATGTAACTGGCGTATTGATTGAAGTCACCTATCAGCCCTGTATGTTAACTGAGCAAGACACCTGCCGAAAATATGCTTCAGTGCCATTAATCTTGCCTTGAATCTAAAACCTGAAAACATGTCCACACTTTTGTACTGGGTCTAGATTCGTAGCCCTAAGAATTCTTAACTTTGATCGTAGCCAATGTGTTAAGAATGGGCTTAAGAGGTCCGTAGGGCTACGAACTTTTCGAAAATCTATACCCTGGATTTTAACAGACCAGTGTAATAGTATGACCAGGTTTGCAGGTTAACACTGATTCGCCAAACCTCTAAGAATTTGCTTGTTTCGTATCAGAAATAAACCAAGACTTAGTTAAATTCTAAAATATAATTTTATTTTTCATCTTTGTTCACCACTTTCCTACATCACAAAGTGGATGACAGCTTCTATTAAAATCGTAATTCCTTATCCATGGGGTATTTTCTGTTGCATTTATTATGGATTATTTATAAAGCGCTCATATCCACGCAACTAGTACATACTCAAGGCGCCAGAGTGTTCCCTTGACCAACGGATGTCTTTTTTCTGGCATTCTTTTAACCAATTCAGCTCACTGGGGAGTATTCAACTAATGCAGCCTGTTAAGCGCAGCGAGTTATCATACAGCCTCATCCTCACCAGGTACCCATTTGCAGATGGATTAAATGGGACACATAGTCACAACATTTTGTCCAGTGATACTGCATGTTACTATACCTGCAACGAGCTGTCCGCACGTGTTCGTGTGTCCACCATCTGCTCACCTATCATCGGATGAGTGGGTTCTTGTAAGTGCACAGGGTTGTGTACAGCACACTGCAAACAAGAGTCATCAGAAGATGACAAACTCCCCGGCCCCCATAAATGTGAAAGAACAAATCAAATGACAGTCACTTCAAGTCCAACTTAATTTTTTTGGACTAAGTCTGAATCGTTTCCATGAAAATCATGAAAAATAAAAATGCCAAAAATGTGCAAATAGCAAAAAGCACCACTTCAAGATCTGTCTCATATCTGCCAAGTTCTGTTGAAAGATATTGAACGGTTTTCGAGTTGTGCTCCGGAAACGAAGCCCACCCCTCCCTTTTGAGACTAAGTCTGAATCGTTTCCATGCAAACCGGGGAAAATAAAAATGCCAAAAAATCTGCAAATAGCAAAAGGCACCACTTAAGGTTATGTTTGATATATGTACCAAGTCTTGAATGAAGATATTGATCGATTTTCGAGTTGTGCTCCGGAAAGGAAGCTCACCCCCTCCCTTTTGAGACTAAGTACAAAACGTTTCCATGGAAACCAAGAAAAATAAAAATGCCAAACTTCTGCAAATAGCAAAAGGCACCACTTCAAGATCTGTCTCATATATCTGCCAAGTTCTGTTGAAAGATATTGATCGGTTTTCGAGTTGTGCTTCGAAAACGAAGGTCACCCCTCCCTTTTGAGATTAAGTTCAACTCGTTTCCATGGAAACCAAGAAAAATAGAAATGTCAACAATCTGTAAAGATAAAAAGGCACCACTTTAGGTCCTGTTTGATATAACTACCAATTTTTGCTGAAAAATATTGACCGGTTTTCGAGTTATGCTCCGGAAACGAAGGCCACCTCTCCCTTTTGAGGCTAAGTCCGAATCGTTTTCATGGAAACCGGGGGAAATGGAAATGCCAAAAATCTGTAAATAGCAAAATGCACCACCTTAGGTTCTGTTTGATATATCTACTATTTTTTGTTGAAAAATATTTAACGGTTTTTGAGCTATGCTCCGGAAACAAAATGATTACGGACGGACGGACTGACAGACGGACGAGGCGTCGACTATATCCCCCCGCATTACATGCCGGGGAAAAAAGAATATGGGTTCTGACAACACTGAAAGAGCCTGCAACTAGTGCAAGTAATGTTAGCTCCAAAGTTTTTACACTCGGTCACAAGTGGGGATCGATCCAGGCACGGCGCGCTTTAGACAGCCCCAATGGATGTGATGTCTGTGAATGCATGTCTGAGATTAAGGCCAATTTGTCAAAAATGAAAGCAAATATCATCTATAGTTGATGATGATTTTTATGGAGAAGCATGTACAATGTGAATGCCCCCTATAATTTATGTACAAAGTAAGTGACCCCCCTGCATGTCATGTACAACATCAATGACCCCTTCCTCCCCTTCCAAGCATACTTTTTAAATATTTTTATGTACAAAATTGCTCACTTCCCTAGAAACATGTGTACAAAATTGATGAACCCCCTACCTCCTCAGAACAAAATGGGTGCCCCCTTAAAATCATCATCATCATCACTCACGCACGCACGCACGCACACACACACACACACACCATCCTATAAATTATGAACGGTCCCTTACTCTGTCGCATAGGTGCAACTGAAGTCATTGACATATTCTAACCAAAGGAGAACGGTGTTAGTACCTTCACCGAAACGTCGCATTTATAATTAAATAAGTTGACTATCCATAGAACTTGGTTTTCTTTCATCTTTTCACCTCAAAGAAGATATTTTAACCACATTATTTCCCTTCTGCCCAGCCCTCCCTGCAATGCTAAAGCCCTAAATGTCGAGATTTCCCCAGGCTCCTGAATCTCCCAACTCACTGAGGCTCCTATTCAGTTTAGAATGAATTTGTTTGTTTCTATCAAAATTATATATTTTCAGAGATTAAGCGTACTAGTATTGATTTAAAACTTAAACGCACAATGCCACACATTTTGGAGAATATTTTGGCCTATATATTATATATTAGGGGCATATGCACTCACTTAAGCTTCCTATTGATGCAATAAAAGACTTATTATCCCTTATGACTTGCCTGAAATCGGTAATTGAAACTTCGAGGCGAACAGCTTCCAAACAAGAACACTTGCCATACATGGGATGTAAACGATTCCTTCGTACATCGATAACTGTTGCACACGGTGTTATCAGTGTTTGCCGAACTGGCCTCAATCACAAGTTGCGTTATAGGAAATTCGTAAACAGCGCTCCAAGGGACATAATTGCATTAATTCATGCTAAGTTTTTAATTTTATACTGTAATCTAAATACGTAATTTGTTTTGGAATAAATAATACGGTAGCTGCCCTGAGGGCTGATAGTTAGTATTATTGAGAGAAATTGCAGTATGTATTTTTAGAGAAGTGTGGTGTGATATTGTGCCTTTAAAGAGCGAATAGAGACGTGATAGAAGCCGTATCTGCATTTAAAACCTCGAGGACCCTTATCATCTGTACTACCTAGGCATATCATTGTATTAAGTTTTGCATGTTTGGTTACATTTATCTGTTTGAATTGACTTTGGAATGAGGTCAACAGAAACCCAGAAGGCTCGGATTACATTTTTTTGCGCACTCAGGGCATTTCACTTATGTAATCCTGATGAAAACGACGTATGGATGATGACCAGCGTTACCTGTAGATTTCACAGCGCCAGGATGTGTTTGTTACTGATGTGTCAGCCATGGTAAAATTTAACCCGAGTCCTTGGTGTCAGCTTGATGTACTGTGTGAATCAGGGTATTTTAGACCAGGTTTCTGAGCGGATGTTACTTAAATATAGGAATAATATAATATGTCAACGACTGTGATTTACCAGTCATGATTGTCCAACGAAACAAATTCTATTTAAACGAAAATTCAGTGAAAATTACATATGTTCACATGGATGGGTCTTTTAAGGAAATATTACGTTTTATATGCTATATATTAATTTTCAGCATCATCGTACTGTAATCTGAAAAACGAGATGCATTGCGCTTGTGTAGTAAATCTGCTTCATAAGCTGTCGTGGGTAGTGGATTAGCCGAGTTCTCTCGTCACGCCATACACTCGGGATTTCGCTGGAAGGTTTCATGAAATAATGAAATTGTCGTGTGTTCATTGTAATTTCTGTATTCTGAATTGCAGCTGAATTTGACACGTGTTTCTTCATTCATTTCTCAGCTGAAGATATGAAAAGTAGTGAAAATGTTCAACGGAGCGGTGTATTTTCAGCGTACCATGTAGTGCCACGGAATACTAATTAGATTCGCAGGAGTTCCCTTTCCTTTGTCATTATTTGTTAAGTTTTCAGGTCAACATTTTAGTCCAGTTTTTCGGTACCAAACAAAAGCACAACACCATGCAGCCGTCTTCTCAGACCGTCAGCACACAATTTCAGATCCACAAATTTCAAGATTTCAGATTTCATTGCTACGCTGCATCTTCAGAGTTCTCGGGTTCTAATGGTTGAATCTGGAGATTTGCAAGTCATTTGAAACAGCTGCCTTCTCCCTGCCATGTGTTTCTTATATGCAAAGTAATTACACTTCCTCTTGATCGACAGGACCTTCTTTTGGCATGTATCAATGCTGATTGGCTACCGACTTTATGGGCGTGTCAGGTTACGTGCATAAATTACACACTCACCCAATTCACGTCTCGCCACATCATGTAGTTCTACGTCAGGAAGAGTCGTATGAATGTCTCTAAACTCTTGGTGGAGAGATCATATCAGATTGTATCTTGTGAAATGTAAACACTGGAGATTGTGTTCGATATGTTGGGAAAACTGATTGTCGGAAATTGGACGTCATCTGTCTCGTCGCTCAGTTGTGTGGTGAGAATTTTGTCACTCAATCTTTAATATGCACAGATCTAAATATGATCTTGGTACAAATTGCGGAATTAACATAGCTTGAAACCAAACATCGAAGTTTTTGGCCGAGTACAAATCAAGTATATGCAGAGAAATACTTGATACCAAAATGAAACCCTCCGAACGTCTACATGACAATGGGGTGTCATATAGTAACGTATAACAAACATATAATACATACATATCATACGACTGTCATCGGTCGGTTGCTTTGTGCCTTGGTCAACCCAAAACAACCACATTATAATTAACCCTCTGAACGTCTACATGATAGTGGGATGTCTTATAACAGTGTTTGCCCTTAACCCTGAAAGGCTGCAGGCCCTAAGGACCCAGAACCCTAAAGGGTTCTGGGTCCTAATCTGAATGTGTAGGCCCTATCTTTTAATATGGAACTAATAATCTTAGTTATTGTTGATGAAAACGCTGTCGGCCTTAAGGACATGCAGACAACAATAGTTGTGGGTCCGAGTGGTTTTCAGTCGGCTTCGGGCCTAAGGACAGACGTAATTTCGAACGCTGTCATATAACAACATAAAGTGAGTGAGTGAGTTTAGATTTACGCCACACTCAGCAATATTCCAGCTATATGGCGGCTATAGCAACATATAACAGACATATAACACATACATATCATATGACTGTCATCGGCCGGTTGTTTAGAACATTGTTTAACCGAAGACAAACGCATCATATGATAAAAATAATTTATTTCTTTTTACCCACAAATAGAAACGGTACAGAACGAAAGGATTTCCTGACGTAACTTGGATATATGCAAGTCTATAGATGGATGGACATGTAGTGAAACATGAAACATTGGTGGGTTGCTGGCAATATGTCTGGCTGAAGGGATAGTGTAAATCCAGCTAGGCTCCATGCAGGTAGCAAAGTAATGCAAGTCCCCATGGTTCCTAGTATGGTGATCTACCTTCAGTTGTTGGCGATATATAGCCCGTGTTTTATACTGTATTGTCTTCTTTAATTGGAATGTTTTAGGTTTGCTCGCTAGTTTTATATTCATGTCAGTGATTCTCTAGTATTTTTACTGTCCATCGTTGACAGGTTTTAATCTTCAAAATGTTTTCACTTTTTATTGTATAAATTGTTTTCGTCACGATATGGCTGAGATATTGCCGATGTGACGTTAAATATTAACTCACTCACTCACTCACTCTTATGATTTCTTAAAATGGAATGTCCATAATTAACTGTCAGGAACCTGATTCTGTATGGGACATGTGGGTGGCGGCTGCGCCAGGCTGAGGACTCTGTCTCCTACCTAATGTGAACACCTGGTGCCTTCTATTTAACTGTGGGAAAGCCTGTGCTTTATTGCTTACATTATGTAGGGTGGATAGCAGCATTAAGCGATATTACAGTTACGTAAAACTGGTGATCTGGTGTCAGTGATACCTTTAATGAACACAAACATACTGAAACTGAAGGTATCGTCTACCTTTTATGACAATAATTTTATTGAATTTTCTATAAAGAGCGGAACATATAGTTTAAAAATATCTTAAATGTCAATCATGTAAGAAAGCGACGTTGGTACAGTATACTATATACACGCTGTGCGTGTAGGGGATGATATATTTTACAGTGATTCATTTAAAGGAAACATAGATATTGTTGAAGTATGAGTTTTATGAGGTATAGATTCTGCCTAGTGCTGCTCAAATCTGGTTATGTTAACATTATTTGGTAATAGTGGAAATATGGTGCGAGTAAGAGGCAGGAACGCTTAACGGCCTTTAAGACAATGTCAGACAAAACGGGGATGTAGAGCAATTGTTGTTCAGTCCTTCACGGTATACCCTTTGTTCTGAGACTAATCCTTCACCTCGTGCTGTGGTAACAATGGCCTATTCACTAACTTTACACTCTAATCGTGAAACTGTTTATTCCAGGAAGGATTGATAGATTTGTTACATGCACATTAACAAAGCTTCACGTGCTACACTGACGGACAAAAGAAAGTATACACCCATATATTACGGTGGTTGAAAGTAAAACAAACAAGAAACGGTACTTCGATAGTGATATCAGATAGTGATATCAGAGCTGTGTTTTGGACCTTACGTGTGTTGTGTGTTGGTCCAATCAACAGTTTCTTTTGATTTTGTTTCTTTAACATACATGTATATCAAATCAGAGGTTCCATCTTGTCAAGTTACGGCTTACATTAATTTACCTCTCTCAAAGATTCGGTTTATGATCTATTTCACATTATTACATATTAGTATCTTTAATAAGCCCTCTTAGCACACTAATCAAACTTGTAAATAAATTAAGAATAAATTGTGAAAATCAAATATAGGACGTTTATGTTCAGTAAATTCAAATATGATAGAAAACATTTTACATAATACTTGTGTCAATGATCTATTCCAGCTATATGGCGGCTATAGCAACATATAACAGACATATAACACATACATATCATATGACTGTCATCGGCCGGTTGTTTAGAACATTGTTTAACCGAAGACAAACGCATCATATGATAAAAATAATTTATTTCTTTTTACCCACAAATAGAAACGGTACAGAACAAAAGGATTTCCTGACGTAACTTGGATATATGCAAGTCTATAGATGGATGGACATGTAGTGAAACATGAAACATTGGTGGGTTGCTGGCAATATGTCTGGCTGAAGGGATAGTGTAAATCCAGCTAGGCTCCATGCAGGTAGCAAAAGTAATGCAAGTCCCCATGGTTCCTAGTATGGTGATCTACCTTCAGTTGTTGGCGATATATAGCCCGTGTTTTATACTGTATTGTCTTCTTTAATTGGAATGTTTTAGGTTTGCTCGCTAGTTTTATATTCATGTCAGTGATTCTCTAGTATTTTTACTGTCCATCGTTGACAGGTTTTAATCTTCAAAATGTTTTCACTTTTTATTGTATAAATTGTTTTCGTCACGATATGGCTGAGATATTGCCGATGTGACGTTAAATATTAACTCACTCACTCACTCACTCTTATGATTTCTTAAAATGGAATGTCCATAATTAACTGTCAGGAACCTGATTCTGTATGGGACATGTGTGGGTGGCGGCTGCGCCAGGCTGAGGACTCTGTCTCCTACCTAATGTGAACACCTGGTGCCTTCTATTTAACTGTGGGAAAGCCTGTGCTTTATTGCTTACATTATGTAGGGTGGATAGCAGCATTAAGCGATATTACAGTTACGTAAAACTGGTGATCTGGTGTCAGTGATACCTTTAATGAACACAAACATACTGAAACTGAAGGTATCGTCTACCTTTTATGACAATAATTTTATTGAATTTTCTATAAAGAGCGGAACATATAGTTTAAAAATATCTTAAATGTCAATCATGTAAGAAAGCGACGTTGGTACAGTATACTATATACACGCTGTGCGTGTAGGGGATGATATATTTTACAGTGATTCATTTAAAGGAAACATAGATATTGTTGAAGTATGAGTTTTTATGAGGTATAGATTCTGCCTAGTGCTGCTCAAATCTGGTTATGTTAACATTATTTGGTAATAGTGGAAATATGGTGCGAGTAAGAGGCAGGAACGCTTAACGGCCTTTAAGACAATGTCAGACAAAACGGGGATGTAGAGCAATTGTTGTTCAGTCCTTCACGGTATACCCTTTGTTCTGAGACTAATCCTTCACCTCGTGCTGTGGTAACAATGGCCTATTCACTAACTTTACACTCTAATCGTGAAACTGTTTATTCCAGGAAGGATTGATAGATTTGTTACATGCACATTAACAAAGCTTCACGTGCTACACTGACGGACAAAAGAAAGTATACACCCATATATTACGGTGGTTGAAAGTAAAACAAACAAGAAACGGTACTTCGATAGTGATATCAGATAGTGATATCAGAGCTGTGTTTTGGACCTTACGTGTGTTGTGTGTTGGTCCAATCAACAGTTTCTTTTGATTTTGTTTCTTTAACATACATGTATATCAAATCAGAGGTTCCATCTTGTCAAGTTACGGCTTACATTAATTTACCTCTCTCAAAGATTCGGTTTATGATCTATTTCACATTATTACATATTAGTATCTTTAATAAGCCCTCTTAGCACACTAATCAAACTTGTAAATAAATTAAGAATAAATTGTGAAAATCAAATATAGGACGTTTATGTTCAGTAAATTCAAATATGATAGAAAACATTTTACATAATACTTGTGTCAAAGAGGGAAAGTAAATATGTTTTCTATTTATGTCAACAGAAATATGTAACGATATTCTACTTTTCAAATGATTATGTTCTTTAGAATTTCTCGCTCTCTTTCTTCTTGAATGAATTTACTTTGTCCACATCCGCATCTTCCAAAGTATCAAGATAGTATTCCGTCTTGCTGTTCGTTCTGAAGAAATAAAGTATTACCAAGTATTAATTTTACAATGATTATGTGGTAACTATAATTTTCAAAACATCCAACTGCATATTTGTTACATTGAAAATGTGAATATCTTTCAAAATGACCTTAAAAGTTAGCACTTAATTTCCATTGAGATAGTTATATGCACAAAATTAACAGTGTACATTAGGAATCGTTCATAATTTATGGCTGCGGGGTGATGATGATTATTATAGAGAAGCATGTGCAATGTGAATGTCTCCCCTTCCCCTCTCCCCTAAAATATATGTACAAAGTAAGTGACCCCCTGCATGTCATGTACAACATCAATGGACCCTCACCCATAATTTTAAGCATAAGTTTTAAATATTGTTATGTACAAAATTGCTGACCCCATAGTACATGTGTACAAAATTGATGACACCCCCTACCTCCCAGAACTAAATGGGTGGAACTCCCCTCTCTTTAAAGTCGTTATGACCCCTCTAGGCATAAAATATGAATGGCCCCTTATTAGTCATACCTTCCAAACACTTTCGCATCGTCGATGGTTTCTGGGAGCCTTCGGTTCAGGGTTTCCGGAAGTAAAAGTGAAAGTAGACCTGCACCAACACTCACGGCTCCGAAAACAATCAATGGAAGCGCTACCTTCAGATCCCCACCCACCAGGAGGCCCTGTATAACAGTTACAGTGTGTAGTGCTTCACGTTGAAGGTTCGGGCTTAGTTGTAGTAGAGAAAGTCAGGATACGGAAAATACCATTTACATTTCTTATATTCAGAGAATACCGCAAGCACAGTGAAAGTCCTCCACTGTTGTTATACCTACCACCTCATTGTTAGCTAGGTGAGGGAAGTTGACCTTGTAACTATCTAATGTGAATGACGGATTGCTTGTTTTTAAATTTGGTGCTATGACATTTTCTACTTGTTAATAATAATGTAATGAATATATATGTAGAAACAACTACTCTTAGACTTTGTATTTAAAATGTGTATAAATTCAGACTTGATCTCGTCACTATATGGCTGGAATAATGCCGATGTGACGTAAACCACAACTCAATTCAACGTTATACCTACCAGGTCAGCGACGTAAGGGGAGACAATTCCGCCCACACGTGCAAATGTGGAACTGGCGCCCATTCCGGAGCTACGGACAACAGTCGGAAACAGTTCGGCAGAAAATACGTATATGATGGCAAACGCTGCAGAAGCTCCAAGTTTCCCAATCATTGACAGTGTCGTGGTAATCCAGGCGTGAGCTGAAACAAATTATATATAAATAATAAAATCAAAACCCTCTCTACAATTCATAGAATTGAGTGAGTGAGTGAGTTTAGTTTTACGCCGCACTCAGCAATATTCCAGCTATATAGCGGCGGTCTGTAAATAATCGAGTCTGGACCATAATATAACAGCATGAGCATTGATCTACGCAACTGGGATACGATGACATGTGTCAACCAAGTCAGCGAGCCTGACCACCCGATCCTGTCAGTCGCCTCTTACGACAAGCATGGGTTACTGAAGATCAGTTCTAACCCGGGTACAATTCATAAAAAGCTCTGCTCAAAAAAAAACCTGTACGTTTCACGAACATGCAAACAGATGGTGTAAGTCAAAATAGAGAATTACATTGTATATGTATATCGGATATAAGTTTAAATTCTATGAACTTTCCAATCTACGTCTAGCATAAAACCGGAGACCTTGCATGCTGTGACCCTGATCAAATAAGCTTAGAGGACCGTTGCATGTTCTATGAGATCTTCTCAGTACAAATTTGTAGCCATTTTTGGACGAAGGACGCAATAGTTGCCCTATCAACTTCTTTTATGTTTGTATATTCTTCTAACATGCGGCAATATCAAGGTCTGGAAAGTTTATTATGGTTATTTATGCTATTGGCATTAATAATTCAAATTTTCGACTCTTTGGTTTTAAGTTACCAATGACAGCAGTTATTGTACGGTTGTTTCTCGTCATCTTATATTATGAAGACAAAAATGAACGAAAACTTGTGACCGTTTATTATCACCCCAACGAAGACACCTTCCGGATATTATGAGAAGATAATATAAATAGAATCTCACAGCTGTCGCCATACATGACCGGAAACATGGTGAGCAGACACGCTACACCACCCAGCATCATACTCCCACAATGCAGGTTCTTCCTTCCGGTACGGTCGAGCAGGATGATGCATAGGACGTAAGCTACAGTCTCCATGATGTTAGCGATGGTGAAGTTGAGGTAGATGTCTCCGCTGAGGTTTTGTACGTTCAGTCCGAGACCATAGTACACCATGCTGACTACAAACCTAAAACACACCATGAAAACTTTGCATTATTCTTAAATTATTCTAGCACCACAAATTAGCATTGCATTCGGCGTCCCTTATTCACCAGTTTGATGACTTGAGCTCTCACCAATCACAGCCGGAGAAAGTACAAAATGCCAGTTACCCGAAATATGTAAGTTAGGACAGTGTTTGGCCTTAACCCTGAAAGGCTGCAGGCTCTAAGGACCCAGAACCATTAAAAGTTGTGGGTTCTGATCAGAATATGTAGGCCCTATATTTTAGCTACAATATAAGTAATTCCCAGCACACAGAAAATGAGACAACTGACAAACTGGGTTAAAGAGTTTAATTTACAACAAAATCAACATCCATGTCAAGATCCAAATCCTCCTCGAAACACCTGCTGATCGAGATAAAAGCTAGAAATTACCGAATGATAATTTCTGAAAAATAATACTCTAAGTTATTGGGGATGGAAAAGCTGTCTGCCATATAAGGACCTGCAGAAAACAAAAGCTGTGGGTCCGACTGGTTTTCAGTCGGCTTCGAGCCTAAGGACCGACGGTAATTTTGAACGCTGATATCAATGAAGACATTTGTCCCACGTACAGACTATAATGACTAATGACTATGATGAAGACCAAATGCTCTTATATTTGAGGGTGGCATGTGACAGGTGTCCAACAGACATCAGTCATAACGAGTCAATAGAATTCAAATATGGAATGAAGCTCAGCAATTTAATGATGTAACATAGATAGCGGATCCTACCCACCAATTCACGAATATGACCAAAGTCCTTATGAGGAGAACTGGCGTAGTGAACATTTCCCACACCCTTGCTTGAGGCTGGTTCAGATCCAGAGTTGATTTGTCGAATATTTTTGGGGGAAGGTCAACGCCGTTCACTTCTGCCGCCTTCCGTATAATCTGTTCCGCTTCAGCGTCCCTCCCACGTGACAGTAGCCATCTTGCAGACTCGGGAATAAACCTATAAGAAAGATGTAATGTTGAAAACTGACTTCTGCACGGGAACGTACCCAAACATTTTCATGTAAAGACCACTTCAACTTTCAACAAATAACGTGCTTAGCAGAGTCCAAAAAGCCTCAACAAGATATAGATGTACTGACAAGAATTTCATTGATCAGGAATAATATCACTACTATGGGAAATGGGGAAAACACTAACCACCACATGAATAACATAAGTACGGGCGGCACAGAGACAACCAGTTGTAGATGTTGCCAGTCTCGTAGAGCATAAGCCAGGGCTCCCAGGATGAACAGGCCGAGGCACCAGAACAGTTCGATGACAATTCCAGCGAGTACTCTTTTGGAGGGCCCGACAAGTTCCATCCCTGTGATTCCACAATACTTAATGCAGCGTCCAAATATATATAAATAATAAATGTATATATTTTCAAATTTAATGCCATATGCTTATGTGAGGTGAATGACTATTCGTTAACAATGATTTCATGATTATAGAGGAGCAACAGAGAGATTTAACTCCGCTTTAATCAGTGTTCATGTTGTATCAGCTTGTGTCAGCGTGTCTGCTGAATGTGGGGTGAAATGTTGACGTTACGCTGGTTTCAGATGATTCCCGCTTTGGTGAAACTCACGAGCACTGGTATAGCGCTGACAAACCAAGAGTGAGTGAGTGAGTTTAGTTTTACGCCACTTTTAGCAATATTCCAGCAATATCACGGCGAGAGACACCAGAAATGGGCTTCACACATTGTACCCATATGGGACAAACATACTGGGACTCACTAACTAATGTTTGAGGCGTACACAAAGAACACAGCTCTACACAGCGGTTTGCGGCACCTTAAAGCATTGTGCCTGTGCCCCATAATACCTGCAGTACTAGTCTGTCTCAGTACCTGAACCACATTATTTTCCCCACCACCTGGCCCTTTCTAAATCTCTCGTCTCCCTGGGGCTCCTTTTCAATTTAAATGGGTTTGTTTGTTCCTACCAAAATTATATAAATTCAGAGACTAAGCGTCAGCCTACTGCAGTACTTACCAATGACAAAGGAGGTCATGAAGACTCCAGTGCTAGAGACACCGTTGATAAACCTGAGGGCAATAAAGCCCACCATGTTGGGGGCGAAAGCAATGCTGATGCTAGATGCGCAGTGGAAAAATATGCTTAAGAAAAACGTCTTCTTTCTGCCAATCCTGAAAGAAAAGATCTTGAATGAATGGCTGTTAATGGCTGTATACTCAATAACCGATAGAAGTAACTGTGCTTCACATAACTTTATGTAGACGTTCTGTTAAAAATATGAATATGTGGTCATTCGTGTGATCAATGTTCTATCACAACATCCATGCCTGGTAACAGGAGAAGGAAGGTCTTGCCCTGAAAGATTGGTGGTGTAAACGTCATTGATCAGTGTCAATATTGGGTGTATCCGCCATTTACGTTAGTACACGTAACGCAGAGGCAGATCACTGAAGACACCAGATGATCGATAACAGGCTTTGGGATGATGTTCCAAATGTCAAACAGACATTTGTCCAACTGTACTTAAATTACCAGCTGGTTCCGGTCCTGTTGTAGGCATCGGCTCTGCTCATCCCAGACACGTTCGTTGAGAGACGAGATTGGGAAAAAACCCAGCCGGCTATGGCAGTACATTTGGCTGAAGAAATCGATACCAACGAGTTACAAGACGTACAAACTGTGTGCCGCCCTGCATTTGTACAAATGATCTGAAACCGATCGGTACGCCATTCAAATATACCATTAAAAGTGGTGGATTTTTATTCTCGAAGGAATTGTGAAGAAAACCCATATCATTTCACTTCTACAACAAAGTTGACGACGTTGAGAAACGTAAGCGTCACTCAAACGCTTGCAGACCCTTTCGCGACCAGCAGTGCTATGCAGATGAAACTTTCACTAATCTATTATAGTCCCAGTCTACTGAACACCAGTAGGTGTGTACACCAAGCTAGGTGTGCCTGTCGGTCCCATACGTTGAAGCAAGCTTGACGTCAGTACCGGATGTCATGCTCCCCCAACTGTTGCGTATGGTCCTGCCACTAATTGGTCTCAACCGAGGAATTGTCCCAACTGTGAATGTCGCAGTTTGGTATCGATTACGTTGATCGACCAACCGAATATGGTAGACGTGATGTGAAAGCCTTGCCGTAGATAACGTCTCCAAAGAGATCATACTGTTTTTCGATCAACATTAATATTTCTGGCAACTTAATATGGCGCCCATCCTGTTTGTTGCGCCTTGACGTTGATTTTCAGCAATCCACGGCACCTCATAATGTCTTGCATTGCGTAACCGTGTTTCCGAGCACATGATAACTAAATAATCGTTGTTCTCATTAAACAATACTTATGTTATCATCATACTCCCAATAAACGTACATGCATATTGTGAATCACGAGTCAAGTCGAGAGAAATGTTCATGAACGTGTATATAAAAAAAGCCGTTATATATTTTCAGAACATAATTATCCAACTTTATATGAAGCTCAGCTACTTTGTCTGTTCGTATACATCACACGATTTAGACATGGTGTTCTCTATCTGTTTCTGGTGTGAACATAAGGAAAAAATACATTTGATGGAACCTCAATCGCATTCTTAAGTTGGAAGAAATCAATGGCGAGTAACGAACGGTGTTCATGATCATCCTCTCCATCTAATACACAAAACTGTCATGATTTAATCTAAACAGTCACAAATATAAAAAGGTAGAAAGTATTCAAATTTGAGAAAACACACAAAGTAATCTGCTGTTTTGCTCTCACAGTCAATGCATGCATGAAAAACGACCTGTACTGTCACATTGACCTAAAACGTAGTTTAAATGTGTTTGTCAAGACAGCGCGCTACACCATGCATTAAATCAGGATGTAGTGCAGATTCAAAAACAGGTTAATGTATCGTGTTACGTTTAGAGACATCTCGTCCTCAACCGTCCGTCCACATAAACACTCTTTGTTAGCAGTCAACGACCTGTTTGTGCAAAGTGACCATCTTCCATTCATCACTCTGGCATGTGTAGGTAATTGATATTTATTACCCACGAGGTCAACGTATGGGTAGTTGCATACATAGAGAATACTACACGAGGTCTCATTACATACGAATTATACGAAACGAGTGTCCTTCCTATGGTATCTGACCGAGCGAAAGCGAGGTCAGATATCATAGGAAGGTCACGAGTTTCGTATAATTCGTATGTAATGAGACCGAGTGTGGTATTTTATTTATTACCCACGTCTTACATGCATTAAATTGACAAAATAGCGTATTTTTTGTTATGTTTTTGGTTTCAAACCGAAACCGGTTTCATAAAGAGGTTGCGGAAGAGTTTGTACTGCAGTACAATATTTGCATGACGTCACACTGTAATGACGTCACTGCCTTGGTAACCGACGTCACGATGCATGTCCGTTGTCATCGCCTCGTACAGCCTTCTACAGCAAACTACTCCGTAGCACCCCGTCTCTTAGTTTGCATTTGCTACATTCGGCTAACATCACTGGTGGAAACATTGCGCTTATGTTTTTCGACGGATATACAGTCTCAGTTCGACTCACAGTTAAACAGCGACACGGCAACGTTCGCAATGTTTACATTCCCACAATGCATTAAGTTGTAGAATGAATGAATTCACGTGTTTGTTATGAATGAAAAAATAGTTACGTCAGAATGTGACCTAATTGAGAGGTCATCGGTTATCCAATAAAATCGTTAGAATTTCAGGTCAAGTCGTTACGACACAGGTCAACGCGATACGACACTCGTGTGACAGGTTTTATACGAGATCAGTATGCAACTACCCATACGTTGACCACGTGGGTAAAAATAATCTCGTACGTCACACACGAGTGTCGTATCGCGTTGACCTGTGTCGTAACGACTTTTATTACCCACGTGGTCAACGTATGGGTAGTTGCATACCAATCTCGTACGTCACACGTGTGTCGTATCGCGTTGACCTGTGTCGTAACGACTTGACCTGAGATTCTAACGATTTGAATGGATAACCGATGACCTCTCAATTAGGTCACATTCTGACGTAACTATATTTTCATTCATAACAAACACGTGAGTTCATTCATTCTACAACTTAAATGCATTGTGGGAATGTAAGCATCGAGAACGTTGCCGTGTCGCTGTTTAATTGTGAGTCGAACTGAGACATTATATCTGTCGAAAAACATAAACGCAATGTTTCCACTAGTGATGTTAGCCGAATGAAGCAACTGGAAACCAAGAAACGAGGTGCAACGGAGTAGTTTACTGTAGGAGGCTGTACGAGGCGATGACAACATTACTGACATGCATCGTGACGTCGGTTACCATGACAGTGACGTCATTAGTGTGACGTCATGCAAATATTGTACTGCAGTACAAAACTCTTCCGCAACCTCTTTATGAAACCGGTTTCGGTTTGAAACCAAAAACATAACAAAAATACGCTATTTTGTCAATTTAAATGCATGTAAGACGTGGGTAATAAATAAAATACCACACTCGGTCTCATTACATACGAATTATACGAAACTCGTGACCTTCCTATGTTATCTGACCTCGCTTTCGCTCGGTCAGATACCATAGGAAGGACACTCGTTTCGTATAATTCGTATGTAATGAGACCTCGTGTAGTATTCTCTATGACCTGAGATTCTAACGAGTTGATTGGATAACCGATGACCTCTCAATTAGGTCATATTCTGACGTAACTATTCTTCAGATACCATAGGAAGGACACTCGTTTCGTATAATTCGTATGTAATGAGACCGAGTGTAGTATTCTCTATGTATGTGTCATCAAAGACACCATGTGATCATTATCGTCCATTGTACTTAATGTACTTAATGTACTCGGTGTAGGTACTTACAGGTCAGACAATAGGCCAAGGAATATTGCACCAACCAGGCTGCCCGCAAAGGTGATGGAGTTGGAGGTGGCTCGCCATCCTTTGTTCCCACATACGATGTTGAACTATATAACGAGAAAGGTGTTTATCATCCCAAACTGTGTTCCACAGGAGAGATCGCTTGTGTGAGATCATGATATCTCCTAGGAGATATCGTTTTGACAGTAGATTTTGTACAATGCCCTGACAATGCTATGACGTCATCAACTTGATGACGTCACAATGCTATGACATCACTGCACAGCAAGTCTAATGGTAGTACAGTGTTGAGAGATGTACATTTTTCATTGAAAACTAATGAAGAATGATTTTTGATGATAAACAGAATCTCACCCTCGTGTCTACTGATATCAATTATATCAACACGAGTTGATAAAGTTACAAATATCCGAGGCTGTTATGTTACAGTGTTGATCATTGTAAAACAGTGTTTAAACGAATTACGTAAAGTTATTTAGTTACTATATTTAGGTTAGGATTATAGGGTAATCTGGAAGCTTCAAGATCAGCCAGATTAATTTGACGTATATAAACCCCTGGAAGCTTTTACATAAAGGGACACGTGCTTGTCTCTGTCATAACACCAACAGTCCATGAGATTGTTATTTCCACCTGGGGTGTCCGACCTGGACTTGCCTTGGAAGCTTGACCTCTGTTGCTGCTAAGTGAATATTATTGTTAGTGACTTAACATCAGTTGCCACTGCTATTGTATTTCATACTGTCATTGATTAGTAGACTTAATTAATTCAATGTCATAATAAAGGGGTTAATTGTAAAACACTTCATTCTTGTTTTCTTTTTGGATACAATTTCTTTTACATACAGATTTCTAAGTGAACGTTTTGTTTCAGCTCGGAAACATACACGTCAACTTAATCGGGTAGTACGAATAGGTATTCTAGTAAACAGAAAGAGAAAGCATTTTCTCCGATCCATTCAAAACAATTCACCGCTATTTTGCCTTTCAAGCCTATATGAATCTGTTTTGGGGAACAATTGAGACTGGTTATTCTCTTGGGTTAATGTTTCATGTTCAGTGGTGTAGAAGGTAAAGGATTCCGTTACTTTCAAACGAAGACGTTTTGGGTTTAGATTTGTTGTGCAACATAGTGGGGATACATGTTCATGTCTCTAATCCAACATTTCTGTTGTAGTTGACTCACCACAGATATTGAACTCATGAAGACACTGGGGGACAAAACCCACCATGAGAGCCATCGACCCAGTCCAAGTAAATATAGAATGTTAGTGCCAAAGAATACACAGTGTTGACTATTCTCAGAAACAGATTTCATTTAGTGTAAAGAACAAAATAGCTGTGAAAATCATATAGTCTACTGAAAGTCAGTGATGATGGCGGGTGTTGGCAGAAGCTCAAGCATGTCATATCCTTCTGTTAGACACGCCATTCACACAATTTACATAAGAATTACTTATGTACTTATGTACGCCCCTACCGTACTCCTTTCGTACTAGACAAACATGTCATCTTGATCGTACAAAGGAACGAATCTGTGGCTTTTCGACTGACAAACTATAATTGCAAATTAATCAGAAGACGGTATGTGCACTTACTTGCGCAAGAGCTGTGGAGGTGAAGGTGGTTTTGTCGTACACCCAGGATGTACACTCTTGTGTCTGGTTGCCCGCTGTCAGGTTAGTGTACACGCTGCACTCTGACAACTTGGAAACACCCTTGTCATCACGTTCCCAGGGAATGGTTGTGTTGATGATGATGTCGTGAGTGCTACCCTGACTGTTGTAGGTATCATTGGCTAGGCCAGGGACTGCACACCTTGAAATAACACTCATTTTGTTACTTAATACTGCATTTATTATATCTGCTGATTCACAAACTATAATCACACGACAACAGTCATACGAAAACTTTATCACAAGATACCATATAATATATCTTGCAGTAATATTTGTATCATATATTCGAGCAACGAAACCATTTCCGTATTCATTATATATAATTCTACCATGACATTTAAGTATGTTCGTTTTTGATTGGCTGTTACTAAAAAAATAGAAGTGAACATTTTTCAATAACCACTTCTATAAGCCGGTACACTGCGCGTAGTGTCAAAACACTACGCAAGGGTAATGAGTGCATATTGAAAACGCGTTTTAGACGCATGGTAGAATGGAGATAATCCTATTGTGTTTACATTTTGGAAGTGATTATAGTTGGTTGAAAGCTGCAAAATGTCATTTAAAACCAAACGCGTTAGCGTGAGGTTTTAAATGAAACATTTAGCAGCGTTCAACCAACTATAATCACTTCCAAAATGTAAACTCAATAAGATTATCTCCTAATTAACCCGTGAAGATCCGGGTTAGAATTGATCTTCAATAACCCATGCTTGTCGTAAGAGGCGACTAAAGGGATCGGGTGGTCAGGCTTGCTGACTTGGTTGGCACATGTCATCGTATCCCAGTTGCGTAGATCGATGCTCCTGCTGTTGATCACTGGATTGTCTATTCCAGACTCGATTATTTAAAGACCGCCGCCATATAACTGGAATATTGCTGAGTGCGGCGTAAAACTAAACTCACTCACTCATTATATGTCATTTCCTCCACCTCCCTATCATAAAACATTTTGAAAGTTTTACTGTGGTCTTCGATGTTGTAACTTTGATCGAACATCTTCTGAGCAAGTCACATGACGTTCTTTGTAATTTTGATGAAACGAGCATGCTCAACTGTACGCCAAAGCTGTGAAAGGTAAACACCAAAGACTGAATAATGCTCGACATGAAGGGAAACTGACTATACAAATCATCCCTTTTGTCATACAGCCTTGGGAAGATTTTTTTGGTCACACTGAATCTCCATGCATAGATCTAAAAATATAACACATGAGGCCGGCTAACTTGTTTGCTATATATATTTCAAGTTCAGGTGGGTGAGTCTGTGGAAGGGAATGCCAATGGGTTTTTTGATGGTAATTGAACGATATATTAGGTCATCGATATACCTGCAAATTAAGTTAAACTTTTTGGCCAAGCTACCTCGTTTTATGAGGAATCCCTACAAAAAGCTGTCTTCTGACAATATATGACTATATATGAACATTTGTTTCTGAATGTCTGTCACATTTCCATAGCCAGGTGGGGCGGTGGGGTAGCCTAGTGGTTAAAGCGTTCACTCGTCACGCCGAAGACCCGGGTTCGATTCCCATCATGGGTACAGTGTGTGAAGACCATTTATGGTGCTCCCCGCCGTAATGTTGCTGGAATATTGCTAAAAGCGGCGTAAAACTAAACTCACTCACTCATTCAGTAGCCAGGCTGATATGTCATATAACGCCTCTCTTATGCTCAGTCACACGGGGAATATCTAATCACCATAGACGTCTGTACAGGGAACACGAGAATATGTCATTGTTAACTTAGCATGATTAAGACATGTGTGTTAAATCAGGCAGTTATCATGCATGCTCGGGACAGTGACATTTATCTCCGGGGAAAACACTTTATATATTCTTTACAATCAAGGTAAACAGATGGGTAGGGGCTGAATATACAGCTCCAGACAAACCTAACAAAAAGACAAAAAAGACAGAAAATGATTTTGAAAAGAACGTGAATAAGTTTTGTGTTCTGTCAGCTGCGTCGGTAAATTTATGGCTCAAATGTATCAGTGTATTCAAACATCACACAGGTCGTTTCATCGAGTTGAATAACATGGGTAGATAAAGATCTAAAGACAGCGTACCCGTGTGATGCATCTTCTTTATATGTTAACAGCAACAAACACAAAGATCGCATGAATCAAACCCCAAATCAGCAGCCACTGTACATATGTTCCCATGCTAGTAGTTAGATGTGGTAGACTTTAACGAGCTTCTAAATGGCTTTCCTCTGACATTAAGTTGACATGGTGCGATATACTTGACAAAACTGCGGTACATCCAAACTCTACAATACATTTGCACTTCCTATTTTTGCTGAGGCTCGTTTCATCATTTCTGTAAAAACGTAGTCATTTCAACTCCGATGAATATTAACTAGTGAGTGAGTATGGTTTTACGCCGCTTTTAGCTATATTCACCAGAAATGGGCTTCACACATTGTACCCATGTGGGGAATTGAACCCGGGTCTTTGGCGTGATGAGTGAACGCTTTAACCACTAGGCTACCCCACCGCCCCAAAATATTAAACAGATAAACTGTTTGTAATATGGTCAATGTGGTTTCCGATGGCAGGTTTACCTACGTCTGTAGGAGCGTGTGTTGGGAACCTGGCACCCCCGCCCACCCCCATCTCTTTGATGGGTGAAATACCCGCTGTGTAAGATGGTCGCAGAGATGTTTATGTCTGGTAACGTGCTGAGCTGTTACGATAATCCTGAAAACATCAGGCGGTATGAGGTCGTACATTGTCCTGCTGCAGAAATTGTTGACGTAAGAAGGGCACTACAAGACTTCATCCCTGTATATTTGGATGATATTCCGCCCCTCACATGCCCTTTGGTACACCATAAAGGGTGCTCAACATAGATGCAGTAACGTGCCATTCACTCTCTCCAAACAGGTCAGGCCATTTTTTAAGTTGAAGCGACTTTTATCAGAGAACAACAGCACCCTGCCTTTTGATAGACTTCTATGTGTGCACAGGATGTGTTTGGGTTCATGTTTTCTGATAACGTTTAAATGTATCGCTACATCTTTGATAAACTTTACAACTGAAGTAATACCGTATTTTGGTGGTTTAGTACATGTACTCATATTTATGTGGAAGACAGCCGTATATGTGCTCTGTAATCGGATAGTTATAAACCATATCGATCGCATAAACGCAGTGTGCATTGATATTGGAGAATCGTATGACTTCTTGCAGAAAACAGGAATGATTATTATTGGATAGTTATATAGCGCACAGATCCACGCACTAGTGCACGTTCAAGGCGCTGGTATTTTTTCCCTGGATCATCGGATGTCAATCACAACGGCACATCTTATCATCAATCTCAACTCCCTGGGGCGTATACAACTCTTGCTGCCACAAGGTCCACCGAGTTATTGCGGATTTCCCATCCTTACGAGGTACCCATTCAAAGCTGGGTGGACTGGGACACATAGTCACAGTACTTTGTCCAAGTTTACTACACATTGCTGTACCCACAACTAGGTGTTTGCACGTATTCATGTGGCCACCATCTGGTCATATACCAATGGATTCGTGGGTTCTTTTAAGTGCACAGGGTTGTGTACTGTACACTAGGGGTTGTGACAACACTGAAAGAGTCTGCACACAAAGTTGACGCCAAGGTTTTTACACCCAGTCACGTCTGACAGGTGAGACATGACCATATAAGGACTTTCACTATTGTATAAAAACACTACACATTACAAATACATGTCGGTTTTGTGCCATCACCAGGAGTTCACGTGTCGTAAATTGTGAGTAAATCATACATTGTTTGAGCACAACAAACACCATGAACCAATTTAATTGTTTTTAGCTACGCTGACATACAAAACCTTTCCCCAGTTAAAAGGTATAACTTTCGCTCCAGTAAGGATTTAGATAGTGGCATACCGACAAGAACTGATCCCAGCCTGAGTCCGGGGTCTGCTGCGCTAACGCGTCAGCGGGAACCAGGCTGGAAGGGATCCAGGGTCTCCAAGACGAATGGCGACGTATCCCATGTAACGTCTGATTTTTGCCTTTTGCGTGTCTTGCAGCAGTGTGTAGTAATACACGCTGTTATGTGACGTATCCCAGAACTTGAGCGATTGAAGACCAGTGTGCGATATAGCCACTGAGCAGTTTCCCCGTGGCTAATAAAAATCCAGTCGGGCCAGTATATCTCCACAGACACTGACCCGACTGGCTAGTCAATTTTCATGGGGTCATTTTGTAAATATATCACCCTCTCCGACTTTTTAAGTTATAATACACTATTAATTCCTTATATTCAGTGTCATTTTAGGATGGTGAACAGATTTTGAAGAGGAAAACTTTACTGAGAATTGCTGCAGATCAGCTGCTGAATATTTGCTTCTGGGTATGTCCAGAGTACATCCATGGAAACATACTGTTTTCAAACCCAATCACATTTTCCAGATTTCCAAATAAGTTCTCTAAGTTGGGCACTGTGACTGATTTGTTTACATTAATTATATACAGACAAATAAGGTGCACAAAGTAGTAAACGGGAAATATTTTCTGCTTTTTATTTACCATTTATTTTATTCATTAAAACATAGACACCCATGTTTTCAGATTATTTAACCAAGTTTGAACAACGCCAACGGATAAGTAAAGGCGCCACGCGCAACGTTGACAATCTATTTATAGATACCGAAACGATCTGCAACATGAATATGTGGATGTGTTCATGGTTTTTATAAAATTATGATGGAAATTTTTTGGGGAAAAAATCCAAGCAACAAAATTCAGTTACCCTTCCCCTGCTGATATCTTTGACGGAGGTGAATTGCTAGATAGATTAATTGATTCGAAAGAAAATACGCTTCCTATTCTCAGCAGCTGGCCGAGACGATTTTTCATCGGGCATGTAACTCATTTTCACTCGCCAATTGCAATCTGCCAACTAAAATATATTAAAAATCACATGCCTATAACTTGCCTCTTTAAATATCATTCACAAACGGGGGCGGCGGGGTAGCCTAATGGTTAAAGCGTTGGCTCGTCACGCCGAAGACCCGGGTTCGATTCCCCACATGGGCACAATGTGTGAAGCCCATTTCTGGTGTCCCCCACCGTGATGTTGCTGGAATATTGCTAAAAGCGGCGTAAAACTCAGTCAGTCAGTCGGATACCAAAGTACCACAAGCATAATTCATCAACAACGTACGTTTCGCTCGCGGTGACGCCATTGTGATTAGTCAGTGGTTGTCCCCCCTAACGTCAAAAACGAAGTGGGCGGGGCTTATCGGCCGGGACTGGATCGGTCTATTATGTGGCGTACCTGCTTTTCAAACGTGACATTCCCAGGCCCCAACGTGCCTCGACAGCGGTGAATTCCCAATTTAATGCATGTTCCGATCGCCCATGTTGTGCAGTCGGGCGTGACTAAAACCTCGCGAACTACAAACTCGCGTGACAAGTAGGCCCGGGGACCGGTATGAAAGCACTGTCTTTGTCCTGCCTACGGAAAATATACATATATACAGTCAGGTTCACAAGGTGCCCGTGTTTTCATTCGTCTATAGGGCTGGATCTTAGTCCCAATTTCAGTATTATATGACTACCTTTCTGGCCATGTGAGGATAAGTTACGGGTAGATAATAATAATTGAATATGTCACTCCACTCGCATTCGTTTGATTCTCGCTATATAACAACCATGGCATATATACCATTCAAAACAGCATTGGCATTGGCTAGTGGTATTCTCGCAAAATGGAATATCCCCTACTTCTTTTGAATGGTATATAACACCGGCCTGAATTCAGATTGCATATACTGTCCCTATAGATATTAACCGTATTGTGTCGCTAGTCCGCTGTTACTTCAAGGTTGGAATAGAACAGACAGCCCACACTCCTACCACTGAACAGACAGCAGTACCCTATCAAGTGGACGCTCATACGCCACAGCTGTTGGTATACTTTTTGTACACAATATTTATACTCCTCGTTTACTGTGTTTACTTATCGACCTCATAATATTGAAGTACTTTTTTAAAACATTACATATACATACATGTGTCCTAGTTTATCTGTGAATGGATTTCTGGTTAAATAGTATGTTTTAATAAAGACCCTGCAACCACATGTTTCGAGTAAAGGGGTATTATTGCTACAATCGATCTGTCAGTTCAATGCATACAGTTTAAACAATCCAGTCAGCATGAAAAAATGCCTTGTATGAAAGCGTCAAGTCACTGTTATCTTGCACGCGCACAGTGCGTGAATGCTTATAAATCGAGGTGACCTACACGTAGCATATAGTCGTGTCTGTCTTAAGCGGAATGTTATGTTATTTTATGTTCCAGAAAAAAAGTGAATAAATTTTATGATTCCGATTATATCACGTGTTTATGAGTGAGTGAGTGAGTTTAGTGAGTCGCCTTTACAACAAGCATGGGCTACTGAAGACCAAATCTTCACAGGTCATGCCAAAAGGCGTAAAAAAAGAGGTACTTATTGATACCCTGCCTGGTGGTGACAGCAGGAGGATGACTCAGGGCTGGACGGCTCGGAGTCAGTGCTGCGACTGGGTGGGGTTAAAGTGCCTGGTATGTCAATAGCCAAGCGCTATACAACCGCCTTTGCATCGGACGAGTAGAAACAGACAGACATACGAATATACAGAGAAACCCACAGCTGTACAAGCATGACACTATAATAAAAGTGCATTAATTCTGATCGCGATGTAAAAATTAAAACACACAGAAGAAACAAGAACTTCATGTGACATTTTATCGTAAAAATGTAAGCATACGATCGTTTTTTTATTGCTTCAACAAATATGTTTTGCCCATGCTGATCTCTAAATGTAGGGCGATCATTTTGCGAGACACCATATTTCTACCTGAAGTGATTCATGGATTGTGAAGTACGTGGTTATCGTCACGACGCCCATTTCATACACATGATGCGTTTATTGCTCAGTTTCTAACATTAAACCTAAAATCAACCAACGCATGTTTGGGAAGCACACCTGTTGTGTCAGGATAGCTCTTTCTTATTGTGTGTAGAATACAACCTGCCCCATGAAGAGCTCTGTAGACATTACTTATTTCATTCAATATATGTTACCAGGCAACCAATATATGAAACGTGTCATATGTCTGGCCATATTACCTTAGTCATCGGCTGGTTCAATGGTGTAAACAGGAGCTATCTCGTGGGGCACTGAACCCCAAAATGTAAACAAATAACGTATATTGCACTTACCTGTTGTCGGGAATAGCCAGGTAAAACACAGGTATGAGGGTCTGGAATGCTACCGATATTGCGGGGATGCATGCCAGCACATATATCCGTTTCTGGTACGGCCCGAACTCACCAAGGTGAGTAAGAATGTCATCAAACTTCATAGTTTTCCGTTTCCGATGATTCCCTCGATGGAGAGGTCAGCTGGCTCGCTAAAGAGACGCTTGCTATACTGACAGTGGTGGCAGGTTCGAGAGCAGGGCGCCTCAAGCTACAGCACAAAGGACAATAATACAGAGCTAAGCGAGTTGAAACCGTGATAAAAACAAGAATAGGGGGCAGATCTTATCGGTCTAAGTGAAGAGCAGAGATTCATCCAGGTACTGTCTGATGCAAGACTTTGTATTCCTGGAACCTGGCCAGTTATCTACAGAAATTTCCTTCTAAAATTCACGTCCTGTTCACACGGCCTTATCTACAGCCTAAAGTACACCTTGGTGTATAAACAAAGTACACCCTGGTGTGTGGACAAAGTACGCCCTGATGTATGTATGTACAAAGTACACCCTGATGCATAGAAATAGTACACCTTGATGTATGGACAAAGTACACCCTGGTATATGGACAAAGTACACCCCGTGTATGGACAAAGTACACCCTGATGTATGACAAAGCACACATTGGTGTATTGACAAAGTACACCTTGGTGTATGGACAAAGTACACCCCAGTGTATGGACAAAGTACACCCGGTGTATGGACAAAGTACACCCCGGTGTATGGACAAAGTACACCCCGGTGTATGGACAAAGTACACCCTGATGTATGACAAAGCACACATTGGTGTATGGACAAAGTACACCTGGGTGTATGGACAGAGTACACATAGGTGTATAGACAAGGTACACCCTGGTGTATGGACAAAGTACACCTTGGTGTATGGACAAAGTACACCCTGATGTACAGACAAAGTACACAATGCTGTATAGATGAAGTACACAATGATGTATAGATGAGGTACACCTTGATATTCGGGCAAAGTACACCAAGATTTATAGAAATAGTACACCTGATGTATGGACAAAGTACACCCTGATGTATAGACAAAGTACACCGTGATATATGGACAAAGTACACGCTGATATATGGACAAAGTACACCCTGATATATAGACAAAGTACACCCTGGTGTATGGACAAGGTACACCCTGGAGTATGGACAAAGTACACCCTGGTGTATATATATAGTCCCCCCTAATGTATAGACAAAGTACACCCTGATATATAGACAAAGTACACCCTGGTGTATGGACAAAGTTCACCCTGGTGTATGGACAAAGCACACCCTGATGTACAGATATAGTGCATCCTGATGTATGGACAAAGTGCACCATGATGTATGGACAAAGTGCACCTTGATGTATGGACAAAGTACACCCTGATGTATGGACAAAGTACACCCTGATGTACAGATATAGTATGTATGGACACATACATCCAGGTGAAAAGAAATAGTACACCGTTGTGTATAGACAAATTACATCCTGATGTATGAACAAAGTACACCTGAGAAAAAGAAATGAACTACGATCTTGGGGCCTGACGATTCCACGTCACATAGGGATACGATATACTTGATACAATACAATGATGTTCAATGAAATACGGTGAAACGCGATGATGTTCAATGACGTGACTCGAAAGAAAGTTCAATGTTTGGTTGCACCTAAACGAATATACGTTATATGATGAAAACGGTTCTGATGCAACAGGCTGATCAGAATTTAAAACTATAGTTGGATGTTGCTTATTTGCACGGTTACTTACGTAAGAAGAGCATTACCTACATATGACAAGTGTTATTATATTTTTCGGTTTCTACTTACAGAAGAAGACGCCATGTGTGAAGACGAATGCAGTCTGACATTTACTATTAGAACATGTCTAGATGTAATGATTTATTATCAGAATCCCAAGCTGGATCTAGACACAATTATTCTCCATCAGGCAATATATTCATCCTTCAAACTTTGCGTACAAAATATTAGGTAAACCGAAAGGTAATTTTTACTGTGCCTTTATTGATTTTAAAAAGGCGTTTGACTATGTTGATAGAAAGAAAATGATATATTTATTGAGTACTAACGGATTAACTGGTAAAATGTCAAATGTTCTACGTTTGTACTCATCAGTTAAGGCATGTATCAGGACAGATAAAGGAATCACTGAATGTTTCAAAAGGGTCTTCTGGTGTAAGACAGGGCTGTGTGCTCAGTCCTGTCCCATTTATATTTTTCATAAATGAATTTGTAACTGAAATGTATAATGAATGTGAAGTTTTTGTTTCACAAGATATTATTGATACAATGCTATTACTATTTGTAGATGATACTGCTTTATTATCATAATCAGGTATTGGCCTCCAGAAACAATGAAATGTTATTCAATCATATTGTGAGAAATGGGACCTTGAAGTAAACTTGGTAAAGACAAATGTTATCATTTTCAGAAAAGGTAGTATTCTTTATAAATTTGAAAGATGGACGTACTGTAATAAAGAAGTAAACGCTGTTTCACACTACAAATATTTAGGATTGATTGTATTCTCCAGATTAGCATGGTCCGCAGCCTGTATGCAGTTTGCTTTGCAAGCATCTAAAGTCTTGATTCCTGTATATAAGGTCTAGAAAAAAAAAGTTTATATCTTTCCCAGTTGTTTCTAAAGTTTTTGACAGAAAAACATCACCAATTCTTCTCTATGGTTACGAAATATGAGGACTCAGGTATAACGATTCCATCGAAAAGATGAATGCTTTATATCTTAAACATTTCTTAGGTGTTGGTAATTATGCCTCTAACAAAGCTATTTTAGGAGAAACTGATCGCACCAGTCTCTTTGTTTCATCACAGTTAAGGGCTGTCAAAGATTGGACAAAGCTACTTCGTATGAATTCAAGTAGATTTACTGTTCAATGTTATAACATGTTGAAAAGATTGGTTGATAATGGGAAAGATTCTTGAGTGTCTGATATAAGAAATATTCTTTTTGTGTCTGTTATTTCCCTTGATTGGATATCTCAAGATGTTTGAATTGATAAGTTATTTACGTTTATCCTTAGGCAAAGATTAAATGTCACAAAACTGGCGCTGTCAAATATCATCTTCAAGATTTCTGTGTCATTATGCAAAAATAAAATCATTACTTGTTCTTCAAAAATATGTTTCTGAACTACAGGTAAGAACTTTAAGAAGAGCTTTCTGTAAATTACGAATATCATTACACACTTTTTATGTTACTAATCTTAGAAAGAAAAATGTACATGGTTTAATTAAGTGAGTGAGTGAGTTTGGTTTTACACTCAGCAATATACCAGCTATATGGCGGCGGTCTGTAAATAATCGAGTCTGGATCTGACAGTCCAGTGATCAACAGCATGAGCATCAATCTACGCAGTTGGGATACGATGACATGTGTCAACCAAGTCAGCGAGCCTGACCACCCGATCCCGTTAGTCGCCTCTTACGACAAGCATGGGTTACTGAAGATCAATATTCTAACCCGGATCTTCACGGGTCGGTTAAATTAAGAGTTTATGTCATTATTGTAATGAAGGCTATATCGAAGATGAGTTTCATGTACTTTATTTTGAAAACATTATCAATTTCTTAGAAACAGATACCTCCCTCTGATCTCAACTGTGTACAAAGATGAACAACTAATGAAAAACACAAGAAACTCAAGAAATATCAATATGATATTATCTATTTCAATATTCCTAATAACTATTTTTGAAATTAGACGTTAATATATGTATGTTTATTTATATTTCCACGTTACTGTACAATGCCCAAACACACCACAACTATACTATAGGTCATCAAAACACCTTCTCTCTGTTTGATATATATGGTTTAATTTCAAGTTTCTATGTACGTTCATAATCTCTTTCTTTGAGGTTTAGAATCCAGGCGTTTCCTTCGACCAGTATGGGTCCCGTTCATGCTGATGGCGCTTGTCAGCATCCAGAATCAAGTTGAATCTGCCCATACGGAATTACCACTTCCACGGGGTTATATTTATCATCACTAAGATATATTAATGTTGAATGTGATGCTATGAATACTTTATTTACAAAACTGAAGAGAAAAAGTAGCACGGCATGTTGACAAGAAATCCTATTCGGTCGAACGAGGGACCACTTTGTGCAGAATTGCAAGCCTGACACTGACAAGTATGGACATAGGTTTGAAGCTTACTACAAAATGGGTTGATGCGCTACACACCGATATCAAATTTTCAAGATTAGACTCATAGTGACGAAAAACATTATGTACCAAAGCCTATTCGTCTCCCCTCGCTGCCATCTTTGACGATTTGTATGCCGTTTCGTGATGCTATGACTGCCGTGTTTGGATGCTATGAATGCTGTTTTGTACGCTCGGCGACCGTTCTCGCGCGCTTTTGTAGCTGATACGCGAGTTTTGTTTCCATTTCAAACGATTAGTCTTCGTAAACAGATTTCTGGGCAAATCCAGTACCAATCGGAACATGACTTCACCAGTAGACCAGAGCCAGGGATACTGTTTGTGAATGGTGGAACGACTATTGGCCATGTTATTCACTATTAACTCTCATTTAGTGTTGTGTCATAAGAATTTATGTCAAATCATATTGTGCGTCACAAGCTTTCGAAGCCAACTTAGCTTTTAAAGTTATAAGGCTATTTCTTCAGCAAAGAAATATAAACTCCCCTGTTCAAGAATTAAAATTCCCTGTAGGATCTCCAGTTTACACCCACACAATCTTCTTCTTCTTCTTTCTCTCTCTCTCTCTCTCTCTCACACACACACACATATGTATGTATGTATATATATATCGTATGATGTATATGCTCTATGGTTATATAACATTGTATATCATTCTTTTATTCTTTAAAAGGTTACTCTATTTTCAGTATTTCCAAGGTTTTCCCGAAAATTACTAAAGTTTGGTTGACATTTCTATTACGGATTTAGCGGTCCTATTTTGCTCCTATTGTGTATCTAGTGTTGTAACATATCAGACATCCCGTCGTGTTCAACTTATCCGAGCTGTGGGCAGCTCTTCTTCACAGGCGGATGATGTTATAAGTTAAATATGCATCCCTAAACCTTTTGGAAGTTACATCAAATTCCTTATTTATATTTGTGAGTACTTTAAGGTTCGGAAAGCAACGGAGACAGAATGTCAAGAGGGAAAGGAAAGGGCAGAAAACAGTCGCCATGAGAAACAGAACAGATTAATCTTACAGCAACCAATAAGACAGTTGAGTCGCCGATCAGTGATATCGGGTATTTTTCCAATTACGAGCTCAAGGTCAGATACAGTTTTTACGAATGAAAACGTCACTCTGTGCGCCATATCTGTACTAGGCGGGCTGTACGAGTGGCTGCTCTGTGAGTCTCGTATTTACGGGTCACCCGGGAGCACTGAGCCGTGACAATAGTAAATCTGCTTTCCACCGCCACGATGTTCCCATCTGACCCCGCCTTCACCCGCATGTTTATCGTATAGATACAAGGTTATGCTTATGCGCAACCACGTCCCGTGAATTTCTGGTTCATCTCTTGATTGTATGTAATTTGCAGAGGTTGTAGATGTATGGATCACTGAGAAACAGGCGCCATTGTGCGATGTGACACAAGGCAGGGTTGTATGGATGGATCACTGAGAAACAGGCGCCATTGTTTTGCGTAAAGGCAGGCAGGGCTTGTATCACTGGATGGATCACTGAGAAACAGGCGCCAGGCGCCATTGTGCGTGTAAGGCAGGGTTGTATGGATGGATCACTGAGAAACAGGCGCCATTGTGCGTGTAAGGCAGGGTTGTATGGATGGATCACTGAGAAACAGGCGCCATTGTGCGTGTAAGGCAAGGTTGTATGGATGGATCACTGAGAAACAGGCGCCATTGTGCGTGTAAGGCAGGGTTGTATGGATGGATCACTGAGAAACAGGCGCCATTGTGCGTGTAAGGCAAGGGTTGTATGGGTGGATCACTGAGAAACAGGCGCCATTGTGCGTGTAAGGCAGGGTTGTATGGATGGATCACTGAGAAACAGGCGCCATTGTGCGTGTAAGGCAGGGTTGTATGGATGGATCACTGAGAAACAGGCGCCATTGTGCGTGTAAAGGCAAGGTTGTATGGATGGATCACTGAGAAACAGGCGCCATTGTGCGTGTAAAAGGCAGGGTTGTATGGATGGATCACTGAGAAACAGGCGCCATTGTGCGTGTAAGGCAAGGTTGTATGGATGGATCACTGAGAAACAGGCGCCATTGTGCGTGTAAGGCAGGGTTGTATGGATGGATCACTGAGAAACAGGCGCCATTGTGCGTGTAAGGCAGGGTTGTATGGGTGGATCACTGAGAAACAGGCGCCATTGTGCGTGTAAGGCAGGGTTGTATGGATGGATCACTGAGAAACAGGCGCCATTGTGCGTGTAAGGCAAGGTTGTATGGATGGATCACTGAGAAACAGGCGCCATTGTGCGTGTAAGGCAAGGTTGTATGGGTGGATCACTGAGAAACAGGCGCCATTGTGCGTGTAAGGCCAGGTTGTATGGATGGATCACTGAGAAACAGGCGCCATTGTGCGTGTAAGGCAGGGTTGTATGGATGGATCACTGAGAAACAGGCGCCATTGTGCGTGTAAGGCAGGGTTGTATGGATGGATCACTGAGAAACAGGCGCCATTGTGCGTGTAAGGCAAGGTTGTATGTATGGATGGATCACTGAGAAACAGGCGCCATTGTGCGTGTAAGGCAGGGTTGTATGGATGGATCACTGAGAAACAGGCGCCATTGTGCGTGTAAGGCAGGGTTGTATGGATGGATCACTGAGAAACAGGCGCCATTGTGCGTGTAAGGCAAGGTTGTATGGGTGGATCACTGAGAAACAGGCGCCATTGTGCGTGTAAGGCAGGGTTGTATGGGTGGATCACTGAGAAACAGGCGCCATTGTGCGTGTAAGGCAAGGTTGTATGGATGGATCACTGAGAAACAGGCGCCATTGTGCGTGTGTAAGGCCAGGTTGTATGGATGGATCACTGAGAAACAGGCGCCATTGTGCGTGTAAAGGCAGGGTTGTATGGATGGATCACTGAGAAACAGGCGCCATTGTGCGTGTAAAGGCAGGGTTGTATGGGTGGATCACTGAGAAACAGGCGCCATTGTGCGTGTAAGGCAGGGTTGTATGGATGGATCACTGAGAAACAGGCGCCATTGTGCGTGTAAGGCAAGGTTGTATGGATGGATCACTGAGAAACAGGCGCCATTGTGCGTGTAAGGCAGGGTTGTATGGATGGATCACTGAGAAACAGGCGCCATTGTGCGTGTAAGGCCAGGTTGTATGGGTGGATCACTGAGAAACAGGCGCCATTGTGCGTGTAAGGCAGGGTTGTATGGATGGATCACTGAGAAACAGGCGCCATTGTGCGTGTAAGGCAAGGTTGTATGTATGGATCACTGAGAAACAGGCGCCATTGTGCGTGTAAGGCAGGGTTGTATGGATGGATCACTGAGAAACAGGCGCCATTGTGCGTGTAAGGCAGGGTTGTATGGATGGATCACTGAGAAACAGGCGCCATTGTGCGTGTAAAAGGCAAGGTTGTATGGATGGATCACTGAGAAACAGGCGCCATTGTGCGTGTAAAGGCAGGGTTGTATGGATGGATCACTGAGAAACAGGCGCCATTGTGCGTGTAAAGGCAAGGTTGTATGGATGGATCACTGAGAAACAGGCGCCATTGTGCGTGTAAGGCAGGGTTGTATGTATGGATCACTGAGAAACAGGCGCCATTGTGCGTGTAAGGCAAGGTTGTATGGATGGATCACTGAGAAACAGGCGCCATTGTGCGTGTAAGGCAGGGTTGTATGGATGGATCACTGAGAAACAGGCGCCATTGTGCGTGTAAAGGCAGGGTTGTATGGATGGATCACTGAGAAACAGGCGCCATTGTGCGTGTAAGGCAGGGTTGTATGGATGGATCACTGAGAAACAGGCGCCATTGTGCGTGTAAGGCAAGGTTGTATGTATGGATCACTGAGAAACAGGCGCCAGTGTACGTGTAAGGCAAGGTTGTATGTATGGATCACTGAGAAACAGGCGCCAGTGTACGTGTAAGGCAAGGTTGTATGTGTGGATCACCGAGAAACAGGCGCCAGTGTACGTGTAAGGCAAGGTTGTATGGGTGGATCACTGAGAAACAGATTCCATTGTGCGCATAAGACAAGGTTGTATGGTGGATTACTGAGAAACAGGCATCATTGTGCGTGTAAGGCCAGGTTGTATGGATTAATCACTGAGAAACAGATGGCATTGTGCGTATAAGGCAGGTTTGTATGGATGGTTCATTATTTGAGTGTAACCTATTTCCTAGTGAAATGTAAAAAAATAATAACGTGAAGTAAATACGTTTGCTATCTGTTATTGATTTGTTAAGAGATGTGGCACGCTGGTGTACTGAATATATGCATTACATTTACATGAATGTTGTATCTAATTCTACAAACTGTCAAAACTAATTATGACCTTTTAATCTATACACTCAACATATTCTGTACTTCAGGTCCACACGAAGCTATTTACATATATAATTATGCAAAACAAAGTATGAAATGTTAGCAAATCTCTACCTACGAAGTACGATTCAATGACAATCATCCATTTCTTCCGACCCAGTAAGTATAACATATATGTATGAACAACTTCAATTACAGCTTCTTCATTTAGTTGTTTATCCATATATCTCATCCTTACCTAGTACTCCGACTTCTATAAGAAACTCAAACAAGTAATGTCTTTCGACGTGCAGTATATGTTCACCTTTCAACCATGAACCTTTACGTGTTCTCAGTATGTGCTAGCAGTGACGGATATAAATGTTATAACATAATTTATGCTTCAGTAGTGCATGGATATATAAATACATGATTTCTCTGTATGTCTGGTTTCTCAATATACGCAATTCCACAGTATTTGGCCGACAATGCAGATACATGCCAGTTAATTTAGATTTCTAGTTAGTTGTGAAACCAGTAGATGTTAGTACGGCTGACTAATGTAATTATCATGCAAACAATATTCACGCACATGTATGAGGTTGACGTATTCTTAAAATAGTAAGGCTAATGTTTCAGTAGCGGAATTCGAGATAGTACAAGCAAATGGTCATTGTGCTAGGCCTGAAAGTTAAAACTCACACACTGACCCACAGATGGGGCATGCACTAATCACTTCATTAATCGTCAGAATTCTTGCAATCCTATTGACCCTACCAAGTCGTTTTATCTGCAACGTCATGACGTTCCATGCGACGTTGCTTGCGTGACCCTGTTTGTAAACAAACACACCGACAGTGCAATTAGATCAGTCCATGCTAATGAAGGTGCTTCAGCCACGAAACAGATAAGTGTGAGAAAATAGGTCTACCCTTTTGGGCTTTCAAAAATATTTGTTGGCATGTGGATTCACATATTGTAAACATAGATAAATACGTAAATGGAATTAGTTTTTGTAGGTGAGTCCATGCTAATAAACTGGACAAAAATAGTTAGGGATATATGTAAATTTTGAAATTATGAATAATGATCTACTTATTTATTGACACTCTGATAAAATATCAATCATAAAAATACCAATATCCCTAACTTATTTTGTCCAGTATATAACAGATAACTGAAAATCAATAAAATACTAGTAATAAGTTTTTTTTTGTTGCAGTCTGTTCTCTTCAGCACTTTTCGAATGCTGGATTGTCATACTCCTTTTCGGTGGGCAACCTTTCGACTGTTTGATCAAGCTCATAGGAATTTTTACCGGTCCTGAAAAAATGACGTTTAACAATAGAGAGTTTTAAATCATATCATATATGTAGTCATGTATCATCACAGTGAAGGCAACTAAAGAGTCGAAATCTAAATTAAACCACTTTTGACAATTTAGGCTAATGTGAATATAAAAAAGGGAAGCGTGTTTATACATTTTTCAATATTTGTCTTTAAAATACATACTATTTATGATGTAAGGTTAATTTATGAAACTGGGCTGCTTGAAAGACATATAATGGGCACAACGCAGCTGGAGATGAGAATTTGACCATGTGCTCGTGCTTAGGGCCACAACAAGTACGCAATGCTGTGCAATACCATTTATCTATTATAGAACAAATGAACCAACACAACTCCTAAACATTCGATATCATTATTTAATTAATCTCCGAGAGGCATCGGCACTTACTTTCCGAAAACTTTGGCATCTTCGATGGTTTCCGGCAATTTTCGATTCAGTGTTTCGGGCAGCCACAGTGCCAGTATCCCCGCCGCCACTGTCACAGCACCAAATACCAGAAGGGGGAGTGCGTTACCGAAGTCACCACCAACTATTGTGCCCTACAAAACACAATGAAGGAGGGCCTTTACAAAAAGAGTGTATATTATACTCAGTCCGACACCATGAATAAAAGTGGAGAATTTATTTATGATAACAAAGGTACATCGGATTGTACACTGATGGTTATGAAAGGGCAAAAAAAAAAAAGGACATGTCAATCAAAAGAACATGTTGGTGGTGTATTGGGAGGAACGGCAGAAGAGTCTAATCAAGACTTGATCTGTAATGGGTTCTCCCCCTCGTTTTGCGGCGAGGCATGGTCCGAATACCTCCCTAAATGACACTTTGGGAGAGCATTGTGAACTCCTCTTGCAGGGCCTTGCCCAGTTCAGCTAATGTTCCGGTTGGCATTCATCACGCTGTGGACGTCGCAGTCCCAATCTGATCCCAGATTGTGCATTTACCAAGGAAAATAGAGCTGACGACACACTGTCGACAGAAAAATCAGCAATACTATTGGCTCAGAGCCATTCCTTCATGGTGTCAATACAAGAATGACCCTCTACTCTCGTCCAAAGAAATAGTGGATGGTCAACGAGAATTCACTTTGTTTGGACTTTGATTCTGAAACCGTTCTCTCTCTGGCAGTTATTTTTCAAAGCTGATCATTTTCTGACCACCGATCATAACAGTTATATTTGATGATCCCTGACTTCCTCTTTCACACAAGACGTGTTTGGCCTGATTGTGTTTCTGTCACAATATTATCATCGTATTCCCAGACTCACCAGATCAGCAATGTAAGGGGACAGTATTCCTCCAATACGGGCCGAGAAGGAACTGCCACCCATGCCGGAGTTTCTCACAACAGTCGGGAACAACTCCGCAGCAAAAATGTAAATAATGGCGAAAGCAGCTGATGCTCCAAACTTGCCAATCATCGACAGAGTAATTGTCACCCATTCCAGCTCTGTAAAGAAAATGTATGCTGTACCCAGCTCTGTGACATTCATTAATAAATATGTCTGTAATAAGTTGGTGAGTTGGGTTCAGTTGGCATTTTAAGATTACTCCTGCTTTATTGCGGCGTGTCTTCACTTGAGCAATATTTATCATGCGCTGCAAAGGTTTCCTCTGTGCCAAAAAGAACGATACCCTGCAAAACGAACTGCTTTGGCTTAGGGCCACCCATTTCCCATGTCTGTAATGAAAATGTTTACCATTATAGATAATATAATTAAGTTATTAGATGTACAGGAAGGTTTCTTAAGACCAAGGTCGAATATTTGTGAACAAACATAGATTCATGCCAACTCACCCTTGCCCCCATACAAAACCGGGAAGATGGTGGCAATACACGCAATCCCTCCCACCAACATACTGCCACAGTGTAGGAACTTCCGGCCCACTCGGTCCAACAGAAACAGACACATAACGTAAGATACTGTCTCCACGATGTTTGCGATGGTGAAGTTTAGGTAGATGTCACCGCCAAGATTGCCAACGTTCAGACCAAGACCGTAGAAAACCATACTGGCAACAAGCCTGGTGTAGAAGTAGGAATGTGTTCAACAGGAGAAGCACACCAAAACTAACTAATTAAATAGCAAACTAATAACTAACAATAGGAATTTATCTGACTCTTTAAGTGTTGACTTCAGAAATATTCAGAAACAGAACCTAGTCGGCCCGTTTACTGTACATGCTGGCTGTTTTATCTTATAATGTTATACTGGAACCTACTAAGGTATGCCCCTCTCGTCAGAGGAAATTCTTATATCAGTTGCAGACCTAAGAACTAACAAAGAAACCTCGGTCAGTGATGAAACTTTTACTGACCAATTGAAGAAGATGATGAGAGTCCTGACGAGGAGCACTGGGGAGGTGAACATCTCTGTGATCTTGCTCTTGGGACCGTCATCCAGAGTGTCCTTGTCAAATAGCTTCTGTGGAAGAGTCACTCCATTCACTTCTGCCGCTTTCCTGAGGATTGCTTCTGCTTCCTCCTCGCGACCACGTGACAGCAGCCATCTTGGTGACTCGGGGACTAACCTAAGAGCATATATATGTACAGAATTAGTTTAGAAGATATTAATTGTGGTATATGTATAAATGTATTTAATAATGACATGGCATACTACAAAAGATGCCTGCTGTGGGAATACCATCTTAAATCTGTTCACTTAAAAGACATACCATGGCGGGGCCAAAACCATGTACGGTATAATACTATTTACCCACACCATCCAGTGCAAACCGGAAGGAACAGAGTAAATGTAACAGGGACGAAGACATATTAGCAGATACGGAGTTCGAAATGAAACCATTCGTCAGAATGCCCCCAACTGTAGTGGGATATTCCCCAGCCCGCAATGTGCAGAGGTGGAGAGGACCAGAGAAACAGTTGAAATGCAAAATGATGAAACAATCTGTTTAGTCGTTTCGTAGCCAGAGCTCGATGTTCGATCGTAAACAGAATGCTAATTACTGATTGCTAATGCTGACACCAGTATAGAATTATTGAGGTGTCGAGCAATTAAAAAGTTGCACCCACCAGTACAAGCCGAGCAATAGCACGGCTGGGACGGAGATGGCGAGTTGGAGGTGATGCCAGTCTCGGATGAAGTAGGCCAGAGCTCCCACAATGAACAGCCCCAAGCACCAGAAGAACTCGATGATCATCCCCGCAAAGGTTCGTTTGGAGGGACCAACGAGTTCCATGACTGAAAATTAGACAGGCAGATTTATCAGACAGATGGACTAGATAAACGCATACTTTAATTAACTATGATGAAATATTTTAAATTTTCATTTATTGAATGAAAACAAAATGATATTTTAAAACTGTTAGTCACTTCTTCCATTCTGTATGATTTCTATATATTTCTATACATTCCATATAAACCCTTATTGGCCACCCTGAGAGGTACATTTTTAAACCGCCCTTATGAGTATCATATTGTCAGTGTAGTCTATTATCCGCAATGTATGGTACATTTGGTATTATCCATACAATTTAACTGTGGAAACTCCTCCGCACTTGTCTGTATATACCCTGTTTCAACTGATTACTTATGTAGTCATCTGAGCTAACTTACCGATGACGAAAGATGATACGAAGAGGCCGATATTGGAAGCACCGTTAAGAAATCTGAGAATGACGAAAGCCACGAAGTTCGGAGCAAACGCTGTTCCAACTCCTGTGCCGACGTGTAGCAGGATGGATAACATCAGTGTTGGTTTCCGGCCAATGCTAGCAGTAAAGGTAAGGAGTCAGATAGCCATTTTAGACTTAGAAAATTGTCTTAAATATGTCTTTAATGTTTGAAAAAAGCATCAATTCGTTTTAGTTTGATTTGGAAGTTGAGACGAAATGTTAAACGTTGCGTTCCAGAGTGAAATACTTCGCAACTTTCTTTTACGGATGGGCGTTGCTGCTTTTACTACAGGGCAAAAGAAGGTTTCCACCCATATTTTCTGGTAGCTTTAAACGAAACAACATGGTTGTTTGATGGTGACGTATTTTATATGGCTATCACATCAGTCAGTATCTCACAACAGGTGATGCACACTTGACATCTCACGGTATACAGTAAAGATCAGAGTGAAGCAGATATTGTCATGATCAGTTTCAGCTGGGTCACAGACAACAGGTATTCTCTCCAGCTGATATGAACCCTACGAGCAGGTGCTTTTTGCTGTGTGTGACTTAGCGTTATCGGGCTGTAGGAGTGTCCATTCAGATCAGCCTCCGTGCCAAACGGCATCTTTGGTGTGTAAATTCGAAAGGAAAAGGTCATTCTACGGAACTGCTGTTTGTCTGGAATAATCTGCGATACGAAGATGTTGCGAGCACAGTGCATCGTCAGATGCGGCGTCATTGTTGCTGCCGTTTTCGGCCCTGAGACGAATGTCGTGTGTTTTGCCCTGTTCTGTGTTCTGTGTTCTGTGTTCTGTGTGTAACGTTCCGACAAAGGTTGCAAGAGTACTACGTAAGTGTTCTGCAAGTGTCTGGGTTTGGCTGGCACCATTCCTCGCTGTGTCGTGCAGTGTAGCATATTGTAACTTGTAATCAATAAGCGGTAGTGTGAGCTATATTTTGATTTGTGCTATAATATTTAGACAGACGTCTGGAGGGTATAATCAACGCTATGGACCTTTTCTCTATATTATGACCCAGGGAGTTGGAGAATCTTCTGGAGTCTTTCTTCTGGAGTATATTTCCCCGGTATATATGAAGAGCTAACTCTTGACCCTAATCTCACGAAGACCAGCAGTTGTATGGAGATCATTCTTACCCTGAGTACTCGGCCTATTTTGGAAACTTGACCATTGTTGCAGTGAGGTGAATAGTACCATCTTTGTCTGTATTGCTGTAGTCACTGCTGTTGTATTACCTACCTCAATGCTCAATGTGCTTAGTTATCCCAAGTAACAAAGAATGTGTGAATTATGTAATCATCTTTGTCTTTTAAAACATAACCCTTTGATATACCTTCTGTACATGAAGGTTTTACCTACATGTCTGAGATGATGCCCAGAACAAGGGATCCACATAGAAGTCCTGCCATTAGAATGCTGTTGGCAAGAGACCTCAGGCCTTTATCGTTGCAAACCATGTTCAACTGCAAATTAAAAAAGCCAAAACATTCAGTTTACCTTAATATTTGCAACTAACGCGATGTGGGCAAAATGATTTTGTTCACCGACAAACGATGTCCCATTATTTAACCCTCAAGTATCAATTCAATATACATACTGCCTTCATTATAGACATTGAATGTAACACATACGCTGATCAAAGTTTAATTGGTTAATGAATATGTATAATACATTTCGCTAAATAGTATTTGACATATTTTTGTTTTATACCCATCTTTTCTATCAAAATCCGGAATTCGAGTTATAACATGAATTCCCTGCTGCCGCCTTATCTCAGAAAGATATAGCAACGTTAACTATTTTACAGTTCCTCTTTTACAAATGTGTTACTTTGCTAGTTAAACCAGCCCGATCCATGTAGTAGATTTATGGAGATACGTACAAATGTTAGGATACTGTCCAATGTCAAAAACCTTTACATCTTAAATGTGAGAAATAACACCGGAAGTGGCGGGCTTCATTTCCGACAAGATCTGTTTTGCAGAGTATGCAGCTTTAATATGTCGTTTCTTTGTTTATTTGCCATGTTGTTTGCTTTTTCCTCGAATCGAAGTGAGTGAGTGAGTGAGTTTGATTTTACGCCGCTTTTAACAATATTCCAGCAATATCACGGCGGGGGAAAATGGGCTTCACACATTGTGCCCATGTGGGGAATCGAACCCGGGCCTTCGGCGTGACGAGCGAACGCTTTAACCACTAGGCTTCCCCACCGCCCCGAATCGAATGAGACCTGTTCTAGTGTCTGAGATACACAATATATGTATGATAAAGCATTTTTGATTTTATCAATACATTTAGAATTTATATCATGAAGCTATATACAGTGATGCCTAATGTGTAACGCAATTATCATATCTAGATGTATGCATACTGAGTGAACGAACACTATCGACAAAGCTGTATGACAGTAGGGGTGGTTTCAGTTTTCCAATAGTTTCCCCACTGGTGAGGCAGGGTACGGTTACCACGAACACCGGGTGTCATCAATATTTGATCATAATTTATAAACACATGTTCATGATACATTTGTACAATCGGTCTGCTCTCAGCCGAGATTTCTTATGGACGTGGAAAGGGTTTTGTGCTCATGTTTGAGTAGGACAGGAAACGGTTAATTTTTCTAGAACATCTGACATCATCACTTTTTAATACTGATCATACACCTGTGCTGATGGTATTGTCGGGATGAACACTGGACATACATTGCAGCGATGTCTAACGATGGGAAAGGTTTTTCTCTTTTGTTTATATGGTTTGGCTAACGTACCTCTGTGATAACGGTGTTCTTGAAGACAGAGTTGTCGTACACCCATGCGTTGCATTCCTGGGTTGTTCTGTTCTGACCTCCTGAAACATCGTCCTTGTAGATGAGACAGGAGTCCCTGACACTGACGCCTTTCTCCGTCGTCCAGGGTATGGAGGTGTTAAGGAGGAGCTCATGGTCAGGTCCTTGGACAGCGTATGTGTCGTTGCTGACACCGGGGAGAGCACACCTGCAACAATTGTGGGAAACTTAAAGCTGAATGTAAATAATATTTCCTTGAAATGACTGTACACACCAGCGTTCATCAAACGGGAACCCTAATGCCATGAAGCTGAAAATATTACTTCAAACAAATTATGACCGTTGGGATCATTTTTGTCGATTTCACTGAATTCGAAATACATTGCTTTGGGAACTTTGAGACGACATACTGAACTCAAACTTCAATCTTTGACCAAAATCTTTAGTAAAATATCATTTCAAGTTAATTTATTAATTGTCTTTAAAAGCATGAAATCTCCTTACTAACAATATTTTCTTAAATATATTTCATTTCAAGAGTGAATCTATTTAAAAATACCTTTATTTTAAAAAAAAAACATGGCATAAGGCACATGTTCATTAGATAATAGTAGGCTATACTTAGTCTTTACTGTTTGGAACTTTTTTAGAATAAGGTCTAAATGTCATCAGGTGTGGACCATGCTTCATGAAATCTGGGGACCGAAGTGACCGAAGAAATGATGCAAGTGAAACACGACATGTCTATTTTCTAAAATGGCAATCATAAATACTCATGTTATGGTGTGTTCAATCAGGTGCCGCCTAGCTCAGATTAAGTGAACTCTGTCTTCAGGATATACTTGTATTGTTGATCGAATTGTTGGTTGGAAATAACAGCCTTAGACGAGGTTAACTGTTATGCCCCTTGTTAAACAGAGCTGATTGCGATGGGTGTGTTTTAACGCCATGTTGTAACACCTTTGTCGGCTAATGATGATTGGAAGAATTTAGCAATGTGCGAGTCTTGACTTGCGATGACATCTGATGTTTTGAACTTTTGCTCTCTCGGGTTTCGTTGGTTGAGCAACGAGAACTGTAAGTCGAACCTACTCTACTATTGATGTGTAAGAGAAATTGACCACTGGTATTTATAAGTACAGATTTCTGGTTAATTTATTGTTGCAACATGGAAAACAGATATACGGATAGTTCAAAGATCACGAAGCCGCTGATATATTTGCAAACGTGGGTGGAGACGTCATATATTTGTATTCGTGGGGAGGAGCAGGGGTTAAATGTCAGCAAACACACCAGACAGCCCCTTGTACAGGGAGCCACGCATAGTTATACATAAAACACTTTGTTCTGACTACACATAATGACCAGTAGCTGCACGTGTGTTCAGGTCAGGTAAGAAACAATTAAAATCCAGGGTAATCCTTTGTAGTGTTTTACGTTTAAAAAAAACCTGTGTTGGCTCGACAAACCACGTAAACGTTTTGTCAAGCTGAAACGAACGATGTATGCAACTGGTAAAATACCTAGTTCTTAATGGGCGTATTAGTGATCATCGTAACACCAACTCGTGAAGGTCCGGGTTAGAATATTGATCTTCAGTAACCTCTGCTTGTCGTAAGAGGCGACTAACGGGATCGGGTGGTCAGACTCGCTGACTTGGTTGACACATGTCATCGGTTACCAATTGCGCAGATCGATGTTCATGTTGTTGATCGCTGGATTGTCTGGTTTAGATTAGTTACAGACCGCCGCCATATAGCTGGAATATTGCTGAGTCCGGCGTAAAACTAAATTCCCTCACTGTCCAAAATATCAATCATACACCTGTGTAATTAAAGCAATTGCATGAAAAGAAATCTATCTTTTGTAACAGACATGGGTGAATCATAGGATAGACAAAAATATCAATATTCCAGCAACATCACGGCCGAGGACAATGTGCCTCATACGTTGCATCTATGTGGGGAATCGAGCCCGGGTGTTCGGCCCGACTAGCAAGACTGGAAACAAAACAAAGAAAGCAAAACAAAGCAAAAGGTGAATTTAGAAACTATATTATACTGTGCCACGGACAGAATGCGTTAGCTGCTTAAACACAGTGTCTCTGATCACATGAACTCGGAGACGTATCTCGACTGTCTCTGTTTGATATGAATACACTCAAACAACTATCGTCTTTAATGCTATGTGTACATTGGTATTCGGGTAGCATATCTACATAATCATTATTGACCTTGAATATATTCTCACAAATGAACAAATACATTTACATCAAACACGAATAACGCTCCAACTTGAGATCACCCCGCCTAAGTACAACAGAAGCCTTGTACACACAGTAGTACCCAAGGTCACAACAGACGGCTGTGTAGCCATGGAACAAGCTTCGCTGTCAAATATTGTCACTGAGAACACATATACTGAAACATTGAGGTCGCATGCATTGAGGTGTTCTAATTCTTTTGTCAGTATCAGTATACGCTTACATACATCTAAACATACATCGTGTGTGATGCTGTCAGACGGTGTACCCCGTGGCAACAAACACGTATCTTTCATCATGCAAATTGTGTGCGTGGTCGATGTTACACGGCAAAATAGGGCACGACATGAAACCCTTTTCGCGAACACCTGACGTCATCACTTATTCTCAGTGATCCATTGAAATGTTTTGCACTGCGACATGATGGAATCTGTTTATGTTTCGGATAATGGAGTCTCAGTCTTTGCTGGCGTCCACGTGTCTTACTTACATACACCTATATAATTACTTACCTAAGACATTTTTACAAATCTTTTGCAATATGCATTTTAAACAATATAAATGTATACATTATCTATTTCTTGCGTCATTTTTTCTTGCAAATATATGCATTGTATTGTACGTTTTAAACTAAACTATACAAATTTACGACAACAAAAATATTCAATTGCCATCTTTGATGTGTTTAGAATTGGTATAACATTAAATGTTTAAAGCTCCAAATAGGTTTGCGGTGCAGAGTACATAACAAGGCGTGCAGCTACTCCGTGATTGTAGTGAAAGCGTGGCAAAAACGACCCTGACTGGAAACCTTGAACAGGTATGCGTGTGGAGGGCTATTCTATAGGAGTACTGTCCTGTTAGGCGCATATTTGTTGCATAAACAAGTGATCACAGGAAAGCGAACATTAGATCCACATGGGGGTCATGCAGTATCACGTCTTTCGTATATAACAAGGTATGGGTTCTGCTTAACAAGGCTGTGACACGTCAACAGGCTGTAAGGTGGCAGTGAGCCAAACTTTCCATTGAACGTCAGAGAAACAGTAGGATTACACTGTCTGTTGCTATGCCTGTTACGTACAATGGCTGCTATTCTGTTATATAATGTATTTAAAACTACAGGCTATAATGGCAATACTAGTACATTCTACTGTGAACATCTCTCCCCCCCCCCCCTATAAAAAGGCGTCAACATCTCAGTCTATTCTTCATATGCTTGAATTACAGTTGAAAGTAACTTAAGTTTATTATTATTATATTTTGTCCAAACATTTAGTTTATTTTTGTGTGACAGTCATACTAGTTTGAATTATAAAGATGACATTTGATTCACTCAAACCCAGAACTGATTGTTATTCGGATATTAATACATGAATTTGAAATTTGTATTATCATTTTAATATGTATATGGTTTAATCTTATTCCTATGTTTACAAAGACTCACTTATTTCCAGGTATGTCACGATAGCTTTATTCCTAAGGGGTCCACATGAAATTGACACTACTAATGTCCAGAATCGTTCATAAATCATACTACTGTGCAAGTTCCACAAGTAATATAAATCAACCCTATAAAAGCGACAAGAAACATTTCCGTAATAAATTCAAAGTCCACTTCATAGACTCACTATTAGTATGAAATCGCCCCGTGACAAACCGTCACAAACACATGCATAGACAAGTCAATTATTCACCGACCCCCCCCCCCCGGAACATAGAGTGCAAGTCAAAATAGAGATTGGTATGAAGGATATCGAATTTGAAATTTTGAATTTGTTTTGAAAGCAAATGGGATCAAATTTGAAATAGATGCTTGAAACATGTAATATAGTGTTTGATTATGCATCATGCAAACAATATCGGGTTATCGTTACGTAAGTGATAACGAACTCTTGACACAGAAGAGCACGTCACTCTTGACCTTCAGTGCAACCAACATGAATGCACAGTCACGTACAACTCATGTAGAACAAACATCCTTGACTGGTTCTACAAACATGATTAAATCCGGGTCACTACATCGCTTGGCTGTACCTGTCTCCGCTGTAGCAAACTACATGACAATATAACATACATACACACACATGACAATATAACATACATACACACACATGGCAATATAACATACATACACACACATGACAATATAACATACATACACACACATGACAATATAACATACATACACACACATGACAATATAACATACATACACACACATGACAATATAACATACATACACACACATGACAATATAACATACATACACACACATGACAATATAACATACATACACACACATGACAATATAACATACATACACACACATGACAATATAACATACATACACACACATGACAATATAACATACATACACACACATGACAATATAACATACATACACACACATGACAATATAACATACATACACACACATGACAATATAACATACATACACACACATGACAATATAACATACATACACACATGACAATATAACATACATACACACACATGACAATATAACATACATACACACACATGACAATATAACATACATACACACACATGACAATATAACATACATACACACACATGACAATATAACATACACACACACATGACAATATAACATACATACACACACATGACAATATAACATATACACACACACATGACAATATAACATACATACACACATGACAATATAACATACATACACACACACAATATAACATACATACACACACATGACAATATAACATACATACACACACATGACAATATAACATACATACACACACATGACAATATAACATACATACACACACATGACAATATAACATACATACACACACATGACAATATAACATACATACACACACATGACAATATAACATACATACACACACATGACAATATAACATACATACACACACATG